CCGCCGACCTAGCACCCGCCGACCTAGCACCCGCCGACCTAGCACCCGACGACCTGGCACCCGCCGACCTAGCACCCGCCGACCTAGCACCTGCCGACCTGGCACCCGCCGACCTGGCACCCGCCGACCTAGCACCCGCCGACCTGGCACCCGCCGACCTGGCACCCGCCGACCTGACACCCGCCGACCTAGCACCCACCGACCTAGCACCCGCCGACCTAGCACCCGCCGACCTAGCACCCGCCGACCTAGCACCCGCCGACCTAGCACCCGCCGACCTGGCACCCGCCGACCTGGCACCCGCCGACATGGCACCCGCCGGCCTAGCACCCGCCGACCTAGCACCCGCCGACCTAGCACCCGCCGACCTAGCACCCGCCGACCTAGCACCCGCCGACCTAGCACCCGCCGACCTAGCACCCGCCGTCGGACCTGGCACCCACCCACCGACCTAGCACCCGCCGACCTGGCACCCGCCGTCCGACCTGGCACCCGCCGACCTATCACCCGCCGACCTAGCACCCGCCGACCTAGCACCCGCCGACCTAGCACCCGCCGACCTGGCACCCGCCGACCTATCACCCGCCGACCTATCACCCGCCGACCTAGCACCCGCCGACCTAGCACCCGCCGACCTAGCACCCGCCGACCTAGCACCCACCGACCTAGCACCCACCGACCTAGCACCCGCCGACCTAGCACCCGACGACCTAGCACCCGACGACCTAGCACCCGCCGACCTAGCACCCGCCGACCTAGCACCCGCCGACCTAGCACCCGCCGACCTAGCACCCACCGACCTAGCACCCACCGACCTGGCACCCGCCGACCTAGCACCCGCCGACCTGGCACCCGCCGACCTGGCACCCGCCGACCTGGCACCCGCCGACCTGGCACCCGCCGACCTAGCACCCGCCGACCTAGCACCCGCCGACCTGGCATCGACCGACCTAGCACCCACCGACCTGGCACCCGCCGACCTAGCACACGCCGACCTAGCACCCGCCGACCTGGCACCCACCGACCTAGCACCCGCCGACCTAGCACCTGCCGACCTGGCACCCGCCGACCTGGCACCCGCCGACCTAGCACCCGCCGACCTGGCACCCGCCGACCTGGCACCCACCGACCTGGCACCCACTGACCTAGCACCAGCCGACCTAGCACCCGCCGACCTGGCACCCGCCGACCTAGCTCCCGCCGACCTAGCACCGGCCGACCTAGCACCCGCCGACCTAGCACCCGCCGACCTAGCACCCGCCGACCTAGCACCCGCCGACCTAGCACCCGCCGACCTAGCACCCGCCGACCTAGCACCCACCGACCTAGCACCCACCGACCTAGCACCCACCAACCTAGCACCCGCCGACCTTGCACCCACCGACCTAGCACCCGCCGACCTAGCACCCGCCGACCTAGCACCCGCCGACCTAGCAGCCGCCGACCTAGCACCCACCGACCTAGCACCCGCCGACCTGGCACCCTCCGACCTGGCACCCGCCGACCTAGCACCCGCCGACCTGGCACCCGCCGACCTGGCACCCGCCGACCTGACACCCGCCGACCTAGCACCCGCCGACCTAGCACCTGCCGACCTGGCACCCGCCGACCTGGCACCCGCCGACCTAGCACCCGCCGACCTGGCACCCGCCGACCTGGCACCCGCCGACCTGGCACCCGCCGACCTAGCACCCACCGACCTAGCACCCGCCGACCTAGCACCCGCCGACCTAGCACCCGCCGACCTAGCACCCACCGACCTAGCACCCGCCGACCTAGCACCCGACGACCTAGCACCCGACGACCTAGCACCCGCCGACCTAGCACCCGGCGACCTAGCACCCGCCGACCTAGCACCCGCCGACCTAGCACCCACCGACCTAGCACCCACCGACCTGGCACCCGCCGACCTAGCACCCGCCGACCTGGCACCCGCCGACCTGGCACCCGCCGACCTGGCACCCGCCGACCTGGCACCCGCCGACCTAGCACCCGCCGACCTAGCACCCGCCGACCTGGCATCGACCGACCTAGCACCCACCGACCTGGCACCCGCCGACCTAGCACACGCCGACCTAGCACCCGCCGACCTGGCACCCACCGACCTAGCACCCGCCGACCTAGCACCTGCCGACCTGGCACCCGCCGACCTGGCACCCGCCGACCTAGCACCCGCCGACCTGGCACCCGCCGACCTGGCACCCACCGACCTGGCACCCACTGACCTAGCACCAGCCGACCTAGCACCCGCCGACCTGGCACCCGCCGACCTAGCTCCCGCCGACCTAGCACCGGCCGACCTAGCACCCGCCGACCTAGCACCCGCCGACCTAGCACCCGCCGACCTAGCACCCGCCGACCTAGCACCCGCCGACCTAGCACCCGCCGACCTAGCACCCGCCGACCTAGGACCCGCCGACCTGGCACCCGCCGACCTAGGACCCGCCGACCTGGCACCCGCCGACCTATCACCCGCCGACCTATCACCCGCCGACCTAGCACCCGCCGACCTAGCACCCGCCGACCTAGCACCCGCCGACCTAGCACCCACCGACCTAGCACCCACCGACCTAGCACCCGCCGACCTAGCACCCGACGACCTAGCACCCGACGACCTAGCACCCGCCGACCTAGCACCCGCCGACCTAGCACCCGCCGACCTAGCACCCGCCGACCTAGCACCCACCGACCTAGCACCCACCGACCTGGCACCCGCCGACCTAGCACCCGCCGACCTGGCACCCGCCGACCTGGCACCCGCCGACCTGGCACCCGCCGACCTGGCACCCGCCGACCTAGCACCCGCCGACCTAGCACCCGCCGACCTGGCACCGACCGACCTAGCACCCACCGACCTGGCACCCGCCGACCTAGCACACGCCGACCTAGCACCCGCCGACCTGGCACCCACCGACCTAGCACCCGCCGACCTAGCACCCGCCGACCTAGCACCCGCCGACCTAGCACCCACCGACCTAGCACCCGCCGACCTTGCACCCACCGACCTAGCACCCGCCGACCTAGCACCCGCCGACCTAGCACCCGCCGACCTAGCAGCCGCCGACCTAGCACCCACCGACCTAGCACCCGCCGACCTGGCACCCTCCGACCTGGCACCCGCCGACCTAGCACCCGCCGACCTGGCACCCGCCGACCTGGCACCCGCCGACCTGACACCCGCCGACCTGGCACCCACCGACCTGGCACCCACCGACCTAGCACTCGCCGATCTAGCACCCGCCGACCTAGCACCCACCGACATAGCACCCGCCGACATAGCACCCGCCGACCTAGCACCCGGCGACCTAGCACCCGCCGACCTAGCACCCGCCGACCTAGCAATCGCCGACCTAGCACCCACCAACCTAGCACCCACCAACCTAGCACCCGCCGACCTTGCACCCACCGACCTAGCACCCGCCGACCTAGCACCCGCCGACCTAGCACCCGCCAACCTAGCACCCGCCGTCCTGGCATCCTTCGACCTAGCACCCGCCGACCTAGCACCCGCCGACCTGGCACCCACCGACCTGGCACCCGCCGACCTAGCACCCGCCGACCTGGCACCCACCGAACTAGCACCCGCCGACCTAGCACACGCCGACCTAGCACCCGCCGACCTGGCACCCACCGACCTAGCACCCGCCGACCTGGCACCCGCCGACCTAGCACCCGCCGACCTGGCACCCGCCGACTTGGCACCCGCCGACCTGGCACCCGCCGACCTGGCACCCGCCGACCTAGCACCCACCGACCCGACCTAACACCTCCGTCCTCCGGCATCCTGCTTGAAATGTAGGTGAAACCTAAACGACGACCCTGGGACCCTGATAGAACTCCCATGCGGCAATTACGCCCTTGGTTTGGGTTTAGTAGCCTGATGCATGGGTCCTAGCAAGCATGATAAGACGTTACGGAGTATTCAGTTAAACAGGCGTAATCTTGCAATGGGTGCAATGGGTGAGGACGCTCTTCACGCTCATGGGTGAAGAAGGAAGGCAGCCGGCCTCGACTGGACAAGGGACTCTGAGCTCGTCTAGCTATGCAACGAACACGCAAACTACAATAGACAAGGGGGTTCAGCGTTCGCGTCCGCGTACAATAAGCAAGGGGGTTCAGCGTCCGTGTAACAAGGTGTGTTACGTCAACTGGTGCCGTGGAGTCACAGGAGCGCATTCCGTGCCATTCAAGTTGTAGTATTACGTTTCTGTACTCAATAGGAGGGGATCCGCCCCTTTCCAGCTTTGATGAAGCTGAACCCCCTTGTTTGTATCAGCTCTGCCATATGACTTTGGGGGGCATAAACTTTCGGGGTTGTAGGTGCAATGTGTCATAGCCAACAGAGTGCGTACCTTATTCCTTTCTGCCATCTGTCTGTCTGTGGCAGGCTTCAGGACCTGTCGTGTTCTCATGTAGTGCTCTCCTCCATTGCCACGTGTAGTGCTCTGCGGACACCCTCGTGAGGGGCGCCATGGCTGGGATTGTTTTATCCTTGCGTTGCCTTGGGAATAGGGAGGCGTCATAGTTTCGGAGATGATTGGCCATGCCTAGCCCATGGACTTTCAGGGGGGCACCACCGAGGGTTTAGGCGCTGTCGGCGTGTGTGCGCATGGCCGGTGCGGCAATGGCTGCTAACACGTCGTCACGACGGTTGAAAGTTCCACGAGCAAAAATGCGTATACCAGTTCAAGACAGCTGTCCGAGTATTTGTAACAACATATTAAAGCCTTCCGTAGCAGTTGTAGTGGCCTTGCCACTCCATGTGCACTAGGGAGACTCGCATGCAAAGACACGGCGCCCCAACGCGCAGCTGAGCCATTGCCTTCTAATTTACAGTACTTCTTATTACTACATAGCAATAGAAGTCAATTTCACTTGAGTCTGAGCTCGGTCAACGTTTCTGAAGGGAACTGAAGTGGGCCACTCATTCGTGACCGCGACCTGCAGACAGAAAGTCGCGCACGTCGCATGTGAGTATCGATTATTATAATGTGCAAAATAATAAATTTCTGCTTTGAGTTGCCTTCTTTTTTCGTGCTGAAATTTATTAGTCATGCTGGTTCGTTTCATTTAGCCTACAATAAAGTCCGATACTGCTTGCGGTTTGCTCTCCTCACCGCCTCGCACCGGTATACCCTGTCCTTTCCGCAGACGAAAGGGGCCTACCAGAGGCGCCGTGTTCGAGGCCTACAAATTGGTCTCGAGGTTTCTTATGGATGTCACAGAGGGTCTAAAGATGTTGGCACAGCTTGCTCCGAGCGCGGAAGGGCGCCTCCCCAGCCTCAATTTTCTCCTCCTCAACCTCATTTTTCTCCTCCTCCTCTACCTCGTCGTCTCCAACATCGTCGACCGCTTTCAAGGCAGCCGCCAAGGCAAGGAGTTTTGAGGTTATCAATGCCTGTTACTAGCATTGGTCGCAATTTCAAGTACCGGTATGCATCTTTGGCAGGTGATGGCACCTTACCTTGCAAAGCTGTCAGCGCGATTATGTAGGATCACCTTTATTATATACGTGTGCTGTACCATCTGTCAAAACACTGATTGTGGCTCTCGATTTCCCTGCCTCCCACCTGTTGCGTAGCCAAAATGCACGCCTCGTCCAAGAACCCAGGTGCGTTACGTGGCTGGAATAACAAGCTTAAAGGAGCAGTTAGTTACTGGTGGCCTTTTTGGCAGGGGTGTTTCTACGGGCTTGGGTTTTGTTTGAGGCCGTGACCTGGGGTAACCTAAGGAATGGTACTTTAGCAAGTGTTGAAAGTTCATATCCTCGCCTGCCATGGAACCTTACTTCCTTAGTTGGCATGGGACACATCAGCAATTAGCAGCTAGGCGTTTGGGCGGGTGGGAGTCCCAGCAGGGGTCGGGAAATGCAAGCTCTTGGCAATGATATGCTCCCATGCTCTGGTATCCAGGCCACCAGGCCCTGGCCCTTACCCCACCATCTCACATTATGCCAGATCCTGCTTTGTGAGAGCTTGCTTGACTACCCGTGTATGTGCCGGTATAAGAAGCAGGAGATTGAACTTTGACTTCTTATTTCTGGAAACTACTACGCTTAGATAGCGACCACTCCATGTTCCCTGCCTGTCCACAGACGCAATCCGTACCCGAAGGCGCGCTCCGAAACCAGTTAGGGACTTCTGGTGTGCCCTTTTGAAAGCTAGAATGACTGTGGGCAGCTTCTTGGTCCTTCCCAGCGGCGTCGACTTTTTCGGTGACCAGGATCGGGGACATACGCTTCTCTTACGCCAATGCTACTGGGGATTGTTCAACCGTATTATGATCCACAAGCACTCAAACCTTTACCGTCGGTTTCTCGTCACAGGTACGTGACTTTGGTACATCCACGTATCAGGGAACATGGGCAGTAGTATCCTATTTGCATGCTGTACTGGCCCTTCATCTTTGCAGGTTGGTTAGTTACTGTCTTGCCCTCCAAACGTTATCTTGCCCTGCTTTCTTGAAAATAATTACCTTGGTTATCACTCACCCGCCGGGTGCCACGATTTTTAAGCGTTGCTTGCTCGTACGTCTTAGCATGATAATAAGCTATCACCTGTTTTTGCTTCGTCCTATTTGCATCTAGGTACCCCGGGGATTGGCAAGAGCTGCTTCGTTGTCCCCTTGCTTGGCTGGCTGGCCAAGAAGGAAAACGTGATCAAGGTGGTGGTTGAACTGAACCAGAAACGGTACCTGTTCACCACCTCCAGCAGCCATCATGGCCCTGATGTTGAGGAGGGAGGCATCTCGGACTTTGAGCAGGAGCTTGAGGACACCAACGTATGGTAAGGCTAGGTAGAGCTGCTGGGGTAAAGAGGAAACAACTAACTGACTGAGGGATAAGGCGTAGCCCAGTAGGTGCCATGGGCCCAAACTAACGGGGCATGCAGGGTGTGTTGAGGAGAGGGTTCTGGAGTCCGCAGTACTACTGTTGCACTATCTCTTTAGCAGTACATACACATGCTTACCTATGTGTACTACAGTGTTCACCTTATTTTGCATTACGTACCGTATGTTAAACGCACAGGTGGATCGTCGACACGGGCCCCGCTCTTTATCGGCCTGCCAACACCATATTTATCGCATCACTTGACCAGAACAGATGCAAGGGCTTCCAGAAGTTCCTGGGCTCTACAACTCTTTACATGCCGGTCTGGAGTGATGATGAGATGCAACAGTGCAGGTAGGTTCTAAGGAAAGCATGAGCCTTCCTGGCCCAACAAGCATTTGGTTACCGGTATGAACTTACTCTGGATGGGGTACCCATGTATTCACGCGTGCCTTTTATGTTGCTCTATCGTAGCCAGGAGCTCCAGGTGGTTCCAAGTGGCTGTTGCACCCTACCTGTATTATTAATGCAGGAAACGGCTGTTCCCCACACTCCAAGAAGCAAGGTTCTTGGAGCTGCAATCGCGATGGGGGAATATCCCACGCTACGTCCTTGAAAAGGTGTGTGCGTGGTGCTTGTGTTAGACGGCTGAGGGCTGCAGGGGTGGCTGGTATCGCAAAAAAGATTTACTTGCCAGGCAAAGGACAGCAGTAGTTAATTGATTTCCCCCATCCCTGTTCACCTTTGACTGCTGCTGCAGGCCGAAAATCGGGTAGTGCAAGCAAGCCTTGAAACAGCATTAGGCAGTTGTGACTGGGACACAGTGCTGAAGTGCATTAACGAAACGGACAATGCGCCTCACGCCAGCCACCAGCTGCTACAACTTCAGGTGCTGGACTTGATAGAGTACGACCAGATGGTCATGAAGCCTGCGTCTCCGTATGTGGCACGCAAGTTGGTGGAGAAGGCGGGAAGTGCTCACGTACAAGACCTGGTGCAGCTGGTGAGTATTCCGGCGTGTACAGGGGTTAGGTAGGGACACGGTTGGTGATGACCCCAGGTGGCCGGTGCGTGGTAATTAGGCTGGGTGGGTAAAGAAGAAAGTGACTAGTTGTACGACAGGTTTGGTACTTTGCGGCTGCTCCTTGTTATGATACGAAGTGCTGCTGATGGGGTGATTCGATTGCCTAAAATGGACCTTACACTGCAAGAGAGCGAAAACACACCACGCACGAACGAGCGGGCGCACAAGAGCGTACTCCTTGCCATTTGCTGCGCCTAAGTCACTTTTCCATTTCGGTCAATCCTTGCAACACCAAAAATCAAAGCGCTGTTTCTGCTCCTACCTACCTAGTAATTGATCGTGCCCCAGCCACTGTCAACCCACCAAGCTTACCCCTGGCCCCACACCCTCTCGTACGTCCTCCTCCACAGTCGCTGGGCACCCCAGCCTATGCAGGTGCTGCACGCGCCTTCTATGCGAGCTACGTCCACCGGCGCTTCCAGGAAGGTGGAACTTTCAACGTAAGTCTTCAGGCATCCTGCTGCACACTGTAGCAAGGTCCTTAGGGAGGCCACACATCGCTTATGACAGTATGAGCCACTAAGTCGCATGATGGGCTGACAGTCTTCCAGCAAGCAAGCGTCCACACCCCCCAGCCAGTTGTTGATATACCAGGTTCTATACGGTACGTGCAGGTGCGGAGGTTGGACAAGCCTCATCAGCCCACCGCAATGCTGGAGCTCGAGAAGCCACCTAAGACGTGCTTGTTCAGCACTTGGGAGGAGGTGACATTGCAGCAGGATTGTGTGTACTGCATTCCTCGCATTGACGACCTTCCAGCAGTGGGTTCCATCATGCAGCCAAGCTTCCTCTTCCAGATGACCACAACTCAGAAGCTTGAAGTGAATGAGAACGGCCTGAAAGCGGCTGCACACCAGCTCCGGGGCACGAAGAGGCTGTACTTCGTTGTGCCTCAGGGCATGTTCACGACTTACAGCGCTGTTTCCAACGTTCCTAGGAATGTCGAGCAGTGGTTGCTGGAGGTGGCGTGGATGTAATTAGTTGCTCGGGATAACTTGGCTGTGCTGTAGCTTGGTTAGGTTAGGTTAGGCAGGTTAGGCTGGACGTCGTGCATGCTGTCGTTGATTGCTGTATGTATGCTGCTGCCATGAGAATGCTGCACACATATGCTTAATGTGGAGGACAGATTATTTGTCAACCATGTCCAACATGCCTGCTGCAGATCATGCTCGCACAAGTGCTTGGTAGTTTACGGAACTATGTATATATGTGTTCAATTTGAACAGCCTTCCTGGTGGCTGCACTGGGTGGCATGGCGATGTGGGTCACTGCGTGGATGGTTGCCTGCAGCAGCAGAGCCTGCTGAGACACCTGGGCAGGGTAATGGTGGGTGAGGTGGAAATGGGAGAAGAAGGTGTGCAACTGCATCCGTTAAGCACCCTTACTTATTGCATTATCCCTCACAGCCCCAGCAGCCACACCTGCTCTGTTGGCCGCCAAGCAAGCCCCGAGCTGCATATACATTCACCTAACACCTTCATGGCAACGTAATACGGACTTGCACGCAAGCACAGCAACACCACCCCTCCAATAATACCGGCACCGGTAATGCTGTCCACGACACGCCCAATAAGTGCGAGTAGTGCTTCCACCTCCCTCCCTCCAACCAAGCACACTCCAGCGTACGTACTTATCAACCCCGTTCGGGTTAGGCTGGATGGGTCGGCGACCATATAAATAAGCAAAAACACATGGTGGCGCGGCCTTGCTGCTTTATGGCTAGCCTTCCTCTACCTCTCCTTCCCCGCCCCTCCTCAGCTCGTTAGTAGTGCCTGTCTAGGGCATTGAATTTCGGGCAATGAGAACTAGTTTTCTTTTTCTCCACCCTCCTCCTCAGCTGGCCTTTGCCTTCTTCCTCCACACCCCCGGCCCCAGCCCCGCCCCCCAACCCAGCGCCCCCAACGCCGCCAGCCCACTCAGCCCCCAGCTGAGGGGCGCCAGACGCCGCACCAGCAGCGGCTGCCCCACAACCTGGGAGCGGCAACGGAGCGGCTCGGACTGGCGGGGGAGAGGAGGGAGGGCGGGGGAGGAGAGGGAGGGCGGGGGAGAGGAGTGAGGGAGAGAGGAGAGGAGGTAAACTTACAGGGCTACCGTACCTGTGTCTGATCACCGCGAAGCAGGAAATTTAGGGATTTTGTTTTTTAACGCGCAGCGCTGTAAAGAATTAATTTTTTGTAACGCGCAGGGGTCTGAGCAATTATTTTCCACTTTGCGCAGCCTTTAAATTAGTACTGCAGTAGCCTGAAGCTTTTACTAGAAAGACCGGAAAAGCAGAGCAATGAACTTAAAGCTACGGCTTAAAACGGATCAGAGAGGAGGTGTAGGTATGGATGGGGCCAGGAAAAGAGCGAAACTCGGAATTTCGAGTCAGCACGCACTGGTGGCCACGCCATGGGCAATTTTTTAGTTAACGCGCAGTCCTTTGGGGAATTAATTTTTATTAACGCGCAGGCCCCGGACCAATAATTATTTATTTTTGCGCGTTAATACACATTTTTCCAAATAATTATTTATTTTTGCGCGATGATCACTGGGAGGTACGGTATTTAAACCAGACGGGAGGGAGTGGGAGAAGGTGGTTACCTCCTTCACCCCACATGATCTCGTATGCAGGTCATTGGCTTTATGTTGGGGTACCACGGGGTGGGGTTATACCCCTTCCTTCTTTTCCTTCCCGCCCCCCACCCGCCACCCCTCCCCCCCACCTGCTCCGCCAGCTCCCCCACCGCCCGCTCCAGCGCCCCCAGCTGCCCCTCCAGCGCCCGCAGGTACTCCAGAGCGGAGGACAGGTCCAGGCCGTACGCGGTGGCCACTGCGGAGCGCCAGTACGACACAACCTGGCCGTACTGCCGTACGATCTCCCGGGCAGCGGCCTGGTGGGCCTGTGTCGCGAGGGGTAGGAGGGAGGGGAGAGGGGAAGTTGAGAGGTACCGGTAGCAGGGGAGTTGTGCAGAGGGGCACTCCCACCACCGCACTACTCGTCAACCGCACGGCGGCCCCAAGCAACCTGGTTTCATCCGCTTTCATCCGCTTTCAAGACCTCCGCCTCCTCCTCCTCACCACCACCAACCGCCAGCCAAAATCAGCTCCCAAGCTGCTAGTAAGGCTTGTTATAAGATTGCTGCTACAAACCCAATAATTATGACTACTACAATACGCAAACGTCCTTTACCCTCACGCCCCAACCCATCCAAAGCCCCCCCGCCCCCAGTCCGCACCTTGAGGTGCTTCCACACGTGCTCCGAGGCCGCCACCCGCGCCAGCCGCCCCACCGCCCCGTTCACCGCCCCCACACTGGCGTCCAGCGCGTCAATCAGGTGCGAGCGAGCCAGGGCGTCGCGCTGGAGGGGGGCGTAGTGCAGGCCTGGGGTGGGGGGAGATATATGGGGGAGGTGCGGGGAATTCATAGAGGTTGGAAATTCCACATTAGGCTGGATTACAGGAGGGAGCGGGAAAAACGAAGTGAAAGTGAAGCAGGGAGGGACTTCCTTTCTCCCCCCACGCCCCACCCCTACCGCCCACCCATCTCTCCCCCCCCCCCCCGCAGCCCCACCCGTTGACGTGAAGGACAGCGGGTGGCCCCCCACACTCCACAGCCAGTCGTGGCTGATGCTGTGGGTGCGCGGGTCGTAACCCAGGTGCGGCGGCAGCAGCCCACCTAGCGCCCCCAGCACTGCCGCCAGCGCCTCCTTGAGCGGCGAGGTGGGTCGCGGCAGCAGCGAGCCGCCGCACATCATGCCGGTGGGGGGCTCGTCCCTGGGAGAGGGGGGGGGCGGGGCGGGGGTGGAGGGGAGGTTAGGGGATGATGATGTTTCCACCCCTCCTGGTGGAGCCTACATGACGTCACAAGGTTACTGGAGCCTCTTCCTCTCTACCCCTTCCCCCCCACCCCTTCTCACCCCTCCCCCAACGGTTCGTCAGTTTCCTAGCATTAATACACCCACCCACCTCCTGGCGCTGTTTGCCACCACCATCACCATGTCCCCCAGCTCGCGCGCGTTGTAGTGCGCGTCCAGCAGCACCGGCACGTCCCGCTCCAGCAGGAACACGTAGACGGGCAGGTCGCGGGAGGGGGACTGGTGGGGGGAGGGGCGGAGAGGGGAGGAGGACGGGAGGAACGGGAAGAGGGGAGGTGGGTGGGTGACAATAGGTTCACGGGGTAGCTCGCACACTGTATGGACTGCGCTGTACACGTTGTGGATGGGCGGGTGGTGTGTAGTTGAGCGGAATACAAGCGCAAGCAGTTGGGATAGGTGGGCGGGTGGTGTGTGTTAAAATAACTGGCCGCGAGGCGAAACGTACTGTGGGTGGTGTGTGCTGTGCAGGTGCGCAGGGGAGCAGCCCATGGTGTCATGGAGGAGTGGTATGGCACGTACATGCAGCAGTGGGAACGCAGCAGGAAGACCAGTGGGAACATGGGGCCCAAGGAAAGGAGGCAAAGTCCCTACTACCCTACCGTGAGCGCCACCCCCTGTCTGCCCGCCTGCTGCTGCTCCCGCTGCTGCTGCTGCCGGGTGGGTGGGAAGAGGGTGCGCAGGGTGGCGGCCAGCTCCGTGCTGTCAACGTACACCCGCTCCATCTCAGCTGCGGAGGGAGGGGGAGGGGCGGGCGGGCAGGAAACGGGGTTTTGGATGGAGGGAGGAAGATGGGGGAATATAAGAGTCAGGTAAAGCTGGTAACGATAGCGGGAACCTTCCTCTCACCTTCCCTTCCTTCCTCCCTCCCTCCCCCTCCCTTCACCCCTCCCCTCCCTCCCTCCCCCTCCCCCCCCCCCCTCCCCCCCCCCTCCCCCCCCTTGGTATGGTCTTTGACCCCCCTTCCCCCCCCTCACCCTCGAAGAAGTCCTCCCCCGACGGCACCTCCTGCAGCGCGGTGCGGGTGGCAGCAGCCAGACCAGCAGCCAGGGCGGGCTGGTCGTGCAGGGCCGCGGGGTGCACACTGAACTTGAAGGCCTGGGGGGGGGAGGGCGGGAGGGGGACGGGGGTGTGGAGATGGCAGATGGAAACATGACGGCCGTTTGTAACAATACCGCACATGAGACCGCACATGGCAGCAGGGCACATGGCAGCAGGGCTAGGATTGAGGGGCAGCCCACTCCCAGGTCTCAACCCCAGTCCCCCAGATCCCAACCACAACGGGTTCCTGTTGCCCCAGCCGCCAGCCCCTCACCCCCCCAACCCCATGCCCGCAGCCCCCCACCCCACCCCACCCCCCCACCCCACCTGGTTCCTCATGCGCAGGGTGTCCACCTCGGCCTTGAACGCCTCCACATCAAACGCCGCCGCAGCTGCCGAGCCGCGACGCTGGCGGGAGGAGTCGGAGATGAGGTGGATCTGGAAGTGCACATGGTAGGCGAATGCCGGGAGCTGCTGATGCTGATGCTGATGCATGTGTGGGTGCGGGTGCGGGTAATGGCCTGCTGATTCCAAATCCAGGTCCGAATCCACGCCCGCTGCCGCTGCTGCCAGTGACGACACATGCTTGCTGCCCGCAGCCGCACCAGCCGCCGCATGAAGTGGTGGTGTGCCGGCGGCGCCATGCACTGACCCATGGGTCAGTCGGCTGGCAGTCGGTTGCCAGGTGGCGGTTGGCGGCGCGATGACGTGGCGAATGGCCCGCGACATGGCGCCTGCCAGCTCACTGAGCAGCGTGTCGCGGGAGATCTCTTCCTCGTCGTACAGGTCGGGGCGTTGCTGCGGGGAGATGAGGTGGTGGGGTGGGGGGTTGGGGTAAAAAGATGACACTGACGAGCTGCGTATGACGACGAGGCTTCACCACGAGTTGCTACATTGGACCCGGCCCATCCCACCCCACCAGGATGGTTTTGGGGGAGTAAGTGAATGGGTGTGGGTTAGGGTGCGTGCGGTTAGTTAAGTGCACTGCATTCAGTTGGCCTGACAACCCATGCGCGCTTCCAAACCGGGTAGCAGTCGTAAATACCCCGTGCGCTACCCGCTCCAGGTCATCAGCGACCCCCTCCCTTCCCTTCCCTCCCATCCCTCCCCGCCTGCCCCCCCAAACAGTTCGTCAGTTTCCATCTTGTTACCCGCCCTCCCCGCCCCCCCCCTCACATGCAGCCAGTCCTCCGACTCCTGTCCGAATATCTCCCAGCGGTGCTGCCGGAACAGCTCGTAGGTCGCCTCCGCGCCCGCTGCGCCGTGCAGCTTGGACAGCCCCGCACGCAGCGCTGCGGCCTCCTCGCGCCAGCCGGAGCAGGCCAGCGGGGGGTGGGCCTGGGGGGAGGAGGGGGGTAAAATGGGGGTATGGCAGTATCACAGTGCCCAACTCCCCTCGCCCCCCACCTGCTCATGGACTCATAAGTATCGGTAAGGGGCCACTAACCCCATCTGTATCGTGCTTTCCCCTATCCCCATTGCTTTGCCCTAACCTGTGTTTTGGGTACTCCTCCCCTCCCCTCCTCCCCTCCCCTCCCCCCCCTCCCCTCCCCTCCCCTCCTCCCCTCCTCCCCTCCCCTCCTCCCCTCCTCCCCTCCTCCCCTCCCCTCCCCTCCTCCCCTCCCCTCCCCTCCTCCCCTCCCCTCCCCTCCTCCCCTCCTCCCCCCCCCCCAACACACCTGCTCATGGCAGTACCTCAGCGCCCACTCCTCGATCACGTCCAGCTCCGCCTGCAGCAGCACCACCTGGTGCTGCAGCCGCCACTGCCGCTCGGCCTCCTCCTCGGAGATGGGAGGGGAGGAGGGGTCAGCACCGGGAGCGGGGGAGGAGCCGGGGGCACCCGAGCCGTGCATGCGGGCGTGCTTCTGAGGGGGGGGGCAAAAGGGGGGCGGGCAGGGAACACAGGGGTGAGGACGAACACGCGCGTGTGTGTGTAGTTGAGCGGAAACAAGAGCAAGCAGTTGGGATAGGTTTGCATGTGAACCGCGAGTACAAGCAAAACAGAGGGAAAACAGAGGTAAACAAACCTGAAACATAACTCAACAACTGCTCAAATAGCTTGTGCTGGATGTAAGAAGAGTACCGGCAACAGAACTGGCCGCAAGTCCTGAGTGGTGCATTGGATGCGGTCTTAAGTGGCGAAGAGAAGGGAGCGTGTAGGCGCGACCCACATGCACACGTCACCTCCCCCCTCCCCCCCACTTCTCCAACCCTCTCCATCACCCCCCACGTCACCCCCCTCCCCCTCCAAACCCCACCCCAAGTCACCCCCCCCCCACCTTGAGCAGGTACATGTGGTGGTGCCTGTTGGCCACCGAGGGCAGGCGGGCGGCCTTGGCGGCAGCCAGCTCGGCAACCACCGCCGCCTCCTGGTGGGTGGAAGCCGGCTGGGAGCCGTCGGGGGAGGGTTGCAGGGCGGCCTGGCGCACCTCTGGGGGGGGGAGGGGGAGGGGGAAAATTGTGGGAGGGGAAAATTATGTAAGTGCAAACAACTAGAGGCGGAGGGGGGGAGAGGAAGACCCAACCATAGAAAACCACAGGTTGGGGTAGGGGAGGGGGCAGCGAACACTGTGCGAAGGCAGCGCTACCACTCCGGTACCACGGAGGAGGGGGTGGGGAGGAGGGGGTGGGGAGGAGGGGGCTGCAACGCGAGCTCGGTGCCTCGGTACCTCGTCCTCTCGCTTTGTTTCCTGGGTGCGTTGTTCACCCCTCCCGACCACACGGGACACCACAATCCCGCTTTACCTCCACCACTTCCGGCCCCACCTTTTCCCCCCCCTCCGGGATATGGAATTGGGACTCGTTGCTGCACTTATCATTTATTCCCTCCCTCCCCCCCCCCACACACACACATGGACATGGGACTTCATCTTCCGACATCCCAGTACGTTCCTACTCGCGGCCAGTTTTCTTAACACACCCCACCCCGCTCTCACCCTCCTTGATCCGCTTCACCGCCCCGAACAGCTCGTGCACGTTGGGCAGTGTGTGCGTGTGCACCACCCCCTCGCCCCCCAGCGCGGGGCCCCAGTCCTTGCCGCCCGCTGTCAGGTCGATCAGCACCCAGCGGCCCGCCACACTGGGGCTGCTGCTGGGGCTGCTGCTCGTGATGAGATTGTGATGATGATGAGGAGGATTGCGGGTGGTGATGAGGTGGGAGGAGGTGGGACGCGAGGCAGGGGAAGCCGGGGGAGGAGGAGGGCGAGGGTGGAGGGCGCGAGGGGATTAGACACAGCAGCGAGAGAGATTGTGGTTACGGTAAGGGGGAGGAGAGAGGAGGCAGGCAGCTGTCCCTTACTGGGGTGGTTGGCACTTCGATTACCGGCGCAGCAGCAGCACGGCGCGACACCGCTCATACACCCACCCGCTCTTGCTGCTGCCCCCGCCCCCGCTGGCGACCCAGGTGTTGACCAGGCAGTCCTCCGCGGGGTGGGCGGTGTGGAAGGAGCTGTGCAGCGTGTCTGGGGGGGGGAGCGGGGGGGGGGCCGGGGGGGGGGACAGGAAGGGAGGGAGGAGTTGATGAGGAGGGAAGGGAGGGTTGATAGGACCCGCCCCCGTCCCCACACCACCCCACCCCCAAGCCCGTTGACTGCAGGTATCATCCCATACACACCACCTCTACCCCCCTCCCTCTCCTCCCTCCCCCCCCCCTCACCCGCCGCCTCTTCCCAGCTGCCCAGCAGCTCCCTCCGCAGCACCGCCCCCATCGCACTGCCCGGCCGAGCCAGCAGCCTTGCCGCCGCCACCACCGCCGCCCCGCCCCGCTCGGGGCCCGCCGCCGCCAGCAGCGCCCGCCTGTGCTGCTCCTCCTGCGCCAGGTAGGAGGACACGGCACTCACCCAGCGGTCGCTGAGGGGGGGAGGAGAGGGGAGGGGAGGGGGAGGGAGGGTGGGAGGGAAACAATAATAAAACACTGGGGGGAGGGAGGGAAGCAAAAGAGGAAGTTGATGACGAGGCTTCATCATGGGTGAAGAGGAGGGACAGGGAGGGGAAGGGAGGGAGAGGAGGCATGCAAACGTTGCGTGGACAACCCGTCCCCGCCTGTCATGCGTGTGTGTTTTTGGCTGCAACCGGCACTCCAGCAACCCCCGGTGCGCATCCCCCCTCCCGCAACCACCCCGCCCCTTTCCCTTCCTCAACCCACCCCACCCAGCCCCCCTGATGCCGTGTCACGTGGTTTCTCCTCCCCTCCCATCCCCACCCCCATCCCCACCCCCCAGCCATGGAGAAGCCCCGTCATTCAGTTCGTCAGTGTTCCTTATTCTCACCCCCCAGGCCCCCCCCACCTGTCCCACGTGGCATCCTTGGCTGCGAACTTGGGGTCCACCACGTTGCCGTACGGCCAGGTGGGGTGGCTGTGCCCCGCCCCGCCGCCCGGCATGAATGAGGACAGGGGGGGCAGCTGCGGCTCGCGGAGCTGCGAGGAGGCGGAGGACTGGGGGGGAAGAAGAATTACCAGGGGGCAGGGCAGGGCAGGGGAGGGGAGGGGAGGGGAGGGGAGGGAAGGGCTGAGCGTGTGGGGTTTGTTAGCTCTGCGGGGGGCTGCATGCCCTCCATTTCGCTTCATAACCCCAGCCCCCGCCACTCGTCCACCCATCGAGCCTTGTCACACGGTTCGCTAGTTTCATTCTCTTTGCCCCCAGCCCACTCCCCCACCCCACTCCCCCACCCCCACCCCACCCCCCACCCCACCCACCAGCAGCTTCCTCAGCCGCGGCACCTGCCCCCGCAGCAGCTGCAGCTCCGGCCCGCTCACGCCCAGCCGGTAGCCGTACACCGGCTCCTCCGCGTGCCAGGCGGGGTTGAGCAGCAGCAGGCTGGGGGCGGGCGGCAGGCGCAGGGCGGACAGGAAGTGGTCCAGGAAGGCCTCCATCTTGGCGGCATCAACCTGAGGGCGGCAGGCAGGAGGAGGAGGAGGAGGGGATGAGGTTGGGGAGGTGAGGGACAGTGCTGGAGGGGGGTCCTTGAGCACCTGACACCACATGCAGCTACCGTACCCCGCCCCGCCCCCCGCCCCGGTTGTTGCGCTCACTGCATGAGTCGGGCCATGCGATTGGGATTCCAGTGCTTCGCTTCCCGTATACTTTGCCCCGCTGCCCACCTGCTGCACCCCGCCCCCCATGTTGAAACCCATGTTGACGCCTTATCCCTCAGTCAGTTAGTTGGTTCCTCTTTGCCCCCCCACCTGCTGCACCCCCGCTCCCCCCACCTGCTGCACCCCCGCTCCCCCCACCTGCTGCACCCCCGCTCCCCCCACCTGCTGCACCCCCGCTCCCCCCACCTGCTGCACCCCCGTCACCAGCCCCGGGTCCACGGGCCTGCTGAACGCCGCGATGGCCCGCTCCAGGGTGTCCACCACCGCCCGCCGCCGCACCAGCACCACGTTGCAGCTGAAGTTGAGGTGCACGTGCGAGCGCAGCGGGGTGGGGTGGAAGCGACCGTGCAGCAGACCCGCGCACTGGCCTGGGAGGGGGAGGGGGCGGTGGAATGGGTGTGAGGAGGTTGGCGGAGGAGCGTGTGGCGAACGTTCCTCAAGCGTGTGCTTGCTTGTCCTCTTTATCCCCGCTCCCCTTCGCCCTTCCCTCTCCTCTCGTCCCTTCCCCCCTTCCGTTCCCCCCCCCCATCCCTCCGTTGCTTCACTTTTCACTTAACTTCCCCCCTCCGCCCTCCCCTCCCCTCTTCCCTACCCCCCCTCCTGTCCCCCCTCCGCCCTGCCCCCACCATCCTCCTGGCAGTTGAGCTCCGCCCGGTCCACCCGCGTGTGCGGCAGCACGTGGTCCACGTGCTCGAACCACTCGTTGAGCTCCGGAAGTGAGATGTTGACTGCCGCGTTGCCGTCGCCCGCAAAGCCCACCAGCACCACGTGGAGCGGCACGGGCAGGTGAAGGGAGGATATGGGGCGCAGACCCAGGTAGTCGGCAAGATTGGCGGAGGCCAGGAACTCCTGAGGAGCAGGAGGAGGAGGAGGAGGAGAGGTAAGGAGGAGGATGTTAGGGACATGGGATGGGAAGGAGGGTTCGCAGAGAGAATTACCTTTGGGTCGTCGAAGTTTTTGTTGTGCAGGTTGACCAAACGGGAGAGCTCCGGGTTGTCGAAGGACAAGGAGTCTTCGCCCTGTAAGGGAGGTCAAGGCAACATGGTGTACGTGTCGTGCAAGGTTGCCGGTTGTGTGGAGAAGCAATGTAAGGGACCGATCTGTGCTTACGGCGTGAAAGAGGTTTATTCCCTTCCATTTTTGCGGCTTTGTTGTCTCGGATGCCTCCCTGAAAAGACATGGCACAGTCCAGGAGCTAAGGCATTACAAGAATAGAAAGCTAGGCCATAGCCAAACGCAAGGCACAATTTACGTTGAAGCTTCACTGCTGCCTCCCCTCACACAAACTAAACATGTGATCAGGATGGCCAGGGCCGACGCCCTCCCCATTTTTCCAATATCCGTTTCGTTACTCAAGGCAAGAACGCATCACTGTTTGCTACACGCCTAAATAGTGCTCAAGCCGATTTACTTCGTCCATATCCAATCAGATGTCAAGATTACCGTATGGAAGATAGGAAAGTTGGTTAAGCAACAAGCCCGGCACGGGTGCAAGGAGTGCAGTTCATCCCGCTGTTGGTGTCGGTACGTAGTACATCAGTAGTAATACTCTTGCGATGTGTACGGCTCGATGTATGGCTGTTTAGATCACGGCCCATCACGGCCCGAGCACGGCCCCATCACTCCACTACTCCACTACTCCACTACTCCACTACTCCACTACCCCACTACCCCACTACCCCACTACGCCACTACGCTACGCTACGCTTACAATACTCGCTACATATACTACACCTTTGACGAGATTGTGGGTGCAAGTTTACCTGAACATCACAAGAATAAGTCGGTGCATCCCGAATGGCGGCGCCTGGATCAGGTTCACCACAAGTACAGTTCAAGAACTCGTTCTCTGCTCTTGAAGATAGCGATGGGATGGATGAGAGTGATGAGGAAGAAGACAGCGCATTGGTAGACGCCTTCCGAGCAGCAGCGAAGACATGGGAGAATGGTAGCTGGGAGACAGGCGATGAGGCATATCAGAGATGCGTTCTACAGAAGATGTCAACTGGGCAGATTCTACGCGAGCTTTTCCGCCGGCTCTCTAGAATCGACGCTGTACTAGCGTTGCAAGGTCGTAAGACGACTGCCTTCAAGGAGCCAACTGCCTTCAAGGAGCAAATGCACGCGCTAGAAGTCAAAGCAGCTCAACTGGACACGCAATTCCAGGAGATGGCGAGTCGCGTACGTGGCTTGAGGGATGAGGTGGCTTCCATGGCGGTATCGGAAGGGGACCCCAGCCCACCAGGAGCTGAGGGGATGGAGGAAGATAACAAGGTCTTGCTGCGAAACGTGAAACGAGAGCAGTTGGCTAGGCTTCAAGCTAACGAATACAACTGGCTGGTAGGGGAGGGGGCCGTTGGAGTTGGTGAAGGAGTCAAGTACCAGCGTTGCTGGCTGTCTGCTGCAGGGAGCTGGAGTGTTGTCTTGGAGGTGAAACCGCTAGAGCGAGGCCGGTTGATTCAGGAGGCTAAGAAGCTGAGGGAGAGGGAAGGGGTTACTATTACTCCCTATCTCACTACTGTTGGCCGTGAGCTGCGGAAGGAGAGAGCGGAGGTTTTCAGAAAGCTCCAAGAGCAGGCCCTAAGGCCCAGGTGGTGCAATGGTGCGGAGATCGAGTACTATGATGCAGGCAAACTCACCCGATATCAGTTCTGAGCTGGTTCCTTTCTTGCTCTCACCTTTGGGTGGAAGCTAGATACGGATTTGTCATTATAGAAGCACAAGACTTTCTTTCTTTCTGTTTGTCGCTTTGTGCTCGCGATCCATGAGCCTTCTGGCTCGGACGGATCTTACGAGCTCGGTACGAAGCTTGTAACACACACACACACACGGCCCAGGAGTTGGCTGGCAATGTATTTAACTTTTACGCTATGTCAGGTCCTGGATTCTTGGCCGTGTGAAGGCCACCCAGGAACATCCCCGGCAGCGGTTGACTGCTGCCCCCCTATCGTCAACTCTTCCTACAGACACCCAATGCTTGTGCCATCCAAGCGTAGCGGCCGCAAAGCATGCCTTGATACGCACGGATGGTGCATGTGGCTTGTGTAGGCGGGGCTAGCGGAGTAAAGCACGCAGGCCAGGTGCAGGCAGCAGGGTGTTGCAATGACGCAGCAAGGAAGGTCCGCAGCGTTGGAGGTCACAAGGCTAGGGTCACGTTCTGTTGTTTCACTTGGTAAGGCGAAGGAAAAGAAGCCACGGACGAGGATTCTAGGCGGACGGTACACTGCCCCTGAACTCCCTGCTTGGCTTCCCATCCTTCGCGGCATTTGCTGGGGGGGCCCAGCAGATGTTCTGGGTTCGAATTTTATATAAGTACGACCGGGAAGGATTGATTGGTTCACAGTACTTGTTGTCAGAACCAAGGTTCCACGTTCTAATCTTGTCGTGGCTTCCAATGCACGCCCTTGCATGCAGTAGCATCCTTCCGTTGGCCTTGCAGTAAGTGCGCAATGGGAGCTTAAAGCTTACCTGGATACTATATGACTTTTACTCATACTCATTCTCCGATCGAATAACCGCAAGTGCGTGCATATGCATCGTACCGCTCCATCCAAGGCGTGAGTCAGTCCTTTCGGCAGCGTACGCATCTCATTCGTCATTTTATTTCTGCTTGCGATTAAGGTCACCTGCGAGCCTTAACCCAGCGTTTGCGTCTGGCCCTCCTGAATACAGTCCATCCGGTACCGAGACTGGCATAAATACGACGAACTAGGGAGGAGCCTTCTTGCTAAGAGCTGGAGTACAGGCAGCCAATGGGCCTCACACATGATTAGCATAGACAGAATTACGATATTCCTATAGCAATGGAGACAAAGAGACCGCTTCAACTGTTAGCATTTAACCACGTCAGCAGGGTTTGTTCAGACCTTGAGAAATCATACGGCTTTTACACGGACGTCCTGGGCTTTAAGCCGGTAAGAAGCGGTCGCCCGCGTCCTTGCTTAGTTTGGGGTTCCGAGACTTGACGTCGCTCGCATGCCGACGATGTTTCGCGCAGGTCAAGCGGCCCACGAGCTTTGACTTTGAAGGCGCCTGGTAGGTCATTCTGTGTCGCCTGAGCAGGTCCTCAGATTCGGACTACGCTCCAAACGCGCCCATTCCGAAGTGTTAACCGATAACCAACGCATTCAGGCTCTTCAACTATGGCGTGGGCCTGCACCTCATCAAGGGCTCTCCTCTGCCTCGCTCCAGCGATGTCAACCCTATGTCCTGCCACATCAGCTTCCAGGTACACAAAGCGGAGGTCTTCGCCCTATTTTGAGTCAACCGTCACACTATCGGTCGTATCGGAGCACCAGTGTCCTCGCTAGGTGCGACATCCCCATTTCTTATACCTGATACTATTTAGCTCGTTTCGCACCTGTTGATGCCCCTTCCTGCAGGCGGCCAGCCTGGAAGAGGTCGAGCGCTGCCTAAAGAGCTGGGGCCTCAAATACGTGAAGAACGTATTCATGGAGGACGGTATTCAAATAGGTCAACTCTTTTTCCACGACCCAGACAACAACATGATCGAGGTCTGCAACTGCGACCAACTGCCCGTGGTGCAACTCACGGAAGACATCCTGGCCTGCGCGGCGCGACCGCCGCCCATCTCCATCTCCACCGCTCCGCAAGCGCACAGCAGCTGCTCCTGCGGCGAGACCTGTTCCGACACCGCGAGCGCTTGCGGCAGCATGATGACCGAGGACCTGATGTTGGGCTTGGCGGGAGTCAAGGAGCCCTGCCGTAGCGAAGGCAGCAGCACCAGTAGCACCAGCAGTGACAGCGGCATGTCAGCGGTGTTGGCTGTGGCTGCGGCTTTAGAGGGCTCTAGAGGGCCATGCAGCCACCCGTCGGGCTGCTCGGGGGATGAAGAGGAGGAGGAGGAGAAGGGGGGGTTCGAGCGCTGGCAGGGGCTGTCGACTGCAGCAGCAGCAGCGGTGGCGGCAGGGTCTACTCGACCTCAGCCGTCGCCGCTTCCTGCTGTCGCCTGAGCAGCACCGTGCAATCGGAGCTCCTGCATGGAAGGCGACAAGCACGAGCTAGTGCAGCAGCGGCAGCAGCAGCCATGCCAGAAAGGGCAGCAGCAGCAGCAAACCCAACAAGAACCCACCGGCTGCTGCTGTGGTGTGGCGTGTGTTGCGACGTGGGTGGAGGTCCGTCGAAGTGAAGAAGAGAAGGGTAGGGGTAAGGAAATCCATGCAGGAGCAGACGTGTTTTAGGTTTAGCTGTCTGTGATTCGGTGCCCTACTCCCTTACGTTTTTCGTCCCTCTGCTGCGGTGCGGAGTTGCGGCATGCAGCCGGGGCTCTGACAGCAGATGGCGGCTGTCAGGGGGTGTGTGGCGGTGATGTGTGTGGGTTTTGTAATAGGAGAGCGAGGCAACGCCGTTGGGCTGTGCCTGACCTGATATAAGACGCGTTTAGTGTCGTGTCAGGTCGTGAGCTCGTGACTCCTAAAGATTGGTTTATCTTTGTCGTGTCGGCGTGTGAGTGGAAACTCCCTAAGCTTGGCTTCCCTCTGTCGCGCCGGTTTGTGAGTGGAAGTGGTGGTTTGTCGTGTGCGTGGGTTCCAGGTGCCATGTAAAACCATTGTCACGGAGTCGGAGGGACGGCAGCGATGCATGGAGGCAGCCATGGGGGCATGGGGCGAGCGTACCCCGGTAGTTATCTTGGCCGTGGTTTCACCTGCCTGCTGCCCTGTCGAGTGTACACTGGTTTTTTAGCATGGTTGGGTCGTTACAGCGCGTGGGTGGTTTGGCGCTTGCGCTGCGTGTGTTGTGTACGGGTGGGTGTTGATTTGCAAAGACTCATTGGCTGTGGCCGCCTGCATGCGTGCTAACCCGGCATGTGTGATTGCTGCGGCGTGCGGAACGAAGTGTGCTGGGTACCGAAGGTCAATCCTTTCTGTAACATTACCATTGTATGGGAAGCTAACGCTGTCTTCTTAACCCTGCCTGTTGGCTTTTTGATGTCTGGGTGGGCTGCCGCCGGGGTGCAGGCGCTGTGTCAAGGAAGAGAATGCATTGTTGTTTGGCTTGTTGCACGAGGCATCATGACAAATAATAATTCCTAAGAACCCAGGTAGCAAGGTGTGTTGTACTTACAGGTTATAGCTGACGTCTGGCTGATCGTACATATACATAAATAAGCCAAAGCTGTGTGTTCATCCATGCAGGCAACGCCACTGTAGCTTTTGTTGCTTCCCACATGCGCGTTTGGTGATGTCTGTACAAGTCGACGCAGGGATATTCATGACATTTTTGACAGGATTTTGCCAATATATGCCAACAATATGTGCCACAAGTCACGTACTGTACACGCCAGTGTCTCCTTGCCGTCGTTAACCGACGCGTGTAGATTTGAGGGTGGTGGAGTGTATAACCAAAATCCAATTGTAAACTAATACTGTTACCCACTTAAAAAGCAGATTGCTTGCTTCGCTGCTTCAATCGTACACCGTCCCATGGGTCCGTGACGGGTCCACTTGCCACCAGTAAGGCGTCGGCGAGGCCAGACAGGTGTTCGCTAGTACCGTAGCACTTCTCCATACTTCTTTCAACCCCGCTTCATGCTACACCTTCAAACATGGCATGGCACAAAATGAAACGAAACTGGAACTACGGCCGAGCAGCAAAACTTTCAGGCTTACCAACTCATCATCACGCCCATGCTGCGGCTTGTCTTCACTTCCTGTGTCGTCGAATGCCATCAAAGGCTTGATATACCGGTAACCAACTTCATTCATGGAGGAAGGGCATGCAGCCCACCTCATTAATCCATTCCTTTCCCGCAAGCTTAATACCCAGGCGCAAAACACGCACCTACAACGGGCACGTTCCCAAGAAACACTCGAAACCCACAGACGTTATCAGAGCCGTGAGTTTGCGAGAAACACAGCCGCCGTAGCATGGAGCTTGCCAGACCTCCACCAGCTAGTCACATCACGAGCAGTAGGTCGGCGAGATGCGCTGGCACCCTCGCATGCACGGGTCGGCCACGAACGTCAGCAAGGTTTGGCAACAAACACACGGCACGAGTTGGGATGTCTGGCATACCTTTCCCTTCACCAGGCGCCTTAACAAGTCACAGCCACTACTAGAGCTCGAACATCCATTTGAACAGGGGCCGAACGGGGCATATCAGCCAACTGCGCCTCGCATTTGCGGCAACACTTCCTTTCCTTGCCCCCTGCATTGACCCCAGCACCCTGGACACAGTGGTGTATGCAACCCAACGCCAGAAACAGCAACCATCCAACATCGTACAACACTTGACGCAGCCCAGCGCAACACGTCACGCAGGCTCCCAACAACAGGTACCCTAGCAACACAGCACGCGCCCTCGATCCCTACATTCGACGTTCCCTTACAGACGCCATACAGACCAGCCAAGGAATCCAACGCCATCCAACGCAAGCCTGCTCCTGCTGCAACTGCCGCTGCGGCAACCAACCTGCGTTCGTTCGGGAACTGCACCCAAGCCATTGCCCCACCCGCGACCCGCCACCTCGCGTCTAAACAGCTCCTGCTAGGCCTACCAAGGCAGCCACTTCCGCGTGACCCACCACCTCCTGCAGGAACACGGATGTCAACCTCGACCGTCCCGTCAACATGACAACCACAACCGCGAGTCCGCAACCCCAAATTTGCGACAGTTTCCAGCGCACTCGTACACAACGAATACACCCCGCATCATCTGTCAAAAGCCCAAATCTTATCATCAAACTGAGCCCAAAAGCGCCCTGCAAGGTTGTATGCAACCCTTCCTCAGGGCCACCCGGGCGCAAGGAGCAAGGGCACGTTAGCAGCTCCTGCCCTCGAGAAAGCTCCTCCAGCCATCTGTATCCCAAGCTGTCCCAAGCAAACAAACCGAGCAGACCAACTTCACCGTATCGGGCCCACAGCACACATTGCCAGGGCCAGAAGCCGCCATGCCCACATGCAATACCAGGTAACGACGCATACTCACATTTACGCATGTCCGTTTTATACAACAACGTTGTCAGACCACCCACTACCGGTAGCTCTCATCGCACACGCACACACGCAAGTCTCGAGCATCCGGGGTTCATTGTCCAAGTGTGCGGTTCACAGGAGCTGTGGCAGCAGTTGCGACCTGCAGCGGCAGAGCCACACTAGTGCTGGTACGCCTGGTCCAGGGTGGGGTACAGCGCCTTGACGAACTCGTAGTAGTCCACACCACCCGAGTTGTTCTTGTCAAAGGTGCGCATGATGGTCTCCATCACCTGCAAGACCGCCACCGACATCAGCAGTAACACATCAGCAGTAACACATCAGGAACAACAATTACATCACAGCGACGACAAACATGAAAAGCCGTGAGTACGACATGTTTTAGACTCGTGTTAACGCGGCGCAGGACGCATCGACAACGCTCCGATGTTGCGAGCCAACCCAGCCCTCTACAAAAAGCGGGCCCTGCCTGGCTGCTGCTGCTTTCCAGCTGCTGCCGTAGCCCCACCCAGCCCACTTACTTCCTTGGTCACAAACACCCCCAACGAGTTGAGCGCGTCCTCCACCTCCTCCGCACTCAGCGCGCCGCTGCTGTCCTTGTCCATATACGCAAACGCCTGCACCAGCCGGTCCAGAGACACCGGCCGCCCGCAGCGCCGCAGCTGCAGCTTCAGCAGCGCCATCTGAATGGCCATATGCATGGACTTGATCTGCACGGGTTGGGGGGGGTTAAGGATAAAAACCAAACCTTGGGAAACTGCGGGTTAGGGCGAGCATTGGGATTTGGGAATAGGAGGCGGGGTTTGCACGGTAGGAGAGGGTGTTACGACAACTGCCCGCGAGTCGGCACGTACTGTGAGGGTGTGTGTGGGGAGAGGGGTTCATTACAGTTGCATAAAGGACCCCTGTCCCTCCTCGTCCTCTTCGTACCAGGATGTCGCTTCAGCAAAGCCCAACCAGCCGGAGTCATACCCGGTATCCCATGCACGCGGGGCTGTACGCACCTCTGTCGCGTCCTTGGGTCGCCCGTCTTTGCCGCGGGTGTTTTGCACGTAGAGCCGCGTGAAGGCCTCCATCTGCCGCTGCAGCTGCGGGCTGCCCCACTCGCGAACGGTTGCGAAGCCGCGATCATTCGGGTCCAACCTGCCGGGGGGCAATGGACATGTGAAGGGGAATGAGTATGGAGCGGGAGATGGAGCACATCAACTCATGGGTGTCAGGTGCCGTGGGAAGGGGGATCTGCGCCAGCCTGGTGGGTGGTGGCAGTCATATGGAGTTTCCTGGAGGCAAGAGGGAGGCAAGGGGTAAGCTAGGAAGGGCATAACAAGAGGGGAAAGTAAGTAGTAGTAGGAGTATGAGGAATGATTGTAGTCGTAGTGGTGGCGGAAGAGCCCAGGGGACTCACAGCTTGTAGAAGCGCTTTGCCTGGGCGGGTCTGAGGCCCACCCTGCACGCTGCCTGCTCGAAGGCCGAGTACGTCAGGCGACCCGTGTCGTACTCGTCGAGCTCCTACAGGCGGGCAGCGGGGGGGGAAGTGCGGGTGGGGGCGGGGAGGACGAGGGTGTAGGCAGGGGAGGGGGTAAGAGAGACGGAGCGGGGAAGAGGGCGCAACCATGGTGCACCATGGGGTGGGACTACCGGCGCCGGCCTGCCCGGGGTTCCCCCACGGCCCCCACCCCACCCGCACACCCGTGTAGCAAACCCCATGGTGAAGCCTCGTCGTACACCTCGTCAGTGGCTTCCTCATTACCCACACACACGCCGGTGCGCTCCCACCCAAGCCCACCCAAGCCTCCCCTACGCCCCCCCAACACAAGCCGATGCGCTCAGCGCCCACCCAAGCCCACCTGGAACACGCTGTACACCATGCCGGGAGAGACCTTGAAGCTGCAGCTGCCCAGCCGACCGCCCTCGCCGCCCCTGCTACCCCCGCCGCCGCCAGCGCCACTCATCGCATCCACCGACTGCGCGCGCCACCGGGTGGCGGTGTGCGAGAAGCGCGAGGAGCCGCGACTCGCCATGCTGCCGCGCGGTGACTCGCCACCCAGGATGCTGGCCACGCCGCCGCCGCTGGAATGGTACGGCGTGGACGGCAGGCTGCCGCCGCCGCTGCAGGGTGCGCTGCTTAGGTCCATGCGGTGTGGAGTGGAGCAGCCGCCGCCACCGCCGCTGGGGGCGCCGGTGGCATGACCGCTGCTGGCGTTGCTGTTGTTGCCGCCCATGCCGGGGAGCCGTACACCGGGCTTTGGCAGCGTCAGGTCTTGGACCGAGAGGGAGGTGGTGGGTCGGGGTCCGATGGGGCCCGCATGGTGGGGCCCGAGTCGCGAGGTGGGGCCTTGGGGTGAGGAGGGCAGGGCTGGGGGTGAGGCGCGGGCGGCCGTTGCTGATGCGGCAGCGGTGGCGGCAGCGGTTGTGGTGGGGGAGCGGTGTGGGGAGGATGCTGCTGCTGGGGCAGCGGAGCCTGCAGCTGCTGGTTCGTCGGCTGAGGGTGCTGAGGGGATGATGAGGGGCGGGAGCGTGGACGTTAAAGGCGGCTGTTGTTGCTGCAGCTGGGTGTCAGGCCTGCCAGCCGCTAGCACCCCATCCCGCTGTGTCCCCTCCTTGGGCTGTGCCGCATCGGCAGCGCCCGCGCCTGCGGTTGCGTTGCCGCTAGCTGCTGCTGCTGCTTGCATGGACCCGCTGGGAGGTGCGTCCGGAAGGAGCGGGGTCCTAGCCCGGAGGCTGGCACCCGACCCCACGCGGCCTTGCATGCTGGTGCCCGGTCTGGATAGCGGGGCCCCCGGCGCCACAGTGGAGGCGGTTGCTGCGGCACCCGAACCTGGGCCCACAAGAGCGACCTTTGACGCATGCGACTCAACCCAGGAGGCGGTTGCGGCGGCACCATCCCACGGTTCAGCTGAGGGCTGCTGCGGTTGGGACTGTGGTTGTGATTGGGATTGGGGCTGCTGGGAAGTGCGGAGAGGTGGCGTGGAAATGGAGCGTGGCGGGTAGAGCTGGACGTGGTAGGGCGAGGGCGGCGCATGGCGGATAGCGCCTAAGTGGCGAGATGCCAAGTTACATAGCGCGTTGACCTGAAGCGGGGGCGATGGCGGTTAGGAATGGGCATGGTTATCCGACTGGGGATGAAGGCGCACCGACATGCAAGCATACTACGCCATCGCAGCAGCTATAAGAGCTTGCAACTGCAGGACCGTTCCTACTTACCTCGTCAACGCTTGCCCGCTGGTGTACGCTGGGCGTCCCAAGGCGTGAACCTGCAGCCCGAGCCTTTGCTTCCGCGATGCACTGCTCTACGAAGGCCGCAGCAGTTTGCGGCTGGAAGTTACCTACGCGTAAGTGGCAACAAATGAGCATGTGAAGTAGATATCAGCATGAAAGCTTTCAATAGAAGAATGGCTAGTCTTGCATAACAGGACGAACAAAAACGTGTCGCAGCTAGGAAGTCACGAGGCAGAACCTTAATAGAGCAGGTAGGGTTTTGAGACGTTATGGACGCTGCTGTAGTCTGAGCGCACCAGTTAGTACCGACGGAGATGGAAGCATTGCGCCAGCCGTCTTCGACATGTATGCCTGCTATTGCTGCTCAGTCTCTAATAACATCTTAGAAGGTAAAATTCTGCTTAGGTAACACTTGTTCACTGTAACCACTGAGGTACGCTTGCCGCCTGAAGCTTGTTAACGAGTGCTGCTATAAATGATTACTCCATAATAACTCAGCCAACATATAAAAATCGCGACTATGTGTCGCTGGGTCACGATTGGCAGCTTACCTCGCTTAGAGTATCCGTACCACAAGTACGCCTGACCAGAACGCGGGACTACAGAGCACCCTCGCGTGCATGTAGCCCGTAAACAACAACGAATTTGCTCACAGCTGCTACCGCAACGTACTCTCTGCCCTCCAATTCCATCGAACACAGCTGGTTCACCTTGCGCGAGTGCCGCACTTCCGCCAGGACCGCAGAACGGTGCATTTGCGCACTTTCCTTCCCGGCCATGCTCCGGCTGCTGCCACAGCCAGCGCCGCCATCAGCCCCTTCAGCAACCTCCTCCTCTTCCCGCTCCTGGCCCTGCGCCTTAACAGCCTCCTCACCCTCCCCGCTCTCTCCCTCCTTCCCCTGTACCGCTGGCGGCACTAACGCCACACCCGCCGCACGCGCCTCCATCGCCTGCCGTACATCCCACAAGATAACCCGACAGTCCTCGCCGCCCGAGTACAGCCGACATGCCGGCCCTGTCCCTGGCGCCGTCTCTGCCCTCGCAACAGGTGCAAAGGCAACCGTACATACCGGCATGGTGTGCCCTCCCGCGTCTCTGTCTAGCACCAGAGGTCGCATCCCACCGCCGCCGCCACCGCCGCGAGAGGCCCCTGTACCCTTGCCGCCGCCGCCGCCGCGCCGGCCAGCCGCCGCCACCTGCGTCGTCGGGCCCGACGAGCCGCTGGCGGCGCTGCTGACGTCAGCATCCAGCACCGCGACGGCGCCGTCACCGCGCGCCGTCGCCACCCATTGACACGTGGGACGGTCCTCGCCCGGCGGTACGGCAATCTGGTGTACGAACGGTGGATTGAAGATCTGCCCTCCGCCTCCGCCGCCGCTGCCGCCGCCAGCCGTCACGGCGTTCATGTCCCAGCGGTCGATGCATTTGGGTCGCGAGAAGTCGTACTTTGCGACGGTTGAGTCCAGTCCGCCGCTTAGGAGGTCCCAGGGCTTGTGCGTGCGGAAGGCGACGGAGGAGCAGATGCTTCGGTGCACGTTGCGGATGCCCTTGTACTGCCGGCCTGGGGGAAACGGTGCGGGTAGGAGGGCAAAGAGGAAACAACTGACTGGTACTAGGGCAGCACATGAGGGTGAATGGGGTGGCGGTGGAAATCGTAGAAAGCACTTTTGGGGAAAGGCCGAGGAGGGCTGGCACAACGCATAAAAGGTGCACGGGGCTGTGAGTGGTCACTGGTCGCATGGAAGCGGGGAGCGACTGGAAGGAGGGAATGATGTACAGTGAAAGGAGGAGCAGCGGCGGAGGCGCCGTGCAGGTGCAGACAGCCGGTGGGCAGCTACGAAAGCGGTGGTAGAGCCAACAGGAACGGAAAAGCCGACCCAACTCAACCCACATCAAGCAATGGATAGAACCCATGTGGGCTCTTAACCAACCAACCGACCCAAGACTAACCAACCCAAGACTAAGGCCCCTGCCCCCGCTCTCGCCCCCATCTCTGGGCCCGGCCCACCTGCTGTCAAGTCGTACACTTGCACTTCCCCCGCATCGTCCCCCGCCCCCAGGTACGTCCCGCGTCCCCCGCTGACGCACAGCCCGTTCACTTCCTCACGACTGCTGCCGTACGTTTGTACGACTGAGCCGCAGCGCAGATCCACGTGATGTACACGCGATCCGGCGGCTGCGAATATACTATTGCTGGTTTCGGAGCCGCTAGCGCCGCCACTGCTGCTGGCAGGATGTACGGCAACGGCAGTGACAGCGGCAGGTGGGCCGCCGGTTTCGGAGCCGGGGAGGATGATTGTTGTTATTGGCTTGAGCGCAGGAGCCTGCCGTGCAGTTGCAGTCGTGGCGGCGGGCGACGCTGCTGCCGCTGTTGGGCTAGTAGCAGGCCCCCCGGCGCTGCTGCTGCAAGCAGCACTGCTGGCAGAGCTGAGCAGGTCGTGCACCAGCAGCCGTCCGTCCTGGGCACAAGCCGGGTATGCGGCGACACACATTTGGATGGAAGCAGGATGGGAGGTTGCCGTTTGAACTTAGTCAACAGCCGCGGAAAGGAGCTATCACAGCGCAAGCCACAATGCCGGGAACCTAGCTGCCTTACGACCTTGATCGGTTTCCATCGGTCAAACGGTAAACGTCATGCTCTTGGGCGCTGAGAACGTGAGCCCAACTGCGTCGACTTGTACGCCCCTTCTCTGCTTGTGTTTGTACGGCCTTAAACTTCCAACGGGCAGTGGCCAGGATGGCCTCATATATGATGTTGTATACGTCACCTACCTCAGCGCCCGAGACGATGCGATCCCCGGCGGAAGCGCAGCACAGCACTGCCGCCTCATGGCCCTTCAATCGGAACGCCTGGCTCAAGCTAAAGGGGGTGCCCAGACTACCGCTAGCCATTGAAGGGTGATATGTGAAATAACGTTGTTAGTCCAGTCGATAGCAAACGGGACCTGTAATCTGTCATACGGCAGCAGTCGCTGAGTACTTCCGAACAACAAGAGCCTGATAGAAATAACGATAACCTCAAGGCTGCACTCGGCGATAAGATTTGGTCAGCGCACTCACACTGGAAAGCGACAGACCTCACAGAAGTCGTCGGCTCGCCGTCTTCGGAGCCAAGAACGATGAAATCGGACAGATGGCTTGCTGGATCTGCCCGGCTCGTTTTGTTGGCATTAGGTTTTTATGTTTAGTTAAGATTACGCACCGGACTTTGCCACTCTAAGTAGGCACCTAACATACATGGCGCATGGGCCCATCCATTGGTTAGGTACTAGCACGAGTAGCACCGAGGCTTGGAACTAATGCGTCCGCTTTCGGCACGGTTCCGCCAAGCTCTCACCACCAGCTTCCAAGTTGGCCCCACATGTGAACGGCCACGAGTGGTAGCATTGGTTGTTAGACCGCGCATAGGAGCCTTCCTGTCAGCCTATTGTGGTCGTGCTCGCGGCGAACGAGCTACAAATATACTCACGTCAAACAATGAAAGGTCGGCCGCAGCAATCAACGCCAACACCTACCCTGTCAGCATTGGCATGGGCGGAGGACCTGGCGACGGGGCAGGCGACGGGGCAGGAGGTCGCGGCGGTGATGGTGCTGGCGGCCGCGGTAGCGGCGACGGCGAGGGCGGCAACGGCAAACAACCCCTGCCAACCCCGCTAGCGTGGATCCCGGGTATCGCTGTTCTGTCGTACATTGTACGTAAGCGGTCCTTTACGCTGTACTGCTTGCTAGCTATGTTCTTAGGCTGTCAGCATGCTGTTCGGGTTCACACTACCCTTCGCGCCGACCTCCCACATGCGCCAGAGACCCCAGGTCATGTTGGTCCTTCCCGCTCCCCATTTTCCCGTTCTCCTGTAACATTTCTGCATACAATTCACACCGGACAAAACAAGGACCTTGTGCCTGCCCTCATGCACCTCCTCGATCAGGGCCTGCTAGTCGCCGCAGCGAACGCATGGGACGCGCTGCTCGATGCATCCATACCCCGACAAGACATGCGCAACGCCACGGTCAGCGTCATCATCCCGGTACGACAAGATGAGGAGTACGGCAAACGCTCTGCCGTACACGTAGCTGGTTGCGCGTCTTTTGTCTGCCGTACATAGCCCCCAGTTCGGCTACCGTATCCCCTGGCCTTCGCTGTACTTAACTGTTTGTGCAACAGGGGTTGGGGTGCAGTGATATCTGTCCCAAAACCAGGTTCAGGAAACACGGGCCTGTTTGTACTTGCGCCTTGCCCTACAAGCACACCTCTCTGGAACGTTACGTTGCTGCATGGGAGCACGTGGACTGCGAGAAGAAAAAAGAAATCTCATCGCACGGATCTGCATTCAGGTCCTGAATGAAGAGCGCATCATCGCGGAAACTGTACGACATGTACTGCAAGACCTTCAACCGCCGCCGTACGAGGTAATCGTCGTGGACGGCGGCAGTACAGACGGGTGAGATGGGCGTACCTTGTACGACAAGCCACTCTTTTGCCTTCCTTGCCACGCAACACAGCCGGTAGCAACATCCCCTTTCTTTCCTTCTCCCTCACCTCTGTACGGCACCTTCCGCACGCATAGCACTGCGGCGGCGGCGGTCAAGGTGGGGGCCCGGCTGGTCCGCAGCGGGGGCCGGGGTCGGGGGTTGCAAATGAACGCGGGTGCGGCGGCGGCCCGCGGCGCGGTGCTGCTGTTCTTGCATGCGGACACGCGGCTGCCCGGCGATGCGGTGAGAGTGGTCCGGGGGGTCTGGGTAGACCGCGGGTGGGCAGCGGCAAGGGGGTTACAAGGAGCACGCACACGTCTTAAACGTGCTGTGGTGAAGGTGGACGGGCGGGTTACCTAACCTACCGGTATTTCCAACGGCATTAACGGTTCTCTCCCTTCTTGCCCGAAGGTGTACATGTCTCCGGTCCCCTCCCCATTTATGCTAGCCCAACTATCGCTAGGCTAATGCGACGCATGTATCCCTATTAATACGCTCCCCCTTGCTTCCCCCCTGCTGTTGTCGTCCATTCCCCGGCTGGCGTCCGGATTGGGTCGCTGCTGCTGCGCGGGGCAGGTAGCGGAGGTGCGCAGCGCGTTGTCTGCTCCTCGCACCGTGCTGGTGGGCTTTCGACCGCTGATTGAGGGTAGGCGGGGTCGAAGGAGCTGGGACAGTATGCGGGAGAGAGGAAGGAAGCGAGGGAGGGAGGCCCGACCGCTAAGCTGGGGGTGGGAAGGTGGTAGTCCCCACTCCTCAGGCTCTCTATCTACCACTCGTATGTATCCTCGCAACCAACTCCTTACAACCGCCTGCTAGGTTTTACTTCTACTGCCCTTGCTGCCCCTGGCCGGCTCTGGTACCCACCTAGCTACCCCTCTGCTGCCACCACTACGTCTGCCACCCCTGCGCCACCCCTGCTGTAACGAACGGCCCCGTGCTACTGCGGCTGCTGCTCTCTTCCCCCCGGGAATTTCTTTGGAATTTCTCCCCCCCCCCACCCGCTGCTGCCGGCCGCAGACGGCGGACGCCCCATGTGGGCCAGCAGCCTCAACAACCTGGCCAAGACGTGGTACGGCCCGCTGCTGCTGCGGCCTGCCAGCTTCGTGAGGGGGCTGCGGGTGGTGTTTGGTGAGGCAGGCGTTGGGAGCGTGGGGGGAGCATATGGGGGGAGCCGCAGGTACAGCAAACGGGTGGGGCTAGAGGCATTTGATAGGGGTAGGGGCTGGGAGAAGACATGGAATGATGGCACTCAAGCTGGGGGGGATGAAGCAGCAGTTGTGGTGCTCCTAACCGTGTAAACACACTGTACACGCGCGTATAGACTGCAACTGTAGACTGCAACTGCAACTGTGCAACCGCCACTCTTTAACTGTGCCACCCTGCCACCCTGCCACCTAGGCGACCAGGCGCTCAGCTGCCGGGCTGCCGACCTGCGCCACGCGGGCGGCTACCGGCCCGACATCCCCTTCATGGAGGATGCGGAGCTGTGCCTCCACATGCACATGGCGGGGCCGGCGCGGAGGGACCTGCATGCGGTGCGGTGCGGGGTGGGATGGGGTGCGGTGCGGGGTGGGGTTGGGGGGCTGGGGCTGGATTGGGGCTGGGGTCGGGGAAGGGCGAGGTGTTCAGAAGACTGGCCGCGAGCCGGACCGCACCGTGGGGGCGGGGTGGGGTCCGAGGTGCTAGGTTGACATCCCGGCAACTGGCTGGAGGCGATGTGGTAAGGTGGGCATGCAGGCGGGCATGCAGGCGGGCATGCAGGTACCCATGCTGTCCTAGCGCAGTCTGCCAACAACTGACTGCAACCGCTTTCCGTCCGAATGTGGAATGTTACGTGGGCAGGACCGCTTACCTGCAGAACCTGGCTGCTACCGCACCTGCGCTGCACGCTCTGCTGCTGCTGCTGCTGCTGCCCCTATCCCGGTGCTCGATAGTCGCAAGCTCGCAACACTCCCGCCTCATTAGCATCTTCCATCACTCCCCTTCCGCCCATCTCTGCTTCCTCCCAATCCCCTACGCACCCATCTACAGACTTGCCTGCCTGCCTGCCTGCCTGCCTGCCTGCCTTGCCCTTACCCGATTCGCCCGCCCCGACCCCACGCAGGGTCGTGGCCGGGTGCGTATGCTAATGCATCGGGCAGCCACCACCAGCGGCAGACGCATCGCCGCCTGGGGTGAGCTGCGAGCTAACTGGGTGTTTGCGCGCGTGGCGCTGATGTGGCTGGCGGGCGCGACACCCGCGCAGCTGCACAGCTGCTACCGGGAGTTGTACCCGGATGTACGATAGTGGGTCGGATGTACGATAGTGGGTCGGATGTACGGTAATGCATGGAAATGGATCATGGTAATGTGTACGGTAATGGGTCATGGTAATGGGTCATGGTAATGGGTTATGGTAATGGATCATGGTAATGTGTACGGTAATGGGTCATGGTAATGGGTCATGGTAATGGGTCACGTTGAGTGGTGATGGTGATGGTGGTGATGATGTTGGCAGTGGTGGGTTACAGGAATTAATACTTGCAGCCATGTGCTGCGCGGGTGGTTGCGTGCAAGTGCTGAGCATCGGCGACTGAGGCATTGACTGCTGTGCTTGTTTGAAAAGGTGTGGGGGAAAGCGTAGGGTGGGTGAGCTTGGTTTGCTCTTCGAGCGGAATACGGATGTTAGCCTATGCAGCTGGTGTGTTTTCAATGAAAGGACTATACTCGAATCCCAGAAAGTAAGGACGTGTTGCAGACATGTGTGCACGTGGTATGCCTGTTCAATTGGATGAAACCGCGTGCTTTTAGCGACTACGCGGTGATGGGGAGCCACTGCAAAGCTAATGTGGTCTTAACGTCGACCTACATTCGCCTTAACTCACTATATGGCTATTCAGTAAGCCATATAGCAAACGTTAGCAGAAGAGGTAAAGGTCACGGCCATACAGGTACACTGGTACAGCCGCAGTACAGTCGGAGCATGAAAAGCGCAATAGGGAACATCAGTACCCTGGCAAGGGGAGTTAACATGCTTGCTTTTCACTTTTCGGTCATGTTGAGCTCGGTTGCGATTGATGTACTGCGTTTCCCGTAGGCGCCGACTACGGTATGACATTAATGGAGTTCGACGTGTTAAGAGAAGTAGTTTTATGTGACTCGATGTGGTAAGAACGCCATGTGCAAGCAAGATCATCATCCATCTTTAAACCCAAATAATCCATGAAGGGTAGTTTAGAAAGACAGAATTACTATGCGGTGATCATCCCAGAGAACTATCAATCAAGAATAAAACACACGAAGGATGGTGACAGTCTACGCGATAGGGCCGCGAGCGGTTTGTCGTCCCTAGTTGTTAGGGAGGAGTAGATGATCAGGTTCGAGCTGCATTCATGTGCTTGTGCCGAAGGGCAATAGGACACACGCTTTATCGCGAACAATTCATGCCTTGTGTCTGGTGTTGTACGGTAAAGGATCCCGCACGAAGGACTTGACTCTTACACAGGACTTCATTGTTACAGCTGATTGCACTTATCAATAGTTCAATGACATCCTCATCCGTAAGAGGAGTAGTGTGGCTCAGGAACACAACGAAGTCATACCTCTGCTAACCGTTATGGCACAACACGTCCGCATTCTAAGTGCAGACACGCAGATAAAGTTCCCTATAAGGCATTGTTAGCGCATCGCTCGTAGTGACAGCGTGTCAACTATGTGTTCTGAATGGCCTAGAGTATGCAGACCAAATAAGAGGCCACAGCGCGTTCGTGTGCACGTCCGCTGTTTAGATCCATAGCCTGACAAGCGTACGATGTTCTTGAAGGCTTGGCTCTGTGCGTGCTTACGGCCTCCCGGTGAAGAGAGTGACGCGCAAATTGAAAGCAATAGGGTCACAGAAAATGGCCATGTTATTGTACAAGGCGCTGAGGGCCAGTCAGCGAATGACTTTACAGTACCCCTCGAGAATGATTCTGGACATCTGGCGCTTTTCCGAGCGCTTGTCGACGCGAGCCCAGAACCCATTGGTGTATACGAAGCAGAGTCTGGCAGGCTTATTCTTTGCAACGCCGCTGTCAGAGCACTCCCAGGTGGTTGCGATAACCTAACATCGCTCTTCGCGTTGGACCCTTCCAGCCTCTTGGACGCGGTGGCGCGTGTGAAGAACGGGATGTGCTGGCGCGGTACGCAGGCAGGCTCTCTAATTGCTGTTGCCTATCGCTGCTTACTCTTTTACTTCCACGGTCAAATGCTGCTTTGTCCCGCACGCCAAACCTTCGCAATGCCAACACCCAGCTACCCTTACTTGCAGGCCTCATCCAGCTCCCATCCACCTCCCTCCACAACGTCTTGTACTCCGATGCGGCGCTTGTCGCCCTCCCGACTCCCGTAACATGCGACCCCGCGCAACCAGTGCTTCCACCACCACCTCCGGACTCTTTCTCGCCCCCTGAATCTGCCACCAACCACCACACAGCCAATGCATTGGCCGCCCCATCCGCGCTTCGGCAAGCTCTTCAGCTGGTGGCGTATCCCAGCCTCCGACTGCATGGGCGCGCTCCCTCGGGCGGGCTAGACGAGCCGCAGCACAGCATCAGCCCCATGCCCAGCTCAGCCGCAGCAAACAACACCGCTGACCCAGCCACGCCACGCCGGGCACCAAAGCACGTCAGCTTGTCCGGCTGCCTGGCTGGTGGCCCCACAGCCGCCGCGGCTGTTGCAGCGGCGGCAGCGGCGACGGCAGCAACAACTGGCGGCACCGCCTCAACCACCGGCATGCGCGGCAACACCGCCGCCGCCACCGCCGCCAGTACGGCAGCGGGAGCCATCGCGAAGGCCACGCGCGCCGCCGCCGTCGCCAAGGCTGCGGCGCTCGCAGCCGCAGCGGAGGCGGCGGCGCAGGTGGCGGCAGCGGCGGAAGACCATGACCGCAGCACCCGAGGGGGTGCCGGCGGCAGCAGCAACGCCGGCGGAGGCCGGTATTACTACAGCGCCGGCGGCGGCATGAGTGGCCGTACTCCTTCGCATCTGTCGCCGTCGGCGTCACCGTTAGCATCGTCAGAGCTGCTGCCGCCGCAAGGAGAAGGCGCCGGTAAGCCGACCTGCTCTGCAAACAGTCCGCAAACGGCCGCTGCAGTAACTCCGCAGCTCGGCGGCGACGGAGCCGCCGCCGCCGATTCCGCCGAGGCTGTCGGCAGCGACGTCACGGCCGGTACAGCCGTCGCCGCCGACACCGCCGGCGGCCATGGCAACCCTGACGCCGAAAGTCCACTGGAGATCTCGATCTCGTTGAGCGCCGCAGCTCAGTGCGGCTGGCGGCAGACTACCCACAGCGCTGGAGAGGTCAGCCCTACCTCCATGGGAGACGCGCCGTCAGACGCTGCCGCCGCCAATGCCGCTGCCGTTGTCACCGTAGCCCTGAGCAAGCCAGGGGGCACCGTCGTCGCAGCCCCAGTTCCTACCAGCGCCGCTGCTTCCCCCTTTGCCTTTAACTCCGCCTCTGCTGCTCCCGCTGCAGTCACCGCAGCAGCGTCGGAAGTATCGCCTCAGGGGATCACTGGATCCGCAACCGTCACGCAAGGCGCATGCATGGGCTCCGTCCCCACGTCTTCCTCGGTGGGTGCTGCACCAACCCCCAACGGCCGCAAAGCCGCGTCGGTACCTGGCAAGATGCAGCCCAGCCAACTGACAACTGTGTCGCCGCCGCCACAGCAGCAGCAGCAACCGCCGCCGCTGCTGTCGCCCTCGCCCTTCGTCATTCCACCTCAGCCGCTTTTGTGCCCATCACCCTTCGTCACTTTGCAGCCGCCGACGCTTTGCCCATCGCCTTTCGTCACCACCCAACAACAGCAACCACCACCCATGCAAGCTCCAATGGGGGGTGGCAGCAAGATCTCCGCGGATCAGCATGTGCTCCTGCCCAGCGGCGCCCGACGCCACCACAGCAGCAGCACCTCCGCTCAGGTCCTGCCCTGCCTTCAGCTCACCCAACAACAACAGCTGCTAGAGGCCCTCAATACAAGCACTTGGGGAGCCCGCATGAACAGCCGCCATCGCCGGCCCATGCGACGCGTTTCCACTTGCATGGCATTAGGTGACGGACGCGGCGCCGCCGTCGCAACCACCGTCGCCGCCAGTGGCGTTTCCGTCACCGCTCGTCGCGCCCCCGTCACCTCTAAAAGCGCCGCCGTCGCCGTCGCCAGCACCGCCGCCGCCGGTGGCGGCAGCCATCCGCAGGGCTTCGCCGCTCCGAGTGATGTACGAACGAGAAGGCTTCAAAGCGCCGGCGACGGTTCCGGTATCATTTTGGGGGCCAGCCCGCCGAGCCCAACAGCAATCCCAGAGGACCTCTCATGCAGCGGGGCTGCCCGTCAAATGCACTCTGAAGCCCTACCCATGACAGCCTTCTTCAGTAATGACGAACCGCACCGCGGTGGCGGTGATGACGGCCGAGGCAGCGCGAGCTTCGGCGCCGCTTGGGCCGCCTCCACAATCCGCGCCTCCTCGTCACGCGGCTCCGAGGGAACGCTGCATCATGTCTTCGCCGCCGACCATGTTCCGGCGCATGTTGCAGTGAGCAGCAGCTGCCGCTCGGCTGCCAGCCACACGATCGGCAGCATGCCCAGCAGAGGTGCCGCAGCCGGCGTGGGCAGCTGCTTGCGGGCCCGAGGGCTGAGCTCAGCCTCCGGCGGCGTCGCGGCGGGCGCTGAATGCGACGTGAACAACGCAGCAGCAGCGGAGGGCTTGGGTGCTCCGCTGTTTAACGATCTGGTACAATATCAGGACCGAGAAAGCGCGGGTGCTGTGGTGCACACTTCCCATTCGCAGGCGTTGCCGTCTGGCTCCGACATCCTGGCTCCGATAGCAGCAGCCGGCAGGCAGCAGGGGGCGGGTACGCTGTCGGCTCAAACGCAGCAGCGTGGTGAGTCAAACGGTCAACCCAGCAACTGCAGGCCCAGCCCACAAGAAGAGGACTGCGCGTCCCTTCAGGAGCAGCAGGACCAACAGCCTTGCTCCTGCGCAGCGCACAGCAACCAAGGACTTCTGATGCTTACGCGACGCCCTGGCGACGAGGGCACGGCGGCCGCCAATTCCTTCCGTCGCGGGGTCAGCAGCAACCTTAGCGGTTATGAAACCGCCAGCGGTCACCGTCGCTACTCTCGCTGGTCGCAATCCGACATGGGCGGCTGGGATGACGGCGTGCTCGTGCAACGAGCTGGCAGTGGTTTTAGCAGCGGTTCGGGAGTTTTTGGTTCCGGAGCTGTAGCCGCCGCAGGCTGCTCGCCGCCGCTTGGGAGCTTGGGCGTGCTGCCCCGCATGCTTGATTTGGCAACCAAGGTTTCATCCAGGGCACTGCGACCGCGAGCATCGGCGTCGCGTCTTGGTCCCGGTGCGGTGGTTGGCAGTAGTGGAGTGGGCGTGGGCGCAGCAGGTGCAGCGGTCCCTGCGGGCATGGAGTTGGCGGCGGTTGGCGGCGGCGGCGGTGGGAGCTTTATTGCTGCGCCATTGGGCATGGATGTGGCGGGGAGCGTGGGCAGCGGCAGCGGCTGCGGCAGCGTGGGCGCTCGGCCGGGGAGCTTTGTGGCCTTGGCGACGGCTGCAGCACCCTGCAGTGCCAACATGCGGGCGCAGAGCTTCTCGCGTTTTTGCCAGGTGCGTCCGTGCGGTGTGTGGCAGGGTGACCCATGGGTCGGGACGCGAGACTCGGGTGTGGTCCTGCTTCCTTCCTCAATCGTCTTTCCCCGTTTCTTTTCCCCGTTTCGGTGATCCGTGCACATGACAAGATACAGTCAGCACACACCATTGATGGTACTGTGGCAATGACCTATCCTCCCTGACTCCCTCTCACAATCCCACACTAACGACGCATCCACCCCTCCCACGCTCCTCTCCCACCCCAACCCCGCCCCCCCACCCAGCGTGCGGACACGCCTGCTTCAGGCCAGCTCGACACCATCATGAGTAGCGGTGGCAGCAGCACCCACACCCGCACCTCGCCCAGCCACGGGATCACCCTCTTGCTGGATCAAAGTGGGGGTGACTCACCGCCCGCCGCCCTGCATCCGCCGGCACCTCCGCCTGTGTTGCCGCAGTCGGCCTCCCTCAACCACAACGCCCACACGCCCCTGCTAGCAACCGCGGTGTCAGCGGTGGCACCCGCAGACGCTGTGCAGGGGGCGCAGTCGGAGGGGGTCCAGTCGGAGGGGGTGCAATTGCAGGCGGACCAAGAGGAAGAGGCGGCTGCAGGTGTGCGGGGCTACGGCTCCAGCGGGTACTCTCTGCAGCCACGGCCGCCGCCGTTGCTGCTGCAGCCCCTCGGAGACTCGGAAGGGGGGTTTGCTGAGGGCGAAGGGTCTCGTCATGTGGGTGCCGTTGCGGTGGTGACACTAGCAGGAGAGGCGCAGCAAGCGGCCACCGCCGGCTCAGCAGCGGCTGCAGATGCAGCGGCAGCGGCGGCGGTGGCGGCGACAATGCCCACAAGCGGCATCGCTCCTCCGTTTGAGATGGAGCGGTGGCACGAGGTGGTTCTGAGCGGCCTGCGGCACCCGGTCAGCGACGAGCAGCTGATCCTGGTGACGCAGCACGACGTGTCGGCGCGCGTGTGGGCTGAGCAGCAGCTGGCGCGGGTGATGGAGGCGGAGCACGCCATGCTGGAAGCCATCTTCCCGGCGCATGGTGGGTAGAGGGGGTGCAGGGAAGCCGGAAGGGTTGGGGAGTGAGTCTTATGGTAGTGCTGGCATGGGAGCATGTGGGGCGTATGCCAAGGTTACGTTGCGTCCTGTGGGGCTGGCTGCCTTCTTTTGCGCAAACCCTAAACTTTTAAATCGAGCAGCTTTTGTTTCTTCTACTTGTCCACTGACAACAATATCACTTGTTCCCCACAACCGCAGTGTTGGAGCACATTGCTATTATGGCCGCCGCCTCAGCCGACGCTGCCACCGGCGATCGAGACGTTGACGGTCCCCCTCTCAGCCTGAGAGGCAGGCCCACGTTGCAGGGGGTAGCGGCGGCCGCATCTGCCGCCGCTTCGGCAGCGGGCCTCGCCTCCCCTCAGCCCCGCACCGCCCCCATGCTGAGCCCGCAACCCTCCCTGTGCCCCGGTTGCCTCCCACCCTCGGGCGGCGCCGCTCCGCCTGCGGTCCCCATCATCACGGGCGACACCTTCCTGCACCTGTCCACCTCCCACAGCGCGCTCACCGTGCTGTTCTGCGACATCCAGGGCTTCACCGCCATGTGCAACGTGGTGAAGCCCGCGACCGTGATGGCCTTCCTCAACGACCTCTACACGCGCCTGGACGCCATGCTGGACGCGTTCGGGGTGTACAAGGTGGAGACCATCGGCGACTGCTACATGGTGGCGGGCGGGCTGATGAAGGTGGACGAGGAGACGGGCGCAGTCACGGTGCGCTCGGACGACGTGGACCCGCAGCACGCGCACCGCACCGTGCACTTTGCCAAGGCGCTGTTGCGCGCAGCCAGCGCCGTGCGGCTGCCCACCACCGGCGAGCCTGTGCGGCTGCGTGTGGGCATCCACAGCGGCCCCGCGATGAGCGGCGTGGTGGGCACCCGCATGCCCCGCTTCTGCCTGTTCGGTGACACCATCAACACGGCCAGCCGCATGGAGAGCACGGGGGTGCCGGGCGCCATCCACGTCAGCGCCGCCACGCGGGACCTGGTGCCGGGGGAGCCGTGGGAGGCGACGGGAGGCGTGCAGGTGGGGTCGGCATGCGGCGGGAGGGGGGGCAGTGGCGGACAGGGTGCAGGCAGAGGGGCCTTTGGGGTTTCGCGCCTTGTGTTGGGCGTCAGGGTTGCATGTCCTTGCATGCCTTCCGGTTCCTTCCAGCCCAGCTGACCCCTCACACCCCACTGCTGCCTCCCCCCGCCCGCGTGTGTGCCTCAGGCCAAGGGCAAGGGGCTGCTGCAGACGTTCCTGCTGAGGCCGCCCCTGGAGCCCTGGTGAAGGGAAGCGGCATGGCAGCAGCCGGGAGCCCGCTGAAGCCAGCAAAGCGGCTGCAGCCAGCACGACGGAAACGCTGAGAGAAAAGGGACACGGGAGCAGCAGCGAGTCACAACAAGTGAACAGAGCGCTGTTTTAGCCGGCAGGAAGGGCGAGGACATCAGGACGTGTTTGGGTCAGGGTTGCGGAAACGCCTACCCGGCTCGATGTGTGCTGGCGCGCGGGGGCGTTGCATGACCAGTCACTACACATGCGACTGTAGGGGTGGTGGCACGGCTGGGCGTGATAGGCAAGGCAAGGGATTGCGGTGTGGGATTTCTGTGTGCCTGCAGTGCAGTGCAGTGCTGTTTCGCCCTGGGGCTGCCAGCCATTGTTTAGTGAGGAAACATTGAATGGGTGGGCATGCAAGTGGCCCTTTGGTGGGCCCGGCAGTACCTTTGGGCGGAAGGATTTTATGTCTGACGGATGCCTTACGACGGTTAAGAGGCGCGCTTTGAAACAGAGCGCTGGTGTGTGGGGGCGTCGTAGTGTTAGTTGACTTGTACTGAATGCGATGTGACGTTCATAGGGGGCTGCTTCATTCTGGCAGCTGGTCGTGTGTCCCTATCGCACTGAATCCGTCTGAACGACGCCATTCAACGTCGCTCGCGCCCAGCTTTTGGCCAGCAAATGATGCACTGCGATTAAAAGCCTGCAATCTCGTACGGCGCATCTCTGAGTGGGGTGCTCCATGACTGATGATTGATTGTGCTCCATGTGAATGCTTTATGCCTGGTGCGCTAAGGCCGTGTTCCATAGATTCGTACTGTCGTAATCGTGTCATGATTGGTTGCGGCGAAGATTTGCGGGATGTGTTCAAACTGCTGCTGCAGCCAGTGCCCCTCGTAGCGGCGTGATCCTTTTTCGTCGTCGGAAACAGCGCATGCTACGCAAACATCGTATGCTGGCAGCAGGACATGTTCGGTAGTGACTTATCGCTGCGGCGCGCAGGATTGCAGCTGTTGGGGTATGTGCGATGGCGGCTGGTGTGTAGTTGAGCAGAAACAAGAGCAAGCAGTATGGCGGCTTGTGTGTCAAGGTCATTACCGGTAGGTATACTAAGTACTAAAGACTATTTAAAGTCGTGCAAAACTATTGAGTAAAGCGGAATACGTTGGTAGTTGGCGGTTGTTGGTCGGACGGGAGGTGAAGAGGCCTATGGATTGCGGAGAACGACACATCATCTTAGAGCTTTTCGAGTTTTAATTGCATCACTATAACTGACAGTCAGGACCGCCCGTGAGCGCGCTTGCGGCCTGCCAAGCAGTGTTGCCGATCATGAGGGGGCCTCGTGTGTGGTTGATTGTTGCCGCCTGCAGAATACAGAACACAGATGCCTGTCTTGCTGGAAGTCTGCCGCTGAAAGCCATGTTCCCGGTGTCTTTCCGACGTTAAGAGAACAGGGAAGGAAGGAAACAGGTTGTTGAGATGAGCTAGCGCATGTTTGGCTGCTGTGAACTGTGAGGTGTACGACGTCTCTATCGAGACGGGGCATGGCAAGAATATACCGCAGGGCCCCGATTTTGCGCGGATTGGTTTGTCGTCGGTTGCTGTACGTTTGCGCTGCACGTCGCGTACCGGTATTTCTGGTATATCGCTTGAAGAGGCGCAGTAGCAGTGCATGCCTCGGAAAGCACCGGTAGATGGTGCTGGGTGCTTGTGCCGCCGCTGATTGCGGGTGTTCGCCTAGCGCCTTACTCTCCATGTGTCACCTTCTTCTCTCCATGGAAGGGCCTTCTATTTTGTTTTGCCGGGCTGGCCTGTTGTTAGGGGCTGTGTTGCTGATGCACGCTGCACTTGGAGTCTACAGTAGCAGTGCTGGTGGTGGTGGACTCCTAGGTGACCTGTCGAGCGGCTGTGACTTGACGCCGTGGACGGCCCTTGCGCAGCGAGGAAGGGTAACTGACAGCAGTCACTGTCCTCGTTCATGTTGTTGACCGCGACAACAGCGCGCCCGAACGACAAACGGAGGAGGCTGCGGAGGATTGAATGCCATTGGTGGCAACACGTGGCTCTACCTAAGCCTTATAAACGTTAACGCAGGGGGTGGCAACATAGTATACATGCTACGTCCTATTTTGTACAATTCATACTACAGAATGTAAGGAGTGGTTTAGGTTGGCAACTCATAGAGACTTGACGATAGTCGATAAGTATCGTTTCCTCTTGCCTTCCTGTGTAGGCAAGCATGGCCGCTGCCGCCAACATCTAAAGCTGCAACGACAACGGCAGCAGTTGTCAGGCACGCACCTCGCAGCATGCCTTCCTCTCTTGCTGCTCTGCTGCCCAGTCCTGAGACCCATCACCGGTTGCCCAAGGTTGCTACAACTACTTACATCGACCACACAGCTGCAACTGTGCTGCATACACTGAAAACGCCCTCCGCCTAAAATGCTAAATCCCTTAAGGTTGCAAACCACTGACCTGCTGCCCTCTCTCGCAGCCTCTGTCCTCGCTCTAGCTTCCACAACTACGGTACTCTGCCTAAAACGCACTGTGACACTACTTTTGTCTCATCTCTCACCCCTGCCTCTTTGACCTATGTATCCCTGTGCTCGAATCGGGCTTGGTTTCTTACCGTACGATACCCATCATCGCATCATGACACTAGAAGGCCCACGGAATGGAAGGTCCAGAAGGCAACACTTGCTAGCGTCCATAGCCAGGATGCAGGTGCTGCCAAACGTGGCAGCGCTGACCAACCCCACCAGATCAAACACAACCGTACAGCCTGGCCCCAAAACAACCGCCGTACAGCACGTACGGCCACGATTAAGGCTGTCGTCAGGTCTGCTTGCGGGCGTATTGTTGCCTTCACCATCCCCGGCGTGGAGCCCTGACTGTCGGTATGCTTCCAAGGCATCAACAGTTGCGATGAGCCGGACAGGGGGCTGGGAATCAGCAGGGATGCTGCCGACAGCGCCGCCACTCGTATCCAGGAAGCCGCCACCGACGGCGCAGCGCCCGCAGGAAGGCTTGCAACTGAGGCAGCCGCCGCCGACGACGACGCAGACGCGGATATAAGGCCCTGAGCAGACGTCGCCAGCGCACCCGCGACAGCAACGGCACCCCTCGCCTGGGCAGGCAAGGCGCCCGGTGGCGGCGACCCGGCCGTAACGCTTGCAAGGGCTGCTGCTAAAGCGGCCCCGACGGAGATGAGCAACGGCAGCAGCGCCGCCGCCGCGGCAGCTGGCTGCATTGCCACAGCCGTCGGCAGCGGCAGTGCAAAGCCGCCGACGGCCTCACCATGCGGCCAGGCAGCGGAGGCGGGGGAGCCCAGACCTGTGCCTGTATGCACACCCGGCGTCTGAGCTGACTCTGTCGTACCGACGCCGACGTCGCGGAGGCGGCGGTGTGTTTGCCCCATGCCAGCGGCGACGCCTCCGCCGTTACGTCGAATCGTCATGTCGACAGAGGCGTTGACCGCCGTCGCCAGCGCGCCTGTGATTGCTGCCAGTACGACAGCAAACCCTCGTACTGCAACCTCCGCATGGTGCACCAACACCAGCAGCGGTAGCAGCGCTACAGCTGTTGCTGCTAGGGCAAGCGCTAAAGCCGGCTTAGGGGCAATGCCGCTGCCTGCGGCCCTTGCTGCTGCATGGCTTGGGGCATCTAATGGTTTGCTACGGGTTTCTAGCAGCGACGGCGGCATGGGTAAACTGCGCAGGCGCCAGACGCCGGGCATTGCTGCTTGTGTTGTTGTTGCTGCTCTTGATGAAGCTGGGGCGGAGGTTGCAGCAATCGGAGGAAAGAACGAAGGCGAGGATGCGGGCTGTTGGTGCTGCCCGCAAGGGTCCGTGCTTGGGGATGGGCTACGAGCTGCAGGCGATGATGGTGACGATGTCGCGGACGATGAGGAGCTTGGGGGCGCGCAGGAAGAGCAGGAAGACGAGGAAGAGGCAGCACCAGATTTGGAAGTCGCCGGTTCGGGAAGCTGTAACGCAGCGGTTGTGATGAGGAGTCTATTGGCACGACGAAGGTGGTGTTGCGTGCTCCTCCGCGCGATGGTTGTGGGCTGCTGCGCGTAGCGACGGTTGCAACACCGATCAGCCGTCCCTAACGACTTGGGCATACGGTGTATCGGTATATCTATAGTCTTTTGATGTGTGAACGTTGCGTCGAAAGCATTCTGCGTCCGTTCCGACCGGCTAGCTAGGGCTGGGCTATGCGTTATTAAGCCGGCGCAGTTGTACCCAGTCGGCGCGTAAGAAACTACTACTTATGCTTTTAAGTATATACTTCATGGTAAATACGAAGATAATTCCAGCTTCCGGGCTTGGTAGGCGTGTTGGAGCTGTCCACCAAAGAAAGGCAAAGATTTAGTCTGAGCCACGCAAACTAACATAATCCTACTATGTCTCTATAGGCCCTTATTTAAAGCACACGGCTATCATGCCTTGCGCACGGCTAATTAGTTGAACCACGGGCCATGCATGGGCAGCCGCTGCATAGCCGGGCGTTCATGGTTCCCAGATGCTGGGATCCTTGGCGGACTCGTCCTATTAACGATGTCTGACTTATTACAGTGCGCGATGTTCGCATTGTCCTTATCCGTGCAGGGACTGCAGCTGACAAATGCCTAACTGCTGCTCAGTCTTGACGCTGACGTTACCGTCCACTCATCATGCGATGTACGGCATCTCGGAAAGGCTGGCAGTCGGCATATGGAGCGAACGATACTAGCAATTCGGCACGCGTATGCGGCATTGTTGGAAAGCAGTGACGGTTGTGTGGCTGCAAATTGCTTCTTGCAGGCATTAGGCCCGTTATGAACTTTGGGAGTTGGAACGGCAAGGGGAACACCACGCGGAAAAGCTACTTGCGCTAGACTGCAAATTAGTCACAACAGAAGCCTGGATGGGACACCAGGCTGACGTAACGGTCAACCGCCAAAGGATCAACCCAATCCGATCCAGCGCAATACCCTTAAGGAAGACACACGCACACAAAACACCCTAAGCCTACCGGTATTGCCACACAACAAACAACAGCACCTGAACGGAACTGCACACACGGGGCCTCAGAAGTGATCCAGAAACTGAACACCCTCTGTTGACGACCCTTTGACCCTGTATGTAGTGAAAACACACAGCAATACCCTGGACAATGTGCCATGACCCTACACCTGTAAAGCCAAATCAGGAAATAAATATAATCTTCTTCTTAAGATGCTTCTCCTTCTCCTTCAAGCCCATTAACAAACGCAACAAGACTGCGCCACACTAAAGAATTCCACCGCTGACTACTGCTTCAGGGCGCCCCGCAATTAGCTGCGACTGCCCCCTGGTGAACAGCCCACATGCCGTGCATGTGCACATGACACACACCACATGCTTGCCGCCCAGCCCGTCCCCCCGTCTGCACCGCCGCCCAGCCCGTTCCCCCGTCTGTACCATGTACCCAACGCAGCCTCACACCATGCGTGCGTGCAGGAGGACTCGCGATGTGTGAAGGACTATGTATGCGAGTTACTGCGCTTGACGCCCAAAGCATGGTACTGCTACCGGGTACCCAAGCCACCTCTCCATGCCTTAAACGGCAACTCACAAAAGCAATTTCTTAGCGGTACAATAAGTTACTATCAGTTACTACCAGTCACTGTGAATGATGGATCCATGATCCGCAAGTCGCACAATCGGAGCACGGACATCTAGTGACATCTAATTAAGGGGTTTAACGGTTCCATCCACGTGACAGCACGTAGGGTCAACAATAGATAAGAGCACTTCTTGGGGTGCAACTGCCGGCGAAATGGCCCGGCATACACGATAAAAGGGCGGATGAAGATTTTGGGGACTGAAGGGGGGTGGTCAGCACCATCTAATGTGATGATAAAAGCCGCGATGCGGGCAACAACCTACTACGGCCACAATACAAACCCGGGGGTTGCAGGAGTCTCTCTACTCTCGGACCGCAATCAACTTCAGGAAAACCAAAATTGCAAAAAGGGCTTCACTATTTCTCACGTTCGTACTGCAACAAGTTCCAAAGCAACACGTATTCCGGGACAGACTGGAAAACGGGTGCCCGGGATGGCTCAGAACGGGCCTATGCAGGCTCCGGGAATGCCGGCAGAAGTGCCGTAACCGCTGCGGCAGTTGACAGCGACGACTGGTACCGTATGCGCTTGACAGCGGCTGTTGGTACCGCACCTAAAGGAAAGAAGTAAGTGTCCTGTCGGCTGCATCATGACAGCGAATCGAATGGTGTCAACCTGCAAATACACACCCAACAACAACCGCAACAGCAGCATCAGATACCCCACCTTGCATATCAACGTATGCGCGCGCGTAGGCGTGTCCAACACAACAGCCGCTTGGGATACGGTAACAATCCAACCTCATACCTCATTACTACACACAACATAAATCTTCAGCTGCATCCACCGTGGCATTTGGCTGCATCCATCATTACCATGCTACCATTCCCACTCTTACCCACCCAAACAAGTTCGTCCCGAGAATTCCCTCCCGAGTGCCTCTTGAAACACCCTGCTGCCGCTTCATATCAACCCGCCCTGCTCTATTCATACACGGCACGCAAAGCTACGCCATAAGCAGCTCCGACACAGTGCTCCTCCTCGTGAACTCACCGCCGCCACCGCCGCCGCCAGCACGCCTCCGCGACCATCACCCAACAAACAACGATACAACACTGCTGGCGGGTTCCCCGGTACATGCATGCATGCAGGTACACGTAGAAGCATGCCCTTACCGGTCCTTGTGAAGGAGCACCGCCAGGGAAAATCCTCCGCATGTAAGTCATTTCCTCCGCGATGCTGCGCACCAAGCAAGCGGGCGCTTACCCAGCGCCGCGCTGCACTGTTGAACTCTCCCAATGAATGACAGCATCATCACTTTGCAACACAGCAGCCCCGCGTTGCCTCTTAACAGCAGCAAACGGACAACCGAGACCTCACATGTGCGGCGCAGACCCATCCAGCACCCCAACATCCTGTGAGCCATTTATGACACCTTCCACGTCCTCCACCTCTCACGTCCCTGCAGCGGCAGGCGAGCCAATTGCGTACCCTCAAGATGACACACAGCGATGTACACTCTGCACCGCTACCCGGCACCGCTGCAGCCAAAAACAAAGCACGCGTAGTCAACAAGCTGCGGCGCACGCGGCTGCTTCCAAATAGAATGGACCCCTGGCGGTAGTACGGCAGCTCTCCAACCGCGGCCAAAACCGAGCCTGCCCAAGGGTCCGCATGAAGACCCCCGCTTGCCTCGACTGCGCAAACGCCCATTGCAAGCTCCTGCCAAAGCAATTACTGAAAAGGAACGCAGTACTAAGGCTCTCATCAAAGCATGCATGCATGCATGCATGCGCTCTAAGACTGGGACTCCAGGGCAGCAGCTAGCCTGCTGAAGCCCTGCTGCTGCCCTGCGCCTCCGAAGGCAAATAAAGGGTAAACCCTGGAGAGCTAGCTCCCATACAGGTCTACCAGAACCCATGAAAAGCTTTGGTCATGCCATGCCCGTGCTCCCGTAGCTGCCTGGCTAAGTAGCTGCAGGCGCCCAGCGGCTGCCATGCCGCTTCCCTTCACCAGGGCTCCAGGGGCGGCCTCAGCAGGAACGTCTGCAGCAGCCCCTTGCCCTTGGCCTGAGGCACACACGCGGGCGGGGGGAGGCAGCAGTGGGGTGTGAGGGGTCAGCTGGGCTGGAAGGAACCGGAAGGCATGCAAGGACATGCAACCCTGACGCCCGACACAAGGCGCGAAACCCCAAAGGCCCCTCTGCCTGCACCCTGTCCGCCACTGCCCCCCCTCCCGCCTCATGCCGACCCCACCTGCACGCCTCCCGTCGCCTCCCACGGCTCCCCCGGCACCAGGTCCCGCGTGGCGGCGCTGACGTGGATGGCGCCCGGCACCCCCGTGCTCTCCATGCGGCTGGCCGTGTTGATGGTGTCACCGAACAGGCAGAAGCGGGGCATGCGGGTGCCCACCACGCCGCTCATCGCGGGGCCGCTGTGGATGCCCACACGCAGCCGCACGGGCTCGCCGGTGGTGGGCAGTCGCACGGCGCTGGCTGCGCGCAACAGTGCCTTGGCAAAGTGCACGGTGCGGTGCGCGTGCTGCGGGTCCACGTCGTCCGAGCGCACCGTGACTGCGCCCGTCTCCTCGTCCACCTTCATCAGCCCGCCCGCCACCATGTAGCAGTCGCCGATGGTCTCCACCTTGTACACCCCGAACGCGTCCAGCATGGCGTCCAGGCGCGTGTAGAGGTCGTTGAGGAAGGCCATCACGGTCGCGGGCTTCACCACGTTGCACATGGCGGTGAAGCCCTGGATGTCGCAGAACAGCACGGTGAGCGCGCTGTGGGAGGTGGACAGGTGCAGGAAGGTGTCGCCCGTGATGATGGGGACCGCAGGCGGGGCGGCGCCGCCAGGGCAGGCGGGCGGAAGCGCCGGCGCCCCTGGCGGCAGCCCGCCAGCGCACCCGTGAAGACCGGTCAAGCCAGCTTGCAGCGCTGCGGCCTGAGCCTCCGCCTCTAGGCGTTGGATGGTGGGACGAGCGGTGAGGCCTTCTGCTTCGCCGTTTGCAGCAGCCATGATTGCCACATGCTCCAGCACTGCATGCGGAAAGCCGCGGGGGTTGAGGGATAGGTGGAAGGAGTGGGTTAGGCCGGTAGAGTCCATGTGACAATACGCATGAGTCATCCGGGCTGGGATCACGATATTCCCTAGACCATGAATCGAACGAGGACGTAGTGCCCTGCACCCCTCCCTCCCTGCACCCCCTCTACCCACCATGCGCCGGGAAGATGGCTTCCAGCATGGCGTGCTCCGCCTCCATCACCCGCGCCAGCTGCTGCTCAGCCCACACGCGCGCCGACACGTCGTGCTGCGTCACCAGGATCAGCTGCTCGCCGCTGACCGGGTGCCGCAGCCCGCTCAGAACCACCTCATGCCACCGCTCCATCTCAAGCGGAGGAGCGATGCCGCTACCGCCGCCATCACCACCACAACCCGCAGCAGCAGTACCGGTACCAGCAGCAGCCTCCAGCGGCTCCGCTCCTTCAACCACCGACAGCACAGTCGCTGATATGTCCGCCGTACTGCCAGCAGACGCACCCACGGCGGCAAAAGGCGTGCACGACAGGTCTTCCAGATGCTGCCCCGAGCCGCAGACGTTGCTCCCAAACGTGGTGTGACCTTCCTGCACCTCGACGCCCCTGGCCTGCCCTCCCTGCTGTGCTGCCTGCGTTTGGAGGAAGCCGTGCTTGGAGACGCTGAGCGTTGCAGGGCTGTCCAAATCAGCCCCCAAGGATGCCGTCGCTGCGCTCTTGGGTCCCAACGGGTGGGATGCGAGCGGCGGCTGCGGCGGCGGCTGCAGCTGCGGCGTCAGGTGCATGAGGTGCGGCTGCGAGGAGGGCGCTTCGGTGGGATGCTCCGACTGGCCCGGCGGGGTGACGTCGCCGCTACCGTCAGCGTCTCCGCCCTCGTCACCGCTGCTGAGGGTGCTGCTGGCGATGGTCCCTAGCGTCAACGAATTATCGGTTTCGTGCTCCTGCAAGCATTCGAACGAATGCATGCCAACGGGACCGTGAGGTGGAGTGCCCATCCAAAGGAGGGAAAGCCACAACAACAACAAAGTTGCTCTACAGGGGCTAACGGAGTTCTTAGCACGAAGAACGGGCGTTCGCAAGGGTCGCAATTAACTTGCACTCTGCAGGTCAGCACTTACCGTCCGGAGGTGGATGGAGGACCTGCCGCACCTCTCTCTCAGCTCAGGCAACGCGCCCAGGGAAGCAAAGCAGCGTCCATTCCCGAACAGCGAACTCGCAAGCCCCTCCGCAGATGTGGCCACGCCCGGTGCTGGTGAAGCGCCCCCGTCATCCTCCTGCTCTGCCGCAGCAGCAGCGGCTGACGTCATCACCGGAATCAACGCCGCGCTGCCGCTCCGTGCACGGGAAACAAACCGACCAGACACGTCTGGCTGCGTGGAATACGGATAGCGGCGATCCAGCGGTTCGCGGAGCCGGGATTGACGGCAGGATACCTTGGTAGCCAGCCCTAGCAGCCGAGGCAGCACGCCGGAATTACCCAGCGGTGCGCCATCGAGGGCATGATGATGAAGTGAAAAGCCGCTGTAACTCTGCCTGCTGTGATGGAATTGGCTGTTGGGGCGGCTGGCAGGGTATCCGTTGCCGGTGTGCGCCTGGTGCCGATGAGAGCAGACGTCAGGCGACGCCGCAGCAGCAGCGGCTGCAGCCGCAGCCAAGCTGTCAGTCGAGGTGGTCGAGGAGCACAGAAGCGCCTCCTGGGCAGCAACAGCCGCATGCTGCAGCTGCTGCTGTTGTTGTTGCTCGTAGCTGCTGCCTTGCCGCGCAAGCTGTAGCCTTCCCAGCAGCTCCCCATCCGATTCCGTGTTACTCACAGCGCCACCTCCTGGTCCTGATCCGCCCTCTCCGCACGCACGCACCGGCTGCTGCTGTCGTTGTTGCTGCTGCTGTTGCTGCATGTGCTGCCGCAGGTGACAGTCCTGCCGACCCTGTACGGCAGCACCCCCGTCCAGGGCCGTACAGCTGCAGCCGCGGCCGTGCAAGCCGCAAGCGCTGGACTGCCGTACAGATCTCACGCTGCGGTTGGACATGCGTGCGCCCCAAGTGCTGGTGGTGAGGGCTTCCATGAGCTGTTCTTGGGAGGGAGAGGCGTTGCGAGACAGCCGCAGGGACTGCGGCATCTTGGCAAGGTTGGTTTGGGAGGAGCAGGCATCAACGTCACGATCGCGATCACGATCCAGCAAGGGGCAGTAGCCAGGCACAGATGCGAAGGGCGACAGCAACTCAGCCTTCGGCGCCGTGGGTGCTGCTCCTGCACCTGTTGCTGCTGACACTACTGCCGACGCGGCGGTTGCGGCGGCCGGAGCGGTAGCTGCGCCTGTAGCTGCAGTGAGAGGGGGCGAGGCGGAGCTCTCCGCGTGCACAGATGACTGATGTGGAGAGGAAACGGGGTACGCCAAGCCGCAACGACGGTGTGCTGCAGCGAGGGCCGTAGCGGAAAGCGGTTGCAGCGGCGGCGCTGGGTGTGCTGCTAGCAGCACCGTGCGAGCATTGCAGGTCGTGGCGACGGTGCCGCCGTCCCCGGCCTTAGCCTGGCACTCCCTGTCCACGCCTCTGTGGCTACCGCTGAGTCCAGAAAGAGGAACAAACACCGCTCCCGCCGTGAATGCGTTGTGGACACCGCCGCTGGCTACACCTGCCGGTGCGCTGCCAGCACGCTCAACCGCTATCGCATCTTGGGCGCCGTCTTGCAAGGCGCTCAAGTCCGTCTCACGTCGCAGTACGGAGGGCGCGCGAAGCATCGACGGCGGAGTGACGGGTTCCCGGACGCTCCGATCCTCCCGAACGGCGGTTGCGTATCCCGCATCGTCGCCGCTGGCGCAGGCAGTGCTGATGCCTCCGCCGCCGCCAACTGCGCCAACAGAACCGACCACAGCGGCCGCCTCCGCCGCAGCGGCGGCGGCAGCGGCCTTGGCGGCAGCTGCCGCGCGCGTGGCTTGTGAGATAGTGTACATGGCAGCGGAGGAGGCGGCGACCACCTCTGGCGACGTCACCTTGGTGCCGGTTGCCGGCGGAGGCGGCGGCGGCAGCGTGGTCGCTGTGCCGAGTCGGCGGCTTGAACGGCTCGGGCGGGGAGTTGGGCGGCGGTTTGAGGAACGCGCTTCCAGGTCGAAAAGTAGAAGCCCGGAGGGCGGCAGGCTCTGTGCCGACAGCACTTCGCCACAGTCGTTGGCACCCATGGCGGCGACCGCAGCCGAGGGCCCGTAGCGTCGAGCGTTTGGGTATGCGATTAGGGTCAGCGCTTGCCGGAGAGAGAAGGAGGCCATACTTGCAAGGGGTTGGCGCTTTAACAGCATTCCGGATTTTCCGGCAGGCTCGAGCTGCTTATCATGTGGGCTTGAGGAGACGGCCGGTGACAGCGCCGGGATGCCTGCTGCGGAGCCGCGACGACTGAGTGCCAGTGGAAGGCAGCATAACTCCGCAGAAGCTGCCGGCTGACATGGGTTTGGGATGGAAAGCTGAATAAGACCTGCAGGGAACATGCAATTATGGCGCAGGGTTGGACCTCCAAGGAAGCGACGGTGTGAGCGAAGAGTCGAGCTTCAATAGGACTGCTCCCATGTAGTCCTTACAAAGGGGTAATACTATATAGTTGTTCCAACTTACCCCTCCAACTCTGGCCATCCTTGACGCGTTCTATAGCGTCAGCGAGACTCTGGGGGTCCAGCGCAAAAAGTGAGTCCAATGTATCGGAGCCGCCAGGAAGCCCTTTGCTTGCGGCGTTAGATAGGATCAATCGTCTTGTTCGTTCATCATAAACGCAGATGTACTGGGGGCTGGCGTCGATCAGGGCTTGATAGAGGCTTAGGCATGCATCCTGGGCCCCGGTAATCTCTGCCCGACTGGATTTTAAGCCATTATGAAGCTGCACAGGTTGCCGCTCGCACTCATTTGCGCAGTCTGGGTTGTGCGCCCTTACTTCACTTTGCGTCGGTGCATGTCGAGTTGGATGGTCATCCTCACCAGAGTGGGAAGGCGACCGGGGCACCAGGAAGCAAGAAGTAACTAAGGACAAGGTCCGCTTCAAGAATGCCCCTGAATCCTTGTCTGCAGTGCTGTGGGCGACCTTTTTGTGTCGCGGTTTCCTGTTGACGATTGCGCCCATTTTAATAAATCCCTAGTATGACATCACACAGTCATATGAAGCAGATAATATAGCTCCAGATCATAACAAAAATACGTCGCCTGCGTTCAGGGGTATGGTCTACGGGCTGAGCAATGCGGAGTGCGTCCCAGCCGATCAAGTAATAAGCACAGAGAAGCATATGCAACCTGACTGATAAGTCCCACTGAAGTTGCCACAGCTCATAGATGTCACGCTCGCAGTAATGAACGGGCAAATTGGACGAGCTGGACGAGCTCTTCGCCGCTTTCCTGCAGGATGTGGGAGCTACCTTCGTACATATTGTGTTTCGGTTCTCCCATGTTTGGGCAATGCGCTGGAGGCATGGTGAAAGTACCCTAATCAGCAAACGTTTCACCACGGCAAAAATTCAGGCGATGATGAGCTTAAGTTTCCTCAGATGAGAGTATTCATAAGTAGCATTGCGGAGTCAAAAATAGGGTCAGGGGGCTAAGCTACGGGATTGTACCAGGCTTCCTTGGTCGGCCCGTATACAATGTGTGTTACACATTACTCCATGCTTTTACTTTTCTTGTGCTTCACATCCATACCGATTGCACTTAACCGCGACCCACATGTCCGACATGCTGTTAGTCAGGCGCTGCTGTCGTATACCTGCAGGTGCCACTAGCGCAGCCGTAACATGTCGTACCGCGTGCCGCCTGTCGAATCTGAGAAGGCTCAAAAGTTGTCGTTCTTCTCGGTTCTAGCAGGTCCCCGCAGCACTTAATTAGTGAAGCATCGGCCAGCTTAAGGGAAGCAGTACTTCTTTCCTGCCGTACTAGTAGTGCCAGGAAGATAACCACTGTGCCGAGTCCACAGCATCGTATGCACACGCGGTGTCACGCATTACAAAGCCGCGCTGATCGGCAAAGGGTCCGAACACGTAACAACACGCCCTCCACTTGGGGAGCGGTCGGTGGCGACCAGACAGCCCGAAAGCGCACCACCCAACCGTTGTCTACACAATCCAAGCGCTGACCTGCAGCACCCCTCCTCAGCCTCGCAGGCTCAGTTGACGAAAGGTCAAACACGACCAATCGCAACATGCTTCTGCGCCTGTTCCCTAAACGTCACACACTTGGCTTCGGCTCGCATCCTTCATGCAGTAGATTGACTTGCTGCAAGCAGCGCGCAGCACAAGTCCTCCACCATGACCGCCAGCCAGGCCCTACTCCCGGTTCATAAGCCCGCATCTCCTGCATCCCTGCAGCAACCGTCTAGTAAACCTGTGGTTTCGAAGTTTACTTGAGGTCGTTCTCCAGCTTGGTGACGAGGTTGTTGAACTCCTCAAGCTTCTTGGCCTTGCTCATGTCGACCAGGCGGTCCTCGAACTCCAGCACGAAGCCGCCCAGCAGCTTGCGGTCAACCTGGGGAGCGGGGTGCCAGCGGTTTGTGTGTATATTGGCGTTGAGGAGGTATAAGACGTTGGTGGTCTGAAGCCGGACCGGCACTATCGCCCAGGATTTGTCCCCGGAAGCCATTAGTTCGAGGGTCTACACCTGAAAAGGACACCGTTTCCACCGGAATTTGGGCGGACTGCGCGCACGATGCCCGAATGCTAGACCCCACCAACCACCTTGAAAACAATAGCCTATATAGTAAACCGCTCGGTCCCAGTTTCAGGTCCCAGATCGCGCAAGACGAGCCCCAGTCGCAACACAAGCCCCAGTCGCAATCATGACAACGAGACTGGCCCCCTTTCCGAAACCGCGGCCCTGTCGTTACGTACAGTCTGGTGCTGCACACGTTCCGAGCTTTAGCATCCCCGTTTTTAGTCATAGCACAGCACCCATTAGCCTATCGCAATTCCACAATGCAGGCTCCCTACGTCACGACGACAGCCTACCTTCTCCTTCATCACCAGCTTGAAGCCGGGCTCCACGAACTGCTGCGCCTGCTTGGTGAACACAGTGCGCTCCGCATCGTCCAGGGGCTGTGGAGCCAGAGGAGGAAGAACCGAGTCAAGAAACAGCCATTACGAAAGCATGTAGTGCTTCTCAATGCACCAACACCAGGGTTTCGCCGGTACCACATGTGGACAGGAACAAACCGTACGGCAACTCAGGCAGCCGCAGGCAGCAAGATGCACGGGCAGCATGCAGCACCCATCATGCACTGCTTACTAAGCGCCTGCTAGTTGTAGTTGTGCTCCACTCAACCAACGGGTAGGTTGTGCATTCCAATCCATTTGAACCCATTCTGACGGCGGAGGCCCCAACAAGGTCCCATGTCTAAAGTTCTTCAGAGTAACACGCTCATTGACACATGGACGCCGCTTGTGCGCAGAATGCCATGAACGGCTGTGTTTAGGGCCGCTTCACGCATCTGTTGTATGCGTGCAACTCGCAGTTGCCATGTAATGCATGGTCTTAAATTACCGCTGTTTTGCATACATGCAGACTGGACAGCCATGCTGAGTAGGTATGTCTTAAACTCGCCGCGTAAATTTTTAGTAACTCAATAACTCTTAGCTGTAACTCCCCATGGGTTTGCACCTCACTCCACCCCACCTGCGCGGTGACCACAGTGCAGTGCACCTCCTTCCGGTGGGCAAGCATCAGCTCCTCGTAAGCAATGGTGACCTGCACGATGGCGCTCAGGCTGTTCTCCTCGGCCAGGGCCTCTGCAGTACGGCAAAGAGAAGTAACCCAGGTTAGGATGCTTCCGACATGACAACGGGGGCCAAAGGGGAATGCACGCATTGTGTTGTTGCTCAACACAAGCGCAACGTGATATGTGCAAACCCCTGCCATGCACAATGCCCCGCACAAAGACACTTTCAGGGAAGGCCACCAACGCAATGGAAGGGGGAAAGAAGCGGGATTCCGGTACTGCTTATACCCACCCACGAGGCGCTTGGTGACATCAGTCACGTCCTTGGTGTTGAACATGTCGCGCACCACCTTCATGCGGAAGGCCGCGGGCACGAACGGGTCCGTCGCAAGGCGGCGAATCTCCGGGTGCGCCTTGAAGACCTCGACCAGCTGCAGTGGCAAATCATCCATTGGCCATTGTCGCACAAGGAAAATTCTCTTGCTCCAGCCCAACGCCAAATAACAATGTGGCTATGTTTCTTTTAGTATCTGGTGTTTTACACACCTGGTACAGCTCGTCCTGCACCTTGGTGAGGACATTCTCCTTAGCCGCAACCTGCCACGCTAGCGTAGCGATAGCGCCGGAGGTCCCGCTCAGTTGCAGAGGAGCAGTAGGCTGCATGCAGGACGTTATATATCAACAAAGAGCGTAACTGACGACACGCGCAGCCTCTGTGCCCGAGACCCAGTGCAGCTGCGGACTACAAAATCAAGCCTACCAGCTTGTAGTCTGCCTTAGGAGAGGCCTGCGAGGCTGCGGCTGCCGAGAAGGAGCGGACCTGGTAACAACGGAAGCGCCAATCAGAACTTAATGTGCCGGCCAGAGCAGCCGACGTAACAGCTAAAGCAGCAACAAACTAACCAGCTGCTTGGACAGCTGGGCCTGCTCCGCACGGCGAGCCAGAAGGCAAGCTGCCCGGGCCAGCATCGTGAGCTACCGAAAGCAGATGCAACCCAAAAGTAGGGACGCGCGGCACTACTACGCCGCTGCTTTTTAGGTCAACTACACGGTAGCGATGCGTCCAAGCCAAATGGAGGGAAAAGAGCTCTCAAACACTTTAGGTTCAAGCTCCAGGGAATCGCTGCTTGCCGTACTAGAGTCCTTAAGGCAGTGCCTACTTAACCCCAGACCTTGCCTCGGGGCAGGTTAGGCACTTCGCTTTTAATTGGAAGCCTGACAACCTTTTAACCATACCTGTTTTTTCCTGGTAGAATCCGAGGCTCAGGAGCGCAGCGACGGTTTGCGACGCTTGACATTGCCGGACAACATACAAGTAGTCGAGCGTGCCATAACAGCTTACAACGACCAGCGATAATTACATAAATACGTTCGCACCTCGGGCATAACCTACCTGGGTTACTTGAACGCTATAAGCTTCTGCAAGGAAAGGCAGCGGTTAGCCGTTTCCCAGTATTGTTGGGAGCTAGACTGGAAGGATATACAATACCCAAGTTAACCTGTCATACGCTTAGAAGAGATGAAGACGAGGAAGATATGTCCGCTGGCGACGCGTATCAAGAAAATGATGCAAACGGACGACGACGTGGGCAAGATATCGCAAGCCACGCCTATCCTCATTGGTGGGTGCTACTATGGCGGCATGTTGTCCTATCTTGCTCATCTTATTGGCGGTCTTAGATAATTCGCCCCATCCCTTGTTAACCCGACGAGCCAGGTCGCGCAATGGAGCTTTTCCTGGAAGGCCTCTGTAAGCAAGCCATTACCATTGCCCAGAGCCGGCAAGCCAAAACACTTACACCAAGCCACCTGTAAGTCCTGGGTTATTTTGGACCTTGCTCTGGCAACATGTAATGCCCGTATAATTCTCGGCAAGGTGTCGTTCCCGGCCACGCCATGCCCTTTGACTTCCAATGCATACGTTCGCACCTCCAGACGTAGCATGACTATACCGCTAACGCCCTGGCATGCGCTGGTGTAATGCCCTTGCCCACAGGAAAGCTGCTGTCTCTGCGGACCCCACCCTGGACTTCCTTGGGGAGCTTGTTGCCTCTGCGCCTGACCTCCCAGCCGTGGATCCGGAGGGAGGCGATGTGGCGCCCAAACCCGTCAAGCGCCGCAGGTAAACAACCACCTCTGCTTGTAGAACGCATGGTATGTCACCTAATGGTCAGAAAGGGTCACGTGATGCACGCCCTTCTCGGCGCGCTGCGGTTGCAGCCAATGTCTCATTCCCATGAGCATTTACCTAAACTCACTAGGGAAATTAGTACGACGCGTCGTTCCAGGCCACCCTTGAAACCATTGTCCACACGCGTTCAACCCTCGTGCCTACGCTCTGAACCCTTCCTACGCGATGAACGACCATTTTCTGAACTTGCTGCCCCTCCCTTGTCTTCGCCCGGCCCGCAAATCCTCCACGCAGGACGAACGATCCAGGCGAGGGGACAACGTCGCCTGCGGGCAGGGCCAGTGCCGGTGGCGGCCGCTCCAGTGCATCCGCAGCTGCAGGCCAAACCACCGATGAGCCCGCTCAAGCGCCGCCGCCTGCGAGGTCGCGAGGCTCCAAGGGAGCATCCGGCAGCAACGCCCAATCCGCTCGTGCCGCTGCCAGCAACCCGACCAGCCCAACTGCTGAAGGCAGTGCCCAGCCGCCAGCCAACGGCACGGCCCCCCCGAGCGGTCGCCGCGGCGGAGGCGGGCAGGGGAGGCAGACCAAAGCACAAGCTGCTGCAGCCGCGGCGGCAGCTGCAGCAGCTGCTGCTGCTGGAACAACAGCGGATGCAGCCGGGCTCTCGGTAATTGTCGCTGAGCCAAGAAGCGTCGCGGTCGCTGCCCCAGCCGTTGCCCCTGTGGTTGCTATCCCAACGCCGCGGAGCGCCTCTGTAAGTTGCGCAGCGCCAAGCTCGGCAGCTGCGGCTGAGGCAGGATGTGGGGCCAGCATGACGACCGGGCCGGCCGCCCCGAAGCAAGCCCCCGTCTCGATGCCAACGGCAGCTGGACAGGCATCGAATGGGGCCGGCGGGGGCGCAGGAGGGTCCATTGTTGCGTCTCTTCGTGCGCAGCAGCCCTTCTTCGGCTTGGGTCGCAAGGGTAAGAACCTGGGCGTCAAAGGAGGAAACGGCGGCAGCGGTGCAGGAGCAGCGGCAGCATCAGGGCATCCTTGTCATCAGCAGTCCACCACCCTCACGGCGCCACAACTGGCGCAGCTATCAGCGCTAACCGGAGTAGAACGCCATGCTGGGCCGCACGCCTTTGCGCTAAAGCTAGAGCCCCTGGATCTTTCAGGTCCCGCGCGGCCCCTGTCAGACCTGGCCCTGGCCTCGCACTGCTTGCTGGCCGGTCAGCAGTCGGCGACTATGAGCGGCGGCGTCAAGAGCGAGGAGGGCAGCGAAGCGGCGGCGTCATGCCTGGGTGCCATGGGTGCAACCGGCTGGCAGCTCGCAGCAGCAGCATTGCCGGATGTAGCCGCCGGCGGTGGTGGTGGGGTGCTGTGCGCTAGTACGCAGCTGCCAGCGCTGCTGGCGTCGCCGTTCCATGTGCAGCCTGGTGCTGCTGGTTTGGTGCTTACGGGCAGCTCTGACGCACCTCTGGTTGGAGCATGCGGACCTCGCTGGGGTGAGGAGAAGTTTGGACGTGGGGATGGCGCGGCTCAGGCACGCGTGCATAGAGAGGGATCAGGCGAGGAGCCGGCAGGGCCACAGCGGGGGCTTGGCGGGGCGGGGTCTGGCCAGGGGCATTCTTCCGCGGTTGGTAGTGCTGCTGCTGGGGTGCCTACCGGGGCCAGCGGGGGATTGGGCGCCGGGGCTCCGGCGCTCATGGCCCCGCTGGGAGCATCCCTCTCGTTTTACCAGGTCCCACAGCAGTCGGGAGATGATATGGACGATGATTATGACAACTGTTAAGGGGCTTGAAGGCGGGAGCGGGATTTTTATGTCGGGAAGTGGGCTTTCATTCGCCGATGGTGTCACTGCATGCATGGTTAAGTGTTGAACTTTGGAGTGGTGTATGGGAGGGACAGACGGTTGTGTGGCGTGGCGTGTTTGGCACCTGGGCGGTGATGAAGGCAGCAGGATGTGCTTGAATTTCATAAACATGCATTATACACATTGCCGAAGAAGCTTATTTTCATCTGTTCTGACCGGGTAAGGAGGGCACGCTGAGACATTTGGACTTCAGCGCCGCCGACTAACTCAGTTCTGTCGACCAAGGAGATGCATGTCACTTATCGATAACGACTTCCCATTGTAACATAGCTAGTGGACCCGTTGTTGTAATGCCTATCTGTGTCGAAGCCAACACTCAATGCAACACGGCCAAGACTTCCACGCTTACGTTGGCGCGTGTTGGGCCATTCACAAGCGTACGTAGAAGCTCTGTAATTGTATCCGCGGCAGCGAAAGGAGTGAGGAGCGATGTCCGCGCAATGCCCATTAAGATTGTCACCGTCTCCAAGGAAAACAGCAAGGGAGCCACAATGTTCGCGAAGGAGCTTCTTGAAAAACTGGAAAGGTAATTGTGCCTTACGACTTTCCTGCGCTTTCCAGGTGGACAGTTGCACACTACCTGAGCCACGCTGCACACCATTTAAAAGCAACCCGGCCCCCACAAACCGCAACCACCCTTCAGGAGGGCCATGGGTTGCGCCAGGATCAACCCCATTACCTGTGTAGTTTGAGCGTATCAATTGCCCCTCTGCTGTGACGGTGGTCCGTTTTTGCCGTACTGCCACCCTGCCGGCAATAACTCGCCGCCATGTGCCTTTTTGGGTCCTACCTTTTACCCCACCTCTACGCCACCAAGCACCTTAGCAGACTCCACCCAACGAGCCCCCAAACCCCTTGTCGCCCTACTGCTGTGGCTTCTCACAACCCGCTCCCAGGTATGTCCCCGTGACCAGCACCAACATCAAACCCAATCCACGCAACTCGCCGGATCCTGCGGTACAACGCGAGACGGAGGGTGACAAGGTGCTCCGCGCTCTGGACTCACGGGACTTTGTGGTGGTGCTGGATGAACGCGGGCAAGAGGTACGGTAGGAGCGTGCATGCGCCATGTCATAGGGACACAGGAAGGCTCGACAACGCCTGTCGAATGCCTGATGGCTCCGTATTTCACGGGGTAGCAACATGACGATACGGTAGCTTACGGGTACTTCGGGGATGTAACCGACGGGGCTTATGTGAAACACTCAGACCCAAGCCTGTATGGCACAGCACCAGCAGCCTGGCAGGCTAGGGATGTTCCCGCGGAAGCCACACCGCTCCTTTGATGCGCTCGCATGCCCACCCAAGACCAGACCACCTGCTACCGGAAGCTAGCTCCCTCTCTCGTTAAGAAAAGAAGGGCCAATAGCCCTGCAATATCAGGAACAAACCTGTATGGTGCTTTGGTAACACCCTCCTGTTGTACCTCCCATGCCCCATGCCTCCTACTACGAACAGATTCGGAGTGAGGACCTAGCTCGCATAGTGGCAGCCGCCGGGGAAGACGGACGGCCTCTGGCCTTCTGCATCGGCGGGCCGTACGGCCACAGCGATGCCGTACGCGCACGTGCGGATCGCATGGTACGGCTTTCGGCCATGGTTCTCAACCACCAGGCGAGTACGCGCCACCGTTCGGGTTCTGCATGGCATCTCATTTCCTTTACATGCACATGCACAAGTCCCCAGACCTCCCAACACGATCGCATACCTCTCCTGGCTCCCTGCCCCATAACCTGCATACCGGTAACGGCCCCATAACCCGCATAACGACATGCACCCAGCAGGTCGCCGTGGTGGTGCTATTGGAGCAGCTCTACCGCGCCTGGTGTATCTTGCGGGGAGTGCCGTACCATCACTGATTGGATCGAATGAATGAGGACCGTACTGACATCGCCGCGGACGCGTGGAGTGGAGGGAAGGGAGCCGTCATTGCGCTGCATAGTGACTCGGGCACAGTGCCAGTTTTGTTGAATGTCCTGTGATTCTGTTACAAGGGCGCAGTGGTTACGTGGAATCATGCCTCTGTGTGTGAGTAGCATGGTGGCGATGAGCATGCCATGTCAGTTTGTCAACTTATAGTACGTGGCCCGGATGGGGGGCCCAGGACAGTTGGTGAGCATGCTGTTGCCATTCTTGCAACTCCAGAATGCATCCACCGTTCTCCACCTTTCCTGCAGTAGTTTGTGTGTGTGGGGGGGGGGGCTTTGGAAGGGTTGTGAGGGAAGCTAGGAAATGTATGGGCGCTGCGTAGCAGAAACTACCGGTTCGCGGAACTGGATGAAGCACAAAGAGACATGTGTGCTGAAGTGGAAAAAGGGGACAGAGCGATAGGACCTCTACGATTCAACCACGTCGGCGACTCTTGTGGGCGCGACGCACCAACTGTCCTGACTCATCCGTACGGGCAAAGCAGCAACGTTGCTGTGTACCGTTGTGCCAACCCAATTCCGAGAATGTAGTGCGTCCTTGTAAGGTCACATACGAGTTAAGCGCACCAACCTCTCCTGGCGGAGATCGTCAGGGGAACAAATTGCATGAAAGCAGTTGCTTAACGATCCTATTTTCCAAGGTGCTTACATTGAAGAGTTGTGCTTGGAGTGTTTATGATGCACGTTTGTAGGCACCTAGAGCGAGCGGACATATGGCATCAAGGGCTCCAAAGGGGTTTACCCTCGCAGCGTACCTGCCGCCGCAATTGAAACCACCAGAACAAAGCCAAGACAATACGCAAACACCACCAGGTCAACCGCGTCCGCAGCGGTGTCGCTGCGAGGGACCATTCGACCTGTGCTGGAGATACCCTCACGCGACTCCAAACGCGACGTGTAAGCCAACGTGGGACAAGCTTCTGGCGCCGTTCCAGTACAAAGGTCGAGAATGGACGATTGTAGAGCTCAGGAGCCTCTGGCCCCACACGATCCAGGTCAGCGATCCGTGAGGAGACCCGTGTTTTCCTGTTGTAAAGCAGTGCGTTTCCGCTTTAGTTTATTTCAGCATCATATCTGTACGGATTGACTGCCTAGTAACTATTTGGTGGCCCCGTCTTCACCAACGGTTACCTTGTCATGGACAGGCTTTGAACGAACGCCTTGCCAAGGGTCGCATGGAGCGCACCCTCAAGGAGGACCTCCAAGACGACTTACAGGTGCGGTGCTGCTGCCGAACTGGGCCCTCGCGCGCCCTTGGGTTTGCCTCCTTTTGGTTCCCCGGGTGCTGCTAGAGGAAGGAAAGCCTTGAGCCCCACGGCCCTTAGTCAACCCCGTCCCCCACACGCCCGCCCGTTGCCATCCTATTCTTTTTTACCTTCAATGCCGTCCTCCGCACGCCACCCCGTTCAACGCAGGTGTTGGTTGACCTGATCCAGTACTCCTGCAAGCCACATCCTCGCCCACCCCGCGCCGGCATGAAGGCAAGTCAGTTGGCGGAGGAGGGGCTTATATGTCGCTGATAGCAAACACACATCAAGTCGCTGGCTGGTCTTGGTGCTCTTGGGTCATCCACTTGGCCGGAAGCCCCTCACAGCACAAACCCGAATACCCAACAATGCAACGCACGCTGCTGACATTCCCGCCTCCGCTACTCCCACTGCCACGCTCGCAGACACTCATCGTGCAAGGCCGCATACTGGCGGAAGCCATTGCCCAGGTAAGAACGGCTCCGTACGGCACGGCAGGGCATGGCAGAGGCCGCCTACCCGCCTTGCAAGCAACCCACGCCAGTTGGTTGCATGCACACACCGCCCACAGTACGTTTCGCCTCGCGGCCGATTAATTTATCACACCGCCTGCTATCCCAACTGCTTGCTCTTGTTTCTGCTCAATTGCACACACCGCCCAATTATAGCCCACCACGTTCCACAGCCCTTTTCCCCTACCAACCTGGCCCCTTCCTGATCACCTCCCCCCCCTCGGGATATGGGATTGGGCTTCGTTGTTTCACTTATATAATTTTCCCCCCCTTCCCCTCATTCCCTCCCGTCCCCTGTCCCCTGTCCCTCGCCTACACTCCCCTCCCCTCCCCCGCAGGACGCCCTGTTCCAGCTAGACCCCGCCGACCCCTCCGCCCCCCGCCCCGACCGCGACCTGGTGGACCTCATCAGCCGTCTGCGCGAGCACCACCCCAACTCCCTGCTCGCCCCCGCGCTGCACGTGCTCCGTACACTCGGCAACACCGCCGTACATTTGGATCGCGACAGCGCGCGACTGACGGACGGTGAGATTGGCGACGCGGCGGCGGTGTGCTGCCGGTGCGTGGTGGCGGTGGTGGACGCGTACATGCACATGTGCGCCAACCTGCACCGGCATGAGGAGACGCAGGTGGGGCGGGAGGGGGGTGAGGTTGGGTTGCGAGGTTGATGTCAGGCTGGGTGTAAGAATGATGTCACGTGGTTTTTATGTTCGCATGGTCCGTTATCTCCATGACGTGGGGCGATGTGTGTTCCAGGCCCTCAGGCTTTGTTACAATCGCAATGTCCAGAAGGGCAGATGACGTGCTTACATTCCCACTCCCCACTGTCCAAACCACCGGCTCTAGGCCGCCCTAGCTCAGCCGCAAGACGATGCGCCCGTGGCGCCCATCCCAGCTCCCAACGTGCTGCTTCGACCCCGGGTAGCAGCAGCAGCCACAGCCGCAGCCGCCGTAGCTGCTACTGCTGTTGCATCGACATCGCCGTCCTCAGCCGCCGTGGTGGTGGAGAGTACGGCAGTAGCGGCAGCGGTTGCAACGGCGACGGTGACGTCCGCGCCGCCCCCGCCACGTCCCCAAGCGCTGCTGTCACTGCACCCGCCGCCGCTGCAACCCCCCGCAACAGCTGCAACACATGCTGCCGATGGTGCTTCTTGCAGCCGGGTTGGTGTTGACGGCGGCCGGGGTGCGGAGGTAGGGTACCCGCAGAACGCTGGCAGTGGCGGCGGCCGGTCGAGGCGGGATAGCAGCAGTGGCGGCAGCAGCGGCGCCGGTCGCCGGTCTCGCCGTAACTCTGCGGACGGCGCCAACGCTCGGCTTCAGTACAACACCCTGACGCCGCCGCTGCCGATGCAGAATGCGATTCAGAACCTGGGTAGCCACAACAATGCCGGTAGTACGTCGGGCAACGGGGTGACAGCAGGTGCCGCTGCTGCTGCTGCTGTTGATGGTGGAGATCTCGTGTCGGCTCGCCCGCTGACAAGCCGGGGATGGTGGTCGCCGCTGCCAGCAGAAGAGTGCTCGGCGCTGATCTCTGCTGCTGCGGCTACTACTGCACCGACCGCAGCGCCCCCGCCGCCGCCCCCAATGCCTCTCAGTCTCCTCCGCCGCTCGCAAACCGGCGAGCGGGAGGCAGCGCAGGGAGATGTAGATGTGGGTGCAGCAGCGGACGCTTCCTCCTACGCTTCCCATGCCTCGGACCTCTCCACCACGCATCAAGCGGAGGGACGGCAGCAGCTGCTACGGCAGCAGTTCCCACCACCGCCGCTGCAAGGCCTGGCGTCCTCTGCAGCATCGAGGAGCTGGCTGCCCCAAGGGCCGATACCGGTGCCGCCCCAGCCATCCGCAGGCCTTTGGGCAGGATTGGAACATCCCTCCGGTGCAGCAGGCGCCTCTGCCTCTGCCGCTTCCAGCGCTCAACAACGGCTGTTCAACCGGCAGTCCTTCTCAGCCTCGGCATCCTTTTCCCTTCCGAACGACCCATGGGACCGAGCTCCGGCGTCCATGCAGACTGCCAACACGACCCCCAGCAGCAGCAGCGATAACAACCTCCATAACCTCAACTTGCACCCCCACTTCAGCGCGAGCTCCCCTGCATTGCTGCTTTCCCCACAGCACCAGCAGCAACCGCACCCCCAACCGCAACTGCTGCATGCAGCGTCGGCGTATGTAACAACAGGGTCAACAGAGGCTGGGGGATTCACCGGCTTGATCAACAGCAGCAGCAACAACAACAATGGCAGCGGTAGCGGCGGTGGCGGTGGTGGTAATGCTGGCAGCAGCAGTGCCGTGAGTACCTCTGCGGAGGCTTCTAAGCGGCTGCTGCAGCTGTGTGCGGCGTCTCGGGCGCCGCCTGCCGCCAAGGTGCTCCAGCTGCTGCAGGCGGGAGCCAGCCTGGCAGCCACGGAAAAGGTAAGACCATGAGGAACGAGGCTTGGTACGGAAGGCAGTGAAGGGACGCGTTGCTTTTCCTTTGTGGTGCAACCAACTACCCCCCATTTGCATGTAGGGCATGTGTTCTAGCCCACACATGTGTTGTTCCGTACCCAGCTCCCCTCCCTCCCCTCCCCTTCCCTTCCCGTTGGCTACACGCAATCCTATAATCCAGCCAAACGCGGAGTATGTATCCCTATTCCCCCCGCCGTGCTCCCGCAGTCCGGCATGAACGCGCTGCACATGGCATGCTACTGGGGCCACGTGGAGGCGGCCAGGCTGCTTCTGCTGCAGCAACAGCAGGGCCTGCCGCAAGGCGGAGATCTTACAGCAGCAGCAACAACAACAACAGTAGCAACAACCGCAACCGCAGCGGCTGCTGCTGACCGGGAGGGCCGTACGCCGCTGTGGGTTGCGAGCCAGCGGGGAAACCTAGAGCTCGTGGAGTTGCTGCTGGCGGCTCTGGTGGTGGGAGGAGGAACTGGCAATGGTGGTGGAAAGGCTGCCGTGGATGCAGCAAACGCGGTAAGTCGGGTGAGCGGTGGTCCGAGCGGTGGGTACGGCAGAACGCATGCTGCTGCTGCTGCTGCTGCTGCTGCGACGGGTGCTGTAGCGGGTGCTCTAGCGGTTGCTCTTAAAAACGGTTGCTTATTTAAGCTTCCTAGAAAGCAAAAGCAACTACGAGGCTTGCACGCATGGCTACTTAACCTGTTTCCTCCCGCCCTGCTTTGCTTATGTGGTGTAGTCCGGCGTTACGCCTCTGCGGGTGGCGGCGGCGCAGGGGCATGCGCAGGTGGTGGAGCTGCTGCTGGCGGCGGGGGCGCGGGTGGACGCGGCGGACAAGGTGAGGGGCGTACCGGTAGTAGAGCTGCTCCGGTGTTCCGCTGCTTTGTCACTTCGCACACATGCTCATCTCTTGCCTCCGCCCGCTCCGACTACTACCGTGGGTCATACCGTTGCGAATCTTGCGATATAACGACCGGCAACCTACCGGTAATACACACTACCTCCCCCTGCCCATGCCTCCGCTCCCCCAACCTCAGGACGGCTTCACGCCGCTCTACGTGGCATGCGCCCGCAGTCACCTGGAGGTGGTGCGGCTGCTGCTAGCCGCCGGAGCTCCGCCGGACCGGGCCGACAAGGGGCAACGCACGCCGCTGTGGGCCGCGCTGCACCCGGGCGGTACGGCAAAGGCGGAGGCATGTCCGGAGCGCCGCGCGGCGGTGGTGCGGGCGCTGCTGGGGGCGGGGGCGGATGTGTATTTGCTGCCGGATGCACGCGACCGGGACTTGTGTTGGCAGCTGCTGGCACACAGCATTGCAGAGGGGGGGTGATGGAGGGGGATGGAAAGGTGTGCGTGGCTGTGGAGTTCCAAGTGTTGTTGCTGGCATGTTGCGGCTATTTGGTTGCTCCTTGTGGCCCAACTGTGGTTGGATGTGTTGCTGCTTTTACGTAGATAATGACTGCGCGATGGTTGTGGGTTATCGACCCGCCTTACCGGATCAGGCATGCCGCTCAGCAGGAGGTGCAGCATCCTGTGATGCAATTGCAACGAGAGGCCGTACGGCATGTGCGATGACCGGTGAACGTTGTATGTAGTCGGACGTCGCCGTAAACGCCCACATACCATCCGTACCAGCTCGCTGAGTCCTTGCAAGGCAAAGATGTACGGCCATCGCCGTACTTGGTGTACTAACACAAGGATACGAGCTGTGTCGCTCTGGTGCTACACTGTTTTCACACTAACTCGCACATACAGAAGCCATCAGCGTGCATTTAATGTAATAACTAAAGCGCAGAGTCTATTAGCTACTGCCTTAACTACGCTGCGCCCAATACGGTCGTCGACCACACCTTACAACTGCCGCCACGTGGAACATGGAGCGGCAACCGTTAACCGTCGCCATAGTGCCGGGTGAGGACTGAGGAGGACCCATGCAGTTAGGGAGCGCCCCTGGAATGTGTGCCCTCTTTTGCTACGCTCGGCGTTTCCGACAGCCCGTAAGCAACCACCATCCCGTCCGCAACCCCTCTTCCGCTCCACTTACCGGTGCCTTGCCTAACTAGGCAACGGCGCAGGAGACGTTGAGGAGTGCAACTGGTATGGATGGCTGCAAGCCCAGCTGCAGACCCGGTGGCAGCCCAGCCAGCAGCAGGTCCGTGTCATGCTGCGGAACATGCCCGACCCGGTGCGCGCTCGAGAGTCGAAATGGCTGCCTTTCATGGCTGAGCAGCTGCACTGCGGTGAGAACAGCATCATAGTAGGCCACAGCAGCGGAGCGGCAGCTGGAATGCGCTTCGCGGAAACGCACAAGGTGCTCGGTTTGGTGCTGGTGGGCGCGTACGTGAGCGATCTGGGCGATGCTAATGAAGCCGCTTCGGGATACTTTAACAGGTATAAATAACATCTGGTAACCGAATCGTTGCTCGAGGATCGTTGATTGGAGAGGCTCAACCGAAAAATGCGACAACCTAAGCGAGCAGAATCTGCTGTTGCTCTGTGTTCGACTGTATCACTCTTGCAACTTGCTCCGTTCGGTAATGCGGCTGAGTATGAAAACAGTCATACACTTCCCAGGGCCAACACTGCTGCCGCACCCTTCGCAGGCCGTGGCAGTGGGACAAGATTAAGGAGAACACGGGTTTCATTGTCCAGGTGAATTTGAACTCCGCTGCAAATCTGCCCCAGGGGCGCTGCTTCCCTGCATGCCCCTCCTCGTAACCCGCACGCAAAGCGTCACCCCCGGTTCTATCCTACCAAGTACCAACGCAGCACAACCCCGCTCCCGCCACGCCTCCTTTCCGCCCCCATCCCCCCCACTTGCTGCCTGCCGAGCCTGCACGCAGTTCGCCTCCCGCGACGACCCCTTCCTGCCCTGGTCGGAGCAGCAGCAGGTGGCTGCACGCCTGGGTGCGCAACTGCACGCCTTCAGCGACCGGGGACACTTCCAGGACGAGGAGCAGCCGGAGCTGCTGCAGGCGGTGAGCGAGAGGCTGAAGGCGGCCCTGCTGGGCTAGTGCATGTGGACACACCACTTCATAACCCTTGTTCCCGTTTAGGGGACCATTGTAAGATTCGCATCAATTATTCATTCACCTTACTGGTGGGTCCTCCGTTATACTCATGGCTGCCTGGAGTGCCGTTCGGAGTGTCAGGTGCAAGGGACAGCTTGTGCACAGGTGCTTGCATCGTAATAGTGCGGGAGTAAGGATTGGGAGATTGGTGTGTTGGTAGGGACATGGAAGTGTGTGGTGGGAGGCGTCAGCGAAAAGTAGACGAGGACGAGGAGGGAGGAGGATGTATGTGGAGGGCGGTGGTGTGTGCTTTTGCAGGTGTCAGCCAGGTGTCAGCAATTGGTTTGTTGATGCGGTGCTCTGGAGGTAGGGATCGCTGCTAGATCTACAGTACACGATGTCAGCTGTGCTGTAGAAAGCTGGACGGCGGGCCGGCAGCACGGTCTCTGCGTTGATGGTGGTAATGTGTATCGGGTAGCCGAAATGGGGCGGGATTTCGGCAGCTGATGGACTGTGGCTGCTGCCGCAAGACGTTGTTATGTGCGGTGCGTGCGCATGTAAGGAGAAATGTGCGCACACTGTATCTTTGGAAGAATGCACATTGGCGAAAAAATCCATGCTTATACACGTGTTTGTCCTGCCTTAATGGTACTCCCCAAGCTGGGACACTCGATATTGCTTGCGCTTACGGGTTACGGCATCCCTTCGTAGTTGACTTCTCCCTTACGATTACGCCTACCAATAAAAGGTATACCTATCTAGCCAGGGTTACAGTGCCAGGGTTACAGAGACGGCAAGATCATACAGACGGGCGTGACGGACGGGCTTTCGTCCTGCATAATTAGGTATGCCGTACGTCGCCAAAATATGCAACGTATACAGGCGATCATGCCGACTGGCTCTCATAGTATGGTACGTAGTAAACTGTGCTTTGGGAAACATGTGCAGAAGACTTGGGGTGTACTTAATAAACTTTCGACTTCAACTGTAGTGCTCTTGAGGCAAAAGTTGGCATCCTGTTAACAATAGGCAGGTAAATCGTTGACTTGATGGCACATTAACTCCAGAAACATGATAGTGTTATCATCGTCTTCGGCGTCCTCCTTGTCGGAGACGCCGTCGTTGCTGTCGGTCTTAAAGGCACTACCAGCGGACTGCGTGCGCAACAACTTGGTATCCGCTTTCGGCAGGTGAGCTTCCGTTAAGGCGCCTGGAACCCGTCAGGGCTTGCAGCCTTGCAAAGCGCAACGAACCATTGTAGTCTCTATAGTAGCTTCAGTTACTATGCAAGCGCTTCAACCTGGCTGAAGCGGCCGTGACGGAGCCCTGTTGTTAATGCCCGCAGGCTGACCGATGCCAACTGCAACCGTGCACGTCCGCCCATCGGCAGCCATCAATGGCTGCCCGGCCAATGGACGCCTGTGCTCTATGGCATCTCCCGCGAATGGCGCACATACGCGCGCTGCGTTCTCACGCATACCCTCACCGTAGACCTCGCCATTACCGTCTCTCTACAGCGCCCAGGCGTCGGCAACGGCCTCTCCGCTCTGGAATCCTTCCTCTCCAACTTCCCTAGCCTCCAGCACCTAACCCTGCTTGCCGGAAACGGCGGAGCACCCGTAGACGATGGCGCGAAGCCGCCCAACAGCCCCGCCTACGGTAACAGCAGCTCCCTGCTTTCCATGGCAGAGGCCGTCAGCGTAGCGCTCGCAGCCCAGCAGCTCCTCCGTCTAGACCGCCCGGAGCCCTCAGCCGCCTCAGCTTCCGCAGCCAGCCAAGGGCCCCGCCTGACCTCCCTGGAGCTCCGCCTGCACCCAGCAGTCTGGAGGACGCTGCGCGGCGCCGACCCAGATGACTTTCTGCAGCGCCTAGCAGCAGCTCATCCCTCCCTGGAGGGCCTTACGCTGCATGTGGCTGTGCCGGCACCGCCCGGCGCGAGTGTGGCAAGCAGTCCGGCGCCGGCAGGGGCGAGTATGTCGGGCGGGCCGCCGGTGGTGGTGAGCGTGGCGGCGCTTGCGGGTCTTCCGGAGCTGCAGCGGCTGCACCTGGGGGGCCCTATCGTGGTGGAGGGGCTGGCGGCGCTTACGCAGCTCAAGGTGGGCTGGGGCTGGGGCTGGAAGGGGAGTTGGGCTGAAACTGGGTGCGTAGATACACAGGAGTGGTGAACTGGAATCCCAATCCCGTGAAGGTGGGGAGGGCTGGGATGTGGGTTGGGCTGGAATGCGGGTCGAAAAGGGAAGAGGGGTGTGCCGCCTAGAAGAGACGGCAGGAGAGGTGCGTTGCCATGGAGGGTTCCTGGCATGATGGGGCTCTTGTTGTGAGGCTCATGAACAAGCTATGGTTGCTGGATGTGGCAGGTTGCAGGTTGCGCGCAGGTACCGTGTCTTTAAAACACGATCCGCACCGCCCCGTCATGGTTCCCGGGTACTGCGCATGCCACACACATGCCCTCCGTTTCCCCCTGCCTTCCAAGCCCATGCTGACCTCATCATCCCTCCTTCTTCCCCCCTCCCTCATGCCAGGGCTTAACCCTTGAGGGCATTGTTCCCCCTTCAGCCCACCGCGCCCTGCCCTTCCTCACCGGCCTCACCAGCCTCCGCGTCTCAGACAGCCACCAACGGCCCTACGCCGCCAATCCCTCAGCCACGCCGGCCCTACGCAACGCCGGCGGCGCTGGCGCGAGCTTTAGCGCCTCCGCATCCCCCTCCTCCGCCCTCGTTCTCCACCAACTCCGCCGTGACCCCACCGTCAGCGCTCTACGTCTGCGCGTGCTGCACCTCCCAGACGTCCGCCTCTCCCCCAAGGAGTGGGCATCGCTGTCGCGCCTGGCTCCCACGCTCCTAGAGCTGGAGCTCGCAACCGTAGTGACCCGTGGGTCACGACCCGACGCGAACTCTCGGAACAACAGCGGCGGGGAGCTGCAGGGCATGGAAACCCGACCCACGGGGGGCTCCCTCGCCACAGCCGCAGCTGCCATTGCGGCTGCCATGCCCGACTGGTTCGTTCGCGCGACGGTGGGGGACGAGGCAGCGTACAGCGGCGGAGGCAGCGGCGGTGCGAGGTCAACCAACAGTGGCAGCGGCGGCGGCGGTGGCGCTGCCGCGCAGCGACGTCAGGCTAGCAGCAGCGTGACGGAGGTAGAGCACAACCGTTTGTTGGCGGTAGTTGGCGGCGGCAGCGGCCGCCGCATCGCCTCCGCCACGGCTGCGGGGACGCCCAAGGGCGGCGGTGCTGCTGCTGCTGTGAACGGCGGCGGCCGAGGCGGGCCGGCCCCCTCCTCCCTGTCTTCCGCCTCCAGCTGTCCGCTGCTGCCGGGTTTGCGGCGGCTGGTGCTGTGGGACTATCACGAGGCGGGGCAGCTGGTGGAGCTGCTGAGGCTGCTGCCGGACCTGCAGGAGCTGCATGTGGGTGGGAGGGGGGTGGGGGGAGGAAATAAATGAAAAGTGAAGCAACGGAGTCCCAATCCCCTGACCGTCAGGAGGGGGTAGCTAGGGGTGCATGTGGGTGGGAGGGGAGCGGGGTTAATTTGCTGTTGAGGACAGGGGTAAAAGCCCTTCGGTTCCTCTTGTTCTGTCTCTCCCGCGCTATTCCCTGGTCCCTTACCTCTCTACCTCCATCCTCACTCCCCGCACCACACCCTCATCCCCTCCGCTCCAGGCTGGCCTCCTGCTAGACGACCCGCCGAACTGCCCCGCCGCTGCTCTGCGTCCCGCCGCCGTCGCCATGCTTCGTCCCCTGGTGGAAGCCCTGCGGCCGTTGCGTGATGTACGACTGACGGTTAGCTGTGACCCGGCGGCAGTGACGGGGCAGCTGGCGTGTGTGTTTTTGATGGAGAGCGGGCTTGCGGCGGTGGCTGGCATCCGGGGGCTGTCGCTGAACGTGTGGGTTGCGGCTGAGGTTCAGCTGGGCAGCCTGGCAGCGCTGGCACAGCTGAGGAGCCTGGAGCTGACGTTGGGGAAGCAGGAGCAGGTGGGCAGGGGCGGAGGAGAGGGGAGGTGGTGGGGAGGTAGGGAGGTGGTAGTGGTGGTGGCTGTGGGCTTGTGGAGGGTTATTGGAGGTGGGCTGTGCGGTTTCGGGTGTGGGGAGTTGTGGGGTCTTGAACTATCTTGACGTGTTAGTTTGCACCAGACTGTCCCTTCCTTCTCAACGCGTCCTTCAACGAATCAACGAATCCCCCAGGAATCGGAGCTGTCCGTGCTAACGCGGCTCGAGCGGCTGTCGTACCTTTCGCTTCGCATCACCCCCGGCATCTGGAACGAGATCCAAGGCCGTACTGGCCGCGTCACTGCGGGCGCTGCGCTGCGCCTTGCCATGTCCTTCGCGGCTGGCCAGGTGCTGCTGCTGGTGGCCGACGTGCACCGGGAGATATGCGAGGACGAGGCGATCTCACTGGTTAAATCCGTGGAGATGACGACGGGGCAGCCCGGGGCCGCGTGGGCCGTTTCGGCGTGGGTTGAAGAGACGGCGGAATACATCATGGGATTCGGGCCGAGCGCGGGGGGGTCCGGGACGATGGGAGGGGGCGGCGGCGGAGGCGGAGGAGGGGATGGGGTGGTGCTGAGGGTGGTGTGGACGCCGGAGCTGGTGCGCCGGCTGCTGGGGGTGGTGGCTGGGATTGAGGGGGGTGCGTGTGGGGGGCTGGCGGTTAGTTTTATGGGGGCGGAGGAGGAGCGGCTGGGGCGGGTGCTTGGGAGCTAGGGGTAAAGAGGAAGCAACTAAGTGATCGTGTGTTAAGGCGTCATCATGGTTTGCAACATGTGAGCCAGCCCGACCCGACCAGCTCGGAGCTAGGGGTGGTCGCATGGCAGCCGTTGGGAACCGTGGAATCACAGGTTGAGACCTGGCCAAGTGGTGTTGGGTTTGAAGTTGGGGAGTTTGGAGGGTTTGGACCCCCGGGAGGTCATGGAAGGGTTGGGGAGCCGGGCGGGTCGCGGGCTCGTGTGTCTGGTTCTGGCCCGGAGTGACGAGGTGGTGAGGTGGAGGTGTGGAGCCGTGCAGTAGCTACCACGGGGGGTGGTGCGCTCTTTTAAGCGTCAGTTTTCGATGGGCATGACCTGGGGGCTGCCTTCGTTTGACGTTTGTGGATTGTGGTGGTTGCGTGTATGTGTGTGTGAGAGAGAGAGTGTGTGTATTCGGGGTCGAGTGGGGCGAGAGACGGTCTGGGAAATTTTGGAGAGGGGTGCGTGATTAGGCGTAGGTATGGGCTTATGTTCGTATGTGCGAGGCTTTTTGGCTGCTTTATACTTAGGAGTTAGGACATGGTGGGGAGGGTATTGGGTGGTTGATTCGGCGTGCCCTGGATTGGTGATGGCGGCTGCTGCTGCCCTATGGCTCTGCTTAAGTGGACTGCTGCTGAAGTAGTCATCTCTGCATGGCGGCTGATGGGCAGGTGGTCGGGGCTTGCGAACCACTGCAAAGGTAGTTACCTACATGTTACCTTCATCAATTCCGAGTGTGTTACTAGCTGCGCAGATTGGATGCGACCTTGCGAATTAGTGAGCGTTTCCCATTAGCAAGACGACGATGGCCTGGAAGTGAAGGGCCTGGCAGTTCAGGGGCGGAGGGTCGGGAAACGACCGAAGCCCTGTTGTGTTGGCGGTATCGTAGTAAACCGTGCGCTTCATTACCGGACGCCCCAACACAACTTGCTGCAATGTTCCTTCCTCACGCGGTTGGGGGAACCCGTAACGTACATTTAGTCCGCAATGTGTGTTTGTATGTGGGGTCTAACAACTGGATGGTGGTTGGTGTCGGTTGAGTTAGTGCGTTGGTCTCTCGAGTTCGCATGCCTTTTGAACCGGCATCCCATGGGGCATGCCGCAATCATTGGGAAGGTCATGGGGACCCGGACTGCGTGTTTCCTCCACTCGCATGCGTGATTAGGACCACTAGTGGTCTTTGGAGCTGCCCCATACGTTGCTGCATGTTGACATGGAAATGGCGCGCGAAAGGCCATGTTGTGTTGTTTTGTTAGGCTACCGTCTGACCTACCTCCAGCAGTAGCCGTACGGTTATGTCGATCTCAAGTGTTTTCTCTTCTTTGACGGTTTGCGGCTGTCATTTGTTTGCCCATGAGTACCTTTCGTTTCGGGATTTTTGGAGCCTCCGCCCCAACCACGAAGCCTCGGGTTGCTGTGCTGAATGGGCTCCGCATCATTCGCAAGGTTGGCAAGGGACATGGCCACGGGAGTGGGGAGCGGTGCGCACGGCACGCTGCGTTACCGTGGCTGCCTGGTAAGGCCCCGGCCTCACGCTGTCTACGCCGAGTGTGATGGGGGCTTCACTTAGGCAATTTGACTGCCGGCGGCGAGGCGCATGCATGGGGGTGCAGAAGCAGACGTGAGGGAAAGAGGAAGAAGGGCAGGTTGTCGAGGGCAAGGCAGAGGCGAACCGAGCGGGAACCGAGCCGCATGGCCGTGGAGTGTTTGGTTATAGGCAACAGGTTCAGCTTTTTGCCGTTGCGCCGCACTGCGTGTGCGTGTTGCTGGGGAGCTGAATAGCGGCAGCATATGGGTTGGTAGTTCACGGGGTTAGGAGTGAGGCGCGGCAAGCTGCCGGAACACGGCCGGGTGTTAGGGGTTTAAAGGCGTAGACGAGGCATATGCTGGAATGTTCCTAGCTAGCTGTGCACCCTGTTGCAGAGCCGAGCCGCGTGATGCCGTGGAGCTTTTCCAGGGGTTGTGAGGGTTAGGAAGGAGCGGCCTTGCCGGTCAGCCATCGTAACGGTGAGTTGGGATGGCATCAACCTCGCTGGTTACCGTATGTTGAGGCTGGCGGCGGAGGCTGCGCGTCTAGCCAAGACCAGTTTGCCCAGCCGGGCCATGGGGACACGCAGGCGGACTTCTGGCCGCACCCTTCACCCCGAAGGACAGCCGGGGGGGCCGGACAGCCGCGGGGTGGGGCCGTAGCACAAACAACTTGGTCACTGCCAATTGTGGCGCGTCTGGAAAACAGGACAATCAATCCACGCACTGATACATATGATACATATGATCATCAGGCAGCCGACTGTAGCACAGCCGCCGCCCGCACAGCCGCAGCAACCGCCACCCCAACAATAGCCGGCGCCGCCGCATGCTGTCAACGCCCTCGTCAGCAGCGACCTCCTGTGCCCTCTGCACTACAGCTGGTAGCCACGCCCCGGGCCCGGTGCAGTCCAGGCATCCGCCCGGCTTCCCGGCCGTGCGGTCGGGCGCCCTGCCGGCCAGGTCGCGTCCGGAAGCCGGGGCGGTGTCGCTGCGCTCCGCCGGTGTGGAGCGGGAAACCGGCCCCAACGCATGTGCCCGGTCGGAGGACACCGAGATGCCACCCAGAACCAACCAAGCATTCTCGCGGAAGGGACCTCATCACCTCTAATGAACTAGTTGGCAGCTGGTAAGGCCTAAGTAAGCGGAAGCGGGAATCCCCATGGCGGGTACCGTACACCCAGGTCTCTGGTGCAGCGTGCAGGCCGTGCAGCGCAGCAGCGGTCGGTGCAAGAGCGTCATACAACTGAATTTCCAACTTTGGTTCAAGCGATGCAGGCCCATTGGTTTTTGTATATATATCAAGTTACTCGCAAGGGTGCGCTAACGTGCAGCGACATATCGTTGACTCTCTTCCAAAGGTACAAGCGCACAAATAAGCTGCCGCTTTAAAAGCCAACGCTAATTCCAATAAACTTTACTGTGAAAGCGCACGACACCCGAACGGCACCTTGAGGGGAGCCAAAGGGCAAGGGTGAAGGGCCTGTGGATCTGTACCCGGGGGGTGCGGTGCTGGTCAGCGGCTGGCGGTGCTGGGAGGCAGGACATGGGGGGCGAGTCGAGTGTGTGGTGGGTAAAAAGGGTTCACCATGGGCGATTCTACGTTTGACGCGGCCCATCCCACCCCACCGAGTCGAGTGTGTTGGGGGGGATTGCTGCGTGCAGCAATGGGGCACAGTGGGACGAAGTGTAAGTTTTGCTTGTCTGATGAAACACGTTGGCATGGAGTATCCTAGATGTCAGGTTGGCACGGCGCAGCGCGACCTTTCGTTGACAACCTTCACCGACAGTAGGAGAGAGCACGCTGGGACCGGGCCTGATCCATGCCTGTAACCCTGGGCCACCGAAATGGTAGTCTGTGTTGGGTCTCCAGGGGTTTTCCGTTCCGCTGGTTTTTGTCTTCCTTTCCTATATCGGTAACTTCCCACATTGTAAAGATAGGTGGTGCCTGGCAACGACTCCGAGAACGTGCACCTAGCAATCTAGGATTTTCTCGTTCCGCTGCTAGGCATGTTGCAACATTAGCGGCCCGGCTGCTGTTCAGGGTTGAGGAGTGCCGTATTTGTTCGACATGATCCCGTCAACGATGATGGGTGTTAGGATTGGCTGGAAGCTCCAGAAACAGACTTGCGGTTGTGGCTTGTTGAATTGCTCGTTGCCGTTAAAGCCGTGAGGGCTGCTGGGGTAATGATGCATCAAATTGTTGAGCCCACATTGTAGTCGGGCAGCCTTGGTGGGAAGCTGTCCAATGTGGCTTGTCACAACTGGTTTGATAAATTTTACAAACTGGCGCAGCGCCCTTGTCTTCTGTAAGCCTCATGTCTTCTGTTAAGTGTCGCCTTGGCAAGTTAGCATGCAGGTGCCCCATGCAGTGGACTCTCCCGGGAGAAGGTGCATTCTAGGTGTGCACCCCAGATGTACACCGTACAGATCCGTCGCCTCATACCGTACAAGAAGGATCTCCACAGGCCCTTCCAAACCCATGGCCGCACCCGATGCACCATGCGCCACGGTCCCCTGCACACCTACCTCCTAACCGCCAGCCACCACGACTCCCTCAGCAGCACCCCTCCCTCCACCCAACCTCCCTGATCCCGCACCAGCTGCACTCAACAACCCAAGCGTCTAATGTCATTTTCAAAGTCCCAACGCGCACTACACAGCCCAGTTCCGTGTTGGTGTGCCCCCAGAGCACAACGCCTCCTCTGCTTTCCTCCTCCAGGCGCTCGCCATCCTCCTCTTCCATGCTCTCCTCCTCCATCCATGCTTCCGCCAAATACCGCTGGGACACATTCCATGCCCTGTACCCACGCGGTATCGCCTTCCGAATGTCACCCGCGCCCTGAAGTCTTCCTTCTCCTGGTGGGGTTCTTCTTCTCCTGGTGCTAACTAACCGCACCCCTCTCGTGACGTCATGTGGGCAGTCCGCCGCCGCCTTTCGGGAAGTGCCAGTGCGGTGGAGGTGCGGCCCTCAGAACTGCGGGATGCTGTCCCACCGGAAGCCGGGCCAGCGCTTCCACGCACCATACGCCAGGTAGGTGTGATAGGCGCCTGCTCGGGGTGAAGAAGGCGGAAGTACCGTCATGGAGTAGCGCCGAGGGGAGAGTGCTCTTGACCATTCGGCTGAGGGTCAACCTGAGCCAAACCGGCAGTTGCGTGCGTCAGCATGCAGCAACCCAACCAGCAGCCCCCACTGAGGTGAGCTGTGGCCTAGCGGTTATGCAGGTGCTCCCGATTACGGCACAATAAGCCAGTCATGTCCACACAATGAGTAAAGAAGGGCGGTACCGGTAATAAAGGTTGCGGATAAGTGCCGTTAAAACGGAGTGAACAGCCCCTCCCAGTCAGGCAGTAAGACGCCACATGCTACGAATTGGCGCGCAGCCATGACCGTACCTGGCATGAATGTCATGAAGCCCAGTATTGTGAAACCAATCTCCTGCGTGCACAGGCAAGAAGTGAGCCAATAAGCCACCACCCTCCTAACCGTGTGAAGCCATTCTGTTCAATGTCGGTACTGTGTTGCAGTGCCATGGGGCCGCACTGCTGCTGCTGAACGGGGCAGCCACGTGTGGGACTAGGAACAGGGACAGCTTTTGTCAGGACAGTATTTTAGGGCTTGTCGTGACTCCTGCGTGGCAAACTCACCGCCTGCTCCTTGCCTAGCACACGCTGCGTGAAGTGCAGCCATGCTGCCACGAAGGCGAAGATGCCAAAGACCATCAGGAATATCGCCAGTGCGATGGATGCCTTGGGGACTTCGGGCTCCGGAGCCTTGAAGCGGAGGTCCTCCCCCTGCGCACGGTTGGGCCGGATTTAGCCAAGCATGTTGGCATGTGGCTTGGGTAAGACGCCCTAATCTTCAAGCCAACCTTGCTATACTCGTCATGATCTGGAGGTAGCCGCGTGTAGCCTGAGCGAGTGCGCATGGTGGACGAACCGGCCCACGGGGCCCGCGGGGCCCAGATCGTGACGAAGTCCTTGCGGGTTAGAGTCTAGTAGTCGATCAATGTATGAGAAGGCTCGCGCTACAAGATAGTGCATGAGTCGTCGTTGTTGGCCAACGGAAATTGGGTGCAGTACGCAAAGCATGACTTGCCCCTAAGAAGCATTTTAATAGACAGTTGATCACAATGTCGATCTGTTCAATAGCTCACAGTTTTCTTCTAACGCTTCCCTGCGCTCGGGCACCTTCCTCCATATCCAACAGTTAGCGTTGATTGACCTCAGCGACTGACCATTAGCTTTGCGATTACTTATATTTGTATCGAGCCTAAATTAGTCGTAAGCATTGGCAGGGTGCGTCGTAAGGCATGAGCAGTCAAGGACTAGGTGTTGGTATACCTAGCCAACCCGGCTCTTTGCTAGCACAAGGGGCCGGAGCTGCGGAGGTTAAGCTATATAGCAACAAGAAGGAGCAGGCGCTGTATGAGAGTTATGCTGGTAAGGGTTTCTGGGATGGTGAACAACAGTTCCGCACGTAATGCACAGCGGCTCCCTGCGCTCAGACCTATATGCCATCATCAAGACCACTGAAAAGCTCGAGCGGGCCTTCGTGCGGGATGCCATTGGCGCTGAGCAGTACGAGGAGGCATGCGGCAAGCTTATAGGCCAGTTCAAGGTGCTCTGGGGATCCATGAAAGACACGGTAAGCCGCAATGCCATAGGAGTCTCGCAACCTACGGGCACGTCAGTCCTCAAACCCCACTGCCGAACTTATACACCTGGCTTGGTGCGTATCACCAGTACCATACATGAATACAGCCGCTGCATCCCTGTCCCCCTCGCCTTCACACCCCCTCATGTCCCTCACCCCTCCTGTCGCCTCTGCAGGTCCCCAGCGTTGAGAAGTTCATGTCGGACTACAACATGCAGTGTCCCATGGCCGCCACCCGGCTGCTGCATTCGGGGCTTCCCGCGACTGTGGAGCACCGAACTAAGCAGAGGTGAGGGAAGGCTCAGGCGTCAGGTGGGAAGCCGGGCGTCAGGCGGATGCGAGACATACCTGTCAGCTGTCACACCATGTCAGGTTGCCAATCGACGCCTCCTAGCTGAAGCGCTGCATGGGTGGGGCGGCGACACGGCTGTGCAGCCGGCATGGCGTTCCCTGCTTTCTCTCCCCGATACCAGTAGATTGGCAGTTCTAGCGCCGCTCCGTTGCACGCCCTACCCCACAATATCCCCACCCCGCCTCGCCCCCCGGCTCACCCGCTTTGCTCCTGCCCTCCACCCTCCTCCCTGCCCTCGTCTCCCCACCAGCCGCGCCAACGACCCCGAGGCGGTCGCGGTGGCTGAGACGGTGCAGCACTTCATCACCGCCATGGACTCCCTCAAGCTCAACCTGGCAGCTGTGGACCAGGTGCGCGGGGCCGGCGGGGTGATGAAGGGGGGGTCAAAGACCATACCAAACCATAGGAGATCATAGGGGGGGGGGCTGCGGGATGCGGGTTGAGGAGGGGAAAAGAAGGATACCCAGTGTGTGCGGGGTGATAAGGGGGCTGCGGGATGAGGTGCAGGGGTGCGCGTGGGGTGAGGGGCAAGGGTGGGGCTGATGAGGAGAATGAGGGGCTCTGGGCCCGGACAGGGAGTGAGGGCCGGTGGGAATGAGGGGCCGGTGGGAACGGGAACAGGAAAGGCCGGAGGTGCCCCACAACAACATGGTCGTACGCTGAGCTGCTCCCCCCATGTTGTCGTACGCCCTCCGTACGACAGATCTGCCCGATCCTGCTGGATCTCATCAACAGCATGGACAAGATCCAGACGTTGCCTCCCGACTTTGCTCCGCGGGAGAAGGCGCGCATGTGGTACAGCAAGCTTTACCAGAAAGCCGCCAACTACGAACTGCCGGAAGACGATGTACGACAACTGATGTACGAGCTTGAGGCGTCGTACAACACGTTCCTCACGACGCTGCGGACAAAATAATGAAACGTCGCCTGGCTGCTACGGAGGACGCGTACTTTCGTTGTGGTGTCATCGTCGTCGTTGTGCGGCGGCGAGTGGTGAGTTGGCCGTGTGTGTTAAGAAAACTGGCCGCGAGTAGGAACGTACTGGGATGTCGGAAGATGAAGTCCCCACAGAACCGCCGCAGGAGCCGAGGAAAATGGTGGCGTATGTACATATATAAGTCCAGTACTGGTGCTGAGAGGAAGTAGGACGTAAGAAACACGCTCGTAAAGCGACCGGACCTAAACACCGTGTGTGGTGTCCCTAGGTGTTTTAGGCTGTCGGGTTGCACTGCTGCGTGATGACGAAGGTGCCGGTACCGCCAGCGGCGTTTACTTATGTTTTTAGCCGTGTATGACATGACTTACCTACTTACTAATCAGGCGCAACCAAACGGTGCAGCCTATGCGTAGCCGAAGGCAGAGTCAGATCCGTTGCGTGTTGCTGCTTGTCTTAGTTCTTATCGGTTGGCTTGCTTGGCCGGGAGGATGCGCAAGGAGGAGGAAGAATACCAGTACCCGGACATGGCATCACGGGTCTGCGTTGTAGCTTTCGCCCTGCTTCTGGTTGTTTTCCGTTTTCGAAAGGGGTTGCCAGACGATTTAGGACACATCGCACAGCAGGCGCCGTGCGTGTATATAGCGTGTTACTAAGGAGGGTATGGACGTAGGTTTTGCTAGTACAGGCGTCCTAAAAGTTCCGTTTCGGCAACCAAAGGCGTGGCAGCTACTGTTGCGGCTCACACGGTATCTTTTTGCACCTGCTAGGCCAGACGTCCGTGCGGCCATCTAAGCGGGTCCATCCGGGTTCGCGCCTAGGTCTGTAACTCGCTTCATGGTATGAATCGTGTCTTCGTGTGCCTGCTTACGTAAAATACTTACCCCTCAGTTCAGCAACGTGAGCTGCACATTGAAGATGCAAACCACAAGCAAACCTCCTGTGTGCCGGTCCTTCCACATCCCACTGCATGCACGTAACGCGCCAGGGAAGGAAGCTAGCCACAGTCCGCGACGAGCGCGGCACGCGTGCTGCACACACACGCACATGTCGCCCGCGCCTCCCCCCTGCTGCTTTGCCCTAACCTGTGGGTTTGGTAAATCTCTGAGCCCCCTGCTGCAAGCCCCCCCTCCTCGCCCATGGGAAAGGGGGCCACAGAGGCACTGCCCGAGCTGCGGAGCGGCTATGCTCTTGGCGGCACATCCCTCACTCCTTCCCGCCCCCAGCACCGAATACCTCCGCTCCTCGCACCCCTTCCCTCACAGACCCTTCACGGCACCTCATCATCACAACCTCAGAAGGGCTTCCTGGACCTCTTTTTGCCGCCGCGCGAGGTTCCGGAGTCCTGAGCCGCCTCCGCTGATTGCCGCGCCCGCCGGGGCCGGCCACCTGCGGCGAAGGCAGCCCCAGCAGGGGAATCCGCAACCTGAGTCGCCGCCGCCGTTGCTGCCTCTGCTGCCGGCCTAGCTGCTCCTGGGGCTAATTCCGCCGCCGCCGCTGTTGCTGCCGCCGCTGTTGCCGCGCTGCCCAACCCTTCCGCCGCAGCCATTACTGATGCCTTGCGCTTGTTGCGGACAGCTGTTGCTGTGGCGGCGGCAGCAGCATTGGAGAGCCTGGGCGGGGCTCTGGGCGCCAGCGGAATCAAGGTAAAGACGGGTTCCTCCTTGCCACCTGCACGGAATACCCAGTACCCAGCGGGGTCGAGTGGCAACGGTGTAATGCAAGGGGTAGTGGATAACCTCAATGGTGGACTGTGGAGGACTGTGGAGGGCACATACATGAGGTGGTGGCTGAGGGTGCTGGGGACAGGTGCCAAGTGCCGAGCAGGGCAAGCGGACTCTGTGTCTGAAACATGGGTGGTTGTTGCATGGTTGGTTGCACACGTCCTGCGCGCCCGCGCAGCTGGGAGGCGCCCGCAACCAGCTGAACCCTCTGCCATGTGGGCCCCCCCACCCGATTTCTGTTCCCATTGTTTTGCCCCAACCTGTGGTTTGGTCTTTGACCCCTACACCACCATGCAAGCGTCTGCCCCCACGCTGCCACGCACCCGGGCCCCCCGCCGACAGCTCCAGCAACGCAGCCGAACGGGGCAGCTTGAACCTCGCGGGACCTGCCGGGGGTACGGCGGGGCGCCGTACGTGAATGAGAGATCGGAGGTGACGTACCCCGTACTCCGTGCATGTACGACACACGCACACACATCACTCGCGGCCAGTTTTCTTAACACATCACACATAATCTAGTACCTTCCTACGCGCGGCCACACACAATCTCGCTCTAGGGGCAGGACAGCAGCAAGTACAGACAATTCGCTTGACGACCCGTTTTGCCTGCGCAGACGCGAGCGCGGCCTGAAACTGCTCTCAACAAGCAGCAGCTGCACTCCTGAGCCCTGACGTCATATGACCTCTGACCTCCCGACGCCATCAAGCTGCAACCCCGACACCTCATCAGTCATCACCGCCCCCGCCCCCCTCAGCCACCACCAGTGTTTCGATCTTCCCTCGATCACGATCGTGGACCACCACCTCTTCCTCTTACCCGCCGAGCCGGGGTTGTAGAAGTAGCGGCCTCCTTCATGCTTGCACGCCAGGCACTTGTGGCTGTGCCCAAACACCACGATGTGCGGGGCGAGGTGCTGAATGAGCGCCGCTGCCTCCGGCACCACTGTGTACGGCGGCAGTTGAAGAGAAAAGCCCCGCCCTTAACACCTTACCGGTGCAGCTTTGCCACCGGTACTCTAGCACGTGAACATGAGCACGGTACGCTTTCCAGGACGACCACAGAGCCCAAAACACAGGCCGGGCCCTCTGCCTTCCCCACCTGCATGGGGCGGTTGCCCCACGATGTGGGTGACTAGGATGCGCCAGCCGCACACCTCCAACAGCAGATGCGGAGCCAGATGGGATGGCCGTCGGAGCCCGGCAACACGCCGGCTTGCTGCTGCTGCTGCTGGCGGTGCTGGTGGTGCGGGTGCTGCTGGTGCTGGTGCTAGCGGTGCTGCTGGCGGCGGTCGGATCCGCTGTCGGCAGGCTTCCAAGCCTTCTGCTGCTGCTGTTGCATTCTGCAGCGTTGTCGGTGCAGCTGCGGCCGGGGCAGCCAGGTCTTGATTACCACCCCTGCAACAGCCGCCGCCGTTGTAGCTGTCGCCGGGGCCGGGGGGGCCGACCTTGTCGCGATGTACGGCATCAGCGCAGTCCTCTGACTCGCTGCTGGAAGTGGAAGCGTCGTCCACATTACCGCTCACAGCGTACACGGGTGCCACACGGCGTAGACGCGCTAGGACCTCTTAGGAGCGGGAAAGGAGAAGAAGAAGAAGAAGAACAGCTTTGTTGTGAATCAGACTGGCAACCCGGGGGAGAGAAACGTTGGGAACGCGGCAGCAGGGAGTGTACAGCAGAGGCTAAGAACCAGGACATTTTCAAAAATGCCTGGAACCAGTGTACGAGCTACGCCAACTTTCAGACTTTGCTCTTTTTGCAAATTCTTTTTCTCGGCGGAATGAAACGCACCTCGGTGGCCCCCGTGGTGACCCACATCGCCCGCGTGCAGGATGGCGCGAACACCGCGGAAGCGCTCCAGGACCTCGTCGCACAGCACGCCGTGCGTATCGGAAATAAGACCGATGAGAATGGGTCCTTCTGCTGCTGTTATGTTTGTTGATATAGTCGGTACTGGAAGAGGCTGATTTGAGCCCGCTGCTTCTGTCATTGTGGTTTCGGGCGGGGCTTAGGTGAGCCTGGTTAAGGAATGCTCGCGGCTTTGCGCCTTCCTGACGGCTTGCCGAGTCATATAAAGCTACTCAGGCTTTGCGTAAATAGCTAAATACCCAGTGAAAGCAAGAGCTTCGAGTGTCCGGCTTTCGAGAATCCAGAGGCGTAATTGAGGGAAGGCGCAAGCTATTCGGAAGGCTATGCCGTAGGCGTAAAGCTACATGGCCATTTCTACTTGACTTCGCTCCGTACATCTGTGTACGGCAGGCCAGATGTTTCTTTCCTCTCTGCATACTTGGCGGTGACCTTCGTGGCTGCAGGGCTTTACTGCCATGCGCGTCCGCGGATAATGAATGATTAATAATGGGCCAATGGCTAGCGCTGTGGTTGGTTTGGCGTCCCAAGACCCATGGGTCACTTGTGTGCTTCACCCTATGCGCATGCGCGTGTCCTTACTTATTCATGGCACTGTAAGCAGAATAGACGTGTGCATGTTGCTTCAAGCAACCCCGCATTCAGCGCAACTTCGCAATACACCAGTAGCCGAAATCATTCCGCGGAATGACCCTGAAATGATTTACCGGTAGATGCTTTGGGTCCCGAGGCCTCATAAACAGAGACCTGGCCTGAATGTGATGCTAAACAGGCCTACCGTGCCAACGGGCACGGTTCCAACCTCACGCTTGCAAAAATTACCGTTCACCTGGTTTACCTGCTATCGCTCCTTTGTTCCTCTCAACACACATGAATTCTTCTCAATGTTCCAGTGGCCATCCCAATCCGGCCTGTCGTGCACTCCCGTACCGCAGTGCTTCGCTAAAACGTACGTTGCACAGCGCCCATGCCATCAACACAGATTCACCGCCAGCACCGTCGTTCGATGTCTCTACCGGCAAGTTCCGTGCCGACAACACAAACGCTGCAATCGCAACTGCCAACCAACACCTCGTGCATGGTTGTGGCGACTGCACGGCGAAATGCCGCACATGTCCGCAAAAACCGTCTGCCATCTCTCTCTTGCCCCCCTGCAACGAAACGCTGAACTCGCAGTCCGTAACAATCTCACAGCACCCCTCTCCAGTTCTAAGCACCTTTTCTTCTCTCCTTTGCCAAGCCATGAATCATTTTGCTACACGGCTGATGCTCTCTCTCGACTTGCAGCGACATGCATAACAGCACACACCTCTCAACCTGTTGATGCCATTCCCTTTGCGAGCGCTTGGCAAGCGCACAAGCAAAAGCAAACGCAAGGCAACCACTCAACGCAACACCAACGCGCCATGTCGTGTAAAGACACAAGCTACAAAGCGTGTCTCGCTAACTCCTCACCCCTAAGCATATCCCCTTCAGGTGCCTCCTTGCCAACCCCATCACCAAGTCCCCACGGCTCAGTTTACCTCATACATCCCCACATCGCCTTCACTGCACGCTGGATCATGCGCCACAAAGCTCGCTCCCCAACGCGCAGTGCCTTCCCGGTCAGCCAAAAGGCTTCACACGCAACCACCCAACAGCGCCCTTCCCTTCATCAGCGCCGAATCCGGTAATGGTGTACCCGGTAGCACATACCCGAACCGAGCCGTGGCATGGCGCCGTGAAAGGTTCTCATTCACTCACTCACTTACGCCGCCGCCGCCTTTTGGGCTCCCAGCACGCGCGCCAGCGTGGCAAACGACATGCCGCCCACCACATTGTTGGCACCGCGGACGACAGCCTGTACGGCAGCGGCAACAACGTGGCAGCAGCAACAGCGTGACGAAGCAGCCGTGACGAAGCAGTCATGGGGGGAGGAAGGTTGGTCAACAAGCAGGTAAGCACCTACCCTACCCTATCCTACGCACCCATCAACCAAGCAGCACCCCTAATGCGGATGGGCCCTCAAACGAGGCTTCTTATGGGTTATAGCCTTGCTGCCAGCGCCCTTGTTACCCGCACCCAGCTCTCCCGCTGTGCATGCTCCCCTGCCGCGACGCACCTGGTAGAGGCGGAACAGCCCGACCGGCATGACCTTCACCAGCCCCGCATCCAGGCCGCCCAGCGTCTGATAGCGCAGGTTGGAGGACACGCCCATGTGTACGGCCCAGGTGAAGGCGTTGTACAGCACGTTGGGCGGCTCGTTCTGCAGCTTGAAGTTGGGGTCCATCTGCGGGGGGATGTGCGGGTGGATGTGTGGGTGCGAGGAGAGTTGGAGGGAGCTCGCGTTCAAACAACCGGTCCCACGGTGTCGGCACACACCCCAAGGATCACTCAGGACCGTTGTGGCAAGTTAAGAGGCTCGGGTGACTTTTTTCATTAAACGCGGTTGGCGCGTGCACACGCCCCCGGTGCACTCGCGACCACTTTTCTTAGCACACACCCGCAACCGCAACCGTAACCGCACCGCAGCCCCATTCACCCATCATCTCTCCACCTGGTCCATCCTCCACCTCTTCACATCGCTTCCTCCACACCCACCTTCTTCCTTAGCGCCAGCAGACCGTTCGACAGGCTGGTGCCCACGATGCCCGCGAAGAAGCCAATGACGGCGAACACCGCTCCCTTGTACGCCAGGTTGGTCAGCCGCTGCGCAGCGGTGAAGGCGCCCGGCTCGAAGCAGTTACCGCCTGCGGAGGGGAGGAAGGGCGGGGCCGTGGGAGGGAGGGGGCGCATGCATGCTTGATGTAAGCTGGTGTATTCTTTCTTTCTTACATATACTCAACCTCCATGCACCCCACAACACACTGCGGCCGTCATCACAGCCGACGTCACTCCTCGCTGCTGGCCGGGTTCAATAGACTTTTTATTTGACTAACTACACTACGTTACCCCGCCCGCCCGCGCCCCCCCCCTTCGCCGCTCACCTGGTGCTCCCCAGGCCTTGAGGTAGAAGTCCCCGATGAGCCGCGCCACCAGCGGCGTGCTGGCAGCTGACGCGGCCACCCCCGCGGTGGGTGCCAGCAGGAACATGATGGTGAAGTTCATGATGGATCCCACCTGGGGGGGCACAGCCGGACAGCGGGCAGCGGGCAGGTGGGGGAAACGTTACGACAAGTAAAATGGTAAAGGTGATACAGCAGTGGTGGGGGCTTCAGCAGCCGCCGTCTGATACAGGTATATGTGGAATGGGACCAAGAGCAGGCCAAGATGTAGGAATTGTAGGAAGGAGGAGGGGGAGGATTAGTGGTAGGGACGGCGGATGGGCAGGGAGGCAGGGGACTCACCACGAGCGTGCTGAAGATGAAGTCGAGCTCATTCAGACCTGCGCGAATGGCAGGGGTGCAGGAGCTGGGGTTAGAATTCAAGCCAGTCGCTGGGTTGCGTAAGCCAGCCGCAACAAAGGAAAACAGCCAGGTGCAGCGGTATAGGCCTCCTTCCGCTTGCCTCCTCTTAGTTCTAGTGCCGTGTACAGCCGCTGGGGATGCGAATAAGCAGCGGTCTAGGCTAGGCGGTAAGCCAGTAACAACCCTGCAAGCCGCCCATGCAGCATGTACGACGTACCCCAGTTGGGCCTTGCGCTCATGTCTCCGATGACGCAGGCGCCCACTCCAATGATCTGCTCCATGAGGACCTTAATGGGGAACTCCGGGTCGTAAGCGACACGCTCCTCCCACCCCCGGAACAGCCCGCTCTTCTGCGGCTTGTCGCCTGGGTTGCTGCCGCTGTCGCCGCTGTTGTTGTCACCCTTGCCCGAACCGCCACCGCCACCGCCCCCGGAGCCGCCGCTAGCTCCACCCTTGCCCATGTCTCCACCGCCGGTTCCAGCCAGCGCGGCTACATGGCGCGTGGGGCGCTGCATGCGCCTGCGTAGATGGGCCCGATGGACAATTGGTGGGGCTGCGGTAGCTTTTGACGCGTCAAACCTTGAGAATGGGTGCATCTTACCATGGTGCGCCCAAGATGGGCGTTTGCCTGGCAGTAGGGCGCGGAAGATGCAGCCGTGGTCGAACATGATGGGTCAAGCTTTCCATCTTGCGTGTAAGCGCTTTCTTCAAATAGATCTGTGGCGTGCTCGGAGTTGCTAGCAGTATCTACCGACTTCAGCCCTAAGACACGCTTGCGTCGACAGGTGCAGGACGGTCAGGCCACGGGGTCAGGCGGCGCCTAGCCGACAGGGAAGCAGTTAGCAATGTACGCCTAAGTATTGCGACACGTTCTGATCAAGCGCAAGTTATCAGACGACAAGCTACAACTGCTGCCGTGACACCCCAGATGGTCATGCCCGAACTTCCGCGTCCGTACTTTCCATAGGGTTGCGTCTCACTTTGGCTCTCCCATACTTTGCAAACCCAGCACACACGTAAACGTTTATTGCTCTCGAATACCATGCATGGCTACGCTAGCAACCACAATTGAAAGTAACTTCTCTTGTTAGGGTATTGCCTGAAAAATGTCGGGCCTGGGAGGCTTGAGGGGCGTCTCTGCAGGCCAAGATGCCCGTTTCTCAGAGTAAGTGGGATTAAAGCTGCTCTTGTTAACCTCTGTAGGGATCCCCGCCGACACACCTTTCCCGAATTCACTTGCTTGCAACAGCAAACAAAAGAAGGCCTTAAAGGATCTTGTTAAGGCTGGAAAGGTGCCTAAGGAGCTCGACCTTAAGGTCGACTTGAAGAAAGTGAATTGGCCGGTGCGTATACGGTGGGCGTGGCGAAGTGCATGTGGCTTTACATTGAATTCCATGCAGTTTTATGTCTGAAAATGCGGCGCACGTGTCATGACATCCAATACTTTATGTACCGGTACTTTGGGGGTTGAAGAAACACACATCCCCTGCCCATCCCTTGGTCTTTAACACGTGTGCCGCTGGTTGGGTGCTTACCCCTAATCCTTCATCGTCGCAGGTTATGAAGGAATGGATTGCTAAGCGGGTCACCCAGCTTCTAGGCGGCCTGGAGGAGGAGGTCCTCATAGGCATGGTGTACAACTTTTTGGAGGACCCGGAGGTGCGTGGGAGCGCCTCGCCTTGCATAAGGGTGGAACACTTAGTTGCGCCTTAGCATTATCCCCGTCACAGATGCCTTGGTGTGAGATACTCCCTTTAGTACGACAGGCGCTGGTTCATGTTAGAGCCAGATGGCACTCTTGTCCTCAACGTGTTGTGTTGCGCGGCTTGCCGTCGTGCATGCTGGCATGCTACTGGCACCCTTCGCATGCGGTGATTGAAACAATGTCAGTTCATTGAGCTCCTCCTTTGCTGTTGCTGGTGCAGATGAACGGCAAGATGCTGTATGTCAACCTCCTGCCCTTCCTGGAGAAGAACACCTCGCTGTTCTGCAAGGTAGGGAGCTTAGGGTGCGACCCCCACCGGCAAAAGCGGGATGGGGTTTGCACTAGGGGGTCGGGAGGTTGGGCTCGGGACCAACCGCTCCATGCGCGCTTATTTGGTGCATGGAGCCTCGATAACCCTTTGCGTGTTGATAAGCAAGAAAACGCAGGGCCAGAGTAACAGTCGTATACAAGTAGTTGCTGTTTCTCATTCGGTATAGTGCACACCCCCTCGTCTGCAGGGCGACTGGCTAGCAGGTTGACTTGAATATCGGGAGAAGCGCCGAACGAATGGCATTGGCGAGCGCGCGCATGCACCAGTCTGGCATCCCCCTCTTTGCCTGCGGAGTGTGGGCAAAGGTGCCACGTGGAAGCCAAACCAACTCCGCCCGAAACAGCACATACGACATACCCGCATGCACTACACACCATTTGGGGTACTCGCCTTCCTTCCGTCCTCGCACCGTCCTCGACCCAAATGCCGTTTTCGCTTCCAGCCAACATCATGCGTAGGCATGACAGAGTTTAGTAAGTCCATGGCTGTTGTTTTCACTGTGTTCCCTTACGTAGGAGCTCTGGCTGCTGCTACACAGCGCGAACCAGACGGCCTCGCACATACCCCAGCAAATGTTGGATGCGGAGGCGGAGCGGCAACGGCAGCAGCGGCAGCAGCAGGAGGCAATTCAGGTAACCCGCGGCGCTGCTGGCTCGCTCTCGGCGTTGTACACCTCGAACGTCATGACAGCTAAAGCCCATGCGTAGCGAGACACTGCCCTGTCTATCAGCCCATCACCGGTGCCAAGAGGCGTGCCAATCAGGGCTCTCCGTGCGCACGCTGCTCCCCTTCCCCTTGCTCCATGTCGCCATGTGTCCTCAACCCGCTGCTTGTGGGTGTCCCCTCGCAGGCGGAGCTGGAGCGGCGGCGAGTGGCGCAGGAGGCTGAGCGTGCCGCGCAGCTCCTAGCCGTGCAGCAGCAGATCACAGAGCGGCATGGGGGCGATGGCGCCGGTGCAGGCGTGAAGCGCGAGGGCGACGCTGCGGGCGGTAATGGGCAGCCGCTGCCGCCACCTCCAGCGCGAGGGGAGCGCCGGGAGCGGCGAGGCTGGGAGCCGCGGGACCCGGAGCCCTCCGCGGCACCACACAGAGAGCGGGAGCGGCACCGGTGGGAGCCCCGCGATGTGGAGCCGCAGGCTACCACAACAAGGCGGGAGCGCCGGGGCTGGGAGCCTCGGGAGCCGGAGCCCGACCCACGGGACCGTGATCGGGACCGTGGACGACCCAGTCGCTGGGATTCCGGACGCGCTGGGCGTGATGCTCGGGACCGTGACCGGGATGGACGTGACCGGGAGCGAGCCAGGTGGGGGGCTTTGGGTGGTTCGGGTAAGGGTGTAGTGGTCCACCTAACAGTGGCATGCGTTGAAGGGCTCCTGTCTACTATCAGACGTACTCGTTAACCAGCTCCATCACGCTCTGTTTCCGCTTTGCCGCAACCACCTCACCAACACACCAACCACCTCACCAACACACCAGTCGCTGGCGCTCTCCAGAACGGCGTCGCTCCCCAGAGCAGCGCCGCCGCTCGCCGGATCGGGAACGGGACCGCTCGCGGGGCCGAGACCGCTCGCGGGAAAGAGACCGGTCGCGCGACAGGGATCGGTCACGGGACCGAGACCGGTCGCGGGATAGGGAGCGATCACGTGACAGGGGCAGGGACCGCCGCTCTCGCTCCCGCTCTCGTTCCCGGTCGCGCTCCGAGTCACGATCGCGGTCACGGTCGCGCTCAAAGTCGCGGTCCCCAGATCGCCGCTCCAGGTCAAGGTCGCCGGCTGCACGAGAGCGGAGGTACGCGTGGCAGTTGGTGGCGGGCCTGACCTGCGCGGCTTCGGAGCAGACGTTGACGTTTTGCTAGTCAGTTACGCTGCTGTGCGCCTGCTGCTTCATGCGCCCACGTGTACCGCTTGCCATGCATATGGTCTTTCCAGCCAGTCAAGTCCAGATTGGGTGTTCCCGAGGTCACCATGCAACGCGGTGTGCTATTCCCTTTGCAGTCGTGACCGCATCGGCGGGCGCATGCGGGCCCAGGCAAGGCGCAGCCGCAGTCGTTCGCCTTCTGAGGAGCCACAGCAGCAGCCGGTGCAAACGCAGGAGCGGGAGCCTAGTCCTGCCAGGTGGGACCCAGGGCTGGGTTTCAGGCCTGTGCGCTGCTTGTGCGGGTATGGGCTTGCGGTCATCATACTTAACAAGTCTTGGTTGGTAATGCGAAGGGCTGAACAGGTGTGTTGTATTGTGTCTGGCATTGCAGGTCACCAGAGGTTCGCGCTAAGGAGGAGCTGCCCTCACCGCCACGAGACATGTGAGTATAGCGTGATGCTTGTTGTTGCGGCGAGGGCTGCAACGCGCCCATGCCTTGTGCCCTTTCGTTGCCGTACCCATTATGCGCGGATGCGTCGCAGTGCCAGTTGCGGGCTGCATTGCCTTGCGTACACAGTATGTATCAGCGACCCCAAATCGTGTTTGCAGGGAGGTCGCGGAGGCACGCGGAGATGGAGATGAGCCAGGTAGCGGGCGACGCGAGAAGGACCGGGAGCGACACAAGAAGGAAAAGAAGGAGCACAAGAAGGAGAAGAAGAGCAAGCACAAGAAGGAAAAGAAAAGCAAGCGGTATCGGCGCGGCGTGGATGGGGGTGATGGCGAGGGCGAGCCGCGCTCGGAAGACGGCGTGGGTGAAGGTCAGGCTGCTGTGGCCGAGGGCAGTGATGGCGAGCCCTCGGACCCAGAGCTAGCTGAGCTGCGAGCCAAGGCGCTGCAGTCGGCCCGATCGACATAAAGTTAGCAGGATTGGCATACTGACGCCAATGAGAAAGCGGTCTACTGGGCACTGGTTGACGTGCGAGTAGCCGTTGTTATCAGCGCTATCTTTGTAGTGATGTGGCTGTGTAGGATCGCTTCCATATACGACATTGGCACGACTCATTCAGAAATGGGCAAGACAAATGCTGGTGGTAATTTGTGAAGACGTGTGAAGATGGGCTGCCTAACCCTACGCCCGCAATACCGTTGTAGTATGACCGACACACAGCCCGGGTTACACGGTAGCAACATGTTCACAAGTCGCGTATCGTCGATAGTTCTAAATACAGTTATACACGCGTGACACATGTAACAGAGACCTCAAGTGGTAAACGACACTGTGTAATCTTGGTCTCCTGCATCAAGTCCCCTGGTTCCCCGCATCAACGTCATGTTCCTAGTCGAACGTCCAGCCCCCAGTTTAAGCTATTGGCGCTATCGCCATACAGGGCAGCGCTATCGCCGCCCCTCGTCCACCGCTGCAGTCTATACAAGAATAAAAATAACGCTCTAGGTCGCGCAGGAAGGACACACGCCTGTCCAGGATCCCACAGCTATGGCCTATGGGTCTACATAGTGCAGTGGAGTGGTTGGCATGCCACGCGGCAGCGTACACACTCAAAAGCTAATTGATTGGGCTACACACGTCGCCGCGTACACGCCTTCTATACGGAGGGCCCATCAATGCATGCATTACTTCTACAATCTAGACGCTAGCGGCTACGAATGCAGTAGCATAACGTTCTACGTGAAGCCTTGACGGCTTACCGGCATTCTAAAGCTAACTAAAGGTAATAGTTCCGTACTTTGAAGCATCACCAGATCTCCGTGCCCATGTGCGGCACCTTCGGCATGCTCATCACCACCGATGGCTGGTTTAGCTGCAGCGCTACCAGCGGTGGGCGCAGCATGGCCGGCTCACTTGAATAACGAGACGGCACCACAATGTTTTCAGTGGCGCGCTCCATCTTCTCCTGCAATAAGCGATTGAGCAAGTTGTTCTGCTCTTCCAAGTCGCGCTGCCGCTGCCGCATCAAGCGATTTTGCTCCTGCAAAAGAGTGGGGAAAGTGCACGTTAGTACGTGCTCGGTGTGTTCGCAGCTATTAAGAAAGATGCTAGGCAGCCCAGGACTGCCTTCCCATGTGTTTACCCAAGCGTGCGCGTACCGGTCCTTATGCCAGCATCTAGGACCCTAATGACCATGGAAACAGTACCGGTACGGCTTTGCTGCACATGGCAACTCACGCTGAAGTGACTGCAGCCACCGACTCACCTGTAGCTCGCTAACATGCTTCCATGCAGTCTCCCGCTCCTTGCGGAGCTTGGCGACGTCCGCCGCAATGGACTTTAGCGAGGCCTGCAGTCAAGGCCAAAGTGCGTGTTACAACCTTGCTCCGGCATCTGGCATCAGGAGGCGCTTCCGTATCCTTCCCGTGCAGACTGACCTGCGTCTCGGTCTCCACTTTGGAGACGCGTCCCTCCAGTTGGCTCAGCTGCTTGCAACATGAACATGCCTGCAGTTATAAGACGTTGCACAGCCTTAGTGGACGAGAGTTTGCTTTCAATAATAGCACGGTTACTTACTTTGCTGCATTGCGATCCTCCTTTGTGCTGTTTGCTAGATGGCTGGTGATGCACTGAGTTACGACCGGTCGAAGCAGGCCCCGTCTCCGCAGGACTCGCAGCTCTACTTTCCTGCTATAAGTGTATTAGGTTGCAATTTTAGTGCGGGCTAAGGAGGCAGCAGCTGTATCCACAAGCAGGTCAGCGCAGCTCACTTACAGGAGAGGACACCTCCACCGAATCGTTCGTGGCTCTCCTTGGAGGTGGTGGTGGTGGAGGTCCAAAAGCAGGATAGTAGGCATGGACTGGGGCATACATGGACTGGGGCGGGCGGGTGCTCGCGAATGTCAGCGCTTCCGAGAGTCCTTCCGGTGTCCTATCTGCTTGAGGTAGCTGGCTAGGACAATAGCAGCGTATGGAAAAGTCTCCCTAAAGAGGTGCCTATACGGTCATGCGGTCGGATAAAACTACTGAACTGTGTTGCAGCTGGCGCCACTGGTGTATTCAAACCTTCAGATATTAGAAAGAAGTTCCACCTGTATTTCCTATCGGCGTGATAAAGCACATTTAAAGGAGCGTCCGAGAATACTTTACAGGCGCACGCATGGTTAATAGGAGAAAAGGATGGCCGCCGTACAACGGTACACCGACTTTCCAGCCATCCGTCCAGGTGAAGGTTTTGTATCTTGTAGGTAGACTTTGCTACATGAATTCGTAGGAACCCAGTCTTTTTCTTGATCAAGCGCCCGTTGAAATGAGCTTCGGTAAGCTAGCAAGTTATGCGCTCCCACATCACAGAATTCGACTTTTCATGATCATGCTTGCCCTTCTCATACCTCTGGCCAGGCGGGGGCTTCAGTTTTGGGGCGGCTGCTGGTGGCTCTGCTCCTGCTTTTGGTGGTGCGTACAATGGCATGTGACCTTATAGCTTGCATACTATTTCTGTATGCATGAGATCGGCGCCCGGATCAATTTGTTAGGCTGACGGCCCTGGGAAGAATCCCGCCAAATGGACACTGCAAGCCGTGTTGGTTGATTCACGCAAAGCCACACCATAAGAACATGCCCTTCAGTAAATTCTTTCTTTCCGTGACGGGGTGCTGAGAGGCTGCTTTTGATTTCCTGATGTGGCTCAACAACCGTCCTCCTTTTCCCCATGCCCAGCACTAGCCAGCGCGCCGGCATTCGGAGCTCCAGGTATGCTAGACATGCCTAGCCTGCAGTCGCGTTGCTTCCTTACCATGGCATTGCCTCTCAGTGCCCCTAACCTGCCCTAACCTGCCCTAATGGCCCCTGGGACGGTCATTGCAGCTGCTTCAGCACCGGCTTTTGGTTTCGGAGGGGCAGCACCCGCGTTTGGGGCGCCTGCAGCGGCATCCACAGCAGCATTCGGTGCCCCAGCCGCAGCAGCACCAGCGCCAGCGTTCGGTGCAGCAGCGGCATCCGCCCCGGCATTTGGCGCACCGGCGGCAGCTCCCGCCTTTGGAGCTGCCGCTTCAGCGCCAGCATTTGGAGCACCAGCAGCAGCTCCTGCAGCACCTGCGTTTGGCGCAGCTGCCTCGGCACCGGCTTTCGGTGCCGCGGCCTCCACACCAGCCTTTGGCGCTGGGCTGAGCTTTGGGCAAACAGCAGCAGGTACGGCGACGGAGAAGGGCACTCGCTTATCTTTGGGCGGCAAATAGCGGCCAGGGACATCCTCACGCAGTGCTAAACGGGAAGGGAGGAATACAATTCGGTCAAGGTCCAGCACTTGTTGACGGTGCCAAAAGTTGAATATATTGTTGGGATAATCACTTCCAGAACATTGCCCCCGCTCGGTTCCTCTTAGCAAGTTCTAAGCGCTTACTGCGGGGTAAAGCTCTCCGCGTCTGCTTAGCATTGTGAGGAAAGTCCTCTCAGTCCAGTCCTGCCCCCAATCCCGGCTGCATGGCGTCCACTAAGCGGCAACCGTCCCGAACCACATCCCGCACCCCACCAGCTGCACCCTCGGGCGGGTCCTTGTTCGGCTCCACGACTGCAGCCCCCGCGGCGGCGCCTGCTGCTCCCGCCGCTGGCGGCTTCTCCTTTGGCGGTGCGCCAGCTGCAGCTGCATCGAGCGGTGCGTCGAACGTAGTTGTGCCGTTGCGGGGGTATGAGAGCCAGCGCACCGCAGAGGGAACGCGCACACATGTCGTTTTCGTGTCAGCTCCCAGGGCACTTCTCCTCCCTTCTCCACACCCCCAGCAACTGCTCACCTGTGTTGCACCCCACCCCCACATGCAGCTCCTGCCGCCGGGGGCCTCTTCGGCTCGACGGCGCCCGCCGCAGCCGCCAGCACCCCCGCCTTCTCCTTCGGAAGCGCACCCGCAGCAGCAGCCGCATCCAGCGCCCCCGCCACCGGCGGTGGCCTGTTTGGCGCCATGGCGACGCCCGCCGCCGCGGCTCCGGCAGCCGGCGGAGGACTCTTCGGCGCCCCAGCAGCAGCCCCAGCGGCGGCCGCACCCGCTGCTGGTGGCGGCCTGTTTGGCAACACGGCAGCCGCCGCCGCCACCACCGCCGCACCAGCTGCCGGAGGCTTCAACTTTGGAGGTGCTGCTGCAGCTAGCGCGCCTGCCGCTGCCCCAGCCGCCTCAGCTCCTGCAGCAGCGACGGGCTTCAGCTTTGGCGGCGCGGCGCCTGCTGCCCCTGCGGCAGCCAGCACCGGGGCGTCCTTGTTTGGCGGCGCGGCGGCTTCGGGGGCTGCCACGGGCGCGGCGCTGTCATTTGGGGCGCTCGGAGGGGCTGCGGCAGCGGGGTCGGCACCGGCGCTGAGCTTTGGTGTGGCGGCACCTGCCAGCTCTGCGGCGGCTGCAGGTGGGGCCGCAGGTGGTGAGGGGGTCCTTAACGCGGGTCTCAGGGGGCTGCGGCTGCAGCAGGCCACATAGGTCTCCTAGCTGGGGCTAGGGGCTGGGACAGCAGCGGACGCGCCCTGCCTTACTTCGTCATGGTTTCATCACAGTCAAGTATTTGCGAATGCGCGTCCCCGAACCATGTCCAAAAGCTGCATCTAATCCCGAAAATGTTTCACCCCGACCCTCCCGCCTCCTCCGTGCAGGCTCCACCTTGGCACCCGCAGCTGCTAGCACCGCGGCGCCCAGCCTCTTCGGTGCCGCCTCAGCAGCAGCACCCGCTGCGGCGTCCTCCGCGCCGGCGGCAGCGGCGAGCAGCGCGGCGGGCACAGCAGCAGGTGCGCTGCTTGGGGGGCTGGCTGGGTTGAGTGGTTGCGCGAGTGCGTGCGTGCGCTAGTCCGGTGGTGCAGCCTAATGATCCCAGTGATCCTATCCCAACCGATCGTAGCGCTAACGGACCTTTAATGAAGATAGGACGTGAGCTGCTGCTGCTGCTGCCGCTCGCAGGTACCGCGGGCGCGACCGGCGCGTCCGCCCCCGCCTTCTCATTCGGGGCAGCGGGTGCGGCAGCGCCCGCGAGCGGAGCCGCGTTTGCCTTCCCGTCCACGGCAGGTATGTGTTAAGAAAACTGGCCGCGAGTGCGGGGCATGAGGGGGATGAGGGCGGAGGTGGGGATAGGGCTATGCTCGTTAGAAGGCATGCCGGAATCCAGTGTTTCCCACACCGCCACCTGATGCTTCACCCTCAACTGCTCCTCGCCCCTTCCCACTCCTCCTCCCATGCACGCAGGCGCCACGGGAACTGCTGCGGGGACGGCTGCCAGCACAGCGGCTGCCTCATCAGGCGCCGCCGCCACCCCCGCCACCACTGCAGGTGCCATTGTGCCGGCTGCCGCTCCCGCCGCCCCCGCGCAACCCCAGGTAACCGCCGCCCGCTAGCTGTTGCCGTACGGCTGCAGCTTCGGAACCAGTGGATCCGTACATGTGGAAGGGCAGTACAACTAATGTACGCGGTTGTGGGGTGGCTGTCGACCACTGTGTTAGAGAACACAGAGGGGACATCATCGTTGCGAGCAGAGCTCGGTACCCACACCTTCATGCGGTTCCCTGACCCCCCCCCCGCAGATGCCGGTGCCTGTGAAGGGCAAGAACATTGAGGAGATCATCAACGAGTGGAACTCGGAGATGGAGGAGCACCTGGCCGCCTTCAACAAGCATGCAGGCGGGTAGTTGTGGCATGGGCTGATGAATTGAATATGTATTGATGTATGTATGTTTTCCAAAGGAGATACATTGGCCATTCCTGGCCATTACGCGTGTACAAAGCCGTGTTTCCGATATGAACATGCAGCATCAGGCGAAGGTTACCTCCTCTCCACGCGAACTCCCCCTCCCTCCTGTCCTCGCAGCTGCGTTGTCTGCATGGGACCGCTCCATCCTTCACAACCGCTCCTGTCTGCTCGGAGTGGAGGAGGAAATGGGAGTGGTGAGTACGTTTAGGGGGCTGGAGTGGGAGGGGCATGGTGGGTCATTGGTTCGCGAGGCATGGTGGTCCGGAACTCGTTTGTGGGTGGTGGGCAAGGAGGGATGGGACAACAAGGTAGTGTACATGGGGGTGGCGGGAATGGGACCAATTTGAACCGTCCCACAACACCCTTGTTAACCCTAGCGCTTCCCTCCCTCCTGCCGGCCTCGCCGCTCCCTATCTCTCCCCCTCTTCCCAGGTTGTCGCGGGTCAGGACGCGCTGGACCGCAAGCTCACCATGCTGGAGACACACCACAAGGTAACAACGGGGAGGTGGGGAAACAAAATTCCAATGTGTGGTGTGATAGCGGTGGGAAAGGAGGGTGAAAAGGGGAACTGACGAGCTGTATGATGAGATGTATGGGTGGAGGGGTGTCTCCGCTGCCCCGCTTCCTCGCAGCTCAGTTTACCTGAACACTTCTTCGCCCTCCCCCCCCCACTCCCCCACCGCAGGAGGTTCACGACGCGCTGAGCAGCATCGAGGCGGAGGCGGAGCGCATGTGCCTGGCTGAGCGGGGGCTACTGGACAGCGATGCGGCGGAGCGGGACAGACTGTACGCGCGAGCGGAGGTGAGCGGGGCACGTGCGGAGACGCAGGGGAGGGGAGCGTGGAGGGGGGGGCAGACTTAACTCATTGACGACATTGTTTGTTGCCAATTTACGGTAGTAGCGTCCCGGCCGTACTTCATCCCGCTGTTGCTGCCCTGCTGCTGTTCCCATTGCTTTGCCCTAACATGTGGCTTCCTATGGTGTATCTCTGACCCCTTCCCCCCTTCCCCCCTTCCCCCCCCTCCCCCCCAGTCCGTGTCCACCGCGCTGGTGCGGCTGGGCGAGGAGCTGGGAGCGGTGGTGGCGGACGTGAACGAGCTGAGCGGCGGGGCGGTGGGCGACCCGGGCACTCCGCTGGGGGCGGTGGTGCGCATCCTGAACAACCAGCTGCTGGTGGGTTGGTGGGGGTTGGGGTGGGGGCTGAGTGGGTAGTACTCGAGGGGCGGTGCGGTGCTGTGCTGGGGAGGAGGAGGAGGAGCCGGCTGGGGCAGGCTGATGGGTCGGGTTGGGTCCCGTCCTTTATGATTTGCTACGTCATGCGGCTTACCATGCAACAACAACACCCCCGTCCACACCGATAAACCTCCCTCCCTACGGCCCTCCGCTTCCTTCCTTCCCCTCCCTCCCAGGCTCTGGGTCAGGTGGAGGGGCGGGTGAGTGCGCTAGAGGCGGAGGCGGCGGCTCTCGGGTCGGTGGAGGCGGCCTCCAGCAGCAGCACCTCTGCCAGCGGATTCAGGTTCTGATTACGCCACCTCCTCTTTCTGGTTCTCCTGGCTCCTCCGGGCTCCTCCCGGCTCCTTGTTCCCGGTTTGGGATTTCCTGGCGTGCTGTGGCGGGGTGTCCGGCCGCGAGGCCAGCCAGCGGGCTGGAGCGGGCTAGCGGGCCCTAGCGCAGGTTTTTGGGGGGACTTTGATGACTGTACGGCTTGGGTTACGATCTGGCCTGGCAGGCCTTGGACAGAGTGTTACCCGTAAACCCGTGGAGGACAGTGTTTGTTCTTCGGGCAGACCGGATGGCTGGATTCATCGCGGTTGATTCCCACAGCGGTGAGGGAGGCGCTGAGTTGCTACCACAGGCGAAGCTAGGAAGCTATTATAGGGGTTGAGCGGCACCGCCAGGCAGGCAGGCGGAGAATGGCATGTGGCTCTAACCGGGTTAAAGGCTAAAGGGTGTAGCAGGGTGTGTGTGTTTCCGATGCGCGGTGTATGAGTTCCCTGAATGTTGCGGTATTGTGCCATTCTGAGCTAATGTTTACTTACTATGCAGCTGGGTTTTCTGGGTGGATACAACGCAGGAAGCTCACGCATCATCTTTCGGGAGTGTAGACATATAAGTTTGAAGGCCCCAACGCTGCAATTTCCGTAACAGGGGAGCGCCGCGTCTGTTCGGATGAACAAAGCAGTGTTTAAAATAACATGGCAGTGTGTCTACGGTACTTGCTGCTCAACGCAGGCCAGGGCCTGCGGCCATGAGATACCGGTATAGCGTGGTGCGGCTGGTAGGGTCAAGACACGAATGCCTCTCGGACTTTCATAACGCGTTACATGTCGTACAGCGTTGTTGTTATTGCTGTAGCTTGCAGAGCTACCCGTGTTTTCGCGTAACCCAGATCACGGTATCTTGTCCTTGCGGAACAGTACCACCAGAAGTCCGGCACCCTTAGCAACACCAACGCCGTTTCGCATGCTCGACTTTCCGTGCGGAGTAACCCAGCACGGGTACGTTGCCATTTGTGTCAAAGACACATGGACAGAGCTGCATAATAAGGCCCCCTCCTTCAGACTATTCGTCCTCAAACCGCCCGCGGCTGCAAAGACGGTCACGTGAAACAGATCTCAGCGGAATCATAGGAAAACGGACCCATGGGTCACCAAACTACTCATACCTCAAACCTCATTCCTTGTTTGCCCAGCACAACACTGCAACATCATCGCTAACTACCGTAATCGCGCTGAAAAGGGGCTCCAAGCCGCACGAAATCTGAAGCACCAACCTCTCTCACACGGCAAGTCACGAAACACCTCTACTGGGGGAACTCGCGGCGAGACATACATGAGAAGAATTGGATGAAATAAATGGGGCGGCCCCGTTGTGCCCCCTACCTATAAGATACCGTATACCAGCTGGACAGCACAAGCGAAGATTGTCCAGACATCTAAACACAGCTGACGACGAAGCAGCACCATGCTAAAGGCATGCGTGCACTGCAAATCTGCAACGCACGAGAGAACTGCAACCCACCACTCCAAATTGCGACGACACGTACCAACATACCGGTACGCTGACATCAACTCCCAAGTTGACACCCACATACGTTCCTACTCGCGGCCAGTTTTCTTAACACCCACATCAGGACCAAGTTTATTCACGCAACGTCCGCATCTTTGTTCACGTTCGGATTACTTAAGCCCCCTTGCAATCGTGGTCCGAATTGTGTTTCTTTCGCATCCAACATCAAAGCATTCGAGGTCCGGGATGCCCCTACACGTACGGCAGCTAACCCTAGGGTTGCATTTATGCGAGACAAAGCATACGGTACTAAACAACTAGGCATGCCTGACACGATGACAGTACATGCGCTCTACTAGGACTATCAGACATCCAAACACCCCAACGTGGAAACCCACTAGAACAACAACAATGCCTGCTGACATGAAAGATAGCAGCACCCGGCCCCTACCTCGTGACCCCACTAGCTGCCCACAGTAATAAGAAGCAATTTCGCAACACCTACAAACCCACGCATGCAACCATTCTGCACAATGATCATTTCATATCACACACGACTTCATCTCTCTCAGCTCAGCTCAGCTCGAAACCAGCTATCAAGCGCAACGGCTCCATGGGCTGACCGGATGGACGCTTAGAACGCTGCTTTCGTGCGGCGGCAAAATGCCGCATGATGGCGCACAGAGTCTTGTTTTCCCGAATGTCGAACTCGCCGGTAGTGGGGCGCGGGCGCCGGTCGACCGGCGATGGTGGGTCGAACCATTGCATGGCGCCAGCAGCGGCTCGGCGGCGTTGCAGGCAGACTGCGGGCGGCTGCTTTGGCACGGGCATGGGTGGCGTGTTGGCGGTGGCTGGGCGGCGGGTAGCGGTGACGGTGGGGATGAGGTGGTCCGAGGCGGGGCCAGGGCGGGAGGCGAGCGCTGGAAGGAGGGGCAGGATGCGGCTGTTGCTGCCTAGAGCGGTGCGGTGGGGCCGGTGAGGGGCTGCAGGAGAGCAGGCGGGGCGCTTGGGGTTGGGAGAGAGGAAGGAGGAGGCGCAGGGGTTGTTGGTAGGGTTGTGCTGTAGTAGCGGCTGCTGGGGCTGAGGCTGTTGTTTTCCTTGCAGGTTGGTCGTGGAGGCGTCCCAGCAGGAAATGGATGTACCAATTGTAGTGGCGTTAGGACGCGGGCATCCGCTATGCTGGACAAATGTTGCACCGGCTAGCTGATGTTGAACATTATGGTGTATCTGTTTATGAAGCGGCAATGGTGATGAGGCGGGTTCGAGGTTTACCGTTTGGTGGTCCGCATCCACAGCGACATTTTCCCCAAAGCTGCTTTCTTGACAGCCGTGCTTTTTGCTGTCATGTATGTAATGAACAGCGCAATCCTGGTTCGAGTTGCTGCCTGCCTTTGCGAGCGCGGCCGCTGCAGCAGCCAACGACAATGGCGAGGCGAGCGTCGACGGAATGTCGCCTGCCTCGTATGCGCCAAGAGGGTTGGACAGTAAGCTGCTCATGCTGACAGTAATACTGCAGTCGGAGCTCTGGCTGCCATTGCATTCACTGCTTTGGGATGTCCAGGATGGCAGTCGGACGTCGTCATTGGGACCCCCGGAGGCCTTTGGTATCCGAAGCAATCCTGACTTCATGGTCCTTAATGTTGTATTGGTATACCACAAATGTAGCTGTGCCGAGTTCCCGGTATAAAGAACTGCGACTCAAGTACAAGGGTGAAAACAAGTTAAGGACCACCTACACATCGTATACATCACGAAGTATAAGAAGCATAAGCGCTATTCAATGCTCTCTTATGACTGGTCATCAGAAACGCCTGTCGGTCTGGTGTTACGATAGTTGACAGCCGTATAAGGGTACGAGCCGGGAAGCTGCCTGTCCGCATCTTTGCCTGCCTCGAAAACCACACACCCGGCTCAACGGTGTACCCACTGCCCTTTAGCCTTTCTTTGCATAGCTGACAACTAAGTGAATGACTGCCAAGCGAGGTACGCAGCTGTGCCAATGGCTAGTTCAACTCCCAACCGCGCAACTCCCTGCGCTGTTTGCGCCCTCCGGTGACTGCGGTTGTTTCTACCGTCCACCAGATCAGAAAATCTGCGCAAAGAAAAAGACATATTGGTAGTCAGCGGCACGTGAAAGTAAGGGATGAAACGGTTGCAGTCAGTTGTAAACGCGATTACCCCAATTAGCCGATGACGCTAGGAGCTCGTACGGAACACTGCAATAGAAGCATCGGTCGCTCTTATGTAAATTATAGCTATGTGCCCCGCACAGAGACAAAGCCGCTGGGCCCCGCCCGCCCTTTCTCGCATCAGGTAATTTGCGGCAAGCGCGCCGAAAACGGTTCTTGGTGCCACGTTTATACCTCAAATTTGACAGTCGACATCTAGTCAAAAGCGGTGGGCGTTTCGCACGTAGCTGTCCACTCTCAGTGCAGTAATTAAATTGCATCCATCGCCTCTTAGGCAAGCTTACCTTAATCCCGCGCCGCCCTCATCTCGAAGCAATGCGTACACCACGCCTCGCAAGTGGCCGCGACCCACTACACCAACCACGCGGTTAGCTCCGTTGACTGCCTTGCTGCGCTTCATGCTCCATGCCAGGTAGAGATCCCGCTCGGTTATCAGCGGCGGGACCAACTCCGGATACCTGGCACGAAATGTCAATTTGGCTGATTTGAGGCTCGGTATGGATCGGCGATGCCATGATGCAGGCGTGCAACACATGGTGGGGCCTGCACATCGATACATTCCTCATTCTCTGTCTACATTCCCCAATTCCCCCTTACCTGGTTGAAAGCTCCCGGAAGGCGGCGCTCACCGCGTCATCGCTCTTCAGCCGCTCCACGAGCTCCTCACTTAGCGCCTGGTGTTGTGCGGCGAACATGCACCGCACACCCGCAACATGTGTTTAGAAAACTGGCCGTGAGTCGGAACGTACTGTGATTGCCGGGAGGTGTGTGCGTAAGGCACAGGGGTACGCATATGCATTGAGAGGCAGTGTTGCGGAGGATCATGTAGAGGGGAAACGCTTGAGGATGCGCTCATCCAGTCCGGCCTCTGCACGACGCGAGGCGGCATAGACTGCTGCTCCCGGTATCGGGTGGCCTACCGCCATTTCCTGCACTTGCCAGCGGCCGCCACACCAGCTCCTCCCCAGCTCTCATCCCCTCCACGCTGCCGCTGCCGCCCTCTCAACCTCGACCCCACCTCCCTCTCACCCTCAGCCTCACCTCCCGCTGCGGCCCCACCGCCCCTCGCAGCAGCTCCCAACACAGCGCCGCTCTCCGCCGCAGCGACAGCGCCTCCCAAGCGCGACTTAGCGTGATCTCCACCGGCCGGTCTCCCAGCACCACCTGCGCCCCCACCTCCTCAGCAGCCGCATGCGCAGCAGCGAACTCACCACCGCCAGGGACACCCAGTGCGCCTGGATGTGACGGCAGAGCACGGCAATATGGCAGAGTACGGCATGTAAGTTCGCAGTACCGGTAGGGTACGGGTATGGTACGGGGCCGATGGGAGGACGGACATAACAGCAGAGTGAGCGAGGTGAACGAGTGGGTAGCATAACGAACGCGCAGGGTACGCAATCCAAACATGGAGGGCCTTTCCGCATCTCTTATCTCAGTAATCTGCAGCACTGCTCTTTGTACAAGACAAGAACACATTACTTAGCAGCAACATGCATGGCCCCAGCTGCCTCCACCATCTCTCCCAACACCTGCCGTTCAGCCGTGCGGCGAAATGTTGTACCCTTCCCTCGCCGCACCTGCCGTACGATTAGCCAGCAGCGCCAGCAGCACTCGCAGCAGCAGCGCACTCTGGCCGCCCAGTGACACGCTGCGCGCCACAGCTGTTAGAAAGCCGCCATCGCCACCGCCGCTGCCAGCAGCGCTACCACTGCCGCCACCAGGGTTTCCGCTGCTGCCACTGCCATCGCCGCCACCGCCGCCTGCCGCCAAGCTCATGGGGTTGACGAACCCGCCGTACCCGCCGTGCCCATGCCCGTACCCGCCGGCCCCGTTCCCAGCAGCAGCTACCCCCGCTGCACCAGCCTCCTCCTCCCCCGCTTCCCCCTGCACAGACACCCCCCCTGCTGGAGCCACCAGGGCGGCTGAGCGGCTGCGGCAGAGCTCCACCACCACCGCGTCCGGTGCCACAGCCTGCATGCAGGAGATCCGGGTTGCGAGTTGCGGGGTATAAAGAGGGGGAGGCTGACGAACCGCATGAGGCATGGCAACCGTATGTGGAATGATGGGGGGAGCTAGAGGAAACAGCAGCTAGCCAAGTGTGCTAGCCAAGTGTGTGTGGGGCAGGGTCGGGTTGGGGAGGTACGTATGCTGCCAGGACGGAAGTGGACAGGGCTCCACTGCTCCAGTCGCTGCACAGTCGCTGCTCCAGCCGCTCTCACCCGTACGACCCGCGTCACGTCCCGCTGCGAGCGCCTGCTGACGTGCGCGGTGCCCACCAGCAGCACCACCGAGGGCTCGCAGAAGCCATCGCCGCGGCGCTCTTGATAGCGTGCAGGGCGCGGAAGCACCAGCAGTGTGCCTGCGCTTGGGTGCAGGAGAGGGAAAAGAAGAGTATCCAGGAGAGGGAGAGGGAGAGAGGCAGTGCTGCTAGGGTGTGCTGGAGCGGGGGCGAGATGGATGCGGCCAACGGGCGTGGCCTATGGAAGTTAGGAGGCAGGTAAAATGCAGAGCAGGTCCAGAGATGGAAACAGCAATTATCAAGGTTGGGGATTATGGTGAAGGAAGCGACTTGAAGGCAGCGCGAAGAACACCAGCACTAACCGTCATCGACCAGGTCGAGCAGCTGTGGCGTGTTTTCAGCCACCCACTGGCGACTGGATTGTAGAGTTTCTGCTCTGAAGTCAAATTTGGCTGGCGGTCCGGCCAACAGCAAGCGGTGGAGTTGCTCGTCTTGTGATGAGACCGCCCCTATGCTTGCTGCTAGCGGTGCAGCCCGCGCGCGGAACTGAGGTGCCCCACATCTAAGCGCGAAAGGCGATGCGGACAACAAATGATGCACCAGGCGCTTAGCGGTGCGGTGCTCTGCGTGAGAAACTCTCCTACGGATAGCTGCGCGCATAGGTAGTTGTACGTCAAATGCGCTACCTCTTTTGTCTTCCTCTAAGCTGGCAATCGCACTTCTTTTTTATTTGCATTTAGCGTTTGCAACCTATGTTCAAAGGATCTTTACCAAACAGGTCTGTGCGGCGTTCGCGACCACCGACCAGAGCAGCGTAAGGCCCCTGGATCGTGGTTCAACTGCTTCGGGGTTAGCAGCTTGTTAACCACCTAAGTGAATAGACACTGTGGTTGGATTGCGTTGCGTTAAATAGGCCATACTTGATGCCAATTCGCCTTTGCCTATCCTCAAACGAATTCCAGCTCATTGAAACATATTAAGACGGCAAGCGTCTATAATTATAACAATACATAAACTATAGGTCGGCACGAGTTCAGCTCCTTAGTGAGCTGCTCATAGGCTGTGGGGGCCTGCGGCGGACGAAGCATGTGGGCCACCCAAACCGTGGGGCAGCCGCGTTTGGGGCCTCGTAAAATGGTGCGTTATTTCGCTTCGAAATGATATTTATTATTGATTCGGGCTGATGCAAAGTGAGCAAGTGTAATGGCTTTGTCATGTCTGATGTGTACACGGTGCCTGCTTTGCTGCACTGGGCACAGGCATTGGGATGCCTTGCTCGCCTGATGGCGCCGTCAATCCCCGGCGCTTGTGCTGCTCGTTTCGGGTTGCGCACGTCGCGTGCGATGTACGCTACCGTCGTCGGCAAGGCGAGCGGCGCAGCGGCAGGCGGCAGCAGCAACAAGAAGGGCAAGCGCCCTGCTAAGGATGACGCTAGCGATGAGGGTAGGTCTCGCCGAACTCCAAGCCCTTTTCGTCGTTACCTTGCCCACCATCCCATCCTCATGGTTGCAGGGTAATGGCCATGTACCCATACACTTTGCGACGCAATTTGCATTCCATTCCACTTAGCGGCTTTCAACCCATATGCCGCTGTCTGGTCAATACCCGCGTACAAAAGAAGCGCCACCTTTTACACGTACACTTTGCCTTACATCGTACCCCATTCTCCCGCTTCGTCCCTCTCCAAAACGCCCCCCTCACACCACACGTCCCTCTCTCGCATCCTCCTCCTCCTCGACCCTCCCCCCAATGCCCTCGACGCCCCGCACGCATACCCCAGCTTCCGGCCCGTACAGCGCGACGGTTCGTCTTCCGACGACCGAGTTCAGCCTTCGCGCCAACAGCCCGATTCGCGAACCCCAGATCTGGCAGTTCTGGGAGCAGCAGGCGGTGTACGAAAACCTGGTGGAGAACGGCACTGGGGTGAGTGTACGGCAGTTGTATGGCAGCTGTACGGCAATCGAGCGATCGCGCGAATGGGGTTGAGGAGTGCGAGGCAGCGATGGCGCGAGCGGGGTTGGAAAGACCGTGGGGTGTTGGTGTCGTGGTGGTGACTGTGGAGACGAGGTAAAGGGTGCTGTATGTGTAGAGGTGGTCAGCCAGAGGGGGCACCTGCCTATGGGAGCAAAGTGCGGCTCAGGAAGGGAGGAAAGGAGGACGGGGGCTGTTTGCAACGGCTGAACTCATCCCTTACCCCTTCCCACGGGGAATACTTACCGGTACCTCCCCCCACCTCTCACTCTCACCCCGTGCCCTAACTAGCGGTTTCCATTCTTACGGGTTGTTGGGTTTCACTTTGACTCCGTACCTGCCGTACACCCTGCCGTACACCCTCCCCCAGGAGCCGTACACCCTGCACGACGGGCCCCCCTACGCCAACGGTGACCTACACATCGGCCACGCGCTCAACAAGATCCTCAAAGACTTCATCAACAGGTGAGTGTGGGTTGGGAGTTGGAATCCGTTTGTTCGTTTCTTCGCGAGTGCATGTAAGCGGGGGAAGAGGAGGGGAAGGTGGAGTCAACACAGTGTCAACCCCGCCCCATCCCAAACCCCTCACCCCATCCCTCACCCCCACCCCCCTGCACCCCACCCCTCAGGTACCAGCTGCTTCAGGGTCGGCGAGCTCGCTTCGTGCCGGGTTGGGACACGCACGGGCTGCCCATCGAGCTCAAGGTGCTGCAGAGCCTGCCGGAGAAGGAGAGGAGGGCGCTGGTGAGGAGGGGATGTCGGGTGGGGAAAAAAATTATATAAGTGAAACAACGAATCCAAATCCCATATTCCGACTCATGCAGTGAGCGCATTCGGAGGCACTAATAACACGCATCTCAAATTGGGTGGGGTTGGGTTGGAGTACGAACAGGGTAAGGCAACCTGGGACTACCGGTACAGTCGTGTCACGCATTCCGCCTTTCATGCTCCCTCATGCTCCTCTCGTGTGCTCCTCCCAATCCACTCACAACCCCTCCCACTCCTTCCCTTCCTTCGTCAGTGTCTCATTATATTAGTTTTTACCCCTTCCCAACCCACTCTCCTGCCTTTCACTCCTCACTCATCTATTCCACCCCCCTGCCCCCCCAAAAGGGTGCGTTGGAGCTGCGCTCCAAGGCCCGCGAGTTCGCGCTGCGCACCCTGGAGGCGCAGCGGTCGCAGTTCCGGCGGTACGGCGTGTGGGGCGACTGGGGCTCGCCGTACGTCACGCTGGACCCAGGCTACGAGGCGGCGCAGCTGCGGGTGTTTGGGCAGATGTTCCTGAATGGGCACATCTACAGGTGGGGGGGAGAGGGGCCAGGCGGGAGGGGGTGTGGGGTTCGGGCATGGCGATGTGTGTAAGCCCGCGCACTCGCGATCCTGACATCTGCAGTTACGCCTTTTCGTAGCTTACAATGTGGGAACGAGAGTGTGGGCGGGAGGGGTGCAGGGTCATGGCGGTGGTGCATGAGAGTCCATGTGCATGGCCGAGCTGCCTGCTTCCCACCCCTCCCCTTCCCTCTCCCCCTCTCCTCCCTTGGGGATCAGTTGGTTGTTTCCTCTTTTATTGTCCCCGCCACTATCACTCAACGCATGCGTCTTCTTCATCCCCCTCTCTTCCCCCCCACCGTCCAGGGGCCTCAAGCCTGTTCACTGGAGCCCCAGCAGCCGCACGGCGCTGGCGGAGGCTGAGCTGGAATACCCAGAGGGGCACCGCTCCACCGCAGTGTACGTGGCAATGCCGCTGGAGACGGTGGGGGCGGCGGCGGGGCCGGAGCTGGCGGCGGCGCTGCAGGTGGGGGTGGGGGAGGGAGGGGGGTGGGAGGAAGGGAGACTGGGTCACACAGGTGTTTCGTGTTTATGGAAGGGCAGGGGGCGGGGAATGCCCTGTGGCTACTGCTGCTACCGGTGGTAGCACGGCCACGGGTGTTACGATGTCGCTGCGCTGCTGCCCTCGTGGGGCGCGCTTCCTTACTTCCCCCGACCAAGTACGCACCCAATATCACACACCCAGTTACACACACACCCACCTCCCCTCCCCTCCCCCCCCAAACACCCACGCAGGGTGCCGCATTCGCCATCTGGACCACCACCCCCTGGACCCTCCCCGCCAACCTGGCGGTGGCGGTGAACGAGCAGCTGGAGTACTGCGTGGTGGAGGCGGAGGTAGGGGGGTAGGGAGGTGGGAGGTGGGAGGTGGAGGTCCCGGTGGTGTGGGGTACAGAAGGTGAAGCCAAGGGTGGGGGCTGGGTCCTACACAAACCCAGCCCCCCAAGCCTGTTGGCACCTGACATGCAGCGGCGCTCCTGCCCAACCCACCTCCCTGCCCAACCCCCCCCCCCCAACTCCCCCCAAACCAGGGCGAGCCCGCCGCCTCCTGGCTCACCCGCCGTCTGGTGGTGGCCCGCGGCCTGCTGGAGCGGCTGGCGGAGAAGACGGGTGTGTCTCTGCGGGTGCTGGCTGCGGGGCCCGGGGGGCAGCTGGCGGGGTGCACCTACCGGCACCCGCTGTTCGAGCGGAGCAGCCCGGTGGTGGTGGGGGGCGATTACATCACCACGGATACGGGTGAGGGGCGGGGGCGGGGGGCGGGGTCTTGCCGTGCTGTCTGTGTAAGATGACACATTGGGGGAAAGGGAATGAGGGAAAAGGAGAAGCAGGACACCGGAGTGGGGTGGCAGTACTGGGGTATGCGAGGGTGAAAGGGGGGCAGACTGGCTAACACGTAACATCCCTTGTTGGGATGCCCATGTAACACACTTGCTGCTGCTTGCTGTTGGGGCCACAAGGGCCCACATGGCCGCATGGACTATGAAAACCCCTTCCCGCCTGCCCTCCCTCATCCCCATCCCCCCTGCAGGCACGGGTCTGGTCCACACCGCCCCCGGCCACGGCCAGGAGGACTATGCGGTGGGTCAGCGCTGCGGGCTGCCGCTGCTGAGCCCGGTGGACGATGCGGGGTGCTTCACGGAGGAGGCGGGCAGGTTCGCGGGGCTGAATGTGCAGGTGGGTGGGGGGTGGGAGGTGGGAGGTGGGGGGGAGGCAGGTGGGTGGCGGGGGGAGGAAGACAAGGGAGGAGTGCTGGGAGGGGTGGGGATGTAGGGAGGGGTGGGGATGTAGGGAGGGGTGGGGATGTAGGGAGGGGTGGGGATGTAGGGAGGGGTGGGGATGTAGGGAGGGGTGGGGATGTAGGGAGGGGTGGGGATGTAGGGAGGGGTGGGGATGTAGGGAGGGGTGGGGATGTAGGGAGGGGTGGGGATGTAGGGAGGGGTGGGGATGTAGGGAGGGGTGGGGATGTAGGGAGGGGTGGGGATGTAGGGAGGGGTGGGGATGTAGGGAGGGGTGGGGATGTAGGGAGGGGTGGGGATGTAGGGAGGGGTGGGGATGTAGGGAGGGGTGGGGATGTAGGGAGGGGTGGGGATGTAGGGAGGGGTGGGGATGTAGGGAGGGGTGGGGATGTAGGGAGGGGTGGGGATGTAGGGAGGGGTGGGGATGTAGGGAGGGGTGGGGATGTAGGGAGGGGTGGGGATGTAGGGAGGGGTGGGGATGTAGGGAGGGGTGGGGATGTAGGGAGGGGTGGGGATGTAGGGAGGGGTGGGGATGTAGGGAGGGTGGGGATGTAGGGAGGGGTGGGGATGTAGGGAGGGGTGGGGATGTAGGGAGGGGTGGGGATGTAGGGAGGGGTGGGGATGTAGGGAGGGGTGGGGATGTAGGGAGGGGTGGGGATGTAGGGAGGGGTGGGGATGTAGGGAGGGGTGGGGATGTAGGGAGGGGTGGGGATGTAGGGAGGGGTGGGGATGTAGGGAGGGGTGGGGATGTAGGGAGGGGTGGGGATGTAGGGAGGGGTGGGGATGTAGGGAGGGGTGGGGATGTAGGGAGGGGTGGGGATGTAGGGAGGGGTGGGGATGTAGGGAGGGGTGGGGATGTAGGGAGGGGTGGGGATGTAGGGAGGGGTGGGGATGTAGGGAGGGGTGGGGATGTAGGGAGGGGTGGGGATGTAGGGAGGGGTGGGGATGTAGGGAGGGGTGGGGATGTAGGGAGGGGTGGGGATGTAGGGAGGGGTGGGGATGTAGGGAGGGGTGGGGATGTAGGGAGGGGTGGGGATGTAGGGAGGGGTGGGGATGTAGGGAGGGGTGGGGATGTAGGGAGGGGTGGGGATGTAGGGAGGGGTGGGGATGTAGGGAGGGGTGGGGATGTAGGGAGGGGTGGGGATGTAGGGAGGGGTGGGGATGTAGGGAGGGGTGGGGATGTAGGGAGGGGTGGGGATGTAGGGAGGGGTGGGGATGTAGGGAGGGGTGGGGATGTAGGGAGGGGTGGGGATGTAGGGAGGGGTGGGGATGTAGGGAGGGGTGGGGATGTAGGGAGGGGTGGGGATGTAGGGAGGGGTGGGGATGTAGGGAGGGGTGGGGATGTAGGGAGGGGTGGGGATGTAGGGAGGGGTGGGGATGTAGGGAGGGGTGGGGATGTAGGGAGGGGTGGGGATGTAGGGAGGGGTGGGGATGTAGGGAGGGGTGGGGATGTAGGGAGGGGTGGGGATGTAGGGAGGGGTGGGGATGTAGGGAGGGGTGGGGATGTAGGGAGGGGTGGGGATGTAGGGAGGGGTGGGGATGTAGGGAGGGGTGGGGATGTAGGGAGGGGTGGGGATGTAGGGAGGGGTGGGGATGTAGGGAGGGGTGGGGATGTAGGGAGGGGTGGGGATGTAGGGAGGGGTGGGGATGTAGGGAGGGGTGGGGATGTAGGGAGGGGTGGGGATGTAGGGAGGGGTGGGGATGTAGGGAGGGGTGGGGATGTAGGGAGGGGTGGGGATGTAGGGAGGGGTGGGGATGTAGGGAGGGGTGGGGATGTAGGGAGGGGTGGGGATGTAGGGAGGGGTGGGGATGTAGGGAGGGGTGGGGATGTAGGGAGGGGTGGGGATGTAGGGAGGGGTGGGGATGTAGGGAGGGGTGGGGATGTAGGGAGGGGTGGGGATGTAGGGAGGGGTGGGGATGTAGGGAGGGGTGGGGATGTAGGGAGGGGTGGGGATGTAGGGAGGGGTGGGGATGTAGGGAGGGGTGGGGATGTAGAGAGCTGCCGGACAAGGCCTGTGGGAGTGGGGTGAGAGTGCTAGCTACCTCTCCAAAGAGGCCCTCTATACACACCGGTAGTAGCCGTACCCACCGCCCTTCCGTACACCGCCCTTCCGTACACCGCCCTTCCGTACACCGCCCTTCCGTACACCCCCTCCCTATCACCCCTACCTGCCCCCCCCCCCAAGGGCGAGGGTAACAAGGCGGTTGTTGCGGCCCTGCGTGAGGCGGGAGTGCTGCTGCGGGAGGAGAGCTACGAGCACAAGTACCCGTACGACTGGCGGACTAAGAAGCCAACCATCTTTAGGTGGGGTGGTGGTGGGGAGGTGGTGCGGAGCAGGAGGGGTTACGGCCCGTGCCGGCGAGGAGGAGCTCTCTCCGCCGGGTTGCAGGACACCTCTCCTCCCTTCGCATGTACGGATGGTACAGGTATGCAGGTTACTAACTACCCCCACCAACTACAGCCACCCTTCTACCTATCTTCCCACCACCACCTCCCCCCCCCTCCCTCCCTCCCCCTCCCAGGGCCACCAGCCAGTGGTTTGCCAGCGTGGAGGGCTTCCGCTCCGCCGCGCTGGCCGCCATCCGCGGGGTGCAGTGGGTGCCGGGTGGCGGGCTGAACCGCATCACCTCCATGACGGAGGGGCGGGGCGACTGGTGCATCAGCAGGCAGCGCAAGTGGGGGGTACCCATACCCGTGTTCTATGACGTGGAGACGGGTGAGGGGGGTGGGGTAAAAAGAGGAAACTGGCGAGCTGTATGAGCTGTAGGGGTGTGGGGGTTTGGGAGCGGGGAGGAGGGTTGGGGCATGGGGGTGCGGTGCTTTGGGTCGCCGCTTGGAGGGCGTTGGGCAGGGGTATACCGCTATACATCGCCTCCCTGCCCAGCCTGTGTGTAGCTTCCTTCCTCCAACCCACATCCCATTTCCCCTCCCCCCTTCCCCCTCCCTGCTCTCTCCCCCTCTCTCCCCTTCCCCCCCGCGCCCCCCCCCCCAGACGAGCCGCTGCTGACCCCCGAGACGCTGACCCACATCACCTCCCTGGTGGCGACCCACGGCAGCGACTGCTGGTGGCAGCTGCCGCTAGCGGAGCTGCTGCCGCCGGGGCCGCTGAGGGAGCGGGCGGACAGGCTGAGGAAGGTAAGGGGAGGGTGGGAAGGGAGGGGGGAGCGGGAAGAGGGAGGGAGAGGGGGCCGGGAGCAGCACCTGCTCGGGCGGTTGGGGAGGTGTGATGCTACTGCACGCAAGGTATGAATGTGAGGCTCAACTCAATGTGAGGAGCAGTATTTAGGCGAGAAGAGGGGCATGCACCTGCAGAGATCCTCCTAGATCCCCTCCTACTAACCGAACAAGTGTGACTATACGGTCCTATGATCCAGCCAAATGCGGATCCTCCTTGACCCACCCCCCTTCCGGCCCCTCCCTCGTTATCTTTTTTTTTACCTCCCCCTCCTCCCCCCCTGCAGGGCGAGGACACCATGGACGTGTGGTTCGACAGCGGCAGCAGCTGGGCGGGGGTGCTGCGGGCCCGGCCGGGGCTCTCCTACCCGGCTGACCTGTACCTGGAGGGGTCGGACCAACATAGAGGTGGGCGGGAGGGGGTGTCCGGACAAGCATACAGAGGGGGGATTGACAGAGGTGGGGTAAAGAGAAAACAAAAGAGGTGGGGGAGGGGTCGGACCAACACAGAGCTGGCCTAGTACCTCCTCCCCCCCCATCATCAACAACTTGTATCATTATCATACCACACTTTGGAATTTCTTTTTCCCCCATCATCATGCCATTGTCATTCAACACAGCATGTATGCTTCTCTCCCCCCCACTCCCCCCCGCACCCCCCCCTCTCCAGGCTGGTTTCAGAGCAGCCTGCTGACCAGTGTCGCGGCCAACGGGGTGGCGCCGTACAAGCGAGTGCTCACACACGGGTTCGTGCTGGACGAGAAGGTGAGGGGGGGGGGGAGGGTTGCTGGGGTGCTGTGCTCTGCTGCCCAACTGCCCCCGTGTCAATACACATGATGGTTGTGGTCTTGTTTGTTTTATCAAACACACATCACACATGCTCCACACTTCCTTGCGGCCAGTTTCCCCAACACACCGAAACACACACGCGCATGACACACTGACACGCACACGCGCATGACACACACGCATGAAACACACAGGGCCAGAAGATGTCCAAGTCGCTGGGTAACGTGGTTGACCCACGGGTCGTCATCGAGGGCGGCAAGGACGCCAAGCAGCAGCCGGCGTACGGCGCCGACGTGTTGCGGCTGTGGGTGGCCTCGGTGGACTACACGAGTGACGTGGCGGTGAGGGGGAGGAGGGGGGAGAAGGGGGAGAGGGTTACTGTGTGATATGATCCATCATTGTTTGCAATATGTGGGCCAGTGCTCAGGGGAGGGGTGCGGTGGAGGTGTGGAGGAGAGGAGGTAGAGGAGGTAGAGGAGAGTGAGGGGACCTCTTATGTTTCCTCCACGGTCCTCACCCGGCGGGGCTCTCCTGCGTTTACAAAGCCGCTGAAGCACCGAAAATGTGCAATACCCACACGTTTCCCCCCTCCCCCTCCCTCTCCGAATGCGCTCACTGCATGAGTCGGGACATGGGTTTGGGACTCCAGTTGCTGCACTACACAGTATTTTCCCCCCTGCCATTCCCACTCCCCGCACTCCCCCACCTCCCCCAGATCGGCTCCGGCATCCTGCGTCAGATGGCTGACGTGTATCGCAAGGTCCGCGGCACCCTCCGCTTCCTGCTCGGCAACCTGGCGGACTACGACCCCGTACGACACGCGGTGCCGTACGAGCGGCTGTCGGGACTGGACCGCTACCTGCTGCTACGGCTGGGGCAGCTGAGTAGCGAGGTGGCGGCGGCGTACGACAGCTACCAGGTAGGGCTGCGGCCGGCTGCGGGGCAGAAAAAGAGGAAACAGGCGAGCTGTGTGACGAGGGGGGGTGTTGAGTACGGCAGCGAACCATGTACGGCATACCTGGCCCCTGCGCCCCTGGCCAATCCCCCAAACCCCGCACATTCCCTGCCCATGTAGACTTGGTTGATTGGTTGTTTACGCGCGCGTTTCGTTTCTGTGCTTTGCTGCCCGGTCTGCTCTGTCTTCCCTCAATGCCATCTGACTGCCCTAACTTGCGGTTCAGTAAGACAGGCTAGTGTTTTGTTCCTCTTTGACCCCCTTCCCCGGGCTCCTTCCCCCTCTCAGTTTCCTCAGTTTTGGCCCCCTCCCTCCTTCTCCGTGACTCCAGTTGCTTCACTTTCCGATTCATGTTTCCCTCCCTCTCCTCCCGCCTCCCCCCCCCCCCCTTCCCCGCCTCCCCAGTTCTTCCGCGTGTTCCAGCTGCTGCAGCGCTTCGTGGTGGCTGACCTCTCCAACTTCTACCTGGACACCGCCAAGGACCGACTGTACATCCGGGCGGCGGAGGACCCGGCGAGGCGGGGCTGCCAGACGGTGATGGACGCGCTGCTGAGGGGGCTGCTGGCGGCACTGGTGAGGCGGAGGGGGTCAAACCATAGGCCAAACCATACGAAACCACAAATCGGCAAAATAATTGGGGATGAGGCGGCAGGGATCTTCAAGAGGGGGGGAGGGGTTGCATGAGGTGGGTACTCGTGGTTAGGGCGAGAGGTAGCTGGTTTGGAGTACCGGTAGTAAAGAACAGGCGAGCGACCTAGGACATGTGCTTGTTACCGGGGTCATGTATGTTGTTTCATCCAACAACAACCGCTCCCGCTCCCCTCCTGCCCCTCCCCCCCCCCCACCCTCCAGGCCCCGGTTGTGCCCCACATGGCGGAGGACGCCTGGCTCAACCTGCCCTACCCGCGCCCCGCCACCTCGGTATTCCAAGCCGGCTGGCCGGTTCCCGACCCCGCCTGGTTCAGCCTGTCAGAGCAGGAGGCGGCGGTGTGGGCGGTGGTGGCGGAGGTGCGAGACGCCGCCAATGCGGTGCTGGAGCGCGCGCGCGCGGACAAGGCGATTGGCGCGGGTTTGGATGCGCGGGTGGTGCTGCACGTGAGTGACCCGCGGGTCGCTGAGCGGCTGGCGGCGCTGGATGCGAGCGGCAATGGCGCGGACGAGCTGCGCTACCTGCTAATCGTGTCGCAGGTGGGCGAGTGGAGGGAGTGGGGGAAGGGTGCTGTTCTTTAATGGGGTTGTGTCTGGAGCTGTAGGTTGGGGCTGTCTTTTCTTATGAAACCATGCGCTAGGCTGCTAGCACACTTACAACGTAGGGTTTCCTCCTCCTCCTCTTCCTCCTGCCGTCAAAGCCTGTCAAACCCACCTCACCCCCTCTCCTCCCCTGCCCGTGTCACAACCTCCTAAACATCCCCCCCTTCCCTCCTTGAACCCCACCCCAGGTGGAGCTGGTCTCCGATGCAGCGGCCGCCCGGCTGTGCCCCTACCACGATACGCAGCCCAGCGCCTCGGGAGCCGGCAGCATCACGGTGGGGGTGGCGCGGGCGGGCGGCGCCAAGTGCGCGCGCTGCTGGAACTACAGCGACGCGGTGGGGCAGCAGCAGACGGTGGGGCAGCAGACGGCGGGGCAGCAGACGCAGCGGAGCTACCCGGATCTGTGCGAGAGGTGCGGCCCGGTGGTGGCGGCGCAGGGGTTCGTGCTGGCGGCGGGGGTGGGGGCGAGTGCTGGGGTGGAGAAGGTGACGGTGACAGTTTAGTTTTAAGGAGTATTAAAGCAACTGGAGTTCCAGGGAAGGGAGGCAGGTGGGGGGTGAGCCAGGTGAAGATGGGTGCCATGGGTAAGGCTAGGGAGAAGGATGAGTGGGCGCGTTATTAAACTTATAAGGGGCTGGTGTTCAAAGGGGGTTATGGGGGTTACGGTTACGAGGGAGAAAGAGAGACCCTTGGACGTGTGGCTGGTGGTTGGCAGGAAGGAAGCTCGGCTGGTGTGCAGGGAGGGCTTTAGGTGTGCGTGAAGTTGGGGGTGCAGGCGCCTCGGCTGTGCAGGCAGTCGCCAAAGGCTTCGTCGTCGGTAATAAGATAGCGTGCGGGATTACTGGTGCTGCAAGATGTCACAGGACGTTACAAGACGAGGATGCTGTAAGGTGCCGGACAAGGGCAGGCAGGTTGTGCTGCATCTCAAGAAACCAACGGCGCGCAGGGAATGCGACGCACATACAAGCGCATCCAACCGTCGCATTATGGTATCAGCATGTAATATGACGGCTTGCAAACCTCGCGGACGGGGCCCTTGTCCGGCCCCTTACTAATACTCTTCATAACCAATGAATAATCCAGCCAGCTAATGTACAGCCAATTATACCCAACAAGTCGGGTGGTAACTGATCTTGTTTACAGTTACTTCTTTTGCTCTTGCTGTTTCCGCTCTTGTTGCTGAGCAAGGTCCTGTGCAGCGAGCACATCCTCAGCTCGTAGTCGTGTTCGCTGCACTGTTTCCTCCTGGTCTTGAAGTGTAAGCGCATCCGGGTCCACCTGACAAGGCGAGCACCGCAGTCGCACTTTGTAACGCCGAATAGCAAGAATGTGCGCTGACCAATTACCAGCGACTCACCAGATCGTCCATGTTTTCAAGTCCACGCGTCACTGCAAGAGCTCCTACAAATGTTGCCCCAATTGTGGCACCAACTGGACGGATGCAGACGAATGCCGTTAGTGTAGTAACTGAAGGCCTTGTTCACGAGCGCCCAAATTTATTGATCTTTTGACACATACCTAAAGCAGCGGCGCTTCCTAAATTCACCCAAATCGCCGTATCCTCTACTCCTGTGGGCATCCTTGCCTGCCCCTTTAGGTTGATGAGGCGGTATTAGGAAAATAGGGATATAAAGTAATTGTGTTTATAGAGCGGCACGGAAATGAGGAAGGTATAGGCACGCGGGAAGGTTTCCGTGGTGACGATCGCATGGGGATCAGGCAAGGGCTGAGCAAGGTACGGCAGCCCAGGCGAAAGCGGTGCCGGCAGAGAGGAGAGGTGTCCACATAATTACGCGATTCGGGACATGGTGTGCACGTTGGGGAGCCCGAGTTGTCTTACTTTACAGTTGCCCACAGGCACCTCGACAGCTGGGACCCTATAGGACCACAGGACCTGCAGCCCTACTGGCAGACTCAAGGGGTTGATAAGCCTTGTTTGACTCCAGCTGGAAGGGTGCGGCTTTGCAGCGCGACTTGGCTGCCAAGGCTGACAGGTGCTCAAGGGAAGCCGCTATAGGCGCGGAGCTACCGATTGCGCTGTGTGCGGACAAGCCGGTGTTAGCAAGCTATTGTGTTGCCATAGGCATGTAGGGCACCATTTAGGGAAGGCCTGTTCAGTGTTTGTGCCGGTTGAATGCCGGTTGGATCACATGCCATACTAAAGTACGGCTTCTTGCACGGGGAGGTTCATGCCTTGGTGCGATCCACAGAGACATGGCACAGCTTATATGCGCACAGGTTTGCAATTTGCCGGTCAGACACTTCATAGCCTACTAATACGCCGCCGTCACGAGCACTAGCCGAATCGAAACTGCGCTCCTAGGGCTATTCCTGCGTAACTTGATACAGAGGTTTCTATTAGGACCAATACAGTAAATGACGATTGTATTAGCTGTAAGGTAGACCGTCATTCGTCGACACCTGGGAGCCTGGGACCTGGCCCAAGGGCACCGCCGATTGGAGAATGGCGAAGGAGGAAGTCCAGGACCGGTGCGTGTCGACTAACACGTTCACTCCCATGCAATATGGCTGGATATTCTTGACGTTGGGGGCCAGATTGCAGCTAGGGCCACGTGCAAGTAGCGGTTGCTATACACTTGCGCTTGTTTAAACCCTGCCGTTTTCCACCGCAGGTATGCCATTGTATATTTCATCTTCGTCCTTTTGGGGACAGGCACGCTGCTACCATGGAATGTCTTCCTCACCGAAAAGGTTGGTTAGGAATTGGCATTGCCAGTGTTGACGGAGAATCCAAGCTGCCCTGCGCCCAAGTATTGGCAAGCTGTACCACTCCTTCATGTTTTCAATTCCAACATTTTGCCCGCAGGAATTTTACGACGTCCGCCTTCATGTTGCGCCATTCAATGTATACATAACGGAGAACTTTATGAGCCTTTTTTGCCTTGTCTTCAACACAGCGTAAGTGCGCTCTCGGCTTAATTCCACCTACCTGCACCATAACACCCCTCCCCTCGCTCCACAAGCCACGGCTTACAAACCAACTCCGCTCAATCCCCCCCATCCTGCTCCATCCGGCGCACACCTCCTCCTCCACACACGTCCCACAGGAACCTCGTGGCGCTGGGCTTCCTAGTCAAGTTCCAAAAGCACTTGTCGCTGCGCGTGTTGGTGCTGCAACCGCTCGTCGTCACCTTCATCATGCTGCTGTCAACCGCAGCGCTGGTACGCATGGGGTGCGGCGTGGATGCGGGGTGGGGTGCGGTGCGGAGTGTGGGGTGCAGGCGGGCCATACACACCGCTGACACGTGGCGCGACGCGATGCGAGCTTGCTCTTGTGGGTTCCTGCTCCCTCACTTTTTTGTTGACGCCCACGCATGTCCTTCACCCCCCCGCACCCTCCCCCCCCCACCCAGGCCCTGCGCACCGAGATCCCGGGTGACTTGATGGCCAAGCTCACACTGCCCTCCCTGGCGCTCATGGTGGGGGGCTGGGCGGGGTAACGGTGGTGGTAGTAGTGGTGGTGGCGGCACATGTCCCTCTCAGGCCCCCCAAGCGCTGGCCGCCCCCAGCAGGGGAGGTGTGTGCTGTGCACCGCTGCTACCGGTATTATGCATGATAGGTTGCTATAGCGCAGGGATGGGTGCCCACGTCTCTGCATGTATCCGTGTAACTGAGCGCTGTAACGCTCTCACGGCTGCTGGCTTCTTCTTCTCTAGCCTTGTTTAGCATGGTACTCCCCCTCCCCCGCTACCGTACTGCCGTACTGCCGCCCCCCTCGCAGGGCATGTGCATGGCCTTCCTGCAGGGCGGCACCATGCAGCTGGCCAGCATCTTCTCAATAGCGCACATCAGGGTGGGTGGGGGGTGGGTGGGGCCGGGGCGGGAGCCGAGTTGGGCAGAAAGCAAGAAACTACTAATCTACTATGGGTGTGTGGGTGACGCCGGGGCGGGTAGAGAGCAAGAAACTACCGGTACGATAGGTGGTTGGCGGGGGGCCGACACTGCTTGCTGGCGAGGGTAGAGTGACCGACCAGCTGAGCGCTGCCAAAACCAAAACGTACCACACTCGCGCCCAGTTTTCTTAACACACGCACCCCTGGTGGTGGCTGGTGCAGGGCGTCGTGTCCGGCATCGCTGTGGGCGGTCTGGTCACCAGCTCGCTTTCCTTCCTCAGCCAACTCCGAGCAACACAACAAGGCGCCGATGGCAGCGGCGGCGCAAGCGGCAGCGCAGCCGATGCCAACGCCAACTCGATCGGCATCAGCATCATCAGCGCCGTCGCCGATGTAGATCCGCACACCTCCCCTGCATCCGCAGCATCCGCCGCCGCCGCCGCAGCCGCAGCCTCTGCAGTGGCTCCCGCTGCCTTTGTGTACTTCTCCGCCTCCGCTGCTGTAATCGGCGCCTGCATAGCGGGATACTGGTCGCTGCCCTGGCTGCCGTACGGGCGGTACAAACTGCTGCTGGCGGGCATTCTGGACGACCCCAAGCAGCGCAAGATGCTCACGGTGGGGTGGGGGTGTGTGTCGCGTGTTTTGCTAGACATGCTAGACTGGCTGCCCTTACCAAACACTGATGCGATTGAAGGCATCACGCATACCAGTCTCTTTGCCGTAGCCCCATCTGTTTCCTTCCTGCCAAACCTTCCTTCCAACCCCGACCATGCCCCGCACTTGCACCCCGCCGCGCAGGTGGACGAGGATTACGAGGAGCCCCTGTTTACCGTTGTAGAAGGCGACATTGACGGTGCTGCCGCTGCCGCTGCCGGCCCCAGCACCAGCTCCGGAGCCACCCGCACCGAAACCACCCGCGCCGCCATCATCTGCGTGGAGTCCGATTACAGCATCTACACCCGCACCTGGCAGCAGCGCCACGCCTTCTCCATCTACTGCCTTGCGCTGTTCCTCTGCCTCTGCGCCACCATGAGCACACATCCCGGCTTGTCTGCGTTCATTTGCTCGGTGGACAACCCGGCTCGTGTGTCGCCCTGTGCGGCGCGCAACGACACGCCGGGGGTGCTGGGACGCATTCGCGGGGACTTGTTCGTGCCGCTGCTGTTTGTGTTGTTCAGGTTGGAGGGTTGGGAGGGAGAGATGTAGGGCAGCAGTGGGGGTTGATGGGTCTGGGAGGAAGGAGGGAAGAGGAAGGGGGAGGGTAAACTACTGCTACTGTTGGCACAATACTGTTGGTCAAAGCCCATTAAGGATACCGGTAAATGGCAGTGCAAAAGACGAAAACTGCAGCGCAAGCCACGACACGTCACGACACGGGTATCCATGTCCACGTCATCATCCTGCCGTATCCCACGTATCCCATGCGCCCCATGTGCCCCCCCCCACCCCGCCCCCCACCGCAGTCTGGGTGACTTCCTGGGTCGCTTCCTCAGCGGCTACGGCCCCTGGTCCCGCGGCGCCCCCAAGCCGCTGTCCATCCTGGCCTACTCGCTGCTGCGCTGCAGCCTGGCGGCCGCAGTGCTGTTCTGCCACCTGGTGACACCCACCCGCTGGCGCCTGCACGCCTACCTGGACAGGGACCACTGGCCCTGGGGGGTGGTGCTGGCGCTGGGGGCAACGCAGGTAGGGGAGGCGGGGAGTGTGTATTTTGTGGTGGCTCCTGGTGATAAGCGGGTACCGTGTATATCTGATCCCTCGCTGCCTGCTTTTGGGCTGGCACCGTCGCGGCCTCTTCGTACTGTCGCGGTCTTACTCTTTATCCTCCTCCCCCCTCCTCCCCCTCCCTTCTTTCCCCCCGCCTCAGGGCCACCTGATCAGCACCATCTGCATGCACGCGCCCTCCACCCTGATGCCCACCGAGCAGTCCAGGTACGGCCCCGTCACCTCATTCGCCATCTCGGCGGGCTGCTTCGTGGGGTCGTTCGTTTCCATGGGGCTCTCCTCGGCCTTCCAGGAGCATTGAGAGGGGCTGGAGAGAGTCAGAGCATCAGCTGCTCTGCTGTTTACTTTGGCCCCACATGTACCGCTATAGTAGCATCTCGAGGTTTGGGCGAAAGAGGGCCTGTGGTATGGGGAGGTGGTGGTACCGGTAGTTAATGTTGACCGTTAATCGAGACGCGGGATGTAACTGATTAGTCAGGTCTGAGCAAACTAACGGTGGAGTCGGAGTCTTGGATGGCGTGTACCGCCGTTTGGCGGTTGTGGTAGTGTACCTTGCTGCGGTAGGTGCCAAGTTAGGCCAAGCCATGCACCTTTTGCGTTTGGTGGGGTTGGGTTTGAGACCAACTGGGGACAAGCGCATCACAGGCTCCTTGCTTCTGTTGCCTTGGATCCCATACCTTGTACACTCTTGTATACGCAACACACTTATGTAGTTTCCTTTAAGACACCTGTACCAGAATGCTCGGGAGTAATGGCTGAGAGTAGATAGGCTTGGGGTTTCCGGGCCTGTCATGCGGCCCCGGTGTACTGTACTGCTTGATTGCCACCCTGACAGCACCTTATTGCGAAGCGCTGCGTGTATGAGGTGCGGGTGTGCCTTCCCTTGACGATGCGTTGGGGACTTGGGGTCTGGATCACTTGCTTGTACCTTTGCACGTAATCCGTACGAAACCCAATGTATGTATGTTTAAAACCGGTGTAGCGGTGTTATGAAAACTGCTGACACACCCACTCTTGCACATAGGTCTTTTGCTGCTCCTGGCAGCGCTGCTCTGTGCTTTTGCACTTCATGTGATGTGCCCGCAGACGTCCGGACGCTAAGGGCGGTGCTTTGTAGCTTTCGGTTGCTCGGGCTGAGAGCATGCATTGGGTGGATGTTTCGTTTGTGTCCATGCAGCTCAGTTCTTGGTTCACATGATACTGACGCCATGGGATTTTAGTAGGCATCAAGGGGCAAGGTAGGCGAGAGGGAGGGGATGCACCCATGCATGGCTGGACACGTAACTAACTGAGGGACGGCGAGGGTATTAGTTCATTTTCCGGGTGGCCGGATGATGAGCTGACAAGGTGAATGTACTTAAGCCGGCGGTTAGCGTTTTGAAATTGGTTCAGGTTAAGCTGTTGAAACCCGCCCCCCGCATCTTACTTCCTTTACCTTCTCCAAGCTATAGCAGCAGGTACTAAGCCTACTTGCGAGGTCCACGTTGAGTAATTTCAGCAAAGTTACCCCCTGTGCTGTTGATTGCCCTGCTCCCGAGAGTGGCGCATTGAGCATGATTTCAAGTGTTACCAGGCGATATGTTATTACCTTTCATTGCTCACTCCTTCAATATTGGAGGCGTGCAAAACAATTCGAGCATTATACCCGACAAAGGGGTAAGTCTTCCGAAAGGAGGGAACCACAGCCGACGCCCCCCAGCCTACACGCAATGTGGGTACATCAGAGGCGCCCCAACGCACGAAGCCCCGGCTGCAAAGCAAAACAAGCAGCATACAGTGTCTAACGAAAGAATACTGGCTTTTCGCTACAAAATTGGCAACCATATAGCCTAACATCACACTCTGCCACTGCCACAACTCGCATTTGTGTGGACAAGACGGCAAACACACACGTTAATAGGCATTAGCATTGCACTGCCTTCTTGGCCGGGAGAGAGCGTTTGGCTCCTGCCAGGAGGAAGAACGTTCGCTTGTGCGCAGCTGCTACACGGCTCAGCAACCGACAAAGCACCCCCTTACGCCCGTGAGGAATCCGCATAGTTCAAGTTGTCACCCTTTTGCCAGCCTGCCTGACCGTCTAGCAGCAAACACAAATAGATAGCAGTATTGCAGCAGACCCATCACAGCACCAGACGAAACCAACGGAAAGCCCACATCAGCGCCCCCTCCATTACCGCGGCAACAACGGGACCATACGGGTGGCGCACACGAGACGCACCCACGCCACCAAGTCCAAGCTGCCGTGCTCACATGTTGCCGCCCCGTTGCCGCCCTTCTAACTTAACCCACAAGTTGCCAACCAACTCACCGCCTTCTAGTAACTCCTCCACCTCATAGCCGCACAGCCCAACCTAGCGCTGACTCCCGCCCCAACCCTGACAAGGCCCCACGGCACCTCCTACACCACCTCAACCCATTCGTCCCTTCCCTCCTCCCCTCCTACACCCTCTTCCAACCACCCCCACCACTCCAACAGCATACCTCCCCGGCACCCGGCCATCCCCCTCTTCCTGCCCGCTTACTTGGCCGCCTCCTGCGGCAGCATCTGGTAGTTATCCTTCTTGCTGCCGAGGACCTTCTGCTCGAAAAACTCCCGCACAATCGCAATGCCCAGCGGCAGCGCCACATGCGGCCGCAGGAAGTACGTCTTGGGCTGCATGTTGGTCATGATCTCGGCCCACTTGGACATCATGGCGTCGCCCTTGCGCTGCATCTCGCTGGCCACAGCGTCCAGCAGCAGCGGGCAGCGGTAGACAATCTCGGCAAAGGCCTTGCTCATCCAGAAGTCGTGACCGTACAGCGCGCGCCACTTGGTCTCGAACTGCTTGGTGGAGCGGGCGGAGAAGTCGCCGGTGGCGCGCATGGCGAGGATGGTCTCGGCGGCCGCCTTGCCACCCATCATGGCGGTGTGGATGCCCTCGCCTGAGGGGGGGGAGGGAAGGGGAGAGGGAGGAGTGGAAGAGGGGGAAGGGGAGAGGGAAGGGAAGGGGGCAACGGGGGGATTAAGAGAGGTGGTACTGGGGCTAGTAGGATAGGGGAGTGTGGGAGTCTATGGAGGAGGATGGAGCAGCTGACGTGGGGTTGTGTGCACCGGGCTACGTGTGGGAGGCTACACCGCAAGCGAAGATCATCGCTGTGCAAGGAAAAACAGGGCGCTTCCTAGGTGCACCTCACTACCGCCAGCAAGTAGCAACAGCTATGAATGCAACTAGCCGACGCAAGGTATCCATGTCCCGCCCCTGCTGGAAGCAAACCCACCACCCCTCCTCCCTCCCCTCTCCGCATTCCCCGCCACTTCACGCCAACACCCCTCATCCTCCGGCCCCAATCCTCACCGGTGTACGGGTCGATGTGTCCGGCCGCATCTCCCACAATGATCAGGTGGTCGTCAAACGTGGTCTTGAGGCCCTGCCCGCCCAGACGCAGGCTCGCCACGCGCATGCGCTCAATCTTGGCGTTAGGCCCCAGCGACTTGGAGATGAAGGGGTCGTACTTGATCGCGTCGTTGTGCAGGCGCGCCAGATCCGACTCCTTCACGTCTCCGCAGTAGCCGTCCTTGCCGCAGGGAATGAGGTAGTAGCAGAAGTTCAGCTCGTCGTTGGGGTGACGGAAGATAGCGGCGTAGCCGGGCAGCGACCACTTGGGGTAGAAGCACACGCCGTCGTAGTTGGTGTTGTGGGAGCCGCCCTCCACGAAAGCGCGGGAGCAGATGCCCTTGGGTGCCTCCGTGCAGTATCCCAGCTTGGTGGCGAGGCGGGAGGTGGCGCCATCGGCGCAGACAAGCACACGACCGCGGACAGTCTCGCCGGTGGCCGAGGTGACGGTCCACAGACCGGTTGCCTTGTCAAAGGTCGCGCCAGTCACCTCGAACTTCTCCTTAAGGTCGGCGCCGGCGCGGGCAGCGTTCTTGGCAACGCGGATGTCCAGGTTGATGCGCTTCACGGCGCAGCAAGCGGCCTGACCCAGCTTCTGCTTGGAGACACCGATGTAAGAGGTGCCGTTGGGGCTAACGAAACCACCAGCGTCGGCAAAGTGAGCCTCGTTGTTGGCGACGAGCTCCTGCAGCACGCCCATGTCCTCGAGGATGCGGATCGCAGGGGTGCAAACGGCATCGCCGCAATACTTATCGCGCGGGAAGGTCTCCTTCTCTAGAAGAGCGACCTTGGCACCACCACGAGTCATATAGTAAGCGCAGACGGAACCGGATGGGCCAGCACCAACGATGACCGCGTCGTAAGCGTCGGCCGGCAGGGTGTCGACCGGGAATGGGCCGCGGGCTGGGACGGCGTTTTTGGCGCGGCGGTAAGCGTAAGCTGCCAGGAGGGCAGCAGTGGTAGCACCAGCAGCAATAGCTACCGTCTGCTTGTTCTCCTGGACATACTTCTCGGCCTTCTCAAGCGCCTTCTCGATTTGGGCGGCCATCTCTGATCGTGCGTTACTGAGTCGAGTTAAAGCCCGCAAGAAAGGGTTCCACTCACACGTAAGGACCAGTAGCGCCTACTGAAAGTAGTGCAAGATCAGGAAGAACGAGAAGTGAAAGCCGAGGACTGGCGACTCAAACCAAGGACTGTAGAGAAGTGCTACACAAGCCTTGGAGTACGAGGCGCTTATCACACCGGCTATGAATGCACAAAGCAGGCCGCGCCGAATTCACAAGCCCGCGCACTTGTACGAGCACTTTTGTCGTGCACCAACCTTCGGCGCCAAAATCGCTCGCCCACCTGGTATGGCCCTCCTGCCCGATAGCATGCCGCAGTTGCACTAACGGGCTAAATGGTATGCGGGTGAACCTAGCCTTGTCCCTCCCTAGGTATCCTTTCCCATTGCTCCTTCGTTCCAATCAGCCCGAAATGCCTTCTGACACAGTCCTTCAAGGCGCAAAACCTTGTAGTGCATAAAGTTTGCCAAGTGCTGACCTTCGTGCTTCAAATCTGGGACACTGGTACCGTATCTCAGTCGGATGCATCTGCATGGTGCCTGACTTGCGGGATCTGCTCCAAAGGGAAATGAGAACCATAGCACTGTTAGCGTAAAACCAACAAGTTGTGAGCCCATGAGATTTGTTACAAGGCTTAACACCGGAGACACTGGTCCTGGGCACACACCTCGACGCGAAAAACCATCTGCAGCTTCGATGACCCCTTACTACAGTTCTCTTAATCTCTCTGTGCCACTAAAAGCCTGCCACCAAGTGATCTCTAATGCTTGCTAGTAAGGCTACCTAACCTGCAGGAACAACGTACGGGACACGTGTAACCCACAAGCTACGAGACAAGCGGTTGCCGAGCGGCGACGGACAACCAATTTAACATCCCGCCCAACCATGTCAGTATACCCGTGCAAATAAACAGCAAAAGCGGCCCTGCCGGCAAACAGCGCTACCCTTCTACCCATGCTTAGATGCCTACGCACTCACAGCGGAATCTGTTGCCCCCCCCCTTATGCCGCTTCCCCAACTCCTACTAGGTACCTCCTCCTACACCCCTGCCAGCTGTTCTCCAACCCATCCGCACGCACGGACTAGCACCCTAGCAAGCCAGCCGGCACGCAAACAGCATTTATCTTCCGGCAATCACAGTACGTTCCGACTCGCGGCTAACTTCCTTAACACAGCGTTTGCGCCCTCTAAAACACAACACCCAACGGAATCAGCTCCCTACTTCAATCACAACAACGCGCCAGAGACTGTGGTCCGATCGGAAAGAGCTTCCTACTACAACCAGCAACGACTTGTCGCCCGCCTACACCTGCAACGCTGCCCCATCAGCAGCAGCAGCCGTCGTCGTCCGCAACCCCGCTGCTGCTGGTACTGCTGCCGGAGCGGCCGTCAGCCGGCAGCACACGCCGCACAGCAGCGCGTCCAGCAGCGTTTCGTCGCCGTACAGTAGCGCCCTCCGCGCCTCCAGCACCTGACACAGCTGCCGAGCAGCCGCGGCCTCCACCACGCAGGACAGCGGGTGCACCACCCTGCGTGGCCACAGCAGCGTACGGCAAAGGCAGCAGAAGTGAAGAAGCAGCAAAATGGTAGAGCGGGCAGCAGGTGAAGCAACAAAGGCAAGCACAGCAAGTGAAGCAACGGTTAAGCAACGACCCAAAACGGTGTGAAGGTGTGAAGTGCAAAGGAAACACAGCGGGACGTTTGGGGGACGGTCACGGTAGGCAGGAAAGCTTATGCGCATGTGACACAGAACGCCCGAATGTAAGAGAGGGTGTAGAAACTCACAGACAGTTGGACTCATTGAGTTGAATTTTTCTCACTTCTGACGCGACCCTACCCGCCACCGCCCTTCTGCACCCAAGGCCCCTCTCAACACACAAACATCACAAGGAGGACACAGCTCCCCACGCACGCCGTAATAAGGTGCCGGTAACAAACAACAAGGCAATAAATACCAAGTCACAACAATAAGATAACAAACACCAAGGCACCAAGTGCTGCCTCCCTGCCTTCCTCCACCCACCATGCGTCCGTGCCCAGCGCCGCCAGCGATGCCAGGTCGCACTGCGCCACCCCCAACTGCGCCAACCGCTCCTGCAGCGCCACCAGCCCGCTCCAGGGCCGGCTGGGGGGCTGCAACAGCGGCAGGGGCTCGGGGCAGGCGGCAGCAGCAGCAGCCGCAGCAGACGATGGTGGCGGTGGGGGTGCAGGTTGCTGCGGCGAGGGCGACGTGGTGTGGTTCACAGAAGCCTGGAGGTTGTTGTTGGTGGTGGTGAGGTCCATGCGGTCCGAGGGCGTGGTGGCTAATGATGATGACGATGATTTCGGGATGGGCCCAACGGTTGTCATCGTCGCAGTCGCCAATCCGAGCAGCATGCGCAGGTCCTGCGTGGGCCCTACGCGGCCACCCGGCGGCAGCAGCGGGGAGAGTGCCGGGAGAACCTGGGGGGGGGGGCGGGGGGGCAGGCGCAGGTGGGAAAACAGGAAACAACTAACTGACTGAGGGATAAGGCGTAGGTGGGAAGTGGGAGGTCATGGTTGAAGAAGCACCAAACCCCAGGTGAGGGCAAGACGGGGGGGGTTGCGTTGAGGAGCAACGGAGCCATGCAACTGTGCTGACTGGCGGTAGGGTGTTGTGTAGTTGAGTAGGACAACAGCAAGCAAGTGGGAGTGGGTGTTGTGTGGGAGGCGAGGCGAGGGACGGGGGGGGCCTTCGTTGGCACACCATGCATGCATGCGTGCGCGGTGGGGTGCGGTATGCGGGATAGAGAGGGGATGGCAATTGGAAGGGTTGCGCGGCAATACAGACCAGACACACAGCGCAATGCAAGCTGCAACCCTGCTTTAAAGCACTCTCAACCACCACCAGCATGCATGCAGCACCCACCTGTTCCGCATCCCACACCACCTTAACCACACCCCGGCCGCCACCCGCTGTCACCGCCGCCGCAGCAGCACTGCCGCCCTCAGCAGGCGCCGCCAGCAGCTCCACCGCCGCCCGCACCAGCGCACTGCTCCCCGCCACCCCCGCCACCCCCAACACGTACAGCGTGGTGGGCCAGCACTGGGCAGCGGGAGCGAGCAACGCTAGCAGGACGGGAGACCGCCGCCGTTGTTGTCGGCCGGCGTTTCCTGTAGCAGCGGCGGAAGAGGCATCGCACGGCGGGACTGACGAGGAAGAAGCACCCTCCTCCTGCTGCTGCTCCTCCTCGGCCGCCGCAGGTACGACGCCGTTGGGGTCCCGGGCCGTTCCCGATTCAGCGTCGGCTGTTGCTGCTGCGGCAGACGGCAACGCAGCATCTCCACCGCTCCCTCCTGCCATACTCGAGCCCGTGTCTCCTCCGCCGTCCCCTCCTCCTGTGAGCTCCGCAGCAGCAGCAACACCGCCCTCCTGCTCCTGTTCTTGTTCCGGCTCCTGTTCCCGTTCCTGATCCCGCTGCCCTTCCGCATCCAGATCCGCCACCGCACAGTCCACCACCACCCGCCCAGCGGCCCTGCAGTGCTGCACCATCACCCCCAGCGCCGCCACCTCCTCCGCCACCCCGCCCTCCACATCCAATGAGGAGATGTAGCGCACCACGGCAGGCTGCAGACGTGCGGCGGTGGGGGAGGCACCGGCGGCCGCCACCGGCGCTGCCACAGTCGCTGTTGTGGCCGGAAGGCTGCTAGTACTAGAGCTGTGGGTGGTGTTGCTGTTACTCTCTTTGCAAAGCTGGGCCGCTGCAGGAGTTGCCTCTGTCTCCTCCGAAACGGGGCCTCCGTTCGGCGCCTCAGCCACGGTACTCAGGAGCGCGGGAGATGCGGCGGGCGTGGTGGTGGCTGAGGCTGGTGCGTGCTCCTCCTCTCCTCCGGAAACGGCCGAGGTTAGCCGCACTGGCGGACACAACGCCTCAACGCCAGCGCCAACAGCAGCAGCAGCAGCAATAACGTCCTTGCTTCCCTCAGACTCCGTGTCAATCGCAGCAGCTTGCTGCGGAGGAGGAGGAGGAGGACGAGCAGGCGGTCCTTGCAGCTCTTCGATTGACTCTTCGGGCGGCTCCTCCGGTGCTGCTGCCGCTGCGGAGGTTGCGGCGTCGCCATGCAGCGTGGCCTCCTGTACCTCGGCCTCGGGAGCTGCGGCCACACCGGCCGGCAGGAGGACTCCTCCTTCAGCAGCGGCCTCAGATGCGCTTACGCCCATAATCGCTGCCACTACGCGCCTATCAACGCAGGACGAGGACGAGGACTGAACCTGCTCCTCCTCCTCTTCCACCGCAGGTCCGACAGCACTGTCTCCAGCAGCAGCGCCGCCGCAGGTCGCCGTGTCCTCCCCACCGGCTGCAGGCGCAGCGGCATCCGCACCAATTGCAGCGGCGGTGGCGGCAGAGGGTGCAGCAGCAGTGGCAGCAGTGGCAACGTCCTCCGGTAGTTCACCAACAGCAGCAGCAGCAGCAGGCGCTGCTACCCCGAAGGCAGATGTGTGCGATCCCTCCGTCGCCTCCACGTCACCATGCTCCCTGTCCACATGCCCCTGCCCCTCAGCCCCTTCCGACTGGCAGGCCAGAAGGCCAGCATCCGCATGTACAGCGGTGGTCGGTACATCGGTGGCCGCAAGCCCCGACGCAGCAGCAGCACCCTCACTTCCTCCCCCACCTCCAACGGCATCCTGCTCCTCCTCCTCCTCCGCAGCAGCAGCCGCCACTTCAACCAGCGCAGCTGCGGCCTCCAATCCAACCGCCTGCTGCCCTACCAATTCCTCCTGCTCCGAAAGCAAATCACCGCAACGCGCCTCACCCCCGCTCTCGTCCTCCACGACGGGAACAGGAATGGGAATGGGCACCTGGCGCGGCGACGGGGCTCTGGCGGCGGATGGCTCCGGCGTAGTAGATGCCTCCGCGACTTCGTTACCCTGACGCAGCGCAACTGCCTCGCTGCTGCCACTGCTGCTGCTGTCATCGGAGGAGCTGAGGGGTGCCGGAGTCGTCGCCGCGGGCTGCTGCCCTCCGGACGGCGCAACAGCAGCAGCATCCACCTGATCCGGTACCGGCACTGGTACTGGTACCGGTACCGGCGCTACATCAGCCTCACCGCCGCCAGCGGCCTCCAGCAGCGGCGATATCTTCTGTCGCAGCTGCGCCGCGTTATCCGGCAGGGGCTCCTCCTCCAGACGTGCCCCGGTGGCCAGCAGCCGCATCAGCATGGCCAGCTGTGCCTCGCCGTCCTCCTCGCCGTCGCCCTCCGCGGGAGGGCTGCTGCCGCTGCCGCCGTCCGACACATCCGGCGCGCCGCTGTTGCCGCCGGGTGCAGCCTCAACAGCAGCAGCGGCCTCAGGAGGAACAAGCTGTGCATCCTCCGCCGCCGCTACAGGTATGTCCGGAGCAGGAGCAGCAGTCACCGCCACTGCCGGCAGGTCTGCCGCGGCTTCTCGAGTGGACAACAGGAATGTCGCCTCGCCCTCCAGCTGCTCCTCCGCAGCAGTCGCGTCCATGTCTTCGACGGCAGGGTGCGGCAGCGCCAACGCCGCCAGCTCCCCCACCAACAACTGCACCACCACACCACCGCTTCCAGCCGCTGCCACTGCTCCCTCAGATGCTCCCTCTAATGCAGGACCTACACGCACAACGCGGAAGAAGCGCGGCTCGGACAGCAGCAACGACAGCAGCTGATGCATTTCAACAGCAGCAACAGCATCGGGGCCGCCAGCAGCACCAGCCTCCGCATCAGCTCCTCCCAGGGCGATGCCCTTCTGCCGCAGCACGAGCAGCAAGACCCGTGGGTCAGTGGCGGCGGCGCCGAGCTGCGGATGCGCGCTGCGCAGGAGCACCTGAGCCACGGTCCTCAGCGCCTGGGCGCGGGTGTCCAGGCCGGGGAAGGCGCGCAGGAGGTGCACCGGAGACACTTCCGAGAGCAGCCCGCTGACGGGGTCGGAAGCGGAGGCAGCGGCGAGCGGGGTGAGGCGGGGTGAGAGTGAGGCGGGGACAGTGGAGGCGGCGGCCAAGCTGGGGTGGTCTTCAACTGGAGGCGGAGGAGAGGGTGAGGGTGCTGATGAGCCTGGTCCAGCTGAGTTGCTGGGCGCTTCTCCGGGTGGCGGCACTTCAACCGCAGGCGTGACAGCGGGTGTAGCATCGCCGACGCCAGCGGCCTGGGGACCGGCCGACCCGTGGTTCATCAGCGCTGCGGCAAAGGCGGCAGCTGACTCGGGGATGGCGGCGGACAACAAGTTGCCGGAGGTGTTGATGGCTTCCCTGTCCGCAGTCAAGGGCTCTCCCTCTTTGCCTCCCTCCACAGCCGGTGGCAATGCTTGCGGAGGCAGCAGCAGCTGCTGCTCCCCAGCAGGTGGCACCGCGCCGCCTGCAGAGCTTCGTTGCCGTGCCAGCACCCGCCGTGCCTGCGACAGCGACTCCTCCACGCCCGCACCCGCCATGGTACCGCCCTCACCCCCCTCCCTGCATGCTGCCTCGGCCGCATGGCCCGCCAGCAACCCCTGCGCCTGCCCAGCCTCCTCCAGCTGTTGCGGCTGCGGCTGCTGCTGCAGCCGCTTGGTAAGGAGCTCCAGCAGCTGCTGGTGCTGCCCGGCAACCTGCGAGTCCGCATCACGCAACGCGGCTGCCGCCAACAGCAGCTGCTGCTGGTGCTGCTGCTGCAGGGACTGCTGCTGCTGTCCCGCCAGGATCGAGGAGGAGTCCTTATCGCTCGCAGCCGAGGTAATGGGCTGCTGCTGCTGGCCTAGCAGTCCAGGTAGCGGCGGCGGAGTGGCGGCGGGGCTGTGTGAGTTGTGGGCTGCAAGCCATGCAGCCACATTCGCGTGGCTTTGAGACTGAGCCACGGGACCGCCGGTGCTGGGCAGACCGCCTGCGTTGGACAGCGCGGCCAAGGTTAGCGGCGCAGCGGACCCTGGGATGGAGCCGGATGCTGTTAGTGCCGCCGCAAGGGGGGTGTTGGCGGCAGCGACGCGGGCGGCGGTGGCTGCAGCCGCCGCTGCTGCGTTGCTGGAGCTCAGTTGCTGGATGAGGGTGGCGAGGGCAGAGTTCGGCGGTACGGCAGGTGCGGCAGTAGCAGGTACGGCAACTGCGGGTACGACAGGCAGCCTGGGAGCGAGCTGGGCCGCCGCTTGCAGCTGGGCCTGCTGTTGATGGCGCAACAGCAGCACCTGCTGGAATTGCTGCAGCTGTTGTTTCTGCAGGAGTTGCTGTTGCTGCTGCTGGTGGGCTGCCACAGCGGCTGCGGCGGTCTGCCGCTGCAACAGGATCTGCAGCTGTTGCAGCTGCTGCGCCTGTTGCAACTGCTGCGCATGCTGAAGCTGCTGTTGGGCCTGCGCCTGCGCCTGCTGGGCTTGCAGGAGCTGCAGCAAGGCGGCGGTGTCACGTCCACCCGTCGTCCCAGGCAAGCCTGTCACTTGCGACAGCTGCGCGGATGACTGCTGAGCCTGCAGAAGCCGCATCAACAGGGCTTGGTTGGAGGCCTGAGCTGCAGCAGCCGCAGCAGTGGTTGGTGCTGGGATGGCTCCCGCAGGCTGGTTGCCCCCTAGGAGCTGTACACCATGGGGTTGCGGTTGTGCGGCGGTAGAGGACTGCAGGGTCTGCATCGCTGCTGCGGCAGCGGCAGCCGCTGCAAGCATCTGCTGCTGCTGTTGCTGCTGGGATTGAAGCCCGGAGGCCGCAGGCTGCGCAGCTGCCATACCCGACGACTGCGACGGCCACGCTCCATGCGGCATCGCAGGAAACGCAGCTGCAGCGCCTGAAGCCGCTCCCGACGGGCGTGAGGGCCATCCTGACGCATCCGAAGGAGGAGCTCCTCCTTCTCCTCCTGCTGCAGCGCCGCCTGCAAACACACCGGGAGCAACACCAGGGGCGGCGCCGGCGGGCTGCATCATCATCCAGGATGCACCAGGCTGCTGCTGCTGCTGCCGAGCTGCGGCCTCTGCAAGCACCGCGTGATCTTGTGGGGGTTGCGTCTCTCCAAAAGCAGAGCTCAGGGACGGGTGTCGCTGTTGCTGCGAGGAGGCAGCAGGCGAGGGCTGTTGCGGCGGGGGCGCAGCGGCCTCTGCCAGCGCTGCCATGCGGGGCAAGTCCAGCACAGCGACCTCGCCGCCGGTGCCGCCCTCGTCGTCCACAACGGATAGGCAGTTGGCCGGGTCGTGCTCCAGGACAGCAAAGAGGTTGCCTGGAGGACATCGAGGTGGTCAGACAAGTCGGTCAGGTGCGCCAGGCTGAGGTGTTGTTGGGTGAGACTGGGTGATTGGGTGTTGGGAAGGGGTGCTCACCGCTGTCCGTTTTGGACAAGACCCACAAGAGACGTCCGCGGAACAAGCAAGAGGCTTCGGGCATGCTTTTTCCTCAAACCCTTCTTGCCATGGCCACTGCTGCCAAGGAGACCCGACATCCAGGACTACGCACTAGCTACGGCATACCTCCAAACAAAGTCCCCAAATGCGATTAACACCCAAACCGCTCATCGCCAACGGCACCGCCCCACCTGCTTTGTTGCACGCCACCGGGTCCTTCCGGCGGACCGCCATCAGCAGCAGCTCCAGGGCCATGCGGTTGGGACCCGCAGCCGCGCCCGGCCCCGCCCGCGCCAGCAGCGTCGCAGCTATGCGCCGCACCGTATCCTGAGGTCGTGTTGGGCAAGGCCGGGAAAGACAGGGCTGGGAAGATCAGATGTCGTGGTTCAGACCGATACGGCAAGGAATGGCAAAGGAACGGCGGTAGCGGTCACAGGTGCAGACGTAAATAAGCGCGTCAGTAAACAAGCGCGGGCAAGACACAGCCACTTTTGGAAATTCCTAGGACACCACAAGGAGCTATCCCCAGCACGTGGCAGCACCCGCAACGGACCTGCGGCGTGCCCTCCGCCCACACCAGCGCAGCAGCAGCCGCACACTCCTCCTCCGTCTTGAGCCCTCCTCCTGAGCCGCTCCCAGCCGCCCCAGCAACGCCTGCACCCCGCGCTTCCTGAGCTGCCCCCATGCTGCTGCTGCTGACCCGTGCGGGGCCCGCAGGCAGCATGCCCAAGGCCGCAGGCGCATGCCCCCCCGCCAGACCCCTACCTGCCGCCGCCGCGGCCGCAGCTGCAACGTCGAACCCATGCAGGGCCGCAGCCGGGAGGACCGCGGGAGGGCCCGCAGTGGCCAGCGCCAGTGCACCTCGGGTGAGGGACAGCGGAGGCGGCGGCGGCTGGAAGGGAACGATGCGCGGGTGCTGCGGCAGCTGCTGCGCCGGCCGGTCCGGCCGTTCACCCGACAGGCTGCCGGTGTTGCCATTGGGCGCTGCTGCTGCCGCCATGCCGGGGTTAAAGACGAGACCCACATCAATACGCTGCGCGGTCCCAGCGTTAAGGATGGCGGGATCCTTCCAGGGCTGAGCCGGCGGGGGTGCCCGGTGCTGCGATCGCTCCAACCCGGCCCCCAGATCACCAAGAGGAGGGAAGCCAAGCGCCAGAGCTGAGCCTGAAGTGTGGCCCGGGTGCGAGGCCGCGGCGGCAGCTGCGTTGCTGCCACGACCCTGTGCGGCCCCGGTAGCGGCGGCGGCGGCGAGTTGGCCCTCGCTGAAGGACTCCAACCCCAGGCCCAGCATCAGCGACGCAGGCAGCCGAGGGTCGAAGATGTCGCCCGAGTCCACCTCGCCCGAGGCACCAAACGCCAGCGCGTCACGCGGGCCCTGCTGTCCAACAGGCGCCGAGGGCCCTTCAACCTGGGGGTGCTTCATGCCGGGACCGCCGCCTGTGACGACCTCTCGGGCCGCCGGCTCGCCGAGGTCGCGTGGCTGTCCCTCACCCAAGCCCGCCCAGGTGCCGGCCCATGGGTCGCTGCCATGCCTCCCCAGGGCAGCAGCTCCCTGGCCTGAAGCCGCGGAGCTGCGTTTCTCAGCAGCAGCAGCAGCAGCAGCAGCGCTACCGGCGTCTGCGGCCCCACTCGACATAAACGTCATGTACAGCTCGTCCAACAGCGACATGTTGCCCAGTCCGCCGGCATCCGCCTCCCTGCCGCCGCTGCGACCCTCCGCCCCGCCAGCCGCTGCAGACAGCAACTGCCCCACTCCACCGCCACCCCCGCGACTCGGCCCCACGCCATGACCCGCTGACGGGAAGAGCTCCCAGCCGCGAGAACCCTCTGCGGCGGCAGCGGCAGGCATTAACATCGGCGCCGTGTTCCGGGCACGTGCAAGAGGACCGGAGACGACCGTATCCGCAAAGCCCGACGCAGCAAGCCCAGCATGCACAGTAGCCGCCACACCTCCGCCTCCCGAGGGCGCCGCAGCAGCCGCGTCTGCGTTACTCCACAGCCCCGTGCTGCCGCCACCGCCGCCGGCAGCCGCGGAGGTGGAGTCACCCAGCGCCTCCAGCGCCACATGCTCCGCCACCTCGCCAACCGCCGCCTCCAAGTCCTCATCCAGCGGATCGAAAGGCAGGGAGCTGTGCGCCCCCAACCTGCGACCGCCCCCAGCACCCACGCCCGCAGCCGAACCACCCCCTGCAACAGCTCCGGCAGCACCGTGGCCCACCATGCCTGTAGCACTCGCCCCCTGCTGGTGAGGCCAGCGCAAATCCGCAAGCCCCTGGGACTGGCCAAGTCCCAGGCTGTGGTTCAGGTCCAGGTGATTATGCGACCGCCAGTCCAAGCCGATGGCCGCACCCGCTGCGGGTGGCGCATCCACCCTGCTGCCGGGCTCCTGACCACCCAGATGCGGCGCTTCGGCCCCGCTCTCCGTTGCCCTGCTGCTGGCAGGTGGGTCCAGGGAGGCCGCCGCCGCGAAGAGCGCCGCGCTGGGCAGCACAGGCGGCGGCGGGGCGTGCAGGGAGGGCGCCGCTGCGGATGACGCGGCGTCTGATGCGGCGGGGGTGTCGATGTGGGTCCCCCCATGCGGCGAGGCATTCGCGGATCCGTTCCATGCGAGTGGGCCTGGATGCTGCTGCGCGACCTCGGGTGATGGCCTCATGTACGGCAACCCGTTGCCCCCCGTGGCGTTGCTAGGGCTCTCAGCGCCGCTACCAACAGCAGCATCTGCGACAACAACACTACCACCCGAGCTGGCCTCGTCCCCGGCCTGCAGCATGCTGCCAACACGCTGCACGAGTGCTGCAATGTTGAGTTTGACCGAGGCGCCCGGCTGCACCGCCCACAGGCTGTCTCCCTGGAGCAGTACCTCCACGCCGTCGTTAGCCGGGCTGATGGCGCCGCTCCAGGGGTGGGCGTCGGTCCAGTAGGCGTCCAGCATGGTCTCTGTTAGGGTAGTTTGCGAGGGGAAATGGGGGGAATGGGAGTGGACAAGGGCGGGGCAGGGCGGAGCAATTCGTCAAGCGTTTGAGGATTGGTGCATAGGGTGAATTGTGGTGGAAGTATGGAAGGAAGGTGGGAAGAGAAATGCCGGTAGGGTGTGGAGTCGGAAGTTAGCAGGAAAGGTTCTCTGTCACAGTGAAGTCTGCAGGACTGCGACGTACGGAACGGTCCAGTTAGGAATAGTGCAGGGCAGAGCCCAAAGCTAGCCTGGTGACGTGTGCATGTGGTCATTTGCCAGGATCGACAGCATATGGATACGGTGTGTTGGCGCTTGGTTGCTTGAAACCGTTCCAATTCAGGATAGACGGACAAGTAGCAACCCTTTGACCCGCCCGCATGGCAAGAAGGCACTGGTGCCTGATCAACATGATAAGGGGTTGCGGTAGGCACTGTAAGAGCATCAACGCCGCCAGAGGAAAGGTCCAGAGGCTCGCCATTTCCCGCGCCGCCGCCAGGCCGTATGGTAGTGTATTAACCGGCCACACGCTATGAAAATATTAAGATGTACAGAAACAAATATTTCGGCAATACACTTGATGCGACAGGTTTCTTGTGCAAATGATCTTCAAAACAACCCACCTGCGCTGCTCATATCCAGCGTAAAAAGAGAGCTCGGAGGTGCATACACCATACGCTCCTGCTCCGCAATGATGTACCTTGCCAAACAGTTCTTGAGGTATTCGTCCGGTGCATTGTGGGGGGGAAAAGCCAGATCTAGCCACTTCTCCAAGCGTGCCTTAGCCATGAAAAGCAATTTCTCGATGTGAAGCCTGACTGCACCGTCCACCACGTGAAAGCACGGATCCGAAGATAGAATGCGGTCATCTGTATCTCGGGAGCCAGGCGCCAGGCCATCAAACTCCGCGAGAGGTTGTGGAGCATTGTATCTGCTAATCAGACTTGCAGCAACCTTCCGCTTGTAAACCTCTCCGGGGCCGTTGCCCCGCCAGATGATGTTTGCGTATAGCGAAAGCAGCGACATAGAGAGTATCTTCTATCAACCAGCAGGTAGGTACATTATGTAGCACTGGCTAGAAGATATTCTTAGCGCTGCTAATACTATGGCGCAAGGACGAAACCACCGTAATGTCCCCGATGCAATCTTGTTGCCTTTATCGCTGTGCCGGCAGGGCTTCTAACCAAATTTTTTGGGGGCGCTTCTTATCTGGCTCATTCCAACGATTTCATGGTTTGGTCGTATCCGTACGACTGATGTACCGGTACCGTCGTTGGGCCCCACAGTTAACACCGCGATGAATCCCATTGCTGCCAGTGGACAAGTTGTAGATTTTTGGCGACATAACGTACAATGGGTGTGACCGCGCCTGTCATGTGCGCCGCTGCCGTTTTATGGTCAGACTCTACAAGGTCGTGGAGCAAAGAGGAAGAATTTGACAAGGTGTACGGTGTGGGGCAGGGCAGGTACCTCTGGCAGGGCAGGTACCTCCAGCTTTGGCGCACTACCTTACACCCCCTCACAAGCCACTCCGCTCAAAACACCAAGGCACGTTGCCCAGAGGTATGCTTGCCAACGGATGCCAATTTGAAAAGCCTCCTCACCTGGCACGCATCAAACCCAAATTGTACGGCGGCTGGCTCTGTTGGCGCACTCCTGCTGCTCAGCGCCTCACGTCTACCCTTGGAGACTCCCTTGGGGTCCCCAGGCTTCCTGTGACGGACCCCCCACACCCCTCAAGTATGGCGCCGATTGCCCAGCGTTTAATAGCAATGGGCTGTCCAGGGCGGTTCAAAAGTTAAGCGCTGCGTGCCGCTAGGGTTTAACCCAATCCCATGAGGAGACTTGGAAGCAGTGTTTATGTGGACCTGCCTCAGTAATGCGCGACACCATAATCAACGTGCTTGCACTCGGCATGATGTGCCGCTGCTCTCTGCTGCCTCAGCAGGCCTGGGGAAATAAACCATTAACCTCGATGGAATTGCCGAGGCAAGGCAACCACACAAGCCGGGGGTAGGATGGCGACGAGTAGAGACGCATCCGATGCCATGAGAGACGTCTTGCCTGAAAGGCAGAGGGCTCCCGCCAGTCTGCCTAGCCTGCCATAGCCGTTGATATAAACCATTTTTATGTTGGATACGCTGCATCGCTTTGCCTTCATGTCTCATGGTTGGTTCGTCCGTTGGCGGAGGGTACGCCAGACAGTTTCCTGTACTCCAGGGAGCCTTTGACATTTAAGTCCGAAACTTTCGGTCGCTCTACCAAACTGCAAGCTCAGCAACGTTTAGATTAAGCTCTAGCCTTTGTCCCTTGGCTTTGACCAAACCCTCATTGACGCGGCTCGTTTCGAGGCAACGAACACAACTTTGCTCAGCCTTCCACACTAACGTTCAGGATGGCGTGTTGGTAAGTCTTTTAACCTGGGGTTTATGATACCCTAACCAGCTCCTTATGCGAATGTCGCTTGTTCCACACCACATACCGGTATCTGACGAGGCAGGTCCTATTATGTAAACCTCATACATGGCCTGCGCCCTTTGCAGCTGCTGCTGCGTCTGCCCAGAACAAGAGACTGTGGCAGTTGTCGAGAGGTGCGGTAAATTCAGCCACATTGCGAACCCGGGCTTTAATTGCATCGACTGCTGCTGCGGAGCCACTGTGGCTGGAAAGCTGAGCCTTCGCGTGCAGCAGCTGGACGTCAGGTGCGCTGAGGTGCTGGCCGCGATGAGTTCCGAGAATTGCCATTAATACCAGCCAACCGGAATCACTTGCATGCGGTCCGAGACCGGAAAGCGTTGTCCGTACCTGCCTGACCGCATCAGTAATCGCCTTCGCTTGTTTACGCACGCACGCATGCTGTATAAGATAATTACGCAGCGCTATACGGCCCTGGCACAAGTCTATTATTCCCCACTAGTGAGTTGACAGTGTTCCTCCATTGCTGCTGCCGTCCTGGGTGTATTCATTGGCAGGTGCGAGACGAAGACCAAGGTAAGCCGGGTTGGGGATTCAAAGACAAATCAGACCATGCTGGGATGGGGAGTCAAAGACAGGCCAAGCCATGCTGGGTTGGGGGCTGGGGGTGGGGGCCATGAAAGTGAGGCCGTGAGGGAGGGAGGAAGCACTGGTAGTGACGTACACCGGCTGCTGCCGAGCGCCCGAATCCACCAACCCAACCGCACCCAAACCACCGCCCTCCCACCCAACCCAACCGCAGGACAACGTGTTTGTGACGCTGGTGATCAGCGTGCAGTACCAGGTGGGGGGCGCTGCTGGCTGGCTGGCTGGGTGCCTGTGGGGGCAGCTTTGGGTGTAGCTGGTCGGCTGGCTGGAGGTCCTCGGATGGTAGCCGCACATGGAAACACAAGCACCAGCAACACCTATGTCGCAGCAGCAAGCAACAGATCCGCAGCAGTTCGTCTTCTTCTGCCTCAATCGCCTCCTGAGCTGCCGCCCGTTCCCGCCTCCCATTTCCCCTCTCCCGCCCCCTTCTCCCCCCCCCGCAGGTCCGCCGCGATGCGCTGTACGACGCATACTACAAGCTCACCGACTCCAAGCAGCAGGTGGGGGGCTGGCAGCTGCTGTGTATGCGGGGTTCAGAGGCCATATGCTGTCTATGGGGGGGAAGGGGGAGTTGGCAACCAGCTGTGAGGCCATAGATTGCTTTGTGTGCGTTTTTTTGGCATCGTGTGTGTTTTGTGCAGTATTGTGTTTAGTTATATGCATACGGGTAAGCCTAGTAGGGCCAGGAACCGCGTGCCCTCTATCTGCGTGCATCGATACTGCCGTAGGATTGCGTCTTGACTCTCAACCGCACTGCCGTGCCCCTCCGAAACCAAGCCCCACCCCACTCCCCCCTCCTCTTCCCCCCCCGCTCTCCCCCCCCCCCGCCCCAGATCTCCTCCTATGTGTTTGACGAGGTCCGTGCCGCAGTGCCCAAACTCATCCTGGTGGGTGGGGGAGTGGGGGGTGGTGATTGGAAGATGGCTGTGGTGTTCAGTGTTTTTTCTCCAATCTAAAATGCTACATAGATAGGACGGAAAGGGACACATCATGCCCAAGCTGAACCAGCAGCAGCGGTGCCCCTCGGTCGCTGTTCCTCGGGAGTGCCTCGGGACACCACGTAATGCGGTCCCCCACATCCCCGCCCCAATCCCCGCCCCCGCTGCTGCTCCCTCCCATGCTCCCTCACTCCATCTGCTCTTATCATTTATTTTCCTCCCCCCACCTACCCCGCAACCACCGCAGGACGACGCGTACGAGATGAAGGAGGAGATCGCCAAGAGCATCAAGGACGCGCTCGCGAAGAGCATGTCGGAGTACGGATACATGATCCTGCACGTGCTGGTGACCGACATTGAGCCGGCAACACGGGTGCGAGCGTGCGTGCGGGTTTCGCCAAAGGGTTTCGTTCAGGCAAAACGTTTCTTACCACCTTTACGTGCATGTTAACGAAACTGGCTGCGATCGTGCCTCGAGCGTGTGATTCGAGGCTTGGGTTGAGAGGCCTGGCTTGGTTGGCTTTCCTTAACTTCTCGGCTGACCTGTCTCTCCTGGCTCTCTCCTCCCTTCCCTTCCCTTCCTGCGCTGCGCCGCGCAGGTGAAGGACGCGATGAATGAGATCAACGCGGCGCGGCGGCTGCGAGTGGCGGCAGCGGAGCGGGCGGAGGCGGAGAAGGTACGACGCCAGCAGCACGACTGCACTCAGCTCCACTTCTCTTAGCGTACTCCGCACTTCGCCACAAGGGCCTTTCCCTGGATGCCTACCTTGGGGGCTACTTGTTATTGGGGGCTAGTTGCCGAATTGGGATTTGTCGGTAGTCGGGGCGGGAGGGGCATGTTCGGCTTTTTGTCGTTCCTGGGGTAGAAGTGAGGTGGCGGGTAGAGGTGAGGTGGCGTTGTTTGACACATGTGCATGTGGGCTGGGGGAGGGGGGCGTACTTCGTGATACGGGGAGGGCGCCGACGGTGGGGGATTCCGGTAGAAGGGAGTCAACGTCGTACGTTTGTGTGGTTGGAGGTGGTTGGAAGTTGGGCTTGCTGCCTTCCCTCCGTGTCCGCCTCGACCCTCAACCCATTCCCGCTTTTGTATCGTTGTCATCCATCCGCCGCATCCAAGTCTCACCCACCGCACCCGCCCGCATGCTCGCTCTCGCTCCTTCTAAACCACCCACGCACACCCCCTCCCACCTCATGCAGCTGGCGGTGGTGAAGGCTGCGGAGGCGGATGCGGAGGCCAAGTACCTGCAGGGACAGGGAGTGGCGAGGCAGCGACAGGTGGGTGGGAGGGGGGAGGGGGCACTAGCGTTACCGTGGGAGGGTGAATGTGTGTATGGCTATTAAGGAAACTGGCCGCGAGTGGGAAAGTACTGAGTTGTCGGAAGATGATGTGTTGCCTGGTGACCAGAGCAGCTGTGTCGGCTGCTGCCGCACTTCCGCTTTAAGCTCATCTAAGCACACCCGCACGTTACCTCCACCAAACCCACCACCTCCACTCCACTCTCCCCCGACAGGCCATCATTAACGGACTGCGTGACTCGGTGTCGGACTTCCAGGTGAGGTGTGGGGGCGGGGGGCGGGGCGGGGTAAAAAATATAATGAGACACTGACACTGGGCGGCGGGGGGGTTGTTAGCGGTTATTATGGGTTTTCCTACCGCCGAATTGAGCAGATGGAAGTGCAGGCGAGGGCGGGGCAGTGAGGGGGGGCGGGGCTGATACCCGGACGGTGGGGGTGAGGTGACGTCATCAGCTGGTGTATGTTGCCCCACGCCACCTCTCCTCCGCCCTCCCGCCTGCTACCCGCCCGTTGCCCTCCCCGCCCACTCGCACACTGCATGCGTCCGGCCCCATGGGGCGCAACTACCACCATGCCCCGCTCCTCTCTCTTTCCCTTGACCCCTCACCGCCTCATTCCCCCATTGTTCTGCCCATTCATGTTTGACCCCTCCCCCCCCTCCCCCGCAGACGGGTGTGGGCACCGACATTGGGTCCAAGGAGGTGCTCTCCCTGATGTTGGTCACACAGTACTTTGACACGCTGCGGGTGAGGGGGGAGGGATGGGGAAGAGGAAAAAGAAAAGATAAGTGGGGGTAAAGGGGAAACCACTAACTGACTGACGGATAAGGCGTCAACAGGGTGGTGGGGGTGGTGGGTGTACGACATGCGACACGCGGGGTGGTGGTGGGTGTACGAACATGCGGTCTGACCTAGGGCTGAACCTGCACTGAAGCGGTCCGTGTCGTTGGATGTCCGACACGGTTTGTAGCCGTGCTCCCCAACTGCCCCTGCCGCCCTGCTCCTGCCGCCCTGTCCCTGCCGCCCTGCTCCTGTGTTCCTGTCCCTGATGTCTCTCCCTGACCCTCTCTGCCGCTGCCGCCTCTGCTGTTGCTGTCCTCAGGACCTGGGCGCCCACTCCCGCGCCTCCACCGTCTTCCTGAACCACTCGCCCAACGGTATTAACGACATCGCGGCGCAGATCAGGAGCAGCTTCATGGAGGCTGAGGCGGCGGGGCTGGGCAAGCAGTAGTAGCTGCAGCCGTTGCGATGAGGAGGGAGGAGGAGGAGGAGGAGAGTCCCTGGCGAATGCAGCTGGGGATTGGACTGGACTTTGCAAGCAGCAGTAGCGGTATTGCTGCTGCGCAAATAGATGGACGTCTGATGGTGATCGTACGTGATTGATATGTTTAACGGATTGTGGTAACAGTGTTTTCCGTGTTGTACACGTGGGCACATGTATCTCGTTTACTGCTGAAAGTGTCGGCCTCTCGAAAGCCGTTGGCCTGCCTCTACAAGGCACCAGCGGATTGGTTAATGAGATTCGTACGACCAACTTGTAGTATAGTCGCTTGTTTTGAATTGCTACTTATGCTATGAATCGTGGTACGGGTAATCCTACTTGCTTTTATGTGCTTTCCGCGTAAGGAGCCCCTATTACGCCTTGCTTGTTTGGGGGCATGTTGCTAAAATCGACTTTGAAATATTGAAAAATGAGAGGAGCTGATGGCTATGTTTTGAAGGTTTTAAGGAGCCTAAGTGACTTATGCAGCCTTGACGACCACCCACCCGCACACACACGCCCTTCATGACATATAGCGCTCTGTACTTCATTACACGCACGCGCATGGTGGACACCCTGCTTTACATCTCTCCAGCCGGATGGCGGCGGGTTCCGCTGGTCGCTCGTGTCACCCGGAAGCCACCGAGGAGCCCAGCCCACAAGGAACCAGGCCGATGATAATACTGACAATGAAATTGAAGTACAGTGTTCCTGCTGTACAGATACATGTGATTCTCGCCCTCAAGCCGACAAGTATGATGCGAGTCAAAAGCAACGGACGTGAGACATCAAGACTCTTCTTAAGGAGAGCTCTCACGGAGAACTAGCGCCGCCGACTCACGGCCAGCGCACGTAACCATCTCCAAGAGCTAAGAGCGTTGATGCCCCCCCTTGCACAGACGCGCCCCTAGGCTAATACGTATGTACTTACTGAACCACGGGTCACTGCGGCTTGCGATGCTTCATACCCAACAACACAGGTAACAACACCCGAGCATGTATAAAGGCATACGGAAAAGTGCGGAAAAGTCCATCCCCCTTTCCAACCGTAACCGAAGAGGGAAATCTGTACGGAACCAACCAACCAGCCAACCAAATGCCGCCAAACCATGCGCCAACAACCAACATGCTCATGCAATACGGAAGCGAAACGCAGCGACCCCGCCTCGCCCGCTGTACATCATTCCTGCAAGCGCAACCACCAGCAGTCAAACCGGCTCGGCACTGCTACCTCTCGCCCCCTCACGCCCGTCAATGCTCGCCCCCTTAAAAAACAACCGAACACACGGACCTCACTCGTCAAAGTCAAGGGAGTGCTCGCTCGCAGCCTCCTCAATCGGATCCCCGGATCGAGTTCAGAGCGGGCCCAAACCGCACACGTTCCCAAACCACCGTCCCGCGTGTGCTGTACCGTACTTGCTGCTGCCTTATTTCATTGCAGCCAGCAGGGGCCACACAGGGGCCAGCACACCTTTATTACCCACCTTTACTACAACCACAAGAGCACCATCGGAGACAATGTCAGGTTATGTGTCAAGTTTAGTGTAGGCTATAATCAAGTAAGTTTAGCCACACACCTAAAAGCGCAGACCGGGTGTGTAAAACCGTCGAACAGTAAGCGCAATGCGCGAGTCCAGCTCTATATGACTTTATATGGTATACCGTACTACCCCGTGTGTGTGTGTCTGTGTGTTGTTGTTCGGGGTTTCGCTGCCCGGGGCATGACCCCCCAGCAGGCGTCCGGTACCGTGTCACGTGCATGTCCTACCCCTTGCCCACCCGGCAAATAAACCCTTCAGCAATTCTCAGCCAAAGCAGTGCGGCCTATCGTGCCTATACAATGGAAGCCTCTAGAGGCCCCCTCTCAAAGGGTTGAGTTCTATCCAGCGTAAATACACCTCCAACCAGCTGCTGCAGCCACCAGACCACCCACCTAGCTGCTGCAACTCCCAACCTCCTTTCAACCAAGCGTCCCGCATACGTTGTCGTTCGCAGCAGGGGCATGTGTGCGCACACCTGATAGTGTCCTGAAGCCTTCTAGCGCTACCACTGCCGGGTGCAGTGCTGGGTGCTGTATCGGGTGCTGTGCTTGGAGGGGCCATAACACCCACTCCATGTGTGTCATGTGGCATGAGGCGAGCAACGCGAACGAAAAGACCCACCAAAAAAGCGCCGGTGGAAAACGCTAAAACAGGGCAACAGCCCAATGAGACCGAACGAACGAACCACGCCACGAGCCCACGACCAGCCCTCATCAACGTTCATCGCCCCTCACACAGCACCCGCTCACAGCACCTCTCTCGCGCTCACCAGCGCCAAACTATTCAGCGGGCTTCGCCCCACCAACAACGCCGACACGAACTGCTTCACAAGCGCCACCGAGGTATCCGCACGCAGGTAGTTGAAGCCGTCAAAGGCCGCAAGGGCCGCCAGCGGCGGCGGCAGCGAGCTGCCCTGCACCAGCAGCAGCCCCACGATTCGGAACTGCTGACAGCGACCGTCATGCAACACGTACATCTGCAGGAAGAGGCTGGGAGCTAGGCCCAGGTCCTCGATGCGGGAGCAGTAGCCGTGCACGCAGTTGTCGGCCTGGGCAGCAGGCAAAGGCAGTAAGGTACCCGGGAGCACGGAAAGGGAGGGAGGGCGCGGGGGTGAGGAGAGAACAGCTAAGCAGCTACATGGGCATGTACCGGTATACGGTACCGGTATGACCTAGACGAGACTAACCCGCTGTGCGGCGCATGCATGTCAGGTCGAGCCAAGCCAGGAAGGTGGGATTGCATGGGCGGGGCTTGCAAGGAGGGGACAGAGGGGCAGCAGGGAACCTCATGACGCGTGCTGCATTTCGCACCCTCGTCTCACCCCACTCACCCATTCCTAAACCCCCCTTCGCCTTATGGCACCCTGCGGGCCTCATTCCCCAATGCTTTGATGCTTTGATTTGTGGTTTCCTATGGCTGGGTCTTTTTTGATCCACCCACCCCCAACCCAGGGATTCTCAGCAGCTTGTATTATCATCACACCACACCTTGGGATTTCTTTTCCACCCTCCAACCCAGCACCCACCCCACCCACCCACCCCCACCATGTATTGTGTCAGCAGCAGGTCCTGGTTCCGGTAGCTGATGCAGAAGCAGCTGTACTCCTGAGCCTGGAACTTGCGCCAAAAGTAGGTCTGCAAGCCATGCGTGCATGCATGCGGGAAGGGGTGCAGTGCAGGGCTTCAGAGGAAGGGACCTCCTCAATGGAAAAATGGACCCCAGAGGGCTCTCACGGGCAGTTCAGGAAGGCTCAGTTGTGTCTCGGAAAGTTCGGAAATGGTTCCGGCGTGTGGTGTCTTGGTGTGCGAGCAACACCCCGCTGCTGCTGCAACCCACCCACCCACCCACCCACCAGCAAGTCTTGGTGTTTCTTCTTGTTGTAGCCGTAGAATCGCTTCCACGCTTGCAACGTGAACCTGCGGGCGGCGTGTGTTGGCGGCGTGTTGGCGGGTGGGTGTGAAGCGCCGCAACACGGCAGACCGCCGCCCCTTGGCCCTCCATCCCTCCCTCCCTCCCTCCCTCCCTCCATGCATCCATACCTACCGGTATACTCCCTCCCTCCATCATTCCCCTCTCCCTCCGTCTTCCCCTCCCCTATGGTTCGATATGGTCCTTGTCTCCCTCCCCTCCCTCCCTCCCTGCTTCCCCCGTCACTCACAGGGCCTCCAGCTCGTCATCCTCGCTGTCCTCCCCGCGCCCCGACAGATCGTACGACGTACTCGCGATGGACAGCTCCGACTCGTCCGTGTACCGAGACCGCACCGCCGCACCCCCCACCAACCCAGCTACGCCTCCTCCGCCCCCTCCTCCTCCTCCTCCTCCTCCTAATCCTCCTCCACCTGCAGACAGTGCCCCCGGCAGCAGCACCACGGTTGCGGTTTGGCAGCTGGGTGTCACTGCGGGGTCCTCCGCAAAGGCTGAGGAGCAGCTGGCCCCCACATCAACCAGACCACTGCTGGGGTCTGGGAGGTTGGGGGTGCCTGGGGGTGGGCTGGAGGTGGGGCATGGGGACGCAAGAGGAGGAGGAGGAGGAGGGGGGTGCTGGGTGGGGGCTGAAGAGGAGGAGGAGGCGTTGAGGACGAGGCGGGTGGCTGCTGCGTCGGTGAGGGGAGGAAGGGAGTTGCTGTTGTTGTCGTCGGGTGTGGGGGCGTCGGGGAGCTGGGGTGGTTGGGATGATGGGGTGGGTTGTGCTGGGGATGGGTCGGTGCTGGGCTGTGTGAATGATGCTGACGTTGCTGGTGGTGCTGTTGTTGTTGTGGCGTCTGTTGTAGCGTCAGTTGACGTGGACGTTACTGTTGGTGTTGGTAGTGTGGTGGGTGTTGGAGTTGCCGCTGCGGCGGGTGGTTCGGTTGCTGTGGATTCCGTGGAGAAGTCCGTGACGGCGTCATAGACTGCCGAGCTCTTAGGCTGGGGTGGGCTGGGTTCGGGAGGTGGGTCGGTGCTAGCGGGGACAGGGGCGGGGTCAGGGGCAGGGGCAGGGGAGGCGTCGCCCGCAGGTTGTGCCCCTTCCTGCTGCCCGGCGGGCTCCTTCGGCTCCTGGTCCTGAACCGCCCGAACGTCTTCCGCTATCGGCGATGGAGCGGTGACAGGTGTCGCTTGGTTTGTTACTGTCTTCTCGGCTTCTGAGGGCGGTTACGCAAGAACGCATGTATGAAATGCTCAGCAACAGAAGAGCTGGGCGCGGCCCCAGCCCTCACCTGAGTTTAGCGGTAAACTACCTGGCGTTTGTACGCTTGCCCCGCAACCCATTCAAACCAGTGCCGCGAGCGGCGAAGCGGGGCTGCGATTATTGGACTGCTTGAAGCATAAGCATGTGTAATTAAAGCTACTAAGGGTGCTGGCCCAGGTAAAGTAAATACGTCACGAATGATGTGCCGCGGCCAAGCTTCAGCCAAGCTACTGAACGCTAATAACCGTACTCGTCGAAGTCGTACACCTTCCTGTGTTGTGTACGCCTGTCTTGTCTATCCAGGCATTAAGCGGCACCTAAACATTCCGCTTTGTGCTGTTTGCGCTGCGTACTGCTCTACAACTTCAACAGGTTTTGCCAGGGTTTCTTCTCAAAGCAACCTTCTTAGGGCTGTTTCGCCGAACTGCGGACAGAAAAGCACTACTGCACATATTATAGCACGTCTTGCTGAGATGTTACGGTGAACTTGAGATCTCCGTCAAACTCCGTCGTTACAGTTCCAACGGTGCAACTCCGTCTGGAGGACATGGCCGAACAACACCACAAGGACGCAACAGGACGACAGCTGCTTGCAAGGGTGAGCTACACGTTTGCAACATCGCGTCCCTTCATGACCGGCCGTTCAGCTGTTGACTCGTTCGTCTTCCAACCGTGTCCCGCTCACGCATACGTCCTTACATTATCGCACACCGTAAACAGATTGCAGCAAATGCTGAAGCGGATCCCCGGCTGGCAAAGGTCTTCCTTTCTAACAGGGACTCCTCTCAGCCCAAGTCAGCCGGCCCACATCAGCAGCAACAGTCGGGCTGGCAGGACCCAGTCAAGCCGCTAACGCCCGAAGAGGAGGTAAGGTAGCCCGGGCTATCGAGGAGCCATCCTGGAGCGGCAACTGTTCCTATTACTTGTTTGCCGGGGTTGTTGGGAGATTGCTGCAAGGGAAGAACCGTAACAGGGGCTTTACAAAGTCCCGGGGCCGCTGGCCTCACAAGGCCCATACCGGTACCGGTCATTGTCGCACAAAGCTACACCAAGCCCCAAGCTTACCGGTCATGCACCGTGCACCACACTCCTCATGCGTAAACCTGCTTTCCAGGCTATTCTGTCAGCCTTGAAACTCCTGAACCAGCACCTGACAGTACCTAATCGCATGCCAAATCCCCACCCACACGTGCTCATTCGTTATAGTCAACAACTCCTTTAACGACTTCCCCATGTCACCTTGTACACGGCTGTCTGCTCTCCACCACTGCCCCTACCTAACCGACACCATGTTCCCATTGCCGTCTTGTTCAGCTAGCTAGCCACAAGCCACTGCATGGCCTGCCTGGCACGTGACAGGCTGCAGCCAAGCCCCTACAAGGCCGCATCCCTCAATGCTGCAACCCGCCAACAGCAACGGAGCCTTACAATGACCTGCCACACTCGCAACCTGCACTCGCACGGAACTGCACCACTCTGCCGCGCATGCATGCATGCGCACTTGGAGAGCCGCCTCCGCACCTCCTGCGCACTTGGAACCGCGCACCTCCCTCAACGCTCCCTCCATCCTCTCTGCCACCTTGCAGAGGCTCTGGAAGGACTTCTCCCTCAGCTTCGCCCGCCGCCTGAACAAGAGGTAACCGCCCGGTAACCGTCTACTCCTTCAAGCGTCAAGAAGGCGTAACACCGCGTGTTGTACACCCGTGTCAACAGCCACCGCCACCACCGCAACAACAACTTGGTACCGTAACAGATAACATCCGTCCCCCGTCCAACACGCGTCCCCTCAGCGGCCCGACGTCGCCAGCAGCTGCACCCGTGCAGCAGCTGCCGGTCGCGAACAATACGTCAGAGATGTAACCGCTGCTGTAACGCCAGATGCAATACACCTCTTCTCCCGCATTGCAGCTTTGCAGTGCACAGAGTTTGCAATCTATCTACCGTACATACGTCCTGCGCAATACGGCCCAGCACGGCATGTCCCCTGCCTTGGGTCCCCCCCACATACACACAGCGGCAGCGGATGCAGTAACAGTGTAACCGCGCATCCCGCATCCCCCGGCGTGCAGCAACACTGCAGCACTGCATCGCCCCTAACGCGCCAGTGTCACTCCTGCAACCCTAGCTTGAAAGCCAGTCGCGCATCCCCAAACCCTGTCAATTCAGCCAGCATAACCGCTAACAGCAACACACAAGCCCATGAATTGATGTCATGAGTGATGTACCATGTCACTGGGCATGTTACCACGCCGTGTGCACGAGACACAACTAGAGGCCCCACCCAGACAGCGACTCCAGCACGGCGTTCGGGTCCTGGTGTTCCTGAGGCTGCGCGCGTTTCGGCAGCACGACAGGGGCAGCAGCTGGTGGAGGTTGTGTTGCAGGGGGCGCAGGCGGGTGGGACTTGGGCGCCCGCTGGTACTTGATGTTCTTGTCCTGAAGCTCCTCAACGGTTTGGTCGAGCAGGGCCGATAAGGAGCTCCCGCTCAGGCCTGAGCCGCGCAGCAAGGCGCGAGCAGCTGCTTGCTGTTTATTGGGGGATTGGGTTGAGGGCTTCCGGCCGGCCGGCCGTGCTGGCTCCGTGTGCTTTGTCGACTGCTTACGGACCTTCGTCGACTGGTTGTTCGCTTGCTTCTTGCCGCTGCTAGGACGACCGATTGGTAAAGATGCTGGCTTCTTGTGCTGTTTTTCGTTTTTCATTTTGAGGGGCAGGGAGAATAGCAACGTTCTTATGTAAGCCGCCGGCTCATTAAGTCCTGCTGCGTCAAATTGCGAAGGTCAAGACAAGGTAATCTAGTAGCAGACGACCCAAGCGGCTATAGCTCTTGCACAGCTCTCGTGAGCCCTTGCCTACCGTGAAACTTCCAGCGGGGTTGTACGGCAAGCAGCTCAGAAGGTTTCCTTGCGCCGCGTTAGGAAATCAGGGTCGCGCCTGAACTTCTCTGAGAAGCGCACAAACCACCTACAGAAAAAGAAAGGAAACGCGTCAGGCAACAAAAGCCGTGACATGCCGTGTACAACTTTGGCGACGCACCTGTCTAGCGCGTCCGCAGGGACGACGATGTGGTTCCCCATCTGCTGCGTCTGAAAGGATTCCAAGAACCGGAACAAGTCCAGCCCAACTCGCTTTGCGAATTCCTCCTTGGCCCCCACTTTAGAACCCTCCTTCTGGATTATCTGCTCGCCAGGCTCAACTGACACTCCGATTTGGATGGGTCCAACGGCTGGCGAGACCGGACTACCGTCCTCGTTCAATGGCCACTGCGTGCGGTTCGTCGTTGTTAGATGTAGAGGATGACACGCTGGGCAAATGCGAGGTTACTTGCCTGCAGTGGCATCACCTCGCTAGGGTGCCCATTGTGTACGCATCCACGGTATGACCACTGGCCGGAAGCTCCTGCCTTTACGTATAGCCCAAGCGCCGAGTTGGGGTCGATGACAGTGCCGGGAAGCAGGAAGAGTGCGACCTCCTTTAGATCTGTGTAGTTAGAGGTTATAGGGGCACAGTCTAGAACCCAGTGCGTCGCGTCTACTTGTGTGAGTTGGTTCGAGGTGATGGGGCCAGAATGGCCAACAAAGAATAAGCCAAACATGCCAAATGAGCAAGCGCAGTGCGTCCTACGATGTGTGTACAAGTGGAAAGGCTAGAGTAAGGCAGACGAAAAGGACTACTGGCAAAAGATCGTTGTCTGCCCGCGTCTCGAAACATCGCGCAATCTAGGCCTATGCATCGCGCCATACACAGCGCATTGTCAGAAATATTAATGTCCTAAACATACACCACTATATAAAAAGCTTCCATTGGCTTAAGGAAAAGCTCATTGCCAAGGCATGCGACCCAGGGGACTTTTGAGGCAACGACAAGTAGCCGAGGCCAGTCGAAAGCGCCAACGGGTAGATGCCGAGCCGAATACAAGCCAATACAGACCATTACGGCAACACTGCGATATAAGGACAGGGTAGGTAAAGCGCCTAGTGAAATGCCGAATCTGTGCACAGCACACTTGCCGGCTGGCTGACAATCCCTCACACCTCCTTACAGCACCACCATTCCGACGCATAGTTCATGCGAAACACACCATGGAACGCGCAGCGAGCCCCGTAGAAGTCATTTTCGCGCTCAGCGCTGCGCTGGACGCAAGTCACCAGGTCAGGTACAGGGCTCTGGCGCTTGCATACGAGCACAGCGAGGGGGCAGGCGATGACTTCGGCTCGGGAACCGCTACTGCCACAGCCGTTTGGGGCTCCGCGGCGGGCTTGGAGTACGGAGATGGATCCCGGTGAGCGAACGGTGAGGTGGGAAGCGGCGTCGCAGCGGAAATACGGGAGCGGGATGCTTGTACGGCATTTTCCGCATCCATCACACACAAAGGTCATACTGTTTGGATGTGGACCTTGCACCCCGCTGGACGGTGACGGTGACGGATGCGGTCCTGTTACTGTGATGTGTCAGCGTCTTACCTTCCCCTCACCCACCCTTCGCCTCCCACCCCCCCTGTCTTGCTCCGACATACACACACACACAGCACCGCATCCCACGTGCTGCCAGCCGGTTGTGTCGCCGCCGCCCTGTCCCTTCACTCCGTCACCTCAGCAGCACCCGCCCGCGCCCCGCCACATGCAGCGACCCAACCCCATGCAGCAGCGGCCGGGGCAGCAGCGGCCGGGGCAGCAGCGGCCGGGGCAGCACGCATCACGCAGCACGCAGGCAGCGCCGAAGAGCGCCGCATGAGGCTGGAGGCGGCGGCGGCCCGAGTGGATGGTGCACTCAGGGAGCTCTTCCCTGCTGCTAGCTTGCAGCAACAACGACAGCAGCAGCCTTGGGAACAGCAGCAGCAAAATGCGACACAAAGCAGCCGCGACGCTGAGAAACAGCAGCAGCAGCACTCCAGCGTTGCTGTTACTGACGGGGGCGTTGAGGCCGCTGGCAGGCATCTCGCAATCCGCAGGTTGGCTGCCGCTGCTGAGACACTGCTGATGACTTCCCCGCTTCCGGGACTCGGAAGCGGCGGCGGTGCTGGCATGCCCAGCGATAACAGCCAACCTTACGACCTCTGCCGACAATCACAGCAGCAGCAGCCGGCAGCTGGGGTTGGCGGTCGGCAGCTGCTTTGGGAGCGAGTGGAGGCGTTACATCGGCAGCTGGCTGGCAGTCCCACGGGTCGGCGCTACCTGCCTGCGGTGCCGCTGCAGGTCTGCTGGTGGCTTCTGGACCTGTTGCATCTAGGTGGGTTGGTGGGTGGGTGATAATGAAGGACCTAACTACCGGGAACCGTAAGAGCCGTGCGGGTGCCGGTGCCGCTGGGAAACACATTACCTGGCTCCAGGCCTGTTTCCTTTCTCTTTGCCTTTGGCCAACATTGCCAGTTCTGATTTCCTGCTGGCGACCCCCTTACCACCCTCATCATCGCATCACCTCTTCCGCTCCCGCACAACGCCTGCAGAGCCCTCTTTCCGCGGTTCGCTGGTGCGAGGCGGACAGCTGATGGCTGCTGCAGTGCTGGCGGCGACATGGGCGCTAGTGGCCCGGGACGGAGGTGGGGAGGAGGAGAAGGAAGTGGAAAATGAGGAGCAGGAAGGAGAAGTAATAAGGATTCAGCAACATCACCAGCAGCAACAGCTGCAACAGGGGGCTAATGACGTGCAGGAGGGTGCTGCAGCTGCTGCTGCTGTGACAGCGGGAGGCGGCGGAGGCGGGGGGCCGCTGCCCGGCCTGCCCTTCCTGCCGGTGCTCAGCGATGCTGCGGCGCTGCCCCCTCAGGTGGTGCAGGCGGTGGCTGAGCGGGTGCTGGCTGCGGTGCTGCAGGTGGGGGAGCTGGTGGTTAGGAGGCGAGGCGAGGAGGGAGGGAGTCATGCATGGGGTGTTTAGAAACTGGCATGGCAATGGCCGTGTTACATGCGCGTCCAAGTGAAACGACAAAATCACTATGCACTGCAATCAGTTTTTGTGCATATCCATGCAGTGCACTTGGAAGTTGAGGCGTGTGTTGTGGCTCTTGCTGGCTTGCAGATGGAGGAAGCGCCGCCGGAGAGCAACCCGCTGCGGGAGTGAGAAGCGCAAAAGTGAAGCCGCCTTCAGCGCCACCTGTTGTGGTCTCGGCCATAAAACGACCCGGACGTCTGGCAATCGGCCGGCCCAGTGACGGAGGAGTGGTAAAACAAGGCAATCCATGCAGGGACTGCATGCGTGGTGGCGGTGGTCTGGTGTGTTTTGTGGCTGTCATGGTGGCACTAGTTGGCCAAACCAGCGCTGGGGCACGACATGGTCGCGAGTAGGAACGTAGTGGTACATACTGTGCGCGTGCAGTTGTATGAGTGGCGCGTGGTTAGCATCAATAGCAAGGGGCTGGGTTGTTACAGCAAAGAGAAAGCGTGGGGGGAGTTGACTGAGGGATGCTGACTGGTAAGGTCCAGGACCCCCTGGTCTCACGTGTATTGATAACAAGGGACCAAGCACACTGTTAATGGTACAGTTGTGAAATATACCGGTACTAGTCCTGGGGGTTTCCTGCTGAACATCTGAAGCAGCGATGCACGGCACATCCTACCGTACTAGGCTGCTAGCATGCTACGCTACCTTGCTACAATACCACATTACGTAATCACCAATAAGGGCGCCCGCTCTGGCCTATAACGTACTGTTTCCCTACACCATAATCCTACAAACGCCATCCTTAAGGCGTGTTACGAACAGTGACTGCGCGCCCAACCTAATATAGGCCCCAACTGGCAACTAACATGACTGCAAGAGCGCACTTCAACCCAACATGTGAACAATAGAGAACCCAGCCCAATCAACTGCCAACTGGTTGGCCTACGTAGACTAGCAACACCTCCCTAGCCTTGGGACGACCCCTCCTTACAACAAGGGGATCCGTCCCTACAATCTGCCAAGCCTCCAAACACGCAAACCTGCCAAACCAAGCCACAAAAGCCCTCCGCAGGCCATGATGAATGTCGCCCACCCGCAACCGGGGCCGGACAGGACCCCACTCGCCAATCTCCGCTGCACATACGACGACGGACCCTCCTGCGCCTTTGCAATTACAACCATGCAGCTTCCGGACTCTCTGCCTCCACTTCTGCTTCTCCAACACCCCGTAACTCACAGGTAGGAGGCGCGGGGCCACATGCAAAGCGTACGACACACAACTTTAACCAACCGGACGGCTGCATTGATTCGACTAGACCAGACTCCGCAACGAAACCACCTGCCAAGTGCGCCTTCTACCGGTAATCACCCTGCTCGTGAAGTCATATCCAAAGCCCTGCAAGTAAAGACCCAACATGGCATGCATGAATCCCGATAAAAGCTAGAACCCCCCAAAAGACACCCTCAACCACCCAAGAATAAAACCAAGAGCTAATGATCACACCATGTGGCTGTACAGTTGCACACGCCCGCACATACCCTCGCCACTATCCCCTGCTGTAGCCCCAGACCGAGCCGGACTTGGGCGTCTCCGAAACCTGCTTCACAACAACCCGCTTGCGCGCCCCAGACAGGGCTCCCGGAGCCACCATCGCATCCCCCGCCGCACCCACACCCGCACGCAGGGACGCCGCACCGGGCGAGGCTGCTGCCCCCTCGGCACCGCTCAGCTGCATGCTGCCGTGGCGACGTAGCTTCCCCTGCAGGCCGGACAGCAGCAGCGAGGAGGACGAGGAGGACAGCAGCAGCCCGCTGTCGCCGCTGGAGGTGTGGATGGAGCGGGAGGCCTGACTGAGACGCGTCTGACGGGCCATGGAGGCAGCTGTGGGGGCAGCGTACCGAGGCGTGGCGATGTTGCCGCTGCCGCCGGCAACCCCAGCACTAACGGGGCTGTCCCAGGTCTTCTTCTGCGTAGTCGCAGCCGCCGCGTGCCCCGTGGTTACAGCTCCAATGGTGGCGCCATGCCCAGCTTCATCCTTGGGTGTTGAGATGATACCCATCTTGGCAGCAGCGCTAGGGCTGTAACCGGCGGCGTTGGCAGTCGTCAGAACCTTCTGCTGGCGGCCAGATTGGATGCCAGAGCCGGGAGTTGAGTTCATGACAGCCTCGACGGTAACAGCAGGCGTGACGGCGCTGCCGCTGACCTGCACACCTGTTGCAGTTGCGCCGGTTGACACGCTGGGCCGCTGCTGTCGAGGCGTGGCGAGGGCGGGACCTGGTGACTTGGTGCTATGCGCCACAGAAGCCGCGGTCACACGTTTCCGGGGAGTCGTGAAGACGCGGCAGCCGGCCGGGGAGACACGCAGGCGCATGCGGGGCTGCACTGGATGCCGCGGCGCCGTGGGCTGCTCGGACGGCAAGCGCGCGTCCGCACCCAAGGCCGGGACCTGCTGCTCGGGAGTGTCGCCTCGGACGGGCATGCCTGCGAGTGGCGGAGAGCGGCGAAGCGGTTGGTTTGGGTTCGCGTGTGCATGTGTGCGTGTCTGTCCCTCTACTAGTCCTCCGGAAGGATGGTGCAAGGCGGAGACATGCAAGGAGCAGACACTAGTGAGCAGCTAGGCGAGTAGCTTGTCCTAAACCCTGTCCTCTGCAACACTGTCGGGCCCTATTGTTTAAGCCTCTCGTCATGGCTGTCAGCTTGCAGAGTCACTGCAAGGCGGCTTACCAGGAGCTGGAGGCGTGCTTGGGGACGGCATCTCCTTGACGGTGCCAGCGTTATCTCCCGCATGCATAGCGCCCTTGACATCCGCAGCAACACCCACCACCGCCACGGCGCCGATCTTCTCTCCCGCCAGCTCGCCCTCAGTATCCTCCTCAGGCCCAAAGTGCAGGGGCGCCGCCTCTGCCCTCCAAAACACGGGCCCGGAGGGAGAACTAATGGCCGTGTGCGCGTGCAAGGGTGAGAACCGCGTGTACTGCTTAGCTCCTGCCACAAGCTCGTCAAAGTCCTCATCCAAGCTGAACGCAGGAGACGCAGCGAGCTCAGAGCAACGCAGGTCGAGCACGTCCTGAGGCTCCCCCTGAGGCCAGTCCTGGATCCAACCAAAGCTGGGGTCCTTGTTGTTGCACTGCATGGCGGGCGGCAGGGATTCTGAGGGGCAAGCTAGCGCTGAAATGCGGCTGCAGCGGTAGCCGTCGGTTGCGTCGGGCGCCTCAGCTGCTGCGAGCAGGGAGGCTGCCAGGTTGCGCGCAGGCATGCGACATGGCGCCGGAGGAGGGGAGGTGCTGCGTGCTGGAATGCAGGAAGAGGGCGGGTGGGCTGGTGGGGGAGTGGACGGCGTCGGACCAGCGCCACTCAGCAAGACCTGCACAGTAGGAATTTTGAATTCAAAGGTTGGAAGACTTATGCTTGTCCCGCGCCGGCTGCACGGTTTCCTGACAGATAGTTGATAAAGCAACGGCTCACCTGGTCCGGAGGCGTGGGGCGCTCAGAAGTGGCTTCGTAATCAAAGCTCAAAGGAAAGCAGGCGTAGGCCTGCAGTGCAAGCAGGAACTAGGTGTCACTTAATGCTGCTAAAACATCCAGTCTGTTATGAGTATAAGAAGAATACCAACCTGGACAGGGGTCATAGCTTCGACCGTTCGACTTGGGCTGTCGCTCATGGCAATGCTGTCAGCGGTGCCGGTGCTGCTGATCTTCCTGTTTAGGATTCAAGTGCAAGGTTGCACGGTAAAGATATTAAAATCGCTGCTGCGTGTAGGCAAAAGTATTATCAAACAGTCCTTCGCATGACAGCGCCATCGCACCTTTTGAATTGTCGAAAACGTGAAATAAGCGCGCCTAGTAAAACCAAACTGAGCAAGATGATTGTGAGCGGTCCTTGAAAATATGGTACAATGGCGTCCATCCACTGCAGCCCTGAAGAAGCCTGACGGAACGATGTCATGTCAGGGAATTCGGCGGGAGGGCCCATATCCTAGCTTCAATAGCACTGTGCCGCGTAGTACTTGACAACAGGCTTGCAAGAAGGTAGATGTGCAGGTGGTGCGCCTAGACTATGAGAAAAATTCAAACGCGCTCCTCCAATTCCATCTTACAAGTCAGAGCCTTGGGCGGGCAAGGGACAGCCACGTAGGCCGATACCGCGCTGGCGCTGAAGTCCTTGTAATCCGCTTAAAGGGTAAAAGCAGGCCAAGTAGCCGGGGCCCGGCCGATAGACGATGGGTACGACTGCCGTACACACTAAAACCTGAAAACGGTTACAGCTCCGGACATGCGAGTTGCTATCCACCTATCCTGAAACCTCCTTGATAACATCAAAATAATCAGGCAGTACAACCGCTTGTCTGTGCGTGCCAGCCCTGGCATGAAACAAACTGCAGGCGATAGCTTGTACCGGTAATCTCGCTCGCCTCTGTAGGTCCCCATACGCGACCGACACAACCCCCAAACCCATTAGTCCTTCAACTACCTCCAGCCCGTTCGCACATGGCATGCCATAAAAGCTACAACAGCAAACCTTGCTCCCGACCGGCATGTCACAATCGCAATGGAGGACCGCTTGGAATCGAACCGTATCCTCCGCTCCCGCTAGCCGGCGCGCTATTCGGCAGCTTTATATCCGGCGGTAGCCGCCGCGGCAGCGACGGCATTCCCGCCACCGTCGCCATCTCTACAAACGTGGGATACGTGCGCAGCCGCAGCTTCTCCGCCTGCCCCCGCAACTCCGCCAGTTCTGTCTGCTGCGCCACCGCGATCTCCTTGAGCTTCTTGTGCGTCACCAGGCTCCGCATGCGCCTGCATGCCATGCCGTACAACAGAAACACACCACAAAGTTAAGCACAAACCCCAGCGGCCAGCATCTATACCTTGGACGTTACGGTAACCCCGCTTACACGTATGCATGCAGGCTACAAGGACAACAACCAGCCCCGGCCCCTATATACCTCCACCCACTTTCCCCAACCCTCCCCCCTTCCGCCCTCCGCACCTTGCCGCCTGCTCGCTGCTGCTCTGCATGCCCGCCTGCAGCCGCTGCTGCTCCTCCAGCACCTTGCCCAGCGTCACCAGGTGCACCGCCACCTCCTGGTTCTGACCGCTGCGGCTGCCCACGTCCGCCGCCAGCCGCCGCAGCCGCCGCCGCTTGTCCTCCAGTGCCTTGGCGTGCAGCCGCTCGCGCTGCTTCATGAGCGCCTCCAGACTGGCGGCCTCCAGCGCGGAGGAGCGGTCCTCGCCGTCCTTGAGCACGGTCTGGAGGGGGAAACGAGGGGGTAGGAGTTGGACGGTTGGTGGAGACGGGGAAACCGGGAAGGGGAGAAAGGCGCATGGGGTTGCATGGGAGGGTGGAGGTTACCGGTACCGGGTTGTTGTTGCTGTATGCGCCGGATGGGTAGGCAGGCAGCATCACCGTCACACTCATTCCATCAGCACTGCCCCACAACACCGCCACCGCCCCGGTTCCGTCAGCCCCGCTACCACCCTTGATTCACTTAATTAATCCCCCCCTCACACACACATGCATGTATTGTGGCACCCTGCCGCCTCTTATCCCCATTGCTTTACCCTAACATGTGGCTTCCTATGGTATGCTATGATCTCTGACCGCCCACCCACCTGCATGTCCCGAGTGACGTGCAACAGCTGCAGGTCGCGGATCTTGGCGCGCAGGTCGTCCAGCTGCATGTCGGCGGCCGCAGCCTCCCACTGCGCCGCGTAGATGCCGCGCTTGAAGTCCTTCATGGCGGTCAGGATGTCAACCTGAGGGGGCAGGTGCGGGGAAGCAGGTTGAAACCCAGATGGGTGGGGTGAGGGGGTTGTTGGAAAGGCCGTGAAGGCGGAAGAGTAGGATGCTGCAGCCCCGAGCCCCCGTACTGCAAGCCCAAGCAGATAACGGTCAGCTCAGGAGCAGGGGAATTTTGGGAGCGCCGTCATGCAACCGCATGCGCCCCATGCAGCCTTCCCACCTCCTTTCCTCCTTTCCCTTGGCCCCCCATGCCGTACCTTCTTTGTTCCCTTGCCCAGCACCACAGAGTTCAGCGCCTCCACCACCGACAGAGCCAGCAGCCGGGCATCCGACATATCCGCAGACGCCGGCACAGGCGGAGCCGCCTCCACCTGACCAGCCAGCAGCCGCAGCTGGATCTCATTGTCGTACGCAGACGTACGGCGTTCCGTACGGAGGGACGTAATGGCGGACATGAGGCCATCCATCTCCGACGCCAGCACCGACTCGCGGCCCTCCAGCTCCGGGAGATCGCGTCGCGCCAAGGAAATGTCAACCGCCGCCGCTCGTACGGCAGCCTCCGCTGCCAACCGCTCCGCGCGGTACGCTACAAAGCGTTCCCAGAGCCCCTGATCTAGCCCCTCGGGCTTCAGACTGGGATCCAGGGCCGCACCCAGGCCCTGACTAGGGCCGGCGGCGGCAGCAGCGGCGGCGGAGGCGCCCCCGCCGCTGCCTCCCTGCCCCCCGCCGACGCCGACGCCGGGCGTCGTCTGCGCGCCTGTTTGGCTGGCACGGTTGGCCAGGGCGTGCATGCCATGTCCGTGCACGTTGCCGGGGGCGGTGTGAGCGTGCAGCACATGCGGCATGTGGCCATGGGCGGCATGGCCACCGGCGGCGGCATGGTGGGCGACGGCGCCGCCGGTGGTGACGGCGCCGGCAGCTGCCACTGCGCCGCCGCCTCCGCCGGCAGCGGCGGCCGGCAAGGCGGAGGCGGGACGGCCCTCGTGGTGGATGAGCAGGCCCGCTGGCACGTCCGGGAAGGGGTCCAGCGTGCCGGAGGTTAGCATGGGAGGAATGCTGGGCGGCGCGTGGGTGTACGTTGGCGGCGGCGCATTCGCTGCCGCGGCCGTGGCAGCGGCGCCGCCGCCGCCGGCCCCAACCACTGCTCCGGCGCCGCTGGCGGCCCTCGCGCCCCCTCCGGCTCCCGTGTCCGTCGCCCCGCTCTGCTGCTGGCCTCCGAGACCACTGGGCCGTGTCCCGGGCAACACTCGGAAGCTGCTGCCGCTCATCTCCACTCCACCGCCGCCGGAGTTATAACTCGACAGCGCTCCTCCGCCGCCACTCACCGTGGACGGCCCAGCTCCACCTCCTCCTCCTGCTCCGCCGCCGACGCCGCCCACCGACGGCCCCGGACCCATCACCTGTTCCGGACGCCGCGCGCGGTACAGCTGCTGCAACCTGTTGAACCACACATCCGCCTCCGCAAACTCTTTCTTCAGGTTACGATCCAGCTGCCGCTCCTCCGCCGCCGCCTGCGCCTGCCGCGTCTCCAGTTCCGCCAAGGCAGTCCGACGGTCCGTCAGCTCCGTGGAAGCGCGCCCATGCGCCTCCTTCGCCGCCCCCAGCCTCGCCAGCAGGCTGCGTTCCACCGCCTCCGAAACCCGGGTGCAGCGCGCGAGGCTGGCCGCCAGCGCCAGCACCCGCGCCTCCAGGGCCGCCACCTCCGACGCCACCCGGTGTCGCCGTACGGCAAGCGCCGCTAGGGCCTCATCGAAGCGCCCAACCACCTCCTCCACGGCCGCCTTGGCGGTGCGCAGCTCCAGTTCTAGGACGCCCACGCGGCGGGAGCGCTCTTCCTGTAGCGCCTTCTCGCGAGCCTGCCACTCCTGTGGGGTGGGGTTGGGGTGGGGGTTGAGAGGGGATGTATTCTCCGTACTGGACTGGTATTTTGAGGCGGGGTGACGAGGTTTTGGGGTTAACCTAACCGCAACGGGCTGCAAATACTGGGGTGGGGAGGGGCGTGAAGGTTGGTTACGCGGTAAGGCTCAGGGAGAACATGCTCTACAAGCTTCAATCTCAGCCGCAGTTGCATCATTTCCACACACACTCACTACAACCCCCTCCCAGTAGCTGCTTCGTTGCTTTAATCCCCACCCCTCTTCCTTTTCCTCAAAACCAACTTCCCCTCCCGCAGCCCCACACAGCCCCCATCCCCCTACCTTGAGCTCCCGCGCCTGCTCCTCCGTAACCAGTTTTGGATTCACCGATTCCGGATCCAGTCCGAGAGCCACCAGCCATGCAGGCGGAGGCAGCGTGAAGGGCGTCCCCTCACCATCCGCACCCCCGCCCTTGGGCGCCAGCGTGCCGCCCATCATCTGCCGTAACGCCCGCTCGCCCGCGTTATCGCGTGCCGAGCGTCGCGCCGCTTCCTCTTCCGCGCGCCGCGCCGCGTCCTGTCGCGCGCGCTCCTCCGGGCTGACGTAACGCTCGGCGGCCACCTCCTCGTCGCGAACCGTCAGTACGGCGGCTTGTATGTTGTCACGGGTGTCCTGCACGCCCAGCTGGTAGCGCTCCTCGAGCAGCCCGGGGGGAGGAGCTGCGGTTGGGCGGGGGTGCAGGAGGGTGGGAGGGATGAGGGGTCGGGGTTGAGAGGGGGCGGAGTAACAACAACTAGCAGGTAGGATGTGGGGGTACGATACACGGGCCGGAGGCTTGGGCTCTGCTTAGGCGCACAGCACAGGACCGAGAAGGCTAGGCAAAGGAGGACGGAGGGGCTCGGGTCGGTGTTTGTTGGGATGTTTCTTTCCAAGCACCCAAGCACCCCTTCGGATGCCTCCTTCACCCCCTGCCAATACGGTAAGCACCCTACACCTTAAAACGCCGCACCACCACCCCCTCTGCCCCGCCCCCGCACCCCACCCCGCACCCGCTCCCAGCTTGCGCAGGTCCTTCAGCGTGTCGTCCAGCCGCGCGTTGAGGTCGGCGATGCGGTCGCAGTCGGCTCGCTTCTGCGCGGCAACTCGGTTGAAGTCGACGTTGAAGGCGGCCTTCAGGTCGCGGATCTGTGCACGCGCGGGACAAGGGGGGGAGGAGGGGGGGGAGGAGGGGGGGGAGGAGGGAATTATAATTTTATGAGAAGTTAAGCAACTGGGGGGAGGGAATAGGGGGTGGGGTTGTGTGGTGGCGTCACAGGGGTGCATGAACTCGCAGGTGCCAGCGGGTCTAGCTGGCTGGTACCGGTAGCACCGCCCTCTACCACCCGCGGCACCTCAGCATAGACGACCCAGACGTTTCCTCTTTACTAGCCCCTCGCAGTGTCTTCGTATGCGTTCACTGCATGACTCGGGATATGGAATTGGGACGCCAGTTGATGCTGCACCCTTCATCTCTCTTCCTCCCCACACACCTTTTGCTTTATTAGGTGCATCTGCATTGCCTTGCGTGTGCTGCAATGCAGGTCAAAGTCGCTGTACATGAGGGTGTCCGGGTCGGTGCCACTGCCGCCGGAATTGTTGGCAGCGGCGGCGGCAGCCGCGGCAGCAGCAGCTACCGCCGCTGCCGCTGCCGCAGCCGCCGCCGTTTGCCCCATGGAGCCATCGCCCGTCGCGGGGTTGCCCTCGTAACCGTCATCGTTGTCGCCAAAGCCCTCCAGACCGGTACCCCTGTTCGTTCACAACAACAACAGCACACACGTTAGCAGCAGCCCATTAACGCCTCTTCCTAAGGCCTCCTTCTACCCATCCCTCGAAACCAGAGCCCTACCCGGCCGCCATCGCCCAAAACGCGCAGCCCATGGTGCAGCCTACATGCCACACGGTGTTTTGTTTCTCCTCCATACCCCACACGCCCCTCCCTCCCCTTCCCCTTACCCCCCTCCCGTACCTGAACATGAAGTTGTACGGCACCACCCCCAGCACCGCATGTTCCGACATCTCCACTCGTCGCAGCAGGGCCACCTGGGGATCACATAACATGGCAACAGAGGCCAAGGACAGGAACGAACGATTGGTAAGTCGAGGACCCGTACAGCGGTACGATACCTACATTCATGAGCACATACTGTCCTATCCTCCAGCCCAGTGCGGGACTTCCATCCCCTATATACCCCCCTCACCCACCCAAACACAAACACGCGACCCGTTGCCTTTACCCACGCACGCACGCACCCCCGCGCACACGCACCTGTCGCAGCACCCGCTCATGCGATCCCGGCTGCGTGAGCGGGAAGTTGTGCACCTGCGTTGGCGCCCGCAGCGCCGAGATGACCGCCCCCTTGGTGGCCATGCTGTCCCACACCATGCGCCGCACCCGCTCCGTCAGCAAATCTGTACGGAGGTTGTCCCGCCGTACGGCGGCCTGTACGGCAGCCACTCGGCCCTCCATGTCTCGCTTGAGTCGCTCCACTAGGCCCAGATCCACAATCAGGTCGGAACTGGGTGTGTGTACGTGTATGGGGGGGGCGGGGGATGAGAGGGAGGCAGGCGTGTGGGTTGGTAGGTGGTTAAGAAAATACCAAACCATAAGTGAGGGAGGAACTAGTGGGGACGCTACACGCTGGCATGTAAGGCAAGCACCGGGCTCTGCGTAAGCACAGGAATGCGCATGCGGAGCTGGGGGGCGTCCTCGCCCTCGCCGCATGTGCTTCCGCTGCTACCCAACAGCAAGACAACACGCAGCCAGCACACGGCTCCCCCCATGACTGTTTTGCCCAATCATGGTTTCCTATGGTTTAGTCTATTCCCCCACCACCCCATGACGTCCCAAGCACCCTACCGGTCAAGCCGCTCCAGCTCCGGAGCCGCCTCATTCGCCTTCAGCAGCTCGGCAATGCGACCCCGCAGCGACGCAAGCCGACCCGCCATCGCCGCGCGCCGCGACTCGCCGCCCGAGCCACCGCTATCCAGCACCGCTTGCCGCTGACGCAGCTCAACCTCAGTCGGCTCCGCCGGGTCGTCAATGTCGTCGCCGTCGGCGTCGCGACCCGCTGACACGTTGCCGCTGTACGGCACCGCCGGCCACGGCGGCGTCACTAGGTGCGTCGCCGCCGCCGCGCCGCCACTGACCTCAAACAGAAACAACGCACCGTCAGCACCGGCGGAGGCGAAGTACCTGCCCACCGCGTCAAACGTAACTGACGCCACGCCGCCGGCGGTTACATCATGCAACGGACCGCCGCCGCCGCCAGTGCCGCCGCCGCTCCCGCTGCTATCCGCCAGCGCCGCCAAGTGAATGTTCCGCAGCGCAATCATGCCGTCGGCACCGCCGGTCAGCAGCAAATGCCCCGCCGGCGCCACCGCCACACCTCCCCCAGGCCGCGCATGCGCCGCCACGTGTACTGCGCTGCGGTGCGGCCGAGCACGCAGCCCCGCCCACGCCGCCGCCTCCACCGGCGGCGTCAGCTTGTGCAGGTGCTTGTCCGCCCCCAGGCCGTACAGCTCCCCGCTGCGGTCCGCTGGGGATGACGTCACCGCCAGCAGCGGCACTTCCAGCCTCAGCAGCTTCACAACCACGGGTTCCGGAGCGCCTGAGGGCGCGCCGTCGCCGCTCTCGCGCTCCGATCCCAGCGCGCGGGCACCAGCGGCGACCGGCACCGGCGGCCGTACAAGCGCCATGTCCGCATGTGGGTTACGCCAGTTGCCGCTTGTGAGCTCGGGTGACACCGTGATGCACATGAGGCCGCCGCCAGCAAGGCTGAGCAACGCGCTCTCGCCCTCGCTGACGTCAACGTTGGCGTTACGCGGCCAGACGGCGCTCAGCGCGCGCTCGCCGTGCGGCAGCGGCACGAAACCCAGTGCGCGACAGGTTCCGGAGCGCGCATCGACGGCCAGCAGCCACACCGTTCCGTCGCGGCCGGCGCTAATGAGCAGGTCATTGTCCGGACTGAATGCGAGGGCATCCACTGCGGCGGTGTGCAGGCGCCGGCGGTACATCACGCGGAGCTGCTGTGTGGGAACCGCAGCCGTCGGCACGCCAGAGGTGGAGGTGGGGGCGGAGCGGTCGCCAACCGTTGGCGCGGGAGGTAGCACGAGCAGCCGGACCACGCCGGTTTCAGATCCCACCGCCGCCAAGCCGGCGCCCGGACCCGCCGCCGCCAGCGCGCATTGAGCCGAACTGATCACCCTCCTCGCCAGTAGCTGCCCATCCGCCGCGTTCCACAACCGCACACTGCCGTCCGCACCTGCAGTGAGGAAGGCGCCGCCGCCAGGGTGCGGCACCACGCCCGCCAAACGACCCACGGGACTGTCCACCGTCAACGTGGCCATAGTGTAACCCGCACGCGCGCCCACAGTCGCACCCATGTGCGGCGCAATGGCGGCGCGGTACACCGTGCCGTCGGGGCAGCCCAGCAGCAGCGTGCCGTACTCATCCCCGCCGCACTCCGCCGTCGTCACCGGCACACCCTTGGAGCCCCCGCGTGCCAGCCACACCTCATGGCTGAACACCGGCGGCCCCGCGCCCGCCGCCACCGGCCCCTGACTGAACACATGCACGCTGCCGTCCGTCCCCGCCACCGCCACATGGTCCCGGTTCAGCGCCAGCGCCGCCACGCCCGCTCCCGGCCCCACCGTATCCGTCACCACCGCCGGCACCACCTGCTGCTGTTGCTGCTGCTGCTGCATGCCCATCCCCAGCATCATCGATCCCAGCTGTGAGGACGTTCCCACGCCCGCGCCCCCGCTGCCGCTGTTATCCCCGGGCTGCCCGCCGCTCATGAGCACGGGAGCCATGGTGGTCAAGTCAATCAGCAGCAGCGCGCCGCCGCTGGTGCCCACGTACAGCCCGGCGGGCGCCCATGCGTGTACGGTGGCTTGGTGGCCGGGCGGCAGGCAGCCGGGGGCGGTGGGCTGGCTGCGAAACACCACACGGTCCCACAGCGGCTCCAGGTACCACACCGAGGTGGCGCCGCCGCCTGTGGTGGCCAAGATGGTGCCGTCTAGCGGGTGGAAGCTGACTTGGGAGGCGGGCTGCGAGGCGGGCAGCCGCGCGCGGCCTAAGGCTTCTTGCTGTGGGTGAAAAAGGGTGAGGCGAGAAGGGGTGAAGGGAAGGGGCAGGGGAGGATTGAGGAGGGGGAAGGGAGGCGGAGGGGTAGTCGTCAGCGCAAGGCAGAGGGTCGTTGCGCACCTTTCGCCAGGAGTAGACGATGATTGAGCAGTCGGGTTCGTCCCCGCAGACTGCGAGCCGCTCGCCATCGCTGGAGAAGGCCATGGCCGTGACGCCCAGGACCACGACAGCGGGCTGCTGCTGCTTGTCGGTTGGGCCTGGAAGCCCTGGCGGACCCTCTGGTTCATCAGGTGCAAGTCTGCCGAGTAATTGTAGGTTTTTACTCGAATAAATGAATATGCCAGGCTTTAAGCCCTGCAAGGGGGAAGCGAGGAGACACAGCATGGTCGATGACCAGGGGCCGCGCGTAAGGCTGCTCTGTGCTGCCGCAAGCCATCATGTACCATACCTTTTCTGCTATCGCGATTAGGTTGTGCCGCTTATTAATAGCAAAGCAGCTTATGCCGAACCCGTTGCCTTTCAGCACGCGCTGCAGAGGGCAGGGAAAATGTAAAAATGCGTCGACGTTTTCCAGGAACACTCCAACAGAAGGCGTACATCCTGTACCTACCTGCGCCCTAGTGCTTAATGAATGCAGCACCACTGCATTTCCGCATGTCCAGGCGACTTCGTCCGGGCCAACCCAAGCTACTGGCGAGCCGTTATAGCCAATAGCAAACCGTGTTTGGAAAGCCATGGCTCTAGCCTTTGGGCCCCAGGTCGGGGCCCCAGGTGTCAGGCAAAAGTCATTGAGAAAGTCAACAAGTGATGACTCTACAAATCTGTGTCAAGGTAGCATAGCGTATGGGCAAGTACATGTCACAGTTCCAAGTCGCTGCTGCTCTCCGTTGCTAAGCGCCTCGAATGTTTCGTGCAGACAGGTACGACAAATGCGCCTGGCTGCTCATATAGCCAAAGCATAGGCCGAGGAAAGCAATCAACTGGATGGTAACTTTGAGGTTAACCTTCAAGGGCTATAAGCGCTCGTTGACGGGACGCTGACTTAACTGTTGCACAGTTGCAGCGAGCAGCTGCATCCCCGGCGTTGAGCGACGCTTAATTGCGTACATCCCCCTTCAAGGATTAACAATGAACACTTTGCTTTTGTCTGTACCGGCAATCGCGCGTGGTTTGGCCTCATCGCAGCTACGACACGGTTTGCAGCTCCGGGCCCTCAGCAGCCTCAAGGCGAAAACGCTGTCGAAGGACCAGCTGCCACTTCACACTGGAAGGTAACATCTAAAAAGCTTTGGGCAAATGAGCTTTTCTTACTCTTAAGCGCATTGGTAAGATCCTATGCGTCATCATGTTCACGGCAAAGTCGCTTGGTGCTGTGGGGCTGCTGCGCCTTTCCTGGCGATCTTTACGACTAAAATGAACATTATAAGCCTTACGTGCCGGCAATAAGCGCGAATCTGACCTATGCATATGTGCCGTCCGATGCGCCGGGCAACGCGGCATACTACGGCATCCACGCAAGCTCCATCCGACTTCCGCATTTTCTCCATGCACCAACTCAGGCCGCGCTTAGTCGTACTGGGCTCCGGATGGGCTGCCGCGCGCTTGCTGCACGACATCGACCCCAAGCTGTACGACATAACGGTGTGATCTGGCCTTCAAAGTAATCGATACTGCCAATCGATGCTGCTGCTGCAAATGTTCTCATTGTTGTGTTAAGAAAGAAGCCGATCTGGGTCACAGTCATGGCAGGATATCTTCCTCCACATGTTGTCTCCCGTCACCCACCTCCTTTACCATTCCACTTGCAGGTGGTCAGTCCCAGAAACCACATGGTGCGGCGCAAGGGCAGGAGTGGGGCGGTTTGGGCAGCTTTGGGGTCTGCTGCCGGGACCCAAATCAACCAGCTCAATAACCGAAACCAATTCTCCGCTGCAAACTCCTACTGCAATACCTTCGCACCTTCGCACCCTTACCTCACTACCCCAACCTCAACCTCCCTTGTCTCTTTATCCACCTCCCGCGCTCCTTCCCTCGCCCCCTGCCCCCTCCCTCCCAGGTGTTCACCCCACTGCTCGCCTCCACCACGGTGGGTACGCTGGAACCCAGATCCGTTGTCGTACACTTGTTCGAGCTCCAACCCGCCCTGTCCGCACCCGCAAACGCCATCTACATTGCAGGTGGGGGCGCGGCCCAGATCAGACAACTAGATGCCGTACTGGTGCTTTGTAAATAACAGGCCCCCACCTTCCGCCCATATCCCTGCATTTCCACTCCATTCCATCTTCCATCCGCTCCCGACAACCCTCCCCTTCCGACCCAAGTGGAAAGAGGTGTGGCCCACCGACCCATGGGTCTTCCTTGCCATACAGCAACCTCCCCAATTTCCAAACCCCAAAGAAAACCCCGACTCGCCACTGCCGTGTCGTACACCATCGCACGGTCTCCTTCCCCCCTCCTTCATTCCCCTTCTCCCCCAAAACCCTGCCCCAGAGGCCCAGTCAGTGGACCCCGCCGCTCGCACCGTGAGCTGCCGCAGCGCTGACGGCCTGGCGTTCACTTTGCCGTACGACAAGCTGGCCATTTGCACCGGATCGCAGGTGGGTGCGGGGGAGAAGAGTAAACAACTAACTAACCGTGTGAGAAGGCTCGGGTGGGGTGGGGGGGTTTGAGGTCGGGCATCTGGGCTGTACGAGGGGACGGCTGTAGGGCGGGGGAGCGGGGCGCGGGACCACTTGTACGGCACGAGCACTCCAAACACACACGCCCTACTCGCCCACCGGAACAGATCGCCATACCCGTCCATCGCCCTCACCCCCTGCTTGACCCCCTTAACCCGCCTCCTCCCCCCTCCCCGCCCCCCGCCCCCCAGGGCAGCACCTTTGGTATCCCCGGCGTGCAGCAGCACGCGCTCTTCCTGCGTGACGTGGCGCAGGCGGACGCCATCCGGCAGCGGCTCATTGACAACCTCAGTCTGGCCGGCATTCCGGGTGGGGGGGTAGGGGGGGAGGTAACATGCATGGCGAGTTTTGGGGGGTGCTTGGGAGGGGATTTTGAGTGTAGGGAGAGGCATGGGGTTTGAAGCAGCAGGGGAGGAGAGGGGGCCATGCATGGGGGTTGGTGAGGGGAGGGCGATGGCCGCCGCAGTACGTGTTGCCTTCCGCCACCGCCGCCGCCAACCTCTGGCGCCCCTTTTGCCTCCTCTCTCTTCAATTCCTTTCTTTTCCTTTACCGCCCTCCCTCCCCCTACCCTAGGTCGCCGTTTGGAGGAGTGGCAGCGGCTGCTGCACGTTGTGATCGTTGGAGGGGGACCCACCGGGGTGGAGGTGGCGGGGGAGCTCACGGTAGGGGCGGGGGAGGGGGAGGGGGACGAAAAGAGAAAAGCAACTGGAGTCAACTGGGAGGGAGGGAGAGGGGATTTTGGGTGTTCTCAGCTGCTGTTCCCTTCCCCCCTCCTCCGCACCACCTCATATGGCCCCCTGTTCCCAAACACCGCCTCACCCCTCCCACCTCCACCAACCCACCCCCACCCCCCCTGCCCCCCCAGGACTTCATTCACAAGGAGCTGCGGAACCTGTACCCAGACCGAGCCCGAGCCATGAGGTGGGTGGGAGCGGGGGGGGGGGAGGGAATGGGTGGGAGCGGGGGGGGAAGGGAATGGGTGGGAGGGGGGGGGGGGAGGGAATGGGTGGGAGCGGGGGGGGAAGGGAATGGGTGGGAGCGGGGGGGGAAGGGAATGGGTGGGAGTGGGGGGGGAAGGGAATGGGTGGGAGCGGGGGGGGAAGGGAATGGGTGGGAGCGGGGGGCCAGGGGAATGGGAGCTAACAGCTGCAGGCTGGTGGAGGTGTGGGAGCTACAGTGGGGAGGGGAGGGAAAAGAAGCGGGGGTGGGGTTTGCGGGAGGAGGTTTGCGGCCAGTTGACCCAACACACCTCCCCCTCCAGGGGGGGGGATGACCAGATCGCAGCCCCACAAGCCAATGCTTCCCCCCAGGATCACGCTGGTGGAGGCGCGGGAGCTGCTGGGCACCTTCCTTGCCCCTTCTAGACACGTGGCATGTGCTGTACGACATACACATCCCCCCCTCCCCCCCCAGGATCACGCTGGTGGAGGCGCGGGAGCTGCTGGGCACCTTCCTTGCCCCTTCTAGACACGTGGCATGTGCTGTACGACATACACATCCCCCCCTCCCCCCCCAGGATCACGCTGGTGGAGGCGCGGGAGCTGCTGGGCACCTTCCTTGCCCCTTCTAGACACGTGGCATGTGCTGTACGACATACACATCCCCCCCTCCCCCCCCAGGATCACGCTGGTGGAGGCGCGGGAGCTGCTGGGCACCTTCCTTGCCCCTTCTAGACACGTGGCATGTGCTGTACGACATACACATCCCCCCCTCCCCCCCCAGGATCACGCTGGTGGAGGCGCGGGAGCTGCTGGGCACCTTCCTTGCCCCTTCTAGACACGTGGCATGTGCTGTACGACATACACATCCCCCCCTCCCCCCCCAGGATCACGCTGGTGGAGGCGCGGGAGCTGCTGGGCACCTTCGACGCCTCTCTGAGGGAGTACGCGGCGCGCAAGCTCATGCGGAGGGGGGTGGCGCTGCGGAAGGTGGGGTGGCAGGGTGGGTGGGGGGGCGAGGGGAGGGAGGTGGGGGGGGGGGCAGCAGGGGAGGGGAGGGGAGGGAGGTGACGGGGGTGGTGGGCCCTGAGTGCCAGCTTTCATCTGCACCACTGACTTTCAATGCCCCCGCCCTCTCCTCCCTCTCCCGCCCCCTCCCCCCCCCCAGGGAGTGGTCCAGGAGCTGACGGAGCGGGAAGTGGTTCTCAAGGTGGGCGGGTTTGGGGTGGTGGTGGTGGGGTAAGGAGGGAACAACTAACTAACCGTGTGATAAGGCATCATCATGGTTTGGGTGGGGTGGGGGCGGGGGAGGAGGAGCAGGGGTGCATGACGGGGGTGCATGACGGGGGGTACTCTTGGGGACGGAGGAGGGCGAAACGAAGCGGTGGCGCCCTGCGGCAACCTTACCCAGCAATTCGTCACTGCCCCACAGTCCTGTCGTGCGTGCAGCTGTCCGTCGCTGCAGCTGCTGCCCCCGATGCTGCCGCTGCCGCTGTCGTACATGTCCTCTTCGCCGCACATGTATGCATGCGCATGCATGCATGCATGCAAGCTGCTGCGCCCCCCCTCCCGTGAAGCCTACATGTCGCCCCCCCTCCCCACTCCCCACTCCTCCCCCCCGCAGGACGGCGCTGTGTTGCCGTACGGATTATGCATTTGGAGTACGGGAGTGGGCCCCACGCCCTTCATCCTGTCGCTGCCCTTCGCCAAGACGAGTGAGGCGGGGGGGGGTGGAGGGGGGGCGGAGGGCGTAGGTGGAGGGCATGGAGGGGCGGATGCGGGAAAGGGATGTGGGAAACCGGGAAGGAGCCGGGCTGGCCTGGGGTAATCCCCCCCTTCTCACCTCCCTGTCACCCTCCCACCCTCGTCATCGGTGATTTATTCATTGTGTAATCTTCTTCTTCTTCTTCTTTCTCCCCGCATTACTTACCCCCCCCCCCCCTCCCAGACATGGGTCGTCTCGCAGTGGACGGCTTCATGCGAGTGCTGGCGCCCCCCGTCTCTGAGGGGGGGCAGGGGGGGCAGCAGCAGCAGGCGGGCGGGCAGACGCTGCAGGAGGGGCAACCGCCGGAGGGAGCCATGCAGCAGCAGCAGCAGAGACCGCAGGTGAGGTGGTGGCGGTGGCAGGGGGGTGGCAGGGGGGGTGCAGGGGGTAGGAGATGAGGGCTTGAGGAGGAAGCATGGGCGCGGAATGGGAGAGGGTTAGGAATGGAAAGCGGGAGGTGGGCTAGAAAGCCGGGATGTCCGGAGGAACCCGTGGGGGGCCTCAGCTGCTCCACCTGCTAACCCAGCATGCCGTGCGCTCTGTGGCTGCTCCTGCTGCTTAACCCCAATACCGCCCCCTCCTCCCTCACCCCTCACCCCTCCCCGTTCCCCTCCCCCCCCCCCCGCCCCCAGGCCTCCGGTCCTGGTCCGGAAACCGTCCCCGGTATCATGTCTCGCGGTCCGGGCGCTCCCTCCCCCTCCTCCCCCTCCCTGGCGCCCGTGCCCGAAGTGTACTCGCTGGGGGATTGCTGCGCCAATCCGCACCAGCCGCTACCCGCTCTGGCGCAGGTGGGGAGCGGGGGCGGGCGGGGGGGGGGGACGGGGGGGTTGCAGCCCACAGCTGTTACATGTGGGGGTTTTGGTGGGGGGCCTTTGATCCCCCTCCCCCCCTTCCCCTTCTTTTCCCCCCAGGTGGCCGAGCAGCAGGGCCGCTACCTGGCCCGGGTGCTCAATGCGGCAGCGCGGGGGCGGGCTTACGGCGAGAGCAGTCGCGCGGGGGGCGGCGAGGAGCCGCGGGAGTTCAGGTGGGGGAGGGGAGGGGGCCAGGGAGGGGTGAAAAGAGGAGGCTGGCGGGCTACAAATAGGCGACGAGGGGGCTTCACCATGGGTTGCTACATGGGTGGACCGGCCCATCCCACCCCACCCGAAGTAGTCTTCAGCCAAAACAACTGCTGTAGTATAGCGCTTGCGGGGTTTGCTAACTACGTGCCATCTGACTCATCCTGAAGCATCTGTGCTTTCTTGCCTTGCCCTAACCCCTGCGGTTTCCCCTGGTTCGGCCCGGTCTTCGCACCTCCCCCCCCCCCCCCCCCACTTTCCCCCCCCAGGTACCGTCACTTGGGTTCCATGGCGACCGTGGGGGGGCACTCCGCCATCCTGCAGCTGGCAGCAGGAGGAGGGGGAGCAGGTGGGGGAGCAGGAGGCAGCGGCGGCCGCTCTCTGAGTCTTGCCGGCTTCCTGAGTTGGCTGGCGTGGCGCTCCGCCTACCTCACACGCCTGGGCAGTCTGCCCAAGCGGTTGGCGGTGGCGTTCGACTGGAGCGTGACGCTGCTGTTCGGGCGGGACCTCAGCAGGTGGTGAGGGGGGGGGCAGGCTGGCTGGGGGGGAGGGGGGAATTAGACCAAACCATATGAAACCGCACGCGGGCTGGGGGGGGGGAAGCAGTGAGAGAAGCCGGCGGGGCAGGCAGTGAGGGGCAGGCTGGGGGAGGGGGGGAGCCGGGGAGGGGCAGTGGGAGATGAGCCCGCAGGTTAGGGGGGCCGTTGTGTGTTAAAATAACTGGCCGTTGTGTGTGTGTATGGGATGTGCGTATGCGGGGTGATATAAGCTGTTGTACAGTAGAAGGTAGATATAGGAGCAATTGCGTTGCAGCAAATCAGCGAGGGTTCATGCATGGTAGCCGATATATAGTCTGTACAGGGTCTGTAGTTGTTTTCGTAAGCGGTGTGTACGATATACGGTTTGTAGTCTTTGTACATTAGTGTGTACGGCAAAGGCGCCCTTGAGCAGCAGCCTACAACACCATTGGCACTCATGTGTACTTGCTTATTCCGTAACACTTGCAGGTGTGGCAGAGCTTCTGTGTTGTGGTTCATCCTTAGCCGCAGACCCACGGGTCATGGTTCAATAATTACGTATAAATCTCCCAAGTTGAGTTGTGTTAAAATAACTGGCCGCGAGTTGTGTATGGGTGCATGCATGTGCTGTTGGCTCGACTTCGCGTCACACTCATTGCCTCCTTTCTCGCCGTACATGCGGTATCGTAGCGGCAGTATAGCGCCCGTGCGCAGCATTTATATGGGTGTGTATAACACCAAGCCCAATGGTGGCAATGAGTGCACATACCGGTACCGTACATTGTCCTGTTGCCTTTCAGAGCTCATCATTGTTTATTTGTTTTGCATACGCTGCGGTGTGTCTTCCATGTTTGGATCGTTCAGTTAAATGTTGAGATTAATGAGGCGCGAGGATTTTTGCGGCGGGGGTGGTGGGCGGTACCCCTCTGCGCCGGCAGCCTAGTATGGGTGCAGCAGGGGCCTTTAGCGCTGCAGGATGATGGAGCGAAAAGCTTACGATATGTTACGTGGTGGTGGTGTTTTTGGACGTTTGGGAGGTGCTGCTGTGTCGCCGCCTGTGCGGATGTTACAGGTGACGGTTTTGGGCTGCTGGGGTCTGCCACAGGGCTCTCCTTACTTGCGGCTGCTTCCGTCATGAGCTGCGTTATCTGATGTGTTACCCGTACCCAGATGCAATGAGCGAACTGGCCTGTTCCCCTCTCCCTCCTGGTTAGCTGCCGGGGGTACCGGTAGCTACTGCGGGCCCCTAGCAGCCTAAACGTCCCATTCGCCGACGACTGGGGTCGTGCCGAGGGGCTGGGAGGCTGGGGCTGATGCACCCATGCATGTGGGGGGGGGGGAGGTTGGTGGGGGTCGGGAGGAGAGGGTTGGTAACAGCCTCTGCCAACTGAACCTTGGTCGCGCCAACCAGGTGTGTCGTACACATGTCACATGCATGCACGGCGTGTTACACGATACAAGTACTGTTGCGGACACTGGCGTTGTTGGCTTCAGTACGTGTTAATGCACAGATGCACGAACGACCCAACCTCTCCCTCTCCCTCACACGGCACACTAACCCACGAGCTAGTAACCCACATCCTGGCACAACATGCATCTCTTAAGAGGGGTTTCCTGAACACCCGTCATTCACCGCCCCCCTCCCCCTTCCCCCAGCCTCCCTCCTCCCTGACCCCCGTCCTCTCTCCCTGCCTCCCCCCAGCCCCCCTCGCGCCCTGCTTCTCCTCCGTCAGATCATCACACGTCATCCACTTCCCAGCGGTGTCCACAGCCCAGACAAGTCACCAGACGGCTGCTGCCCTGCCCCTCCTTGCTGCCCCATGTCTCACACTTGCCGATATCCCGCCGTCCGCTGTCCAGGTAAGAGCAGCTGCGGCCCCCGCAGCGCTCGCAGCGGTAATCGCTGCTGGCGATGCCCCCACCGCTGCCGCTGCCGTTCGCGCCGGCGAGTGTGACACGCCGCGTCTCTTCCTCCTGACGGTCCGGAGGGTTGGTGGGCGGGAGCGTGAAGGAACGGATGCAAGCAAAAGGCCCGGGCAAGCTTGCATGTGCATACAAAAGTGTTTAAACCATGAAAGTTTGGAAAGGTTGGATTTCCGAACCCGATCCGAAACCCCTTTTTGAGTGGATGCATCCCCCCACCCAACCAGGGCAACCACCCCTGCATGCATGCACGCATGTCTACCTGCATGCACGCGTCTCTCCCACCCAACCCATCTCGCACGCACGCCCATCTGCATGCGTGCGTGCACACTCCCCGCATGCATGCATGCCTACCTGCAAGCGTGCGTACTCCCGCTGCTGCTGCGGAGTGGCCAGGTGGCGCGGGTCCAGAGCCACCAGCTGCCGGGGCGGCACGTCACCGCACAGCACCCGCCCGCGCAGCTCGCTGTTGCGCTGTTGTATGCGAGAGCAGGAGGAGGAGGAGGGGAGACGGAAGTAGGGGTTAGGGCTGGTTAGGGGAGCTTCTGGGGTTTGTAATTGCATGTGTTTCTGCTGAAGGGCTCCGCACCTTGAGTCCTGCGACCAGTGTGCGAGCAGCCGCCTTGTAATCCTGCAGCCAGGAGGCGAGGAGAGGAGAGCAGCATGCATCATCAGCCGACGGGGGGGGGGTTTGGCCAGCCAGGGCGCATGGCCAGTTGGCCACACAACGCAACGCAACGCCAACATTGTTGATATGCATGGGATGAAATGATGACACACCCTCGAGCGCGCTTGGAGCATTCCAGCCATGCATGGGATTACAGTTTTTATACAACCATAACCGCGCTGTATACGGTACTGGCCGTAACCGTAGCATACCAGGACCATGCATGTCAGCGTGAATTACCGTTCCCACAACCCGCTCGCATGCTTGCACTACCGGTATATGAGTGAATGACCGTTCCAAGGGTTCCCTTGTTAAAGGGAACACGGGTGATCAGGTCAACCCTACATTACACTGCCGTACCTGCCCGGTTTCGGAGTGGTGGTGCCGGAACAGAGCTTCCTCGACTGCCTCCGCCAGGCCTGATGGGGCCAGAGCGGCAGCGAGCCACGGCGTCCCATCCACATGATGGACATGAGGGGCGTTGCCAGATATGCATGCAGGTCAGTGGACAGAGGTGCATGGGATGGTTGGCGGGTGTGGCGCTAGCAGCTTTGCATATCTGTAGCCGTATGAGGCCACTGATGTTGGGCAGGGGCAAGTGGTATAACAGTATTGGCAGCGGGGGTACCGCGTGAGGCAGCAGCAGCAACAGCGGTGGCGGGCGGTGACGGCAGCAGCGCAGGACAGCAGCAGGAGTACGGCATTTCCTGAACAGCCTTGGTGTTTTAGACAGGCGTTGCGCTGAGTGGGGTGAGTGCGAAACGTCGCTGCTGAGGTTGGTTGGCAACTGAGGAATCGCTTCTAGGGTGGGGCAGCGTACCAGTCAGCGTGCTTGGGTCCGCAGCAGGATTAGGACCTCCTGAGTCGGGCCCTCCTGACGCGCTGCTGCAAGCCGCTTCCTGTTTCTGCTGGTTTTCTGCATCTGTGGTTGAAAGCGCTGCTAAGAGCGTCCGGACGCAGTTTGTGCGCAATGCTTGCTGCGATGCTTCCTGGCGGATGGGGTCCACTGCCGCGCGAGGCGAAGCTATCTTTTTAGAGGGAGGCGGCAAGTTGAGCTCCTTCCAAATGGGCTTCCGTTTCATGTTAGCAAAATATGTTAACTGTCCTACGGTAGGATTGCGTCGCGTGTCTGGTCAAAGTCAAGTCAACGCAGGTTGCTGGTAAGCTGACGCATTTTAGCTCAATGAATGCAGTCGAAAGAGCAGAAAACTTGTCAGCGGAAGGTCCTGCACGCAACACGTGCGGTAGGGCAAGCCCTGGATATGGGTTCTCATCTCCTTGAGAGTTAAGGGAGAGGGAGCTCTATAATAAGTAGTCGATTAAGTATAAATCGAAGCACGTCTCCTATAACTGCTTTGGCATAAAGGTATACTGCGAAGGTGCAAGGTGTATCGTATTAGGCCGCCGCCATCTGGGCCATCATTCCTTGAGCACAAAAAGCAAGGCTCTATAGTTTCGTTGTAGCTGACACGCTATACATCATAGTTTCCCTGTGGCAGTTGGGCTTGCAAACCCGAACAGGGTTTACGAGCACTTAGGGCGGGAAGTCGCATAACCTCTCCCACTGGAAGGACATTTCTTCTAGCTTTAGACGAACGGATTGGGCGCGGCGATGGGTCCACAATCCCGCCATTAGGCTTCTACCTAGCTCGACTCTGGAAGGCTTGCAGACCGGAATGCGTATCCTGTGACGCTATCGTGTGCGGCGTCATTAAAGGATTCTGCGCTTACGGTCTGGGTATTGGCGGCACTGCGCGGCCTCGGACGACTTGGCAACGCTGAATCGACCCGGCCATCATCGGCAATCGCCAGACAGCCTCCCAGCATGGAGGAGGACCGACTAGCCGCGACAACCTACACCGCGCATGGCAGCTATTATGTACCCTCCAATACCCCAGAGGGCCTGGGCTTGGTGTCTGCGACGAACAATGGCTCATCGGCGTCCGTCCATGACAAGCAGTCTGACAATATCCCAGCCCAGCTAGACAACTGGAGTGCCCTAGACGATCCCTCTTTTCCCGACACAAGTGCACACGCATTCCCTTCCTCACGACAGTCCACCCGGACTACCACTGGCAAGCGTCGCAGGACCGCGGATGCCGGCATTGCCAATGGCATCTGCGGCAGCGACAGCACGCGGCCTGCCCCGAACCCCGCCGCCCTCCTCACCGCCGCCGCCTCGGACTCCCTCCATCAGGCGGAGCTGGGCGGCGAAATTCCCTCCACCGGTGTCGCAGTGGTTGATGGTGCGCCGGTTGATCCTTGCCGCGATGACACCGCTGCGGCCCTAGCCTCGTCCCTACCCAGCGGTGTTGCTGCCGCTGCTGCTGGGGTTCCACTAAGTGTTGGTGGCGGCCTTGTTGGAAGTGGCGGACAGGGCGATGACGGCGGTGCAGGCCTGGTTGGCCTGCATGCGGCGTGCCTTGGCATCCCCTCGGCCCCCTCAGCGGCACTGCAGGAGGCACAGTTGCAACACCCGCAGCAGCAGCTGCGACACCAACACCCGCAGGCGCAGTTCGGGACTGACGCCGCTGCTGCTGCTGCTGCAGCGACTGGCGGGCCGCCGGACCCCTCCTCCTCCTCCTCTCTGGGGCCCTACTGGCAGCCCCTGCTGGGTGCGGCAGGGCAGCAACACCACCCGCAGCAGGAGCAGCAGCAACACCACCCGCAGCAGGAGCAGCAGCAACACCACCCGCAGCAGGAGCAGCAGCAACACCACCCGCAGCAGCAGCAGCGGCAACACCACCCGCAGCAGCAGCAGCGGCAGCAGCCTGGGACAACGCATGAGGCCCCGGGGCATGCACATGCAGCAGCAGGGAGGGAGCCCTGCATGGCCCCGGGTGTCATGAGGACGATGATGGCACCTGGTGCAGCGCCCCCGCCCCCGCCCCCGCCAGCAAGTGCAGCAACCCTAAGCGGCGGGGGACTGCCACTGGCCCCACTGGGCAGCATCATGGGGCTGCCAGCCGCGAACATGGGGCCCGCTAACCCCATGTTTGCCCCTCCTCCTCCTCCTCCGCAGCAGCAGCAGCAGCCCCAGCAGCAGCAGCCCCAGATAGGGTTGGGTTGGGCCGAGCCAGTACGTCAGCTGTACAGCATGATGGATGCCGTACAGCAGCACGAGGCGAGCAGCAGCGGGCGGCTGATGAGCGTGCGGGTGCAGTGGGGGAACCGTCCTGGGGCGCTGGCGCAGCATGCTACTGAGGTGCGGGGGGGGGGGGAGATGTGGGATCTGGGATGGGTTCTGATCCAGTCGAAGAGTTGCGCCAGGGGTGCACCGGCAGCCCTGGTCGCGTCGTGTTGCAGTCCAGTAGACAAGTTGTCACGTGCCTGCATGCGTCTCTTCCCTGCTGCGTGGTGGCTGCACCTGCTTGCCCCCACCAGGTGGTGACGGTTCCTCAAGACTGCAGCCTGGGTTACCTCCGCCGCTGCATCTGCAAGGCCACGGGAGGAGCGCTGTGGCCGCGTGAGCTGCGACCCGTGGGTCACTCGGCAAGCAGCTTGAGTAAGGACGTCACTGACGGCGAGGAGGCGAGAGGAGGAGGCGACGACGCGGGTATAGGACAGTCCGGCGGCGATGCGGGTGCGGGTGGCCTGTTTAGGGTGACCCATGGGTCGGCTATCTCCGCTTTACCGCACGGTTTGAGTTCCAGCAACGACGATCTTTCCGAGCGGCAAACGCAGCAACAGCAGCACCACCACCAGCAACAGCAGGGCCTTGAAGGGACGCAAACGAAAGGAGCAGGGGAGGCAGACGGAGGGGCTGCTTCTGCCGGGGAAGGCGCATCCCCGCGATCAGCCTCACCCCCACGTCACGGAGGTGGCAATGGCGACGGCGGCGGCGGCGGTGCGAGTGCGAATGCGAGTGCGAGTGCGGCGACTGATAATGAGAACCTAACGCTGTCGGAGCTGGGTATCCTGTCGGATTCGCTTATTGTCATGGTGGGAGCGGGTGGGGTGATGGTGGGGTAATGGTGGGGTGCGTGCCACGTGCCACGTGCGCCCAAAGTACGGTAACCTGCAGGACATCAAGTCAGACCTCCTGCGGTGTGGGAACCACCTCTGACCTGCTGCCCATGTCTTCTCCTCCTTCCTCTCTCTCCCTACCTCCCTCTCCCTCTCGGTTCGCTGGTCAGGAGGCGGACGTGCAGCTTCTTCCCTTCCAGCACCAACTGCTAACGGTAGGCAGCTGCTGCCGCGCTCTCCTGCGGCTTTTGTGCTCTGCAACAGGTCCTCAGCTCCTCCTTAATCGCCGCCACCATTCCTCATGCGCGCCCCTGCCGGTCCTTTCCGCGTTACGGTATTGTCGCTGTTAACATGGGTCCTTCCTTCCTCCTGATACACACAGGCCGTGTTGCAGACGCCGCTCCCGCTGCTAGCCTCCACACTGCCAGCTGCGCCCTCCACCGCCGTACTTTCCTCCGCCCCACCGCCCACAACCGCGCCAACCGGCTTTCCGTACCCTACTCTGGTCGGCAATACGGCAGGTACGGCGGCGGTTGGCGGCTGGGTCGGCGCGTACGGACGCAACGGCGGCGGCGGTGTTGTTGATGAGCCTGACGGCGACGACGATGCTGCCGGCGGTAGCGGCGGCGGGTTTCGTACGACGTCTCGAAGGGACCGTCGCAATGGCGGCGGCGGCGGCAGTGGCTTAGATCCGGGATCTGGTCGTGGCAAGGGCAGCGGCGGGGGGCCTCAGAAGGAGCGCTTTACCCTGGGGGTAAGGGAGATTGTAGTGGGAGGTTGTAATGGGGGAGGGAGGGAGAGAGGAAGGGGATCCTTGGGCGGGCTCGACCGGCGGTACGGTGCCGTGACGTTACGGTAGGCCGTCTTGTCTCTCTCGTTTCCCCCCCCCCCCGTGTCGCACTCGCACTTCACCGGCCTCTTCAGTCAGCACTGCCCACTAAGTAACATGGCTGACCCTGACCGGTTTGCTGTTGCCGTTGTGTCGCACCCGCTCGCAGGAGATGACAGCCCTGGTGAGCGGTATTGAGGAGTTCGGGCTGAGGTGGGCGCTCATTCAGAAGAGCCGCCCGGAGCTTCAGAACAAGAGACAGGTGGGTGGGAGAACAACAACAGCAGCAGCAGCAGCAGCGGGCTGAGGTCGGGCTGAACAGAAACGCACACAACAAGACGGCCGTCATGTCGTCCCATCATTTACCTCCGTGCTGTCCCAACTGTGCTGCCCGACGCCGCCCTCGCTCTCGCCGCCACCCCCCCGCAGGGCGACTTGAAGGACAAGTGGCGCAACTGGCAGCGCAACGTGGCGGCCTGCTGGGCCACTTCGCGCATCAGCCTGCCGGAGGAGCTGCGGCTGCGCATCACGGGGCTGGTGGGGGCGGCGCAGCGGGGGGAGCTGGCCACCACCGCCTCCGCAGGCATGCAGCTGCCGCAACAGCAGGGGGTGCAGGGGGTGCAGCCGCAGGGGGTGACCGGGGAGCAGGGGTTGCCGCATGCGGCTGGAGGCCCGCAGCCCCAGCAGCAGCAACAACATGAGCAGCAGGGGCAGCAGCTGCACAGACTGCCGCTGCTGCAGCAGCTGCCTGTGGAGGGAGCGGAGGCAGCAGCGGCGGGTGGGATAGCGGAAGGGGCGGCTCCCGTGGGCGTGGCAGCTCATGCCTTGGATGCCGCCGGTGGAACGGGACTTGACATGCGGCCCTCTGTACGGCTCGGCCAGGAGCAGCCGCATCAACAGCAGCTGCAACAGCAGCCCGCACATCAGCAACAGCAGCCGGCACATCAGCAACAGCATCAAGCGCAGAGAGAACAACATGGAGAACAACAGGACCCGACCCAAATCAGGTCGCCGCAACACCCCGACGAACAGCAGCAACAGCCAGAGCGGGAACAGGAGCTATCCACAAGTTTCGCTGAAAATGCTCTAGAGCAAGAGCAGGAGCATCAGCAGCATCATCAACAACAACAGCAGCAGCAGCACCAAAGCGTGCACTTGCAGGCAGCCCGCGCGGCTCAAGTCATGATGCAAGCCGCTCAAATGCAGGCAGCCCAAGCCGCCCAAGTGGCACAAGCGGCCCAGGAGGCGCAAGCGCAAGCACAGGCGCAGCTGGCAGCTGCTGCCGCTGCTGTTGCGGCGGCCACAGGTCAGCCTATGGATGGCAGCCCTGCGGGATTGGAACTGCTAGCAAGCTTGCAAGGCCTTGCCGCGGCGGGGCATGTGGGAGGGCATGCGCAGGTGTCAGCAGCATCCACTTCCGCGGCGTTGTTTCCGCTGTCGCTGCCACTGCCGCTTCCCATGCAGTTGGCTTTGCAGCTGACGCAGCAGCAGCAACTCCCACAGCAGCAGCAGCAGCACTTGCAGCAGCAGGCGTTGGAGCAGTTGGGGCAGTTGGGGCTGCCACCGCCGCCACCGCCGCCGGCACCTGTGTTGGGTGCGGGGAGTGCTGCGGCGGGGGATGCGGCGACGTCGCCGCCCCACCCAGATGACCATCGAGCTACCGCAGCTGCTGCTGCTGCTGCACTCAGCGACACGCAACAGCAGGGGCCACACCTAGAACCCCACCCGCAGCCCCATGCCGCGCCTGGTTTGGGTCTAGTAGACTGGCAGCAGCCCGGCAGCAGCAGTAGCAACAACAACAACAACAACAACGGGGGAAGCGACGCGACTGCCGCTCGCGCGGCGGCGGCGGCAGCCTTGCTGGAGGCTGCTACGGCCGCCGCCGCCGCGGGGCAGCTGGGGGGCCACATGGGAGGGGGGGCTACGGCGCTGGGGCCGCTGGCGGCTCTAGGTCCGCTGGGGCTCGGGGCGGTGGCTCACCTGGGACTGGGAAGCCTGGGGAGCTTGGGGCTGGGGTTAGGGCCGAGTCCAGCAGCGCAGTCTGCTTTGGCGGGGTTGCATGCCGGGGGGCGACTGGCGGGGTCGCTGCTGGGAGGCGGCCAGCAGCAGCCGCAGCAGCCGCATGTTCCCCCGGGTGGGCAGCAGGAGGAGCTAGGAGGGCAGCAGCAGCAGCAGGCGGCTGGGGGGCAGGGGGCTGCCTCCTTGGAGCTTACAGCAGCAGCGGCAGCGGCGGTGGCAGGAGATGCTTCACTGGCTGGTGTTGGGAGTGTGGTGGTGTCAGCCATGGGGGGTCTTGGCGACTGAGACGCATGTGCACGGTAGCGCTCGGGTCAATAGTTCTGTGCTCTGGGTTTTCCAATTCTAAGCATGAAACGTTGTAACACGTACGGGTTATGCATTGGTAAATGTGAACTGCTGTTGTCATATATTACATGTACGTTAAGAGCAAGTCCAAGCTCGCGTTCACTGCCAAGTAAACAATGAACGCAAGCAGAAATCTTCGCGTCGTCAGCAGCGTGGAGGCCAGATCTACTTTCCTGCATATATTGTATTCTGCCATCCTATTGACCTAAGAACTTTTACCAATTATCTCCTTACTTGTCCGAAATCTACTACAGACATCTCCTACCGAAACCTCGATCATTCACCCAACATCAGACTCATACACCTGGTCCATCCAGCAGCCATCTTCCTTCGCAGCCCAGCACCGCACTTCAAGACGCACAGAATCAGCGCAACAAACGTTCGTACCTTTGAATACACCCCAAATTCTGCACAGCAATAAACCAGATTAACGAATATGATGCGCTGTACAATCAACAAAGATGTACGAACGGACCCCGAAGTGTACAGCAGAGCCCCCATCACGTACGATACGCATGTAAAACACATCTTCGGTCCCGTCTCTGAACCCAAACCAGATGCCTGTTTCCTCGCACGTGACGTCATACATCATACAACCTCGCCCGGCACCCCTCGAGGGTGCTCCCATACAGTGCGCAGCAAACCATTATATGCGCGGTGCTTTCTCCAGTACCATAATGCGTCGCCGTATATGTATAAAAAAAGTGCACCCCTCTTGCACACAACTAGAGCTATCATGACACTAAACGTACACTGCAATGCGAAGTGCATGTAGGAGGGATCGGATCGTAGCCATCCCCCGTAACGGGCCGCATGCGGTTTGACTGCGGGGCACACAACACATCATCACGTGTGCCATGATGTGGGTGACCCCGTGCAATGTCCACCCCGCCACGTGCAACCAACCCTGGTTGCATTGGCGGAACCAGGTAAACCACCACCACCACCGTGACTATTACTCTGTGTTGCACCGCGAATCATCACAACCTGCAATCCGTAACAGCGCTGCTCAGCGCCCGCATCCCAATGCTAACTAACTTACAGCGCCAAGACCCTGCACCAAAAAAAGCTTCGACCCCGTTGTCGCCCCCCGTTGTCTCACCCGGATTGAAAAAGGCACTGCACCATTCCCCGACAGTATCATGTAGGGACCGTGTAGGAGGCGTGTGTGAGGTCCGTCGCAGGAACAAAGTGAAGGATGATGTGGATGAATGTCATTGGTGTCACTCATTCCGGCCACAAACCTCCAAGGCGACAACAACGGAGAGACTGAGCCGAACGTGAAGTGGAAAAACACAGCAAGGGCACACACGCGCTAAGGCACCACCGCTATGGGGGCACACAGCAAGGCACGAGCAGGCCCTTGATAAAAGGGAGGACCAAAATACTCTGGCCACATACACCGGGGCAAGCCCCGAGTCGCAGCAATGTAACAGTTTTCCGCGCAGGCTTCACCGAGTGTATTTTGGTGCAGAGGAGCAGTATATCATTTTGTCACACACCGCAATAACATCTCAACCTGCACGTTTTCTTTACCGAACCGAATCATCATCACCGTCACCGTCATACATTCCCCTGGACGTTTTGTGTACGTTGGTGTAGCCAAACTTAATGCGACAACACAGTCAACGCCAGCAGCCATCATACAGTTCAGTCAAGAAGACAGAAAACACATCCAGCATAAGACGCGCAAGCCGCACATATTGCCTGCCGCGGCGTGCATCATCCTCCCATTCCCAATCACTCCCAACCCGCGCGCTTCCTCATACCCTCCTCCTCCTCCTTCCCCACCCTCACAAACCATAACCTTTCCCACCCAAGCCCGGTAACGCTCGAGTCATGAAACTGAGCAGCGCGAAACCGGCTGCATGGAACCAAGGCCCTTAACGTCTGCCGTGGCTGGTTCCGGCCAGAACTCCAGTAGCCGGTACTGGCCAGTAATGGATGCGTTTTTGGCAGAGCGCTGCGGGCGGCAGAAGGATAGCATACCTGAGTGGGCGGCTAGGCCACCCGGCAGCTCCTCTGCGGGGCGACCAGCTGTTTTGCAACAGTCCCATAATGGTTTTGCCATTGACCATTCAGCAATGCCGCCGGCAAGCAGCTTGTCCAGCAGCTAACAAGTCGCGGCCGAATCCGCATCCTCCAAGCCCGGTCCAGCCGGCGGCGAGGGCATCAGCACCGACCCCATTTCCACCGACGCGGCCCGGGAGGAGATGCTCGTCTCCGAGTCCGACGACGCCGCCTCCTGCATCGCCGCCACGTCCTTACACACCGCCGCTCCGCCCTCACACACCGCCGCAGCGCTCCCCGACACCGCCCCCATCGTTGCCTCGCCCTGCACATCCGCGCAGCCCACCGCCGGCTGCTGCGGCGGCGAGAGCTCCCGCACCGGCTGCAGCAGCGGGAGGCAGGTGGGTGGTGGCGCTGCTGCTGCGGGGATGTCTGCGGGGAAGAAGGCGGCGCTCATGGTGCCGTTGGGCAGCGGGGTGAGCTCGATGAGGGTGTGCAGCGGCATGCTGAGGCGGGGGATGTCCTTGTTGGGGACGTTCATGAAGTAGCCGTACAGGGCGCGCAGGACAGCCTGGGGAGTGGGGCAGAGGGTTGTGAAGGTGGGCATTGCGTGCGGGTTGAGATTTGAGGAGAGGCATGTTGTGCACGTGCACTCGAACAAGGTCGGCCATAAGGCGCATAAGGCGCAGCAAGTTGAGGGTTCAGATCGCTGCTTCACGGCCCACTGCGGCGGCGTGAAGACTAGGCTGCCCTACAGCATGGGTCGCCCGAAACGCGATCTGGGTCAGAGCCGAGCCAATGGGGTATTCTCTTGCCCCCTCCCTTGCCCCTCCCAAACTCCCCCCCTTCATCACAACGGTTCCTTAGCCATCCCCCCACCTGGTGCGCCACCACCACCACGCAGTTCCGCTCCCGCTCCAGCTCCGTGATCACCGGCTCCACGCGCTGAATCACGTCCATGTACGACTCGCCGGCGGGGTACCTGCGCGGCACAGGGGTGCATGTGCGGTACAAGACAGCTCAGCCGCATGCGCGTGTGCATGTGTGTGTTGGGGCAGCGGCGCGAACGGGGGTACAGCGGTTGGGGGCAGCCAGACAGGGCAGGTAAGCCGCTCGGCTTGCTTTGGGGGCAAGCAGCCAGCGGAGAAACAAGAATGGACCAGGTAGTGTTGCCAGTTTTGTTGTTCCGCACCTGTAGCAGAGCTTGTCCTTCCCCCTCGCCTTGTACTCCTCGGGGTACTGCACCTCGATCTGCTTGTACGTCATGCCGTCGCAGATGCCCGCGTTGATCTCGTCCAGGGCCTTCCACTGCACCTTCGCGTACGGCAGGCGCCTGGAGCATGGATCCGGATTCCGGGATTTTTGTGAGGAGGTAGTTAGGATGTATACGTAATTACGTATGGGTTTGGCCCACCGATAGGAAGGTGTGTTGGGGCAAACAGGCAACAATCGTTTTCCAGCCAGTCGTCTAGGAGTTGGGGCAAGGCGCTGACGGGTTTTGGTCAAAGGTATCTGCGAGCGTGCATGAAGATGCTGTGCACCTTAATCCAGGCATTCAAAGCCGCCTCAGTGGGCAGGAAAGTCCAAACCCTAGACTGTCTGGATAAGGAAGATAGAACCAGTCAAGCTGCGCGTTAAATATGGACTTGTCCCTGCCGTTTCCAATCAAGTGCCGGCTGAGATACAGGATGCGACACGTGCTTGGCGACGCGACGCAAGACGACGGTCACAATGCCTTACCGCGCCGTTTCGATTGTGCGCTTAAGCGTCGACGTCCAAACCGCGACCGAGAGAGGCTGTCCCTGGCCCTCAGCCTGCAGTAAAAGGAACGTGCGTTAGCTTGGGTTCACGCATTAAACGGGTTTCAGAGTTGCTGGGAAGTGGCACTAGTCATAGTGACGCGGCCTCTACTACACGCAGACCATTGCGCTGCTCGCTGTAAACTGTACATGAAGGCCACAGCAGTAATTATCGGCTATGCAACCCAGAAACCGCGAAGATACATACCTGGAGCGCCTCAATGCGCTTTTCAAGCTCCGCCGGCAGCGCACGCGCATAGCACTCGCCGCGTTTGGACAGTGAGCTGTTTCCTCCAATTAGGCCCTTTTCACTGCGAGCAGCGGCGAGGGTTGGGAGGTACTTATCCTCCGTGGCAGGTCTTTGCCTAGCATTTTCGAAGCAGCAAGCTCCAACTTACTTGTACTGGGACTCGCCATGCCGAGTAAACCAAATCTTTCTCGCGGATGTCATTCCCGCCTTGCATACCTGCGCAGGCCAGCCGAAGCGCAAAAAGCAAAAAATATCGTTATCTACAAGGGTCGAAAGCTTTGCATTCCAGGTGCCACGCCATGCTCCATACAGAGATTCCACTGCTGCCACTCTAACTTGGATAAGGTTTGTCCGCATCCGACGCACCATTTGCGCCCGCTAGTGAACTCCTAGGCCCACGTCCTTCCAAGTATGTATATATATAATTTACGGCAGGGTCACTTGTTATTATGTTAAAATGGGCAAAGGTGGCGTCACAAGTGGTCCGTTGCAAAGCCAAATAGCAACCGGATATCCTATGCAAAGGATAATAAGAAGCTTTCAGCTATATCCATGTGCACTATATTTGTAGACCAGCCCCGAACACTGGTTTCTTCTTATATAGGGACGCCCGCCACTCGTCCGACAGTGACCAAGGTCGTCCAATGAATAAACCACTAAACTATCATCGACAAGCTCTCACCGATGAAGAGTGCTCCTTGCTTATTTCTTTACCTCTTTACGCGCAAGCTTTACCCGGGCAGACAAATGCACTTTTTACAGGAACCAATGAAGCTGAAAGTCGCATAGGACAGCTTGACCCAGTTTAACCGTGTTTGACCGTTCACCTCAACTCCTAAACCTAAATCAGGTCCCCACATAAAACACCCCATACTTGAATGGAAGCTACCTTGACGCCTTCCCGGAACTCGACATGTCCCAACGCCCCCATCCCGCCACCTCCCAACCTTGCTCACCTGCATGAGGAAGAAAACAATCTTCCCCGGCAGGTAGCCGCTGATGCGGTTGATGTCCCTGACATAGGACGTCGCGACGCGTGAAGAAGCGGAAGAAGAGGAGACGCCGGAAGCGGAAGAGCAGGCGGCAGGCGGGCAAGGCGGCAGTCGGCAGGAAGGAAGTGGGTTAGACCGCGCCCGCCATTGGACCCGCCAAAATGCCCGCCGTCACAGCCCCAAGACCGCCCTTCTTCCCCTCCCTCACTATACAATCAAAAAGTCGCATGCATGTGCTCTTTACATGCATGTCTATGTGCTCCTAATTGTACATTCTGTGTCTTTTCTCCACCCAAGTAACATCAATCCGCCCTCACCCTGCCCTCACCCTACCCCACCCCACCCTGCCCTCACCCTACCCCACCCCACCCTGCCCTCACCCTACCCCACCCCACCCTGCCCTCACCCTACCCCACCCCACCCTGCCCTCACCCTACCCCACCCCACCCTGCCCTCACACCCCCCCTCCTTTCGCCCTCCCTCCTCCCTCCCTCCCTCCCTCCCTCCCTCCGCCCTATCGACACCACCATCCCCACCACGGCCTCTTTCCCTCTTCTTTCCAGCCTTTCCCTCCGCCCCGCCCCTAAACACCATGCCCCCCCCCCACTCACATGTGTCCCCGCCCCGTGACCATGTCTATCAGCTTGATGTAGTGCATGCTGCGGTCGCTGATGGGCTCGTACACCGCCTCGTACTTGGCGATGCGCGCCAGGAAGTCGGCCACTGCCTGCGGGGGAGAAAATTATATAACAAAATAGAAAACAATACAGGCTGTAAGTATATAAGTGAAACAGCGAGTCCCAATTTCATATATCCCCACCCATGCAGTGAGCACTGCCTGGGTGGGGGAGGAGGAGGGGGAGGGGGCGGCAGGGGGAAAGCAGGATTCCCAATGCGTTGATTGAGAATGCAAACCAGACGACAAGCAAGCTCCGGGGGAATTGAATCAAGGGTGAGGAGGGGGAGGAGGGCAAAATGAACTAAGCATGTGATATGCCCACTTGACAGGGCTTCACCAAGGAGTGGAGGGGAGGGAAACCCTCCTTTCCACTCCTCCTCCTGCTCCAGCTCGCAATGCCTCCGTCAGCAGCTTGGCTCGACTCACGGGCCATGTCTCCCCCCAGGGCTTGTACCTAGTTCGCCACTGCGCCACAACACATTGGATGCGGTACTCTTCTTTCCTTCCTCCTCCCCCCCTCCCCCATGGAGAAGCCTTGTCATCCAGTTCGTCAGTTCTCCTTATGTTTACCCTCCCCCTCCCCACCTGCGCCTTGTCTACCCCATCGTAGTCGGAGCTGAACCCCATCTTGTTGTGGTAGTTCTGCTCCAGCACTGCGGGGTCCGAGCAGATGGTCTCAATGAACAGGTACTGCCACACGCCGTGGAACTTGGAGCGCTGGGGGGGGAGGTGTGAGGGGGGGGGAAGGGGGCAGGGGTGAGGGGGGAAGTGAAGCAATGAAATCCCAAGCATTGAAATCCCAACCCCATGGCCCCACATGCAAGGAGAGGAAAGGGGTCTTCCCCCCCCCCCTGGTTCCTGCCGGTCCCCCCCTCCCCCCCTCCCTCACCAGCAGGTTGCGTCGCGCCTGGGTGGTGTTGGTGGCGTCGAACACCGCCACCTGGTTCTCATCTGGGGGGGCGCGGGGGGAGGGAGGGGGGAGATCAGTAGGAAAACACAGGCCAAGCTGTTTTTTACCCGATGTTGACGAGGGAAGGGAGGGGAAAGACCATACCGAACCATAGGAGACCGCAGGTTGGGGCAAGACGAAGGGGGGTGGGGAGGGGGTGGAAGAGATCTGTAAGACGCATGCCAACTTGTTGACGTGTCCAGGGAGGAAGGAAAGGAAGAGGGCGCCCCGCCAGCTCCCTGCATACGGTTCGTTAGTTTCTCCCTCTCCACACACACCCCAGCCCGCCAGTCCTCCTTTCCCCCCCCAGCCCGCCCCCTCACCTCCCCTCAGCCAGTTCATCAGGTCGTCCAGCGCCGCGTTAAGAGCCCGGTTGCGGGCCTCCACACCCGCCTGCAGGGCAGCGCAGCACGGGCAGGGGCAAGCAGGGGGGGGAGGTAGAAATAAGGAACTGACGAGGTAACTAACGAAAGGTGGCACCCTCCCCCCCCCAACCTCCACCTCCCCCCACCCACCTCGTTAGCATGGTCGAAGAACTCCGCGTCCTGCACCACATGGTGGTCGCCGCGCTGCCGCCGGCGGTACTGACCCACGTTGAAGTGCCGGGTCACGTGGCCCAACCTGGACAGGGGGGGAGGGGGCGGGTGGGTAAAAGTAGATGAGAAGTGAAGCAACGGAAGCAACGGGGGCGGGTGGGTGGGGAACGAGGTGGTACAGAGGAGAATGAAAAGGTAACGGAATGCAGCGCACTGCCCTACTGCCCTACCCTACTGCCGGGCTCCCTGCCCTACTGCCCGGACGTGGCTTTGCTCCCTCCCTGGACTTCCTCCCAAGCCCTCAGCCAACGCATGGCTGTTCTTCTCATTGTCCCCTGCCCTTCCCCTGAGCCCCTCTCCTCTCCCCTTGCCTCCTGCCCCTGCCTCCCCTCCTTCCCCACACGGTTCGTTAGTCGTTTCCTCTTCTCCCCTCCTCCCACACCTGCCCTCCCCTCCTCACCAGCTGAGGTAGGCGCAAATCTTGTTGCACAGGAAGGTCTTGCCGCGGCCCGGCAGACCCACCTGGCGGGGTGGGGGAAGGAGGGGGGTAGGCAGGTAAGGAGGAAGTGACTGCCGGTAGGAGTGTGACAAGGCTGACAAGGCTCCACCAAGGGGCGGGTGGGTGGGTGAAGGAAGTGGGAAGGCGGACATGCCAGTCGGCACCAGAGGGCGGCTGGCGGTGCCTCGCCTGGCGTCTCCAGGCTGATGATGACCACCCCCTTCCCCTCCTTACGCATGATTCTTCTTTCCTCCCCTCTACCAACCCCCCTCCCAAACCCTCCATGACGCTGCCGCCCCCCTCCGAAACCCACCATGATGATGACCAGCTTGTTCTTCCGCACAACTGCACGCGTGCTGACACTGCCCACCCGCCCGCCACCCGCCACTCCGCCCTCACTGCCGCTGCCCACAGCCCCGACACTGCTGCCGCCCGTCGACTTCCGCTCCACCTCTCCACCAGGCTCGCCCGCTGCTCCGCTGTCGCCTCCTGCGGTCCCGAATCCGCCGCTGCTGCTTCGATCTTCGTAGCTAAGAACATCCGCATCCGCTGCGGTGGCTGCGGCCACTGCGGGTGGTGGGGGCGGGGCGGCTCCGGTCGCCGCGTCCGCATCCGGCTCGTCCTGCTGCTGCAGCAGATCCAGATCGCCGCCTGCCTCCAGGGAGGGGTGGCGGGGAGTGAGTTCCACGTCACGAAAGGTGACGGCGGCGGCAAGCAGGCTGCGCAGGCGGCGAGAAAGCTCGGAGGAGGCGGAATCACCGCGGAGCGATCGCGCGCTGATCGAAGCGGCAGGACCGGAGCCGCTGCCTCCAGTGCTGGAGGAAGAAGAGGAGCAGCCGCCGGGGGCCAGGTGGGTGTCGGAGGTACGGGTGGGGAGGTTGAGAGGAGTGGGTGGGGGGGCGTTGGGAAGGCCGGTGAGGGGTGCGGACCGGCGGGCGAGCGGCGGCTCTGGGGATGGGGATGTCATGCCACAGCCGGGGGGCTCGCGCGGTTGTGTGTTGACGAATAGGGAGGTAGGGTTATCGGTTGGTAGAGCAGGTAGGTGGTGTTGTTGCTGCTCCGGAGGTGCCGCGGACTGGGGCTGCTGTTTGCAGGCATCGTCCATGTCGTTGGTGAGGGGTACTGCGGGAAGGCCGGCGGCTGCGGATGGAATACTTACACCTTCTGATTTGGTTTTTATGTCCATAGCTTTTAGCAGTACTCAGCCTGACAGGGTTCCAGGCTCACGCGCAGGATGGCGAGAAAAGCGTGCGATGCCACAAGTCCCTGTCGCTATATCGCTGAACACGCACGCCTATGCGTTGTATGTGAATAGACCTTGAGTCTCACGCGTAAGCCTTTAACAAAGTCGCGCGTAAGAACTCGGGGGTCGCACCGAGACGCGCGTATTAACGCCGCTAAGCTGGCGTCCTACAGAAATCAATCTCAAGCGTCTGTGCCTGCAAGAAACAAAGTAAATGAGTACCCTAAACACATTAAGAAGATTACTGGCACGCGCATTGTATGGTAAGCTCGCTAGCATGCAACTTACCTCCTGAAATTTACCCAAACCAGCAGAAATGATCTCAAAACTGCGACAACTGTCACGTCAAGGTACCCTTTAAACTAAGGGCTGCTGGTGAGAAGAGATGCCCAGCGATGATCGCCCTTACCGGAGAGACCTTCCTCCGAAACCTAGCTCGTACTGACAAAGACGATGCGTATGACACGCCGCGCTTGCCAGATGCGTTAGAGCGGAACAATCTTGCATGCATTATGTTGCAACCCGCACTATAGCGCATGTGCATGGAACCTGCGCGTGTTCGAGGATACCCTTAGACTACTCTGACACGTTGGGGGTTACTGACTGCAAACTACCCCTGCAATCCCAGCTATGCCTTTCCATCACAAGACATCTACTGAAAGCATCGAATAGTTCAATTACGCCCTTTGCCCACTAATCCCAGCGTCACCGTACATGCCAAACCATTTGGCTAAGCAGAGAAAGCACGATGGCTACCCATTTTCCTGATGGCCGATACAACCCGGCAATGACACATCCTGTCAACGAAGATCTTGATTGGTTATGATCTATGGAGCTGGAGCGAGGACACCCTCCACATGCATGCTGACGTCTCATCGCATGTTTCGCATGTCATTCTGGCATGCTTAGCGCTGAAGGACGAAGGTTGAGGGCATACGTTATCAACGGGCAACACGCTGTGCAGGTAACAGTCAAGCAACGGTACCTTACAAAGGAGGTAAAACGGTTAGCTTCAACCACCAGCTTAACATTCCCAACCCCCGCAGCAGTTCACTCCTGCGTACCTACGCTCTGCACTACCTGATGTCCCGCCTGTTCCCCATCTACTAGCCTACCTCCTCGCCTTTCTGTACCTGAATTGAAAGGACTGACACGACCAGCAACGTCCCGGCAGCAACATATCCCTCCCTGGAAAGCTCCAATCTACCCCGCAAAGCTAGCCCGTTGCACCTCCTATACCTCACTTCTATATCTTACTTCGTTCGTAACCAATCGGCGAATAATGCATCTACTAAGGGCCCTTCCAGACGTCCTCAAAGGACGGTATGAGGCGACACGTGAACGGTTGGTCAACAGGATTGGGCTCCTGGCGTTCAAACTAGCAGCCAAGCCGAACACGCCAAACCACGTTCGTACAGCACAACAGTACACCGGACCGAGCCGGACGACGTGGATCGTCGGATGTGCGGGGCTGTCAGCCCCTAACCGTGCACCACAACACGCATCACCTTCCAGTCAGAGCCACTCAGCTGTCCACAAAGGGCACAAACCACACAAAAGAACAGCCATCAACAGAACCATCTTTCTAACACACACAAGAACCTGAAACCTAAAGTCGCTAGAGAACGAACGAAATCCCTCAGGGGGCACCGACAGGGCAGACAGGACCGCGGAGCCTGACAGGCCCCGTCTCCCCGAGGCCTCTGGCATTGCAGCCCTTTCTCTCCGCATCCTCGGCTCCGTGCCCCTACACTGCTACACACACGCCTGCTCGCTGCCACGGCTGCCACCGCCGTTTGGAGCAGGTGCATTATAGCACTAGGTTGGGGAACCAACAAAACACCTGCAGGCAGCAGAGAGGGAGGATCCACCTCGCAGGAGGGTCCTCCACCGTCTATCGCTTATCCGTTGCTGGTGAAACGCTTCCAAACGAAAAACTAGAAAGCAAAGCAACAACCAACATACTTCGTACACCAACGCATGAAATGGACAAACGGATGTAAGCCAAACCAACAGGCGACGCACAACGCTTTGTAGGCGAAGCATTTCAAGGGCATTTAAACCACGCAAACAACAGATTGTTGCTGCGGCACACAGGGCCATCCGAAGAGTACCATGCTAATGCCACACGTAACACGACGACTAACTTGGCCACTTTGCGTTGTAACAGTGGAGGACAAGCAAACCATAAAAACGTCCGTAACCTAAACCTGCTGGGAAAAGAACGCCCTCTCACTTGACACCTCCGCACCTTGCACTTTAAGCTGCCGCGTATAAATCCCCTCATGTTGGGTGTCTGCTTCTTCTTCTGTTCCGCCATGCCAACGAATCTCACATATGAATAAGCCAAGCCAAGCCACATAAGCAGCGCAGTGTGTGCTGCAATCCGGGTAATAGTGCACCCGTGACTCCCTGCCGCCATGGAAGCCCGGCATCAGCCCCCCATGGCGCAACACCTCCACGACCTCCTCGAGCGAAACCAACCACCCCATTCGAAACCCCGTGGGAATGCGGGTTGCATATCCTACCGTCCGTCCCATGGGTCTCATGAGCCCATGCCTCTCGCCAATGCCAAGTATATACCGCCAAAGCACAGGACCTACTAAGACCCATATCCGACGTACGAACCCACCAACCTCCGAACGTGCGGTTTAATTCAGAGGCACGCATGCCTGGCAACAGCGAGCTCACACCGACTGAAGAGGGTGGTGGGCTAGCTGCCCATAGCACGTACTAGCTTCCTACCCCTCCGATTTCCGCGCCGCTCTCTGACCATCTGTTTGTCCTAAGTATATACCTGTTCCCTCGCCTTTAATACTCTTGACACGCGTGTGTTTCTCTCCTCCACTCAGTATAAGCTTTTGGGGGGCTGACCCTCAGACAGGGCAATCAACCTCCCACCACTGAAGAACACCTCTTCAGCCCCGCCTCCTCCTCCTCCTCATCATCATCATCATCCAATCACCTCTTTCCACCTCCACCGCCGCCCTCCCGCCCCGCCTTCCCCTACATGCCACCCTCCAGGAACGCCCTCCTCAACTCCTCCTTCTGCCCAGCCGTCAAATCCTCCGGAAACGCTACCTCAAACCGCACATGCAGATCGCCACGAAGCGGCAAACCCCCCACCGCCTCCGTCACCTGCACCGCCTGCTGCTGCTGCTGCTGCTGGCCCCCTCCCCTCCTCGCGCCGCCTCCGGCTCCCCTGCCGGGCGTAACCGGCATACCCTCCCCCTTCACCACCCGCTGGCTGAACGGCTGCAGACATGCCGGTCCCAGTCGTAACTCCAGTCGCCGTCCGTCCAGGGTGGTGAGCGCCGCAGCGCCGCCCGTCAGTGCCTGCAGCAGCGGCACCTCCACCGTTGCATGCAGGTCATTGCCGCGGCGGATGAAGGTGGTGTGGGCTGCCTGGGCAACCACCAGCACCATGTCACCTCGGGAGCCGCAAGGCAGCTGGTTGCCCTTGCCTGGGGTGGTGGGTGGGAGGTGGAGGAAGGAAGAAATGAGGAGTGGAGGAGGAGGAGGAGGAGGAGGAGGGAAAAGATGAGGGGAGGGGGCGGAAAAGCTGATGCGGAGAAGGGATCACAATAGGGCGGAAGGTAGGAGGGCGAGCTGGTGTGGCTGAGCATGCAGCGGAGCAGCATAATGCTTAATGAAATTGATGACAGCGTGTCATCCCGGTCTCCTAAACTCAAAAAACATCCTAGGGGATGCTAACAGCCAGCCATCAGCCATCAGCAGCAGCCATGCCCCTCCCACCCTCCCTCCCCCCCTCCCGCCCCCACCTGGGAACGTCACCCGGGTGCCCTCCTTCCACCCCGGCTGCACCACCACTCGGAACAACTCCTCCACTCGGCGACAGGACACAGCCTCCCCGGGAAGCACCGCTGCTGCTGCCGTACAACCCGCCGTACAACCACCACCACCACCACCACCATTCGCTGCCGTACAACCCACTCCTGCTGCCGCCGCCGCTGCCGTACCACCTTCACCGCCAGCACCCGCAGCACCAGCAGCAGCACCAGCATTAGCAGCACTAGCATCAGCAGTTCCGTTGCAGCTTCCGTACACCCGCCGCGCTAACCGCAACTGCTTCACGCAACCGCTGTACAGCTCCTCCAATGTGAGCATCAGGCGGTGCACCACGTCAGCAGCGGGGTGGTGGGGATGGGGGTGTTGCTGCTGCTGCTGCTGCAGTTGCTGCTGATGTAAGGAATGGTATTGGTGGGCTAGGGCAGGTTGCATTGCAGCGCATGAGTGCAGGGGCTGGGGTCGTGCCGATAGCTGGTGTTGTGGATGGTGTTGTGGATGTGCAAGTGAAGGGGCGACATCCGGGAGATGATGACGATCGGCGGGAGCAGTAGCAGCAGCAGTGGCAGCAGTAGCAGCAGCGGCGGTGGCGGCGGTAGCTAGAGAGGAGTCGGCACCTGGCGCCCGGCGTTTGCCGAGCAGCATGCCGGGGCTCACCACAGCGGGGCTGCTGGCGGGACCCGGAGGAGTGCTGCTGGTGTTGGTGGTGTTGCTTCTGTTCGTGGGTTCGTGAACAGCAGCTGGGAACAGCTGTAGGCTACAAAATGTGGTGGGCGGCGAGATGGAGAGGGAGGCGGAGGTGGCGGCATGGGCTGGTGCGGCGGCGGCGGCAGCGGCAGCGGACATGGGGTTGGGGTTGGGACTGGGGCTTGAGGAGATGCAAGTGAGGTCGGAGGAGGGGCAGGAGGAGGAGAGAGTGGAGGCGGAGAGGGAGTTGGAGGAGGGCGCGTGGAGGTGGGAGGGGGAGAGGTCGTCCCAGCTGGAGGGACGAGGGAAGGAGGCGAAGGTGGCGGCCTGGGCGCCGGCTGTTGTTGGTTGTTGGTGTTGCTGCTGCTGCTGCTTTTGTCGGGCTTGGGCCGCGGAGATGGGCGAGAGAGATGGGATGGACGTGACATCGGCTAGGGCTGCGAAAGCGCCTGCGAAGTCGTAGAGGAGTCGCTTCTCCGGGCAGGAGAGGGTCTCGTACGCCTCTTGGATGAGGCGGAAGATCTCGTCTGCCCCCGGCTTCACCTCCTTACGCTTATCGGGATGCCATTGCAAACTCAAGCGGCGATAGGCTCGGCGGATTTCGTTATCTGTTGCAATAGTGCTTAAGCCAAGAAGCTCGTAGTAACTCTGGCCCGACATTGCAGTAGCGGCATGGAGTTCTGGGCTACGCCAAATTGGAAGCTTCCGGGTTGGAAATCGCGAGCCCCGGGCCCCTAACGCCCCAGAGCTCACACGTCCACCCCTTTAAGGCAGCGCCTGAGGAATGGCATAGCCTACCAAGTTGCAGCGCCAGTTAACTCCTAAGGTCGGGCTTCAGGCAGGTAGCATGCAGCACCATCAGCAAGGATATCAGGGATCAAACGTTACTATTTAGAATGTAGTATATAGCACACAGAGACGTATTGGAATGTGTGACCCTAGAACCAGCTGTGAGGTACATGGGCGTCTCGCGAGAGTTCGGGGACGAACGACCTGCACGACGGAGATGTCTCCACGCAAGAACGTCAAAGGAAGCCATTTGACAAGTAACGTGATGAACTATGGTATGGGTACTAACAGCTCAAAGCTGTTTGCGTACTTGCCCTGGTGAAAGGATGCCGACTCACATGTAAAAAAAGTCCCTGTTGTTCAGAACCCACACGGGTGGGTCTTCATAAAGACGTTGCAAGTCCAAACGATTCGCGCGCGATCCTGTCATGAGCCACGCCCGGTCCAGGACTACCTGCTCCAGCCACGTGCCTCATGCAACATGCTTACGAACCACGAGCTTTCGGCCCAAATGTCACTCCTGTCATATCCAACAAACCCATAACTACCCTTAGTTATTCTAAACCGCGCGCCGCTTCCGTCCCCATAAACCATTAGCCAATCGACCTTGTAGCGTACTTCCTCCTGTCAGATATCAGCATATCACCGAGACATAATTCGCAGGAAGCCATGTACTGTAGCATATGCTTTATGTACTGAGCGCTATACACCTGCTTTGACTTTTGCACGCCCCTTCCCATACATAGGGCCGTCAAACTCTCCCTCCTCCTCCTCCACCTCCTCCCCCACTCTCTCCCTCCCCTGCCGCTGCCTCGGCCCCTGCTGCTGTCCCTATCCCCCATCGTTCCCCGCTTCCCCCCGCTGCTGCTGCTGCTGCTGCCTCCTGAACAGCTACCGGTGATGTCACGAGGGGCAGCCACGCGGGCTGCGCAGTAGCAGCAGCAGCAGGCATGGGGCCGGGTCTTGCCACGGCGGCCAGGGACTGCTGCTGCTGCTGCGGGTGCTGTTGCATATGCTGCTGCTGATGCTGTCGTGAGTGATGATGCTCTAACGGCAGCTGCTGCGGGTGCTGTTGCTGCTGCGGGTATCGCGGTCCTGCCAGCTCCCATGCACCCCCTCCCACTGCCGCATGAGCTGCCAGGCCCCCCTCCACCCCACCACCACCACCACCACCACCACCACCAGCAGGGCCCCCTGTTGGCTGCAGTTGCCTAGCAGGAGGGGGCTGCTGCTGCTGCTGCGGGGGCGGGGGCCGGTACCCCGCGAAGGGGACCTCCTCAGGCTGCTGCTGCTGCTGCTGCGGAGTAGGAGGAGGTGGAGGAGGAGGTTGGGGTGCCTGCGGGGTCTGGCCTCCGTACCCCTGCCGCCGCCACTCCACCGGTGCTGCCACTGCGGGTGCCGCTGTCGTAGCAGCAGCAGGGGGAGGAGGAGGAGGCAGTGCGGCAACCCGTGCGGGCCCTGCCGCCCGGATGTGACCGCTGAACGGCCCCCCAGCTACTGTCGTGCCGGCACCAGCAGCAGCAGAAGCAGCACCGGTACCACCAGCTGCCGCCGCTGGCCCCTCCCCTGCCGCGTGGGACACCGGCAGCTGGGGCTGCTGTAGCGTGTCGTAGGGGTGGTGGGGGTGGTAGACATGATGGGAGGGGTGGTGCGCTGCGCTGTCCGACGGTGCGAACACCTTCTCATCTTCCTCCTCCTGCTGCTCCTCATCTCCCTCCTGCATGGCAGCTGCTGCTGCAGGCCCCAGCAACCGTGCCTTTGCCAGCCGCCGCTCCTCCTTCCTCCTCCGCCTCCGCTCCACCTCCGCCCCCTCCCCCGCTCCTCCCCCTCCTCCCTCCCCCCCTCCTCCCCCTTCTGACGACGCCATCGGTACCAGCACAATACCTCCCCTGTCTCCTCCTCCACCTCCACCTCCGCTGCCATCCCTCGCCTCTCCCTCTCCCGCTCCTGCACCCCCACCCCTACCCGCTGCTGCTGCCACCGCCGCCAGCCGCGCCTGCATGCCCTGCTCGTCCCGACGCATGCACAGCACCAGGCTGCTCAGCATCAGCCCGCACGGCAGCCAGCAGCCGGTGGCCAGGTTGAAGGCGCCCCGCCGACCCAGAGCCCGGATGAGGCCAGCCACAAGCACCGGGCCCAGACCCTTGCCCAGGTCGTCGGTGGTGGCCTGCAGGGGTGGGTTGGGGGTTGGGGGGTGTGGAGGTTGGGGGGGGGGTTTGAAAACACACACACGCACGCAAGCAGGCAGGGGCTACCCCCGGGGTGGGGGAAAGAATAACACCCAATGTATGTAAGGTGGTGGTGGGGGGTGTTGTGCATGGGTTTACATGCAGGGGGGCTGGATGGAGATGAGCTGAGCCGCGAGAAGACACCCATCCAGGGTCGTGGTGGTGGTGGGGTGGCGGATGGTGGGAGTGGTTGAAAAACACGGGAAAAAGAGCCACCCAATCAGACCGGGGCTACCCCCGCCGCATGCCGCCCTGCTCCCCACCCCACCCCCCCACCTGCAGCGCCAGCGCCACCCCCCTCGTCTCCGGCTCGTTCACATTGAGCAGCACAGCGCGCAGGTTGGGTCCCGCCACGCTGGCCACGCAGCCGCCCAGCGCCGCCAGCCAGCATGCCGCCGGCAGCCCCAGGCGGGGCAGGTCGGCGTTGATGAGCGCGAAGAGGGGGGCCATGCCGGCTAGCACGGAGAGGCCGGCCAGCAGGGCCTGATACTCCTGCGGGGGAGGGGGGGAGGGAGGGGGAGGGATGAAAATAAGGAAAACTGACGAACTGAAAGACGGGGGAGGGAGAAGGGGAACTGACGAGCTGGAGAGGGAAAGTAAATGGGGAGTGCAGCAGGGGGGGGGGTGGAGAAAGAAGAAGCGTCATGCGTGTATGTGCATGGGCGTGAGGGAAGAGGGAGGGAGGGTGTGCGTGTCTGCGCTGCTGCCGCAGGCGACAGCTTAGGAGAGCCGCAGCTAGGCCCCTCCCTGCCTCCACCCTTTCCCTCTTCGTTCTCTGCCCCCTCCCTCCCCTCCTCCCTCCCTCCCCCCGCTCCCCCCCGCTCCCCCCCCCCGCACCTTGCGGCGGTTGTACAGCCACTGCCCCGCCGCCCCGCCCGCCACCACCCCCACTGCGCCCCCGCCGCCGAAGAACAACAACACCAGCGTGGCGGCCTTGGGGGGGAGAGGAGAGGGGATCAGAGATACTACCGGAACCACAGGTTAGGGCAAAGCAATGGGGATAGAGTGAAGAGGGAGGGAGGGGGAGAGAGGGGAGGCGGAATGTGAGGCGGGAAGGGCTTGGGAGGGGCGTTCTGAGGATCCCTCGTCTTCTACATGTCGTCTCTCCCCCCCATGTGCCCCCGCCTCCCCCTCACTGCATGAGTCGAGGTTTGGGATAGGGACTCCGTTGCTGCACTTATCGTCCCCCCACCCCGCCACCCCAGCCCCCCCCCCCCACCTGCAACCCATGGAGAAGCCCCGTCTTTCAGTTCGTCAGTTTTCCTTATCCCCCCCCCTCCTCCCCAGCCCCCCCCACCTGCACGCTGAGCCCCTTCTGCTGCGCCAGGAAGTCGTTGAAGTAGGTGAGCATCATGCCCCACGGCAGCGACCCCGGCAGACCCTGGGCCACAATCAGGACGTTGGAGGGGCGCCGAAGCAGCCGGGCCAGCTTGGCGCGCGAGGAGGCGGAGGAGGCGGTGTAGCGGGGCGGGGAGGAGGGGGAGGTGGAGGAGGAAGGGGCAGTGTAGGGGCTGGTGTTGGTCGCCCCGCCGCATTCGGAGGAGTAGCTGTGGGTGGGTGGGCGGGCAGTGCAGGAAGGGGCGAGGTTGGGGGAGGCGAAGAGGAGGAGGAGGAGGAGGTAAGGCGAGGTGGTTGAAGGAGGCCCTGACTTGCGGTTTCCCTTAGCACGGGTTGTGCTCTCCCTCCCCTCCCCTCCCCCCTGCCACTCACTGCTCCCCCCTCAACACCTCCTCCGCCGCCCCCCGGGGTGGCTCCCGAGTGGTGGCCAGCATCAGCCCCGCCGCCCCCAGCGAGGGCACCGCCAGCACCACGAAGGGCAGCCGCCAGTTGGTGGCGGGGCCCAGCCAGCCGGACAGGGCCTGGGGGGGAGGGGGAAGGAGGGGGAAGGAGGGGGGAGGGAGGAGGGTCTGGGGTCAGTCAAAGACCATACACGTAACCACAGGGAACCACAGGTTGGGGCAAAACAATGGAGGAGAAGGGAGGCAACGTTCGGCGTTCGGGCGGATGGCGGCATGTGCCGCTACATGCATCTAGCAGCAGCGGGTGTGCATGTTCAGCAGCAGTAACCCGCGTTTTACCCCCATGCCCCCATGCCGCGTTTCGGTGGGGACTTTACATCTCCCGACAACTATACCACAGTACGCTCCTACTCGCGGTCGCGGATTTCTTACCCCACACGCACGCACAATCCGGTTTTGTTACCCCCCCACCCACCCCCCACCCTCCCTACCTGCCCCGCCGCCAGCCCCGCCCCCGTGGCCACCTGCACCCCCGCGCTGACCGCCGCCCTGCTGGCGGGCGGGAAGAGGTCCCCCAGCAGGCTGAACACCAGCGGGAAGCAGCCGCCCACCGCGATGCCGGTGAGGGAGCGCAGCAGGAAGAACTGCCAGAAGTGGCGGACCTGACCGGGGGGGAGGGGACCGGGGAGGGGTCCAAAGACCATACCAAGCCATAGGAAACCATGGAGGGGGGCGGGAGGCGAGGGGAGGCAAAGTGAGAAGTGAAGCACACTCCCGAGGGGAGCGGAGGGGAGGGAGGTGCGGGTGGGGTGAGGCATCCCTGCAGGCGAGGCAGCGCATGGGGGCATGGCAGGCCCCTCCTCCTCCTCCTTCCGGAAGGCACCCCACCCCTGCATGCATGCATGCATGCAGCCATGCGTGGTGCCCCATGCCGTCCCACCCCCACCCCCTCTTACCCACCCCCACCCCCCCACCCCCACCCACCCAGTAGGTGAGCAGGCAGGGCGTCTCCCCCACCACCACCACCCAGAACAGCAGCGTGCGGCGGCTCAGGTCGCCCCGGTCAGCCAGCCAGCCGGCCTGCAGGGGGCAGGGCAGGGCAGGGGCAGGGGGGCAGGGTGAGCAGGGGCAGGGGCAAGGTGAGCAGGGATTCCCGTAGGGGATCAATCAGCCAGCCAGCCAGCCATCCAGCCTCAGTAAGCCGCGCGCCATCTACATAGAGCCGCCGACCCCCCCTCCAATCCCCCAGGCCCGCCCCCCCAGCTGTGTCACCCCCCCCCCCCACCATGAGCGCCGCGGGCGCCCCCACCAGGAAGAACGCCGCCATCAGCGCCCCACCCAGCAGCGTGTCCTTCTGGGACTCGTTCATGTGGAAGTAGGCGGCGGCGGCGGTGAGCTGGGTGGGCGGGGGAAGCGGGGGGCCGGGGGGGGCGGGGCGAGGGAGGGTGGGAAGGAGCGCGGGCGGGTTAGAGGAGGCTATTCGCAGCGACGTGCCCTATACCCAGCCACATTCCATCCAAACGCCCGACCAGCGGCCCTCCCTTTCCCATCCTCCTCCTCTACCATGCGGCCATACGGTTGGTCCCTCTTCCTCCCTCCCCCTCCCCTCCCCCCTCATCCGCATCCCCACTGCTGCTCCTCCTGCTTCCCAGGCTGCTCCTCCCTATTACTCCTCTTGCTCCCCCCTGTGGTATATACATGCCCCGCCCCACATTTGGCGCCAGCAGGTTCTGGTCGGCGAACAGCAGCGCCGCCACCAGGCAGAACATCACCACACTCCACACGCGCTGGCGGGGGGGCAGCGGGTGGCGGAAGGGGGGGGCGGGGGGCGGGGCGGGCAGCAGCGCTGGGGGGGGGAGGGAGAGGGGAAAGGGGAGGGGCGGGAAGGGAGGGGTGGGGGCGAGAGGAGGAGACAAACTATGTCCTGTGGAGTTAGGTCTGGAGGAAGAGAGGGTTTAGTAGGCAGTAGTGGTAGCTGTTGATTCAAACCGACCTTCTTGGATCTCCATAGGCACCACAGAGCCCCCGCCGGACACAGCGGTCACCCCGACTGATGGAGGAATTGTGGAGGATGAGCCTGGCGTCGGGGCTGCCGCCGTCCCAGGTGTTGCCGATGCCGATGCGGCTGCAGGAGGGGGGCTTTCCTTTCCGTCCTGAAGCGGGATCCATGGACAATTAAGCGCATCGGCTGGGGTTGAGTCGACGCCATCCGCAGCCAGCGATGACGTCCCAGGAAGCGGGAGATCATACTGGGGAAAGCTGTGGATGGAAGAGGAAGATGCTGCTGCTGTGCCATCTCCTTTGGGAACTAGTTGCTCGCGAGCCTCGCGGTTGGCGCTTCTCCCTCCAGCCATGGTGGGGCAACTGTTGCGCTCCTCAGGAAAGCTATAGCCAATTTACAACGACGTTTAGCATCACCTTATTATCAACCCCATGAATATAATAACTGGAATGGTGGATAAGAGAATAAATTGTGTAATGGAGAGGGGTCAACTGTATGTGTAAAGATAACCAAGCGCGACTTATAGGTGCTAGTTATACTATTAAAAGCAAAGTGAGATGAATTGTTTTCCGGTTTGTGATAGGCGCAACATACGTACTGCTTGCATGGCTTGCATCGGGCGGCAAAGTGCAGGATAGGCTCGGATATAGCCGAATACCCCAACACGCTACATATTATTGCGCAAGATGTAAAATATAAAACTTCTTCTTCTCCCCGGAAAGCCGCGCTCTGTGGGCCACTCACGGGGAACTCAATTTGGGCGACTTCAGGGCACGGAGGACTAATACTTGCAAAGCCGCACATATGACGGACAATACCTACCTCCTTTGATATTATACTGATCCGTGAAGTTGACGCAAAAGTTAAAAGTGCGCCGCATACCGTTCGCAAGCTCGTGTGGGCTGGACGCTTAGGCACATGGCGACGTTCATGATGCCTAGCGATGATGATGGAGCCGAGGGCACATCAGACGACTGGGTTGATGCCTTCGGCACACCACCAACCCGAAGTGCAACAAAGCTCCAGCTCAGAATGCGTGCTGCCGGTAAGCAAACGTGTCGCTTGGGATCAGGTGTCTTTCAATCCGCTAAGACAGCAAAGGTAGCCTGGCTATGACCATCGCGCGGGCAATTGGCGTCATTGCCATCGTGCAACCCGCCCTGCTTTAAATGAGAGCCCACACGCTATGATCATACACCCGGAGGCTTGGTCGCAATTCGAATCCTGACATGTCGTGTCACGCAACCGTGAGGACAGTTGCAAAGCTTGTCGACACTCCTCACCTCTCTCCCTGCTCCCCGCCTGCGTACCCCCGCCTGTCACAGCCAAGACGGATGCTCGGCGCAGCGGCAGCGGCAAGCCCTCCCGCAGCACCTCAGCCAAGGTGTGTACCTGTTGACGGCGCTTCTTGGGAAGGGGGTTGGCAGCATTGTCTTGGCTGGGTGGTAAGAGAGGTGGCGTATGGTGCCGTGTATAGGACCCCGCCACGCTCCGGCTCTCTACTTACTTGCACCGCTCCTCCCTTACCCAGCCTTTACCTCGCCCCTCCTCCCTACCGCTCCTCTTCTCTCACGCCTTCCCTCCCCTCCCACTCCTCCCCTCCCTGCCCCAGTCCCTGGACCCGCTGCAGGCGCTCGGTCGCCAGGGCCGCACCCTCACAGCATCCCGGCGGGAGTCCAAGGGGCGTAGGCAGAAGGCACGGCAGCAGGCGCGTTTCTTCAAGGTACGGCTAAGCATGTGGGGTTAGCATGAGGTTAGCATGGGAAGGGAGGTTGGGGACTCGTGTTCCTTATCGGGTTCGCGCTGCATGTCCATCCCCACCGCCTTCTCCTCCGCTCCAAGCCCGACCCAAATCGTCGCGGGGTTCCAACCGACCATTCCGTTCCAACCCACAACCCACAACCCACAACCCTCAACAACAGGAAATCGACACAACCCTGGAAGCCCTGGGCATCGGCACCGCCTCCGCCGCCACCGCCCCCGGCACCGCCAGCACCTCCGCCACCGGCAGCTGCGCGCTGCCCCCCAGCCCCGCTGGGAGCTCCGCCAGCCTCGCCCTCAGCTGTCTCACCGCCTCAGCCTCCGTGGGGGAGCAGCAGCTGGGGCTGGGGCTGGGCGGCCTGCCGCATGCGCTGTCGGGGGGTGCGGGTTCAGGCGCGGGCGGGGGCGGGGGCTCCACCTCCGCTACCGCCAACACCACCCCTAGCGGCACGGCGGCGCCGAGCAGGGCGGGTACACCGCCGCTGGGAGCGGTGACGGGCTGGGCGGCGGCTGCAGCGGCGGGAGGTGGTGGAGGAGGAGGAGGGTTTGGGCGGCGGGTGACGAGTGAGGTGTCGTTGAGAGCGTAAGTGGGGATGCGGGTTGGAGTTGGGAAGGGGTAGGGGTACTGGGTTGGCCGGGGCGGTGGGAGTGGCAGGTGACGCTGCATGCTATTCGGCTGTGTAGCCAAAGCCGTAGAAGAGAGGTGAGAAACCGTCATCATATTGCGTGGTTGTGCAGTAGCCTGCAGTAGCCGCCAACCCGCCCCATTCCTTACCTCTCCGCCCCCTCTCCGCCCCCCCCCTCATGCATGCAGGGTGGGCAGCCGCGGCTCCCTCACCGGCTACCCAGCTGAGCCCGCCTCAGCAGCCCTCCTCGCACACCACCACCACCACCACCCGCACCACCACCCGCACCACCACCCGCACCACCATCACCACCACCACCCGCACCACCACCACCCGCACCACCACTCGCACCGTCCTCAATACCCACTTAGGGTGCCCTCCACACCGGGAATGCTTATCAGTGGCGGAGGCGGAGCCGCTGCGGGGGCCTGGTACGACCGCCGCCGTACGATCAGCACATCCTCTGCGGCAGCGCCGTCGACGTCGCATCATCATCGACGCGTGGCGAGCTTTGAGGAGGACGCCCCCGCAACGATGCCGTACCATCCCACCCCTACTCGCGCGGTTGGTGGTGCAGGCATGGTGTGGCCGACAGGCGGGGCAGCTGCGTTGGAGCCGCCGCGGCAGCAGCTGCCGGGGGTGCTGGCAGACAGGTGGGGGGGTGGGTGCATAACTTGGGCGAGTGCTGGGCGGATACCGGTAGGTTAGGTGGGTGGGTGGGTGCTGCCTGTCATGGATGGACACCGGTAGCTGCGCTGTGTTGTTGGGCGGCTCCGGCTCCAGGAGGGGGGCATAGGGGCATGAAGACACACAGTGTAGGTGCACCCCTAGAAGACACGGAAACGCCCCTCCTCCACAGCTGCATGCTCTCCCAGCACCTGCCTTCACCCGGCTCCTCCCTCTCCCTCCTCCCTCCTCTCCCTCTCCCTCCTCCGTCCCCACCGCCCCAGGGAGCTCTTCCGGCGGCAGCTGGGTCACGTGCTGGTGGGCGCGGGGCTGAGCGGCGAGGAGCTGGAGGCGGGGGTTACGGAGGCGGAGGAGCGCGCGGAGGGGCTGACCGCGGAGGCGGAGGACCTGGCGGAGCGGGCGGCGGAGGCGGCGGCAGGCGGCGGGGGCTCGAGCCCTGGCAGCGGAAGAGCGGTCGGCGGCTCGGAGGAGGAGGAGGAGGAGGAGGAGGGGGGCGGAGGTGGTGGTGGTGGGAGCTCGACCTCTGGCGAGTCTTCCTCCTCCTCGCTGTCCCCTTCCCCAGGCGGCGGGACCGGAGGACGACGTGGGACTGCAGGTGCCGGCAGTCAAAGCAGGCGCGGTGGGGGTGGAGGTGGCAGCAGCGCTCGGCGCCCCCCTGGTGGTGACGCTGCTGCTGCTGTCGAGCCGTGTCCCGGCTGGCCGCTGGTGGCGGGTCTGGGGGCCTCCCTGGATGACCTCTACCGGCGGAGCAAGGAGGTCCTGCGGAAGGTCAAACCCTACAAGTAAGGGCGTGTGCTTTTTTCTGCCGCCTTCGTCGTTGGTATATAATGACATACTCACGCACGAACACTTGTTGTTCCGTGTTTTCCAACACCCCCATCTCCCTCCATGTTGCCGTTATTCAAATACACCCTCTTCCCACCCTTTCCCCCTCCCCGCCCCTCCCCCCCAGGCCGCTCGCTTGCGAGGACCCCTCCCTGCAGCTGCTGCCCCGCCTGCGCTCCCTGACCCTCCGCCTGCTGGCCGCCCTCGCAGAGGCTGCGGAGGCGGTGGGCGCAGCGGCGGGGGCGGCGCTACGGGGCCTGGGTCGCCTAGACGGCAGGGGGTTGGGCAGCAGCGGCAGCGGCGGCATGGGGAGCAGCGGCATGGGTTCCGGAGCAGCCCGGGGCGAGGGGGAGGTACGGGAGGGCGAACGGGTTGTACGGCGGCTGCTTGATGCGGTGGACCACCTGGCTAGGAAGATTGGGGACGAGCTGGGGGCAGGTGGAGGAGGAGGTGGAGGAGGGAGGGATGAGGTGGCGGTGGCGGCGGGGGAGCTGTTGGAGCGGTGTCAGTCGGTGTCTCTGCAGCTGGCGTTGAGCGGGCTGCGGGCGGCTGCGGTGGCGGCGCCGGTGCTGCTTCGGCGAGAGGCGCTGGACCCGCACTCGTTCGCGCATGAGAAGAGCAGCCAGGTGGGGGGGTGCGGTTAGGAGAGGGGAAGGAGGAGGGAGGGAGAGGGAACCGGCCATGCAGTGCTCGTTGTTTTCCTTTGGGGCTTGTGACTGGAGGATTTGAGGGAAGGGCCTGGAGCAGGGTCTGGGTCGGGGTGCTTGTACCTTGCTTCCGCGGTGTGCTTGTACGTGCCCATGGGTGCTGTGCACTGCCCTACTATGGTACTGATCTGCCTTGCCTCCACTCCTCCCCTTCCCCGTGCCCCCGTGTATGTTTACCCCCCGTGTCCTGCCAGGCTAAGCGGCTGGCAGCACTCTGGGACGAGGCGGCTAAGCTGGTGGGGGTGGGGGTGGGGGTGGGCGAGGCAGTGGGGTGTGCCAGTGTGATGGGATAACATGGGATAGGCCGCTGCTTGCCCCCCACCTAGCCTCTAATCTACTCACCCACACCACACCACACCTTACCTCCTCCTGGCCCCTCATTAACCCTCTCCTTATAACCACCAACCGCCCAACGCAGACTGACCGCATCGGTCGCCGCTACCCGCGCCACCGCCTCGCACTGTACGGCGAGCTGTGTGAGGTGTACGGCGGGGCGAGCCGGCTGGCACTGGAGATGATGGCGGGGGCGGCGGGGACGGAGGCGCTGCGGGGAGCTGGAGGAGGAGGAGGCGAGGAGGAGGAGGAGGATAGCGAAGGTGGGTGGGTGGGTCCTGCCGCTCTTGCGCCATCCTGACGCTTGAGGTTTGGGGAGGGGCCTCATGTGTGTCATGTACGGAAACTTCCATGCTGGCCCCGCCGCCCGGCGTATGGTTCTCGCAACGTCCCTTGTCCCTTCCATGCTTCCTTGTCCTGCTCCACCCCTCCTGATGGTCTGTCGCTGTGTAAACACCCCACTATGTGTGAACACCCCACCATGTACGAATACGCCCCCCCCCGCGATGGTGAGCGCAGACGAGGCGTACGAGGGGACAGCCGCCGGCTCCACTGACGACGGCGGCAGCAGCGGCTTCCCCGGCGGCGCCTTCAGCGGCCCCTCCACTCGCGACAGCGACGTACGAATGGCATTCGGACTCGGAGGCAGCAGCGGCGGCGGCGGCGGCAACAGCATCGCCAGCGTCTGGGGCAGCGGCGCCGCCGCGACGGCGGCCTGGGGTGGCGGAGGCGGAGGCGTCAGGGCGGGGCTGAGGGGAGGTGGTCAGTACGGCAACCGCGGCGGCGGCGGATGTGGGGTGACGGAGCAGGACATCCAGGCTCAGGCCTGGGTGCCGGCGCTGCTGCAGGTGCTGCTGAACCGCGCCTCGGACGCGCACCGGCACCTACGCAACGAGCTGGCGTCAGCGGAGGCGGCACGGGGAGGTGCAGCGCTGTCGGGCCCGGAGGACGAGTACGGCAGTTCGGTGCAACAGCCGCTGATGCTGGCGGCTGGGTTGGCCCCTGCTGGCAGCCTCGGCGGCAGCCGAAACCGGGGTGCTACTGGCGGGGTGTTGTGGGTGGCCATGAGCGAGGGTGCGGTGGAGGCGCTGTGGGGGCTGCTGGATGAGATGCAGCAGAGCTTTGCGGAGCTGGCGGTGGATAACCTGAGGCGCACCGCGGCGCTGTGTGCAGGTGAGGGGGGGGGGAAGAGGAGGAGGGAGGGACCCGTGGACCGGCCATTCCTCCTCCCACGTTTACCCAGCACGTGTTGCTGGATATCCCCTGGTAAACCCCGGCATCTCTTAAACTCCGCCTTCTCCCACCAACGCCGTGGAAACTCCCTAACTGGTGTGCCTCCCCTTTCCATTTACGTTTTCCCCCTTCACCCTCCCTCCCAGCCGGCACCCATGAGACACTGGCGGTGTGGGCCCTGGAGTCCGCGCGCGACAGTGCCGAGTCCGCCCTTCGCTTCATACACACCCACGAGCACTCCTCCCTCGCACTGGGGGACCTCCTGGAGATGGAGGCCGAGCTGGGGGAGGACACGCGCGCATGGCTGCAGCTGACGTGGCAAAGCATCACGAGCCTTACCACGCGGGTGGTTAACGGGTTGTTGGCGATACGGCGGAGGATTAATGTACGACGGAATGCGCCGCCGCCGCCGCCGGCGGTGAGATCTGGTGTCGGCGCGGGGCAAGGGACGTGGGCGGCGGGGGCGCCGGCGGCGGCGGCGGTGGGTGCGGCGGCGGGGTACGGACGCGGGAGGCCGCCAGCGGGGCCGGCAGGGATGTCATACGGCTCTGGGCCGTCGGCACCGGGACGACATCCAGCTTATCGTCATCAGCAGCAGATTGGAGGGCCGGCGGCGGGCAGTCGAAGAGCCGGCATTGCAGTTGGGGCTGCAGCGGCAGCGGTGGCGGGGGGAGCTCGTACGGCGGCGGCGGCGGCGGCGGGAAGAGGAGGCCTGTCGCGGGCTCTGGGAGCCGGGAGGCGGCAACCGCAACAGCAGCAGAAACAGCAGCAGCAGCAGTCGCAGCACCGAGGCCCGTTGATACCGAACGGCGCCGCCGTCGCCGCTGCCGTTGGGATTCCTTTGGCGTCTGCGGCAGCGGCGGCGACGACGGCGGCAACACACCCACCGGAGTCGGTACAAGCATGTACGGAAATCGGCGCCGCCGGTGCCTCCGGTTGGAAGGCCGCCCTCCTCACCGCGCCGCCGGCACCGCTGCCGCCGCTGGCGCCGTCACATCCCTCTGCGGCGGCGGGCCCGGGACGGCCGCCGCCGTCAGCGGGAGCGGCCGCCGCTGCCGCTGATCCCTCGGCGGTTGGGACCGCCGGCGGGTTGTACGGCAGCAGCCCCCCCACCGCAGGTCAGCCACCTGGTCAGCGCCGGCCGCCGCCTGCAGCCCCCCAGCATGTAGGTTCGCAGCGGCTGACGCCCCGCGGGTTTGGCGGGAGAGGCCGGGGGCGCGGCCGCTTGTTCGGTCGCGGCGGCCGACCCGCCGCCGTCGCCGCTGTTCGCGGTACGGACAGCGACGGAGGTGGACTTTGCAACGCCGACGTTGATGGGAATGACACCGCTGCTGCCGCGCGGGATCAATGGCCGCTGCCGTCGCTGCCGCCGCCGTCGCAGCAGCAGCGGAGGCGGCATGGAGCAGGGAGCTCAGACGGCGGCGACGGCGCCGATTGCCCTGTTCCGGCGGCCCCAGCGGCAGCGGCAGCACCAGCGCCACCGGTGGCGGTCCCGCCGGCGGCGGCGGCTCCGCCAGCCGCTAGCACTTTGTCGTACGCTTCCGTTGCTCGCGGCGGCAGCAGCGGCCTGCCTGCGTCGGTTGCCGCCGCCGCCATCAGTGCATTAGCTCGGCAAACGGCGGTGGCGGCGCAGCCTGCTCTTCCAGCCGCCGAAGCTGCGATACTTGTCGGAACCATGCCGCTGCCGCCGCCGGCGACGTCGACGGCGGCGGCAGCGGCGACAGCGGTTACCACTCCCGTGGGAGGACCCGTCGGCGGCGGCATCAGCGTTACGACGTATCGCTCGCCCTTCGCCACCGCAGTCGCCGCTAACCGCGCCGCCGCCGCGGCGCCGGCGGCTCCCAGCCTCGTCACCGTCCCCCCTCCGTCGCCCTTCGCCGCTGCAGCTCAGCGCGGCCCCGCTGCCGCCTCGCCGCCTCAATCGCCGTCAGCCCAGCAGCAAACGCCGCAGCATCCCTCGGTGTCCCCGACCTCGCCTCGGGTCCCGCTGGAGCTAACCGCCCGCGGGGCGGCGGCGGCGGCTCCGGATGCCCATGCGGCTGCTCAGCAAGTTTCAGCAGCGGCGGCGGCGGCGGCCACTAGAAGCGTCGCCATGACCGGCGGTGGCGGTAACGTGGGGGGCATCTGCTTCCGCGCCCAACTCACCTGTCCGGACAACGGCGGCAGCGGCGGCAGCGGCGGTAGCGGCGGCGCGCTGACCCCCCGTCTCAGCAGCCCTCATGGTTCCGGCGCCGTCGTACCCTCCGCTGCAACCGCCGCCGGCACTGGGGTTACAGCCAACGGCGGCGGCGGCGGTCCTCACCATCCGTCGGCGGCGGCGGCGGCGGCACCGCTGCATGCACGTCCCGGTACCGGCGAGCAGTCCCCTAGCGCTGGCTTGGTGTCTACCGCTGTGACGGCATGCCGTGCCCCCTCCCTCACACCCCAGCTCTCCCTCGGTACCGGAGGCGCCTTACCTGCAGCAACTGCGCCGGCAGTAGTAGCAGTAGCAGTAGAGCAGGCGGGGGCGGGGGCAGCAGCGGAGGAGGGGGATCTGGGTTGTGGTCTGCTGGGCTCGGAGGGTCTGGGCTGGGGCCCTGGGTCGGAGGGTGGTGGTGGCGGCTGCGGTGGAGGAGCAGGAGGTGGTGGTGCTCACGGCTCCCCTGGCGACGGAGGCGGCAGCAGCGGCCTGGCTGGGGACCCCGAGGTGGCGGAGCTGCTCAGGTCCATTGCGAGCGACCCGTTCTGGTAGGGGGAGGGGAGGGGGAGGAAGGTTGGGGGAGGGTTAAGGACTGTAAGACCAGCGTGGGTGGTTGGGGGTAGGGGGCTGTGTCCTTCCCCCTGTCCTTCCCTCTCTGTCCTCTACGGAGGTTTTCATCTGGCCTGCTTTCTGCCTTCCTTTCTCCTCAACCCCGCTCCCTCCCCCTCCCCCCACCCGTCTCGTGTCTTAGGCTTACCTTAGTACTTCTTTGTTCGCATCTTCACCATCGTCCTCTTTAACTTATACTTAACTTCCCCTTTCGCTTTCCTTGCCTCATTCCGCATATCTGGCTCTCCGCTGGACATCGCTATCAACTCTCCTCGACCTAACTTACTCCATGGTCCTGGCGGCTTGCCATGGACATGTCTCATGGTGCACATATCCTGTGCACGCAGGTACGTGTTTTATCGTGTGTCAGTCTGTGTTGTTTTTTTAATGCGTGCTCGTGTTGTGCTGTTCCTGTTGTTTGCCTTTGCCCAACGGCGCGGTGGGTCTCCAGCTCACCTTCAGCAGCCTCCACACATGCCCAAGACTATGGTAAGGTTGCTCCATAATTGGTAAGTTCGGTAAGTTAAGCTCGCATTGCTTTAACCACCATTTCGGCTCGACTCACGGTTGATTCCACCAGGGATTGTCAGCAACTTGTATCATTATCATACCACACTTTAGAATTTCTTTTTTCACCCCACCCCCCCCAGGGGTATCCGCTGGTCCGATCTGTCCCCCTGGCTGAGCACGCTGGTGGGCACGGGCAGCACGGGCCAGGTGTTCGCGGGCATGTACCTGCACGCGGAGGTGGCCATCAAGGTGATCGGAATCAACCGGGACATGCGGTTCGACCTGGGGGTGAGTGGCGGGTGAGGGGGGTGGGGTGGGCGGGGAGAGTGGGGAGGGGAGGGTCAGAGATGTACCAGAACCACAGGTTAGGGCAAAGCGATGGGGATAGAGTGAAGAGGGAGGGAGGGTGGGGTGGCGGGGGTCAAAGACCATAGGGAGGGGAGTGGGGGATATGCGCATGTGAAGGATGTCTGCGGGCGGGCGAGTGGTGTCTCATGTGGCGCGGGGAGCCCTGGGGTTTGCTGGGCGAGGCAGGGGAGGCGCGGGGGGGGGGGGGCAGGCTCATGGCCCCCTATGCACAACCCTTGACTGCTCCCTCCCTCCCCCCCTCAGGCCCTGCGCGCCTTCAAGGCCGAGGTGGACCTCAACAAGCGGCTGAACAACCACCCCAACATCGTGCGCTTCATCGGAGTGTGCGCGGACTACATCCAGCATGCAGCCCGACAGGCGGGGCTGCTGCAACCCAACACATCCGCCTCCTCCGCCTCCTTGATGACAGCAGCAGCGGAGGGCGATGCTGGTGGTGTGCTTGGGGGCGGGCCCGAAGATGGGAGTGCGTCGGGGCTGTTGCCACCCGGGGGGTCCCGGTTGTCCCATCATCACCCCCACCAGCACCACCAGCAGCAGCACCCCCGGTCTGAGGCGATGTTGGCGATCGTGATGGAGTACTGTCCGCTGGGGACACTGTGGGGCATGATTGGGGAGGTACGTGGGGAGGGAAGGGTGGGGTGCGAGCAGGAGGGGGGCAAATTATGTAAGTGAAACGACGAGGGGGGGGCAAGGGGCAGGGGGGGTTGCGGGAGGGTGAAGAGGAGGTGTGGGGGGCCAGGAGGAGGGGAGAGAGGAAGGACCATGCGGGCGGGGGTGGCTTATGAAAGGCAAGGGAGGGCGGCGGAGGTGTGTTCAGTGCGCCTGCCCCCACCCGGTCGTTTCCCCCTCCCAGGCCCGTTTCCTTAACTCATACCCAACCCCTCCCCCCCCCTCCCAGGCCCGGCGAGCTCAGCAGGTGCTCAGCTCCGCAGCCGCAGCAGGTGGCGGTGGCGGAGGGGGTCGGGGCAGCTTCACCAAGCACGGGTACGACTTTTACAAGCGCTGGGAGCGACGGTTGGAGGTGCTGTGCGGCGCCGCTGCGGGTCTGGAGTACATGCACCGCTGCGCCGTCATACACCACGACTTCACCTCCTACAACCTGCTGCTGGATGAGCGGAACGGCAGGTGGATCACAAAGGTGGGGAGGAGGGGCGGGGAGCGGGGTGGGGAGGAGGGGGGAGGAGGGGGGCGGGTGGGGCGGGAGGGCTGATGGGGGGCTGAAGGAGGAAGGAGGAATGAACCGTGTGGCAAGGGTGAAGGGCAGGTGGAGTAGGTGGGGCAGGAGGCCTGGAGGGTTGGCCAGAGAAGCGCAAGTTACCGGTAAACTGCAAATTCCCCAATACACCCCACATCTCCTTGCCCTTGCCCGTCCCCCCCGAACCTCACCCCCCAGGTCTGCGACTTCAACCTCAGTCGGGTCATGGTGGCCCGCACCCCGCCCTCCGCCTCCTCCTCCTCCTCCTCCTGCCTCACGGTCCCCAACTCGGGCGCCATGACCTCCCCCCGCTGGCAGTCGCCCGAGTACCTGGCGGGGCAGGAGTACGGCTGGAGCACCGACGTGTTCTCATTCGCAGTGGTGGTGTGGGAGGTGAGGGAGGGGAGGGAGGGGAGGGGGGTATTAATAAGGAAACTGGGGGTTAAGAGGAAACAAAGTGTGATAAGGCATCATCATGGTGATGCCAACACGTGAGCCAGCCCGACCCGCCCAGCCCCCGCTGGAAACTGGGGGCGGGACGCGGGGTGCGGGGTGCGGGAGGGATTTCGGTCTTTCCCGACCCCCTCCCGCCCCCGCTTTCTGGTTCCATCTTTAACCCCCCCGCCTCGGCCTTGCAAGCCTCGGCCGCCCCATGCCCCTTCGCTCGTCCCACCATGTCCTCCCTCCCCCACCTCCCTCCCTCCCTCCCTCCCTCCCCCACCTCCCTCACCCCCCAGGTGGTCACCCTGCAGCAGCCCTGGGCCTCCGAGCTAGCCCACCTGCACAAGCACATGGAGCCCTGGGTGATCCGAAACGCGGTGACGGCGGGGCAGCGGCTGGCGTTCCCGGAGGCGGGGGCGGTCCGGCCGGAGCTGCCGGAGCTGGGGCAGGTGGGTGAAGACAAGGAAGCTTGCGAACTGTATCACGGGGTTTCACCCTGGGTTGCTGTTTGAACCCAGCCCATCCCACCCAGGGCAGGTGGGGGGGGATGAGGGGATGGAGGTGGCCTGTTATCCTTGGTCGCAGCAACGCTGGTGTGGCACTTGGAAAGCACTGTCGCTTAATGCTTCACCCCCTCCCTACCTCTCCTGCACCCTCTCCTGCTGCACCCCAACATCCTGCTGGCTCCCTCCCTTCCCCCCTCTCTCCCTCCCTTCCCCCCCCATCCTGCCCCCCCAGCTTGTGGAGCTGTGCCAGGCCTGCTGGGCGCACGACCCGCGACGGCGGCCGCGCATGGGGGAGGTGGCGGAGCGGCTGCATGGGCTGCTGCAGGTGGGGCCTGGGAGGAGGAGAGGGGGCTGGGGGGGGGCAGGGGTTGAAAGACCATGCTCTGTTGCCGACCATGCGCGCGCGCTCCTTCTTGTGTTAAAATAACTGGCCGCGAGGCGAAACGTACTGTGATCGCCTTCTTGTGTATGTGCACCCTCCGCCTACATGCGCGTCCTCCCCCCCACACCAACCCCACCTCTCCTGCTTTGCCGAACCCTCCTCGCCGCGCCTTCAACCTCCCCCCACACCTCCCTCTTCACAGACGGTTCGTCAGCGCGAGGAGGCTCGACGACGTGAGGAGGCCCGACGGCGCCACGAGGCCGCCCTCAACCCGCCCCCCGCACCCGCACCCGCCCCGGTCCCGCAACATGCAGCAGGCCCCGCAGCACCGCAGCACCCCCCGGCGCAACCCTCACTGCCGGGCCCCCACCAGCAACATCATCAACACCTGCAGCAGCAAGTGCAGGCGCAAGCGCACCCCCAAGCGACGCCTGGGGAGGGCCTCATAACCCAACAACAACATCAGCAGGGGCAGCAGCAGCAGCAGGGGCAGCAGCACGCAGTCACTGCAGGCCCCCCACCTCCCCTTCCTCCTCCCTCCCCGCCCCCACTGGCCCCCCCGCTGGTGGGAGCAGCGACCACCCGCATGTCGCCCTTTGCCCGCACCTCCACCACCACCACCTCCACCACCCTGGTGTCTCCCTTCGCATCGCCCTTTGCCGCCGCGGCTCCCTCTGCTGCTGGTGCTGGCGCCGGCAACCGGGAAGATGCCTAGTTCCGGAAAGGGTGGGAGCTGCTGGCAACTTGCCGGCATTGCTGCAGGGCTGTAGAGTAACTACTAACTAGTAGTAGTAATAAAATTAGTACTAGTCGTAGGATTGTAGGAGGAGGAGGAAAGGAGGGCGGCAGCCAGCTTATGGCCATGTAAAAGCCTAGAGCGGTAGGCAGGGGCGGACTGGGGGGATGCATGGGTGTGCATGGGGGGGGGACCCAGCCGTCAGCCCCCGCCCCTGTGCACTGCCGCATACGTCCCTTACGCGGCCCCGTGTCCGTGTGAGCGCGCGTGGACACGTTATGTTTTCTCCCCGTTCGGCCGCCGCCATGACAGCGCATTTCCATCTGTCGGAATGCCGCTAGCGTGAATGACAAGGGAGGGCCAAGGTGCTCTCTCTTTTGTATATGGGTAGCGAAAGTGGTGAAGGGTGAGGGGGCGGAGGTGACGTGTGTAGGTGGGGCTGGTGGCGGTGGGGTTGGAGCCGTGAGGCTAGTGAATGGGTAGCTCGCAAGGTGCGGTTTTGTTAGGGGAGGGGACAAGAGGGGGGAGGGTGCGCGAGGAGGCAAGAGGTGGTTATCATGCTTTACGAATGTGGTGAAGCAGCCGGGGAACGGAGGAGGAGGAGCAGGTTCACTGCGGGTACTGGTGCGGCAGGAGGGTAGGCTTGAGGTGTGGAGAGAAAGGTGATGGTATGGGGTTACGGTGAGGTGGGATAGAAGGCGGAGAAGGAGGTCAATTATTGTAGACTGTACGTTTTGCTCGTTGGGGGGGTTGGTTGTTGTGGTTCTCGTAACATGTGGTAATATACACCACACCGGGCTGAGTCATGGTTGTTGTTGTTACGGTATTGTAAGAGGGAGAAATGTTAAAGTGAAGCCCCTTTTCGGTGTTTCTTGCTTTGGTGGAGAACATGGGAACCTGTTGCGCCGCTGCTGCTGTCGGACCCTACCTACCTACAAGCGGTATTGGAACCTGCACTGCTGCTCCTTTTAGAAACTAAAACAGACACTCTGTGTAGGTTTCAGTGTAGGGCAACATGTCAGAACGAGAAGGTTGAGATGATGAAGATGGCATGTCTGCCGCCCTGCTGGGTTGTTAACTTGTTATGTCACGGTGTGTTTATGCTCCTTGCTTGAGTGTGGTCCATGTAAGGAGCTCTGTAATGTGTCGGTGCGTGGCGGTGTCAGAGGTGACACCGTGTGTTAAAATAACTGGCCGCGAAGAGAAACGCGTACTGTGTGTTAAGAAAACTGGCCGCGAGTAGGAACGTACTGATATTGTCGGAAGATGAAGGCCCCACAGAACCGTCGCAGGAGCCGAGGAATATGGTACTGTGTGTGTGTTATCATTAACTGGCCGCGAGGCGAAACGTACTGTGATTGCCGAAAGATGGAGTCCTCCCACTGTGTGTGTGTGTGTGTTTTATTACACCTGTCAGACAAACCAAGACATGAGAACTGCCATAAACGGTTTCATTAACGGAACGGTTTCATAAACGCAATGGGGTTTCATGAACGGAATGGCAACAAAGGAGTAATTCGGGATCCCGGGATAAGCGGCTCACATCTGTAGACATGCAGCGGGCGGACAATCACAACGTTTGTTACATGTGTTGCCCTCAGCCTCTTGTCTCATCCCACAATTCCCCAACCCGCACTTCCTCAACCCGCAAGTCAACAACCGGGGCCGGGGTCCCTCACATCGCTTGAGGAAACGCACCAACACAATGACTCTCCCTTTTCCTTACTCCAACCCCTCCATCTAATATGTTTATTATTAGGATTCCTGCCTGCCTACCTGCATATGCACAGAACATGTCATCCTGCTGCATGTCCCGACCCATGGGTCATCCTTCTTCCATCCCACCACATACCGGTACCTTGTTGTATAGGCCTGTAGCTGCTCCTGCTCCTCCTCTTCCTCCTCCCAGCTATCCCTCAACCCCCCTCATTTGCAGGCATCAAAACACCCCAGGCACCTCTCTCTTCATTTCCCTCCTTCCTGCCCTTTCTCTTATCACAGAACATAACACACACTTGAACTCGCGGGCAGTTTTCTGTGTGACACATGAACCGAATGCGCCGCCCGCAGCTACCGGTACATCAATCCATTACGCCGCCCACTGCCCTCAACCCGCGTTGGCTGCTGTGGGTGGGTGGGGGGGAACCTGCAAGCAGCAACCAATGCGCCCTACACGGCTACCCACCCCTCCTCCTCTTCATCCTCCTCCTCCTCCTCCTCTTCCTCACAAGTACAGGTGCTTCTGAGGGGCCGGTCGCCGCTGCACACTGTTGTACACCCGCGGGGCACCACCCCCACCCCCAACCCCACCCGCACCCGCAGCCCCGCCGCTGTGTTGCTGCCGCTGAGATGTGGAAAAGCCGCCTCCACCACCGCCGCTGCTGCTTGCATGCGCCGTCGACACCGCCAGTGCTGTCCCTGCTGCTGCCAGCTGCGGCTGCGGCGGACCAGCATGCGCCATTCCCTGCTGCTGCTGCCCTTGTCCTCCTCCCCCTCCTCCTGTTCCCCCACCTCCTCCCGCCCCCCCTCCCTCCCTCATCACTAGCACCAGCCTGTCCCCCGCCGCCTGCCCCGCCTGCTGCGGCAGAGCTCCCAGGCGGCTGGCGGCGGCTGCCCACAGCGGGGCCAGGTGAACCACCTCCAGAGCCGCCTGCTGCTGCAGGGGGGGAGGCAGCGGGCGGCAGGACCACTGCCTGCAAGGGGGGAAGGGGTGTGGAGGTGAGGGGCATGGGTGAAGGAAAGGGGCGGGAGCGCAAGTATACTCTGCGCCATCTCTTCCCCGCTGCTACGGTACTACTCTACCGGCACCCAGGAACCCTGACTGTACCACAATGGTACGTCAACGGCATTTCGTACGGTACGGCACTGCGGAACCGTACGAGGTAACACACCGCCGTACTTACTGCGAATGCGCCGGAGCAGCTTCCAGCGCCGCCACCCCAGCTGATGTCATCAATCCATGCTGCGTCAGCAGTGACGTCAGCGGCGGAGGCGGCGCCACCGCAGCCGCCGACACCTGCTGCGTTTGCAACGCCGCCGCCGCCGCTGCTCCTCCCCCTGCCGCCGCCGCCGCCGTCACCGCCGCCACCGCCGTCATCACTGCCAGCATGTTGTGCAGTACGGCTATGTCGTACAGCGGCGCGATCCGGGCGACGCCGCAGCTCCGTACGAGGTGCGGTACGACATCGGCACTGCAGTACACCAGCTTGGATACGGCGGGGTCCTGAGGCAGTGGGTATTTGAGTGCGGGTAGTGAGTGGGAGGGAAGGAAGTGGTTGGGATGAGCGAACGGGAAAAAGAAAGGATAGGGAGGGTGGGTGGGTTTAGGCGTACAGCAGCCAGCCTTTGCTTGTACTTCCGTACCTGTATCGTATCCGTCATGTGATGCCTGGGCTGTGCCAGAGTCGGTGTCAGACGGGGGAACTTCATGCACATCAGGGGGTTAGCGACCTCAGTTCGGACCCCCCCGACCCTTCCGTCCCTCCCTCCTCCCCTCCCTCCTCCCTCCTCCCTCCTCCCTCCTCCCTCCTCCCTCCTCCCTCCTCCCTCCTCCCTCCTCCCTCCTCCCTCCTCCCTCCTCCCTCCTCCCTCCTCCCTCCTCCCTCCTCCCTCCTCCCTCCTCCCTCCTCCCTCCTCCCTCCTCCCTCCTCCCTCCTCCCTCCTCCCTCCTCCCTCCTCCCTCCTCCCTCCTCCCTCCTCCCTCCTCCCTCCTCCCTCCTCCCTCCTCCCTCCTCCCTCCTCCCTCCTCCCTCCTCCCTCCTCCCTCCTCCCTCCTCCCTCCTCCCTCCTCCCTCCTCCCTCCTCCCTCCTCCCTCCTCCCTCCTCCCTCCTCCCTCCTCCCTCCTCCCTCCTCCCTCCTCCCTCCTCCCTCCTCCCTCCTCCCTCCTCCCTCCTCCCTCCTCCCTCCTCCCTCCTCCCTCCTCCCTCCTCCCTCCTCCCTCCTCCCTCCTCCCTCCTCCCTCCTCCCTCCTCCCTCCTCCCTCCTCCCTCCTCCCTCCTCCCTCCTCCCTCCTCCCTCCTCCCTCCTCCCTCCTCCCTCCTCCCTCCTCCCTCCTCCCTCCTCCCTCCTCCCTCCTCCCTCCTCCCTCCTCCCTCCTCCCTCCTCCCTCCTCCCTCCTCCCTCCTCCCTCCTCCCTCCTCCCTCCTCCCTCCTCCCTCCTCCCTCCTCCCTCCTCCCTCCTCCCTCCTCCCTCCTCCCTCCTCCCTCCTCCCTCCTCCCTCCTCCCTCCTCCCTCCTCCCTCCTCCCTCCTCCCTCCTCCCTCCTCCCTCCTCCCTCCTCCCTCCTCCCTCCTCGCACCCACCCCCCCTCCCCCCGCACCTCCAGCAGGGCTCCGAGGCTAGCCAGCAGCAGCGCCCCTCGCCCGCCACCTCCTCCCCCTGCACCCGGGTCGACCAGATACACCGTGGCAGGCCAACGCCCCCCGCCTCCCCCTCCTCCACTTCCTCCGCTGGCGTTAGCACCGCTGCCGCCGCCGCTGACCCCTCTCGTTGTTGCCGCCGCTGCTGCTCCTGTTCCCGCCGCCGCAGCCGTCGTCGTCGTTGACACCGCCGGCGCGTAGAGCTGCACCAGACACGGCGCCTGTGCCTCCTGTTGCTGTTGCTGCTGTGGGTAGTGGTGGTTAAGGTGGTGGTTGTACGGCAGTTTGCATGCGATGGCGACCTGCGCCGCCGCGTAGCAGTGTTGTAGCATGTCTAGGTGATCGGGAGTGCAAGCGGTGACGACGTGTCGTACTTCAAACCGCTCGGGGAGCAGCTGGGGGGTTGAGGAGGAGGAGGAGGCGGGGGTTGAGGGGGAGGGGGCGGGAGAGGAGGGGGAGGCGGGAGGCAGGCTGCTGGTGGGAGGAGGGGGGAGGGAGGGGAGGGAGGAGGGGAAGAGGAGGGGTGACGGGGAGGGAGGGAGGTGGGTGGTGGAGGCGGCGGATGAGGTGTTAGGCTGAGACGGGTGGGAGGGGTGCGGCTCGGCCCGTTGGTGGTGGTAGATGAGGCTGTGGGGCTGCTGCTGCTGCTGCTGCTGTTGCTGCTGCTGTTGTTGCTGGGGTAGGTGTTGTTGTTGTGCGGGTTGGGTCGGGCGTTGCTGGGGGCGGAGGTGCGGCAGGTCTAGAGAGTCCGAGGACTGCCTGCGAGCAGCGGCAGCGGCAGCAGCGGAAGACGCAGCCGCATTGGCCGCTGCAATGGCCGCCGCTGCTGCCGCAGTTGCAGCCGAAGACGTCTGCTGCTGCTGCTGCTGCTGCTTTTGCGGGTGCCCTCCTTGTAGCTGCTGCTGCTGCTGCTGTTTATCATGACCATCCTCGTGCAGAGGCGGGTGGTGGTATTTGCAGCCGGCGCCGAACCCACACGTGCCATGCCGCATGTAGAACGGGCAGTTGCCGGCAGCCGGCCGCTGGGGCAGAGCAGGACGAGGGGGAGCAGGGGGCCCGCCGCCGCTGTTACCGCTGTTGTTGCTGCTGCGGGAAGCTGAAGCTGCAGCAGCAGGGTTGCTACCGCTTTTACCGGGGGTTGTGGTGATGGTGGTGGTGGTGGCGGTGGTAGGTTCCCATGTTGGGTGGCCGCCCTCAGGTGATGCCGGCAGCTGTGCAGCGGCAGCAGCAGCGGAGGAGGTAGCGGTGGCTCTGCGTGTGGTGTGGCTGGTGGAGGAGGAGTGGAGGGAGAGGGAGGAGGGGGGGTCGGTGACGTCCGCAGGGCCCTCAGACAGCAAGGCAGCCGCCGCCGACGCCGCAGCCGCCTGACGAGCCGACCGAGTCGCCGCCGCCGCCGATGACGCTGACGTGGATTCAGGCAGCGTCGCCCGCCAGCTGCCCTCAGTACGACTGCTGCCGCCGCCTCCGCCTCCGCCGCCCATGCCAGCCCCCCTACTGGGCTCTATGATCACCGCTAGTGGCCCAGCTGCGACTGCTGCTGATGATGATGACGATGGTGCTGGTGTTGATGCCGATGCGGGTGCTGCTGGATCCAGTTTCCGCACCCCCGCCTCGTCCAGCAGCCTGCCCACATTGAGCGTCACCAGGGTTATCACGGGTTCCCCCTCCAGCCCCGCACCCGCTGAGCGGGTGGGCAGCGGCTTCTTGAAGACGTGCATGATGTTGTTCGTACGCTCGGAATCCAGCTGCGGGGAGGGGGGGGGGTCACAGCATGAGGGGGGCGGGGCGGGAAAGCGGGCGGGTGGGAATGGGTGGGTGAAACGGAAGCTATAACAGGCTAACACGTGTGCAGCAGCCGACCCACCCGCCCATGTCTAGTACCGCCCTCAATGCCACTGCCCTCCATCCAACCCAGGTTTCCTCACACCTCACCCCACCCAACCCCTCCTTATGTTGCAACCCATGTTGACGCCTTATCCCTCAGTCAGTTAGATGTTTCCTCTTTACCTCCTTGCTGTTACACCCTCGGACCCCCCTCCATCTGCCCTCCATCTCCCCTCCATCCGCCCTACCATGCGCAGCAGCCCCACCAGCCTGCTGGGGTCGAAGCACTCCGCCGGCAGCTCCCCCGCCAGCTGCCGAGCCAGGGCCGCCAGCCGGCAGCAGTGCGCGCGCCCGCCCAGCGAGGCGGTGCGGGCGGACAGCAGTCGGCAGGCGGCGGAGCGGATGCGGTCTACAGGGCGGGGGCCGGAGAAGACGGTGCGGGAGGCGGCCTGCGTGGGGGTGGTGGTTGGAGGGGTTGGGAGGTGGGGGGGGGGGGAAGAGGAGGAATGGTAAGGGGTACAGGAGCAGCAGCGGTGTTGGGTGAGCACAGAGGCAGGGGAGGCATGACGTGTGGCTCCCCTGCCGCCGGCTGGCTTCGAAAACACACTTCCAAGAGCCCCCCCCCCCCTGGCTTCCCCCCCCCCCCCCCGCCCTTGCTAGCCCCCTTCCCTTCCGCCCACCTCCCCCCCCCTCACCTCCAGTCCATCCACCGCTCGCTCCCTCAAAGCTCCCAGATCCAGCCGCACCACCACACCGGCAGTCCTTGATGCTCCGCCGCCGCCGCCTACCCCCTCCGCCGCCGCCGCCCCCCCCTGCCCCTCCACAAGCACTGGGAAGCATCCCTTGCCTCGCGCCCCACTCAACCGCTTCAACAGCCAGCTCCCGACCACCAACACATCCGCCGCCGCCGACCCCACTCTTCCAGCTGACGCCGCCTCCGGCACCGGCGGCAACAGCTGAGGAACCGTTTTCCGCAGTCGCCTCAGCAGCTCAGGCAACGGCATCTGAAAGCGCCGTGCATCGTACGAACCATGGGCCCGTACGGCAGTGGCCCCCGCCGCCGCCGCCACTGTCGTACGCAGCCCCGCCGCCGCCAGCGTCAGCGCCGCCGCCGCCGCCAACCGCTCCGCTGCACCGGGGCCTGAGAACACGAGTCGCACATAGTGCCGCAGCAGGTCGGGGCGCAGGGGCCAGTGCTCGGCGGCGGTGGTGGTGAGGGTGGTGGTGGCGGAGGCGGAGGTGGCGGAGGCGGAGGAGGACCGATGTGTTGTACGAGCGGTCATGGGACTGCCGGCGCCGTACCTCCTGGAGGTGCCGCGGGTAGTTGCAGCAGCAGTACCGTGGACTCCTTCTTCTTCTTCTTGCTGCTGCTCCTCCTCCTCCTCCTCCGCAGCAGCAGCAGCATCATCATCGGCCTCACCGACCTCCTCCAATGCGTCCGCTGCACTGAGGCCGAGACCACCCAGGCCGCCGTCACCCAGGCCGCCGCTGCCTCCGTAATCGACATCATCCACGGTGACGTCATCGCCGTACGGATCAGCAACTGTGCCGTACATGGCATCGAATGCCCCCTCCTCCTGATCCTCCTCCTCCCCATACTCCGTGCCGTACAGTCCTCCTCCTCCTGCTCCACCCGCCAGCCCCTCCTCACCGTCGTCGTCCTCCCTCTCCTCGATGAAACACAAGTCGTCGCCGCCACCGCCGATGACCCCGCCGGCCGGGGAGTCATTATCCCGGGAAGGGGCGGCGCCGCCGCCGCCGCCGTCCCCCCTCTTCACCTCGGCCGCCGTCACCGTGTCAGGAGCTGACTGCATGCGCGGCCTAGGAGGCGTCACGCGTGTCTCTCCCTGCTGCCCCCGCTGTTGCCGCGCCTCCTCCCCTTCCAGCCGCCCCTCCTGCTGCTGCTGTTGCTGGTGCTGCTGCGGCTGCTGCTGCTGCTGTTGGAGGAGGGTGGAGAAAACCAGCCGTACGAAACCCTGTCCCTGCTCCCCCTGCTGCCGCTGTAGCAGCTCCAGGCAGGGCTCATCCGCCAGCAGTTCGTCCAGGGAGGAGTACGGCAGGGGGGACGGAGGGGCAGCAGCAGCGGCTGCCTCCCAGGCGGCTGCAAGGGCGCGTTCCGCGTCCTGCACGGGAGCTAGGAAGAGGTCGGCGGCTCGGGTGTCGATTTGGTGGCGGGAGACGATGAAGCTTGCCTGGTGGGGTGGAGGAGGGGAGGGGAAGGAGGGGGTGTATGGCGTGAGTGGCTGAGGAGCACTTAAGGCAGTGGTTGGAACTTGGAAGGCAAAACCTGGGATGGGTGGAACAGGAAGGGGGGTAGCGAGGGAAGCGTCTGGTGTAACCCAGAGTCGCCGGCGGCGTGGGGACACTGTTCGGCAATCACATTATTATTTCTTATTATGACAATGCCTTTTGTTAATAGTCAGCCACGCACCAGCATGTTTTTGGCCCATGAACTTGGCGAATCGCAGGACCATGTTCGCTCAATTAGCTCCTTTAAGCTAGCTTTGCCGGCACCTAGGAGTGCTGCTGCATCCACAAGCACATTGCCTGTGATTTCACTAAAAGAAAAGCAGCGATCTGCAGATAAGATAGAGACAAGATGTTCGGCCGCAACAAGCTCTCCAGGCACGCCAGAGGCAAGGCTTGACTCCAGTACGGTAGAAAGCTCTTGAAGGGGAAGTCTATAGTGTGGCACAGTTAATAGCTTTGACGCTGCGAGTCGCTTTATCCGAGACTCATCGGACCCTCCTCGCCAGACTAGGTTGGCATATATGTGAAGCGAGGTCGCCATAGTGCATATCGCCTTGTGCCAACAAAAGCCACACCCAAAAGCATTAACCTCGCATAACTCCTCGACTTGTGTCTCGCTAACCGTTCAATCCTAACGACCAGCCGTAAGGTGTACGACAGCAGCTTTCGTACGTCAAGGAATTCACTCTTCGGAAAGCTCACCCAACCAAGTATGCAAGTATCCGGTGCTATTGTGATTGCGGAATAGCAGCACGGACTCCTGCACAGTATGCCAACAACATGTACGGTGGTGGAGAGCCCCATGCAGCAGGCAGGTGGTAGAGAGCCCCGTGCAGCAGGCAGGTGGTAGAGAGCCCCATGCAGCAGGTAGGTGGTAGAGAGCCCCATGCAGCAGGTAGGTGGTAGAGAGCCCCGTGCAGCAGGTAGGTGGTAGAGAGCCCCATGCAGCAGGTAGGTGGTAGAGAGCCCCATGCAGCAGGTAGGTGGTGGAGAGCCCCATGCAGCAGGTAGGTGGCAGAGAGCCCCATGCAGCAGGTAGGTGGTAGAGAGCCCCATGCAGCAGGTAGGTGGTAGAGAGCCCCATGCAGCAGGTAGGTGGTAGAGAGCCCCATGCAGCAGGTAGGTGGTAGAGAGCCCCATGCAGCAGGTAGGTGGTAGAGAGCCCCATGCAGCAGGTAGGTGGTAGAGAGCCCCATGCAGCAGGTAGGTGGTAGAGAGCCCCATGCAGCAGGTAGGTGGTAGAGAGCCCCATGCAGCAGGTAGGTGGTAGAGAGCCCCATGCAGCAGGTAGGTGGCAGAGAGCCCCATGCAGCAGGTAGGTGGTAGAGAGCCCCATGCAGCAGGTAGGTGGTAGAGAGCCCCATGCAGCAGGTAGGTGGTAGAGAGCCCCATGCAGCAGGTAGGTGGTAGAGAGCCCCATGCAGCAGGTAGGTGGTAGAGAGCCCCATGCAGCAGGTAGGTGGTAGAGAGCCCCATGCAGCAGGTAGGTGGTAGAGAGCCCCATGCAGCAGGTAGGTGGTAGAGAGCCCCATGCAGCAGGTAGGTGGTAGAGAGCCCCATGCAGCAGGTAGGTGGTAGAGAGCCCCATGCAGCAGGTAGGTGGTAGAGAGCCCCATGCAGCAGGTAGGTGGCAGAGAGCCCCATGCAGCAGGTAGGTGGCAGAGAGCCCCATGCAGCAGGTAGGTGGTAGAGAGCCCCATGCAGCAGGTAGGTGGTAGAGAGCCCCATGCAGCAGGTAGGTGGTAGAGAGCCCCATGCATGCAGCAGGTAGGTGGTAGAGAGCCCCATGCAGCAGGTAGGTGGTAGAGAGCCCCATGCAGCAGGTAGGTGGTAGAGAGCCCCATGCAGCAGGTAGGTGGTAGAGAGCCCCATGCAGCAGGTAGGTGGTGGAGAGCCCCATGCAGCAGGTAGGTGGTGGAGAGCCCCATGCAGCAGGTAGGTGGTGGAGAGCCCCATGCAGCAGGTAGGTGGTAGAGAGCCCCATGCAGCAGGTAGGTGGTAGAGAGCCCCATGCAGCAGGTAGGTGGTAGAGAGCCCCATGCAGCAGGTAGGTGGTAGAGAGCCCCATGCAGCAGGTAGGTGGTAGAGAGCCCCATGCAGCAGGTAGGTGGTAGAGAGCCCCATGCAGCAGGTAGGTGGTAGAGAGCCCCATGCAGCAGGTAGGTGGTAGAGAGCCCCTTGCAGCAGGTAGGTGGTAGAGAGCCCCATGCAGCAGGCAGGTGGTAGAGAGCCCCATGCAGCAGGCAGGTGGTAGAGAGCCCCATGCAGCAGGTAGGTGGTAGAGAGCCCCATGCAGCAGGTAGGTGGTAGAGAGCCCCATGCAGCAGGTAGGTGGTAGAGAGCCCCATGCAGCAGGCAGGTGGTAGAGAGCCCCATGCAGCAGGTAGGTGGTAGAGAGCCCCATGCAGCAGGTAGGTGGTAGAGAGCCCCATGCAGCAGGTAGGTGGTAGAGAGCCCCATGCAGCAGGTAGGTGGTAGAGAGCCCCATGCAGCAGGTAGGTGGTAGAGAGCCCCATGCAGCAGGTAGGTGGTAGAGAGCCCCATGCAGCAGGCAGGTGGTAGAGAGCCCCATGCAGCAGGCAGGTGGTAGAGAGCCCCATGCAGCAGGCAGGTGGTAGAGAGCCCCATGCAGCAGGTAGGTGGTAGAGAGCCCCATGCAGCAGGTAGGTGGTAGAGAGCCCCATGCAGCAGGTAGGTGGTAGAGAGCCCCATGCAGCAGGTAGGTGGTAGAGAGCCCCATGCAGCAGGCAGGTGGTAGAGAGCCCCATGCAGCAGGTAGGTGGTAGAGAGCCCCATGCAGCAGGCAGGTGGTAGAGAGCCCCATGCAGCAGGCAGGTGGTAGAGAGCCCCATGCAGCAGGTAGGTGGTAGAGAGCCCCATGCAGCAGGCAGGTGGTAGAGAGCCCCATGCAGCAGGTAGGTGGTAGAGAGCCCCATGCAGCAGGCAGGTGGTAGAGAGCCCCATGCAGCAGGCAGGTGGTAGAGAGCCCCATGCAGCAGGCAGGTGGTAGAGAGCCCCATGCAGCAGGCAGGTGGTAGAGAGCCCCATGCAGCAGGCAGGTGGTAGAGAGCCCCATGCAGCAGGCAGGTGGTAGAGAGCCCCATGCAGCAGGTAGGTGGTAGAGAGCCCCATGCAGCAGGTAGGTGGTAGAGAGCCCCATGCAGCAGGTAGGTGGTAGAGAGCCCCATGCAGCAGGTAGGTGGTAGAGAGCCCCATGCAGCAGGTAGGTGGTAGAGAGCCCCATGCAGCAGGTAGGTGGTAGAGAGCCCCATGCAGCAGGTAGGTGGTGGAGAGCCCCATGCAGCAGGTAGGTGGTGGAGAGCCCCATGCAGCAGGTAGGTGGTGGAGAGCCCCATGCAGCAGGTAGGTGGTGGAGAGCCCCATGCAGCAGGTAGGTGGTAGAGAGCCCCATGCAGCAGGTAGGTGGTGGAGAGCCCCATGCAGCAGGCAGGTGGTAGAGAGCCCCATGCAGCAGGTAGGTGGTGGAGAGCCCCATGCAGCAGGCAGGTGGTA